TCATTTAAAAAAGAAACAAGAAACCAGACCAGTCCTATGTTATTCCTGGAGGTGGAGTCAATGATTCAACGTACTTGCAGGAATCTGGCTCGGAAAAGAGCTAGGGGCAGCAGCGTCTGACATTGAATTGCACTGTGTAAAAAAACCTTCCGTGCGTTTTGACGTCTGCTTTGGAGGAGCGGTGAGGAAATCCGAGTTGCCCGGCTTTTCCAAAGTGCTACAAGGAAATTGTAAAATTAGCAAGAGGCGGCCTCTCTCTCTCTCTTTCTTTCATTACTGATAAAGCTAAATGGAGTCAGGCTATTCAAGGTTCTCAATTGGGGCTTATGACTTTTAGCCATGCAGAGCACGTTCCGGGCTGTGGAGTACAATGCTCCAACAAGGAGGACAGCATCAACCAAAAACAAGAGGGAGGGAAACCCGCAATAATTCTGCATCACAAAAACCCCAGAGTTTCGCAGCCCTGCAAACAAACAGGAGCATCTTAAGTGCATCCACAAAACTGTCTTATTCTGCGGAATACGGCACAAATTTCTTTGCAAGGAGGTCTTGCACACTTTTCCATCTCACACGGCTCTTGCCTATCCCCTTCGTTGCCCTGAGATCTAGAAACTTGCAGACCCTCTAAGTGTCCCTATTGTCCAGGGACAGTTCTGGATTTACAGAAGTGATTTAATCTCAGAATGTCCCACTTTTCATCAGAGATATTGAGTGCGACACCAAAACAAGGAGATAAATAGGATGTTTTTGAGCTTTTTTAAAAAGTAAAATTGCCCAAAACGGCACTGCTGACATGGGTTGCCATACGTTCGGACATTTTGCTAATTTCCGAATTTCCGCCCGGACAACAGCAGTATTGTCTGACAGCAGTATTCTGGGTATGTCTAGGAAATTCTGCAACCCTCCAGTAAGGAACTGGACAACCTTTAGAAGACACCTGAAGGCAGCCCAGCAGAGGGAAGTTTTTCAAAGTTTAATGTTTTGTTATGTTTTTATATACGTTGGAAGCTGCCCAGAGCAGCTGGGGCAACCCAACAAGATGGGAAGGGCGGTATTATTATTATTACTATTACTACTACTAAGTAGGGTGTCCCTTTTTTCATCAGAGAAATGTTGGAGGGTGTGGACCTGAAGCTGAGAAAGCAGGGCCGGTGGAGTGCGAGGAATTCCCCCGGTTTATATCTCACTTTGGCAATTCACGTTGCTTGTTTCTAACCCTGGTGACTCTGCTTTGCCTCCACAGTTTTGCCATCTGAAATATGGGAACATTAGCCTACCTTGCAGGCCTGTTGTAACCGTCAACTAGTACACGGAACATTGGAAGTGTTATCATATATATATATTATATTATTAATACAGTCAAGCTATTTATGGCACTCAGAGTCTGTTTCTGTTTCCCCCTCTCTGAACAGTGGAATCATAGAATTGTAGAGTTCGAAGGGACCACCAATGGCCATCTAGTCCAACCCCTCGTAATGCAGAAATCTCAACTAAAGCACCCATGACAGAGGGCCACCCAACCTCTGCTTCAAAATCTCCAAGGAAGGAGAGTCCACCTTCTCCTGAGGGAGTCCTTCCACTGTAGAACAGCTGTTCGTGTCAGAAAGTTCTTCCTGAGGTTTAGTTGGAATCTTAAAGCCATGGGTTCGAGTCCTACCCTCCAGAGCAGGAGAAAACAAGCTTGCTCCCTCTTCCCTGTGACAGCCCTTGCTTGAGATATTGGAAGATGGCTCTCATAGCTCCTCTCAGTCTCCTCTTTTCTAGGCTAAACATGATTAATATCCAATGGATATTAATTATCATGAATATGTTGTATTTTCCTTAGGTGGCGGGGAAGCGTCCAGCACCAATCAGCCCAGTGGCTTTGACCTCACAAATGTAAGCTGTCCGGTTTCTGTGAGGTAAGGGGAAGGCATCAGTTTGGCTGGGATTAAAACCTCACGGAGAGCCACACGAAGGAGGACAAGATTTGTGGGTGCGGCCGAACAGAGATATTTGTATGTTTTTATATGTGTTGTAAGAGTGGCTCGGGAAACCCAGCCAGATTGGCAGGGTATAAATATCATCATCATCACCATAATCTGGTAGGGCGGCTAAGGGAGTCCACAGGCAAGGAGGCTGAAAGATTCAGTAAGGTGAGAGAAAAAAGGGAGACAGAGAACTGAGATGGGGAAGGCCTGGTGCGGAGGTGGTGCTTTCACGCAGCTCCCGGACTCTAACGGCGTTTTAATATTTTGCCACCTTGCCAAAATCCCCTAGTGGTCCGTGAAGGGCTTCCGTGACAGCGAAGGGTAACGCAGGTTGAAAACACAATTATCGCCGTAAGCGAATTGATCTCCAAATAAAACAGGAGAGAGAAGTGAATGGGGACGGCATTCATCAATAGGCCGCTGAAAAGGAGGAGAGCAGCGAAAGCCTTTTGTGGCTGGCACTCCGCACGCGTGTCTGCGCTTCTCATCTCTGGCCGTTTGACCGGCTGGCCTTCTCCGGGATCCCAGTTAATGCACAGCCCTCCCCACTTCATAAGTCCCCTGTGCTTGGAATTCGGAGATAGACTGTGGCTGAACAAGGAGGTTCTACTTAGCTGTCATGGATGACCACCATTTGCAGACTGCTTAAAATCCTGAGTTTGGGTCTTGACCTGTTTGTTGTGGGATTTGCTTTCCCTCTGTGTAAGACACAAAGGTGTGGGGAAATCAGGGAAGTGGGGTGGGATGTGCGTCTGCTCAAGGAGTTGTCAAACTCCAACTCCCATCAGCCTTAGCTGCCAGTCTGGGATGATGGGATATGAAGTGCAACATTATCCAGAGGTCACACGTCCGTCAACTGAAAAAGAGGCATTCCCTGCCCCAGGCAAGAAATGGAAGGGTGCCTCTTATTTTTTTTTTTTAATTAAAAATTAATTAAAATGGCTGCATACAAATTCAATTTAAAAAGAAAACAGCACAAAGCAATACATGGTGCAACAACTGCTTCTATTTTAGTGGGGCCGCTACATTACGGGGATTTCAAAGGCGGAATTGACGGGGGGAATGAATTTATCCTGGATCTTAGGAAAATAGTGTGGGGGTTTTGGTATTTGTAAAAAAAACAAAACAAAAACCCAACAACTTTGGGGTTTGTTTAAAAAAGTTCAACAATTTTGGAGTCTTCCTAAAAAAAAGACCATTTTAGAAGATGCCTTTACTAATTTTAGAAGATACATTTCCTTGCAGAGGAATGCTTCTTCCTAGATTAATGCACATATATCTCAACTTTGACCAGTTTTTTTGTATATCACATGAGTTTTAAAAGTATCCTTGTGAATTTTATAAATTTTATGACTCTAAATATGAACAGGAGGAGTTTAATAAGAACACAGTTTGTGGGGGGCACGGCATTCTGCATATGTTCAGAGCAGCTCTTTCCACTTTCTGCAACCCGGAGCCTGAGCAAAATTTACGCTGCACCCAGCAACTTGCTTCTGTCAGTGGGCAGCCAAAATGAAAGCTAACACCTTTCCCTCTTCTCTTGATCTCAGCATCTGTTGTTCCAGAGGTAGACTGTTTCTGAACCTGGAGGCTCCATTCTGCTGTTCTACTAACATGAGCATAACCAAGGGGGGCAGGGGGGCAACTGCCCACCCCCCGAAAATCAATAAAAATACATAGCTAACTGAGGTTCTGCCCCCCCCCAAAAAAATCCTGGCTACGTCCAGGGTACCTAATGCCCCTCTATTGACCTCTAATTAGTGAATTCGGCTAATTGGACCAGAACTAGCCAATTTTTTTAGCGGCTTTGGGTGCCCATGTCCAGTGTCGGCATCACCAACCCTGCCTTCCTCTGGCACTCTGTGTATGTTCAGAGATTCTTTTCCTTTTCATCTGACACCCCCCCCCCCCGCGTTTCTGGAAAAGTCTGGTGCGCCCCAGCCCAGCCCAGCCCAGCCCAGTCTTCTCCCACCTCTGTGCCTTTCTAGCACCTTCTCCGAACTTTGCACGTGCCCATGGACACACACGCGCAGCCTGCTTTCCCACAGAGCTGAAGCCCGCCCTCAACCTCTCCTCCTTCGACGATCTTTCTCAGCAGCGTCTATTCCGATCCCTTGTTCTCTGCACTCTGCACATGCTCCATTCCCTTCGCATCTCCGAACTCCTCTCGTCTTCCTCGCTTTGCCTCAGTCCTCCAACCCTTTCCCCGCTCCGCACTCTGCACGCACCCAGAGCCCACCGAGCTCACGTCCCTCCTTCCCCCTGCACTCTGCACATGCTCCCACAGCGCCAGCGGGGCTCCTCCCTCGCCGCCTCTCCCGCGCTCTGTGCATGCCCAGAGACTCCTTGCTCGCCTCGCACCGTCTGCCTCTCCTTGGACGAAGCGCAGACCTCTCACCTCACCTAGATGACCCTTCCAACTCTGCCATTCTAGGTTTCTGCGATTCTTCCTCGCCCGCGCTCTGTGCATGCCCAGAGGCAGGCTCTTCCTCCTCTCCGCTTCCTCGCCTCGCGCCGTCTGCATCTCCTTCGCCGAAACGCAGACATCTCTTTCCGATGCAGCCTATATATGCGTGCTTCTTAGGGGCGCGTTAGGCGCCCGTGCCAAGCGGCGCTTCTCCTCCCCAACAGGCTGGCGAGGGTGCCATCATCTCCCAAATACCATCTTCATCCCCAGGTTGGCAGGGTCGCCCTCTGCCGCCCCTAGCGGCGCGCTCCCGCCAGAGCAGCCTCCAGCTCCGCCTGGAGAGCGAGCGAGCAGCAGCCAGAGCGCGGGAGCGGAGGCGCAGCGGCGGAGCGCCCGGCGCGGCGGCGGCAGCAGCAGCTGCGTTTGGATAGGGCGGGGGGACCTCACTTTCCCTCTGCTCCTGCTCTTTCCCGCGGCTCCTGCTCTGCCCCACTTCCGCGGCCCCTGATGGGCGGGCCCTGGGAGACCCCCTCCCGGCTGCCTCCTTAGGGGACCCCCCACCCAGCGCGGGTGGGGGGCGGGCGCAGGGGTTGCGCGCCCCTGCGCCTTGCGCGCCCTGCCCTATGGAGAGGCGCCGGGCGCTTTGCTGCTGGTGGTGCCTGTCGCTGCTGCTGGCGGGGCAGCCGGCGGCCCGGGGGCACCCGCAGCCGTGCCACATCCTGGCACGGATCGGGCACACCGTGCGCCTGGGCGCCCTGCTTCCCCGCGCGGGCGAAGCCGAGAGCCGGGCGCGCAACGCCCTGGCCCGCGCCAGCCGCACGGCCACCTCCGCGCTGCCCTACAACCTCAGCCTGGAGGTGGTCTCCGGGGCGCCCCGGCAGAGGGACCCGGCCTCGCTGGCCCGCTGGCTGTGCCAGGCGCTGGTGGTGCGCGGAGTGGCCGCCGTGCTCGCCTTCCCCGCGTCCCGCAGGGAGCTGCTCCAGTTGGACTTCGCCGCCGCCTTCCTGGAGATCCCCTTCATCAGCATCCGGGAAGAGGAGGAAGAGGAGGAGGAGGAGGAAGGCAGAGGGGGACAAAGTGCGAAGACCCCCATGCCCTTCAGGAGCCGGGTAAGGAGAAGAACACCCCCGCTTTTTCATTTAAAAAAATCCTCCCCGGTGGAGAGCCTCCTAGGGCAAGAGCAGTCTACCAGCCCACGAGCAAGTAGGCTACAGATTGACTTAGGCAGGGCTTTTTTCCAGCTGGAACTCACCAGAAACCTCTCATGTGGGCGCCATGAGCGTAGCAAGGATTTATGTTGTGGGGTCCGGTTTTATGATTCGGAGGCAGAGCCGAGCTCTGTGAAACAATTGGTCAGTTAGTTAAGTATTTGTACTTATTTACTTGATTTAGGGGGTGCAGCTGCCCCCTGCCACCCTTGGCTACGCCCCCATTGCCATTATAAGAGAACAAGGGAGGTGTTCATGGTGAGTTCTGGTGCCTCTTTCTCTATAAAAATAACACTGGATTTAGGGATCATGGAATTGAAGAGCTGGAAGGGTCATCTAGTCCAACCCCCTGCAGTGCAGGAATCCTGCCCACAGCCGTCTTGGGCTCAAATAACCGACCTTCTGGTTGGGTTCCTTGAGTGATGGACCTGGGAGGGACTTTGTGGGTCATGTGGGGCAGTGCCCACCCATCTGTGCAGAAATCACAGCTTTGATTAGTTATGTGGTTGAACCTCCACATTCAAGGGCAGTCTACCTTGGAGAGGCCTCAGGGACAGGTAGCTAAATGAGGCTGTCATTGCCCTTCAGGAGGAAGGAGGAAGGCAGCCCTCCCTGTCAGAGAGCCTGCTCACAGGATGCTGCTCACAGATGATAGAATTGTAGAGTTGGAAGGAACCTCAAGGCCTTGCAGTGCAAGGATCACAGCTTTGCATGGTTGGTGACTGTGAACATCCACAGTCAGGAGCAGTCTATCTGGGAGTCACCCAGCCAGCGCACAGGCTAAACGTGGCTATTAATTTAAAATATTTCTCCACCCATCATATGCAAAGTCCACAGCTGGTTACAGCTACATTACGAATGGTAATAACGTAATATGATCTATTATTTTTTATTGTCCTGAAATACTTGTTATTCTTATTACTTGCATAACTCATTAATACTGCTGTGATTGTGGCCGTCGTACCATTTTATAATGCAGTGTTGTGTTCTTTTCTCATAATTCAAGAGTTATTATTACTTACATAACTTATTAATACAACTGTACTGTATTAATTGTATGTAAGGCTACGCATAGGATCATAGCACTGTAGAATTCAAAGGGACCCCCATGGGTCATCTAGTCCAACCCTCTGCAATACAGGAACCATGTCCACTCAGAATTAAGTCCCACTTGAAGCCATGGGGCTTACTCCTGAGTAAGCAGGTAAAGGATTGCAGCCCAAGCGGCTGTTATGTCCGGGGTCAAGCTTACCTGAGGGTCCTGGACGCAGAGGGAGAAATAGCAAGGAATGTCTGCAGCTATTAGCTATGATTAATAATCCTTTTATTGCTTTGATCCCTGAGCGTCCATGTTTGGGAGAAGTCAACCTCTGAGCACCAGAGGCTGGCAAAAGGCAGAGAGCAGGCGGTCCCTGAGTTGAGTACACCTGGCGAACTTCCACTGCAGGGGCAGTCTACCTCGGCTGGAGAGAAAGGACTGGGGAAGGCTGTGAGCCTCCTCCTCCTCCTCCATCATCAGTGTTGCCAGCTGCCTGTTCGGTCCTCCTTCCCCTTGAGAGGTCGGCTGCATCTGAAGCTGGAAGCTTGAGGGAAATCTGTCGATCGCAAATGCCCATTTTGCACCCGTGCTAAGAGGGAGGTTGTGGATGGATAATAAGTGTTCAAGGATAATCAGGGAAGGATATCCCTTTCCCTGGTTGGCTGGACTAGATGGAGACCTCAACTGGTATTTCTTCTTGAAGTGAACAGAAATATATATTCTAATAATGATGATGATGAGGTACCCAAGGGTCATCTAGTCCAGCAATGCAGGAATAAAAAATAACAACAGCCCTGTAAGTTCATTGCTTCTGCCCTTAAAAGGTTCTGTCAGCTCCTTATTAGCCTTTGCATTGCAGGGGGTTGGACTGGATGACCTTTGTGGGTCCCTTCCAACTTTATAATGAAACTGAGCCTCTCCATATAGACATAGTCTACCTTTGAGCACCAGCTGCCGGAGACTAGGAAGGCAGCATCGCCTTTATTCCATGTCGGTGTCCTTTCTGAGGACACGGATCAGTCTCCTGTTTGGAAGCAGGATGTGGTCCTTTTGCCCCAATCTCAGCAAGGCCACCCCCCATCCCACCCTGTTCTTATTTTAGAGCAAAAGCCTCTGCATCCAGGGGGTATTCTACCCCCTGGTGCTACGGACAAAGAATTAGCGGGCGTCCATTTTGCACCCCACTGTTGGAGACAGGAAACTGGGGTGGGTAAAACCCTTCTGTTTCGGGGGAACACACACACAAACTGAACTTTTCCTTTCCCACACCTGTTCAGTTTGAACCCAATGTTATCCCTACTCAGAGTAGACGTACTGAAATGAAAGGCACTGCTTACTCAAGATGATCAGTCCCAGTAAATGAGGCACAAGCCAGCACGGTAGGTTTTTAAATTGAGGGGGACGATGACTGTCATTAGGCTTTTCGGCTCTCAGCCCAGGACCATCGGCCTGCCTGCTGGCTTTTAATGCCGGTGATTGATGCAAGAGGAGTCCGATCGCCCCGCTCTGGAATAAACAGGCGCAGCTGAGCAGTTGTTCAAAAAAGAACGAAGCCTGTCGATGGGATGTCATGCTCAGACAGGCTCTGGGCCCCGGGCCCCGTTTGTGGCTCATAAATCAAGATAGGAAAGCAGAGGGGTGGGCGGGTGTAATCCTGCCACGGTCCTCTGCCAATTCATGCTGGGAGTCAGTAATCCTCCCACTGAGCTGGTCTGTTTTACAGCTATAGATATAGATATTGGAAGATTCACTTAATAGCTCAGCTGGTTACAGTAAATGCTGAGAACGCCAAGGTTGCAGGTTCGATCCCCGTACGGGGCAGCTGCATTGCAGCGGGTTGGACTAGATAACCCTCAGGGTCCCTTCCGACTCCACGAGTCTGTGATTCTACATCAATATCCTTCCTCTGCACACATGAGCCCATGCTACTGCATTCCGGTGGCCCAAAGCCACCAGGAACCCCATCTGTGCCAGGCTCTTGGCCGTTCTGCGTTTAATTCCGTTTCTTAACGGAAAAGGATTTGGTAGCTCTTGGCCTGGGAAGTTGATTTATATCGGAGGAGACGGTCTAGCTCAGGGCTGCTGGACACTGGCAGGCAGAGACTCTCTGGGGGTCTCTGGCTGGGAGGGGGTCTCTCTCTGGAGACGCCTCAAACCTGGGACTTTGTGTGTGTGCAAAGGAGGGGACCTCACTGCTGAGCTGTGGGGGCTTTGCCCCCTAAAATGAAAATATGTTGGTCCTCAAGATTCTGGTTTGAACAGGCTTACCAGAAGCTCAGATCCTTTGGCCCATCAAAATTAGTGTTACCTGCACTAACTGGCAGTGTTTCAGGAAAAGAGAGGCACCCAAGATCGCCCAGTAAGCTTTGTTGACAGAAGGCAATTTGAACCCAGCACACGCTGCTTTTTCCTCCACCACGCTACCCATTGCACCGCACCACCCCTGAGAGCTGAGAAGCGGCAGCTTTGCTACTGCATAGCTCAGTCTGTAGAGTATGAAGCTCTTAATCTCAGGGTTGTGGGTTCGAGTCCCACATTGGGCGAATGTTTCCTGCGTTGCAGGGTGTTGGACTTGGGGGTCCCACCCACCTCTACAATTCTGCAGTTCTATGTTCTTCATATCCTGGGTCAAAACAGATACCCTCTCCCCCTGGCAAGCAGGCCTAGTACAAAGACTCTGCCCCTTGTTTTCCCAGCAGATGACAGCAAAAAAATCGGTCATTATTATTTTTTGCAAAACTCGGAGGGAGCCCCCCCAACTCTCCTTGAATGCATGGGGAATGCAATTGCAGTGGGGATAGGGGAAGAAATTGCTAATCAATATGTGCTGGGGCACCGGGACCTTGTCACAGCAGCAGCCGTCTGTTGCAGTTTCTAGGGACAGCAACACCCCAGCAATGCCTGTTGGATTTGGGGAGCAGAAGATAGCCAAATCAGGTGCAAAGATTGGGGTGGAATCTGGTTCCAGCTTTAGAAGGAGTTGGTTGTTTTGTGACACCAAACAAGCTCAGGTCTCCTTCTTCGTCTTTGCCACTCAAGGCTGCTGTTTGGAAAAATCCAGGAATTATTCCAAGATGATAAATAGTAATATCCTTCCGAGGTCTTGCCAAAATCTGGGGGCAAAGGGAGGGATTTGATTTGATTTGATTTGATTCTTTCTTTTCTGTTGTTTCCCCTCCTTTCAATTGCGCTGTCTTGTCGCCAGGACATTAGTGATCTCAGAGAATTCCTTCCTCGTCGCTGGTTTCCTTTGGTCCAATTCCCCGCAGCCAATATAGGCAATCTGTATTTTGCTCACAGGTTCTCGATGGGGGAAGGAGGGAGAAAAAAACCAATTCCCTCTCGGCGCAGAAGCAAAAGGCTCGATTTTAAACAGGTTTCCAAATAAACCTGAAAAAGAAAAGCACAGCCTCTTTCAAACACCACATTTTCAGACCTGTGAGGTGCATGTTTCCCAGGGGCTGGATGGAGAGAGGTGCGCTCTTGTGGCATTTAAGCACAAGTCCAGCTTCCTATCTCCACAGCAGCCAGTCATATGCCTCAAAGGGAAGCCCACAAGCAGAATAATAATTTTATTATTTATACTCCACCCATCTGGCTGGGTTGCCCCAGCCACTCTAGGCAACTTCTGACACATAATACCAAACATTAAAACTTCCCCATACAGGCCCTTCTTCAGATGTCTTCTAAAAGTCATTTGTTTATCTCCTTGACATCTGATGGGAGGGCATTCCATAGGGCGGGCGCCACCACCGAGAAGGCCCTCTGCCTGGTTCCCTGTATCCTCACTTCTCACAGTGAGGGAACTGCCGAAACGCCCTCGGAGCTGGACTTCCATGTTTGGGCTGGAGAATGGGTATCCTTCAGGTCTACTGGGCCGAGGCCATTGAGGGCTTTCAAGGTCAGCACCAACACTTTGAATTGTGCTCGGAAACGTACTGGGAGCCAATGCAGGTCTTTCAGGACCGGTATTATGTGGTCCCAGTCATCAGCCTGGCTGCCGCATTCTGAATTAGTTGTCATTTTGGAGTCACCTTCAAAGGTAGCTCCACAGAGAACGCCTTGCAGTAGTCCAAGCGGGAGAAAACCAGAGCATGGACCACTCTGGCGAGACAGTCGGCGGGCAGGGAGGGTCTCAGATGGAGCTGGCAGACCTGGACGCAAAATTGACCTGCGCCTCCATGGACAGCGGTGAGTCCAAAATGACCCCCAGGCTGCGCAGCTGGTCCTTCAGGGGCACACTTACCCCATGCAGGACCAGGGAGTCCCCCACCCCCGCCCACCCCTTGCCCCCCACAAAACGGCACTTGTATCTTGTCAGGATTTAACCCCAATCTGTTAACTGCCATCCATGTGAGAGCAATAGTCTTCTCCCACACTTGTTTACCACTGTTCTAAGGTAGACTGCCTCTGTTCATGCTCCACTGAGCAGTGGCGTAGCATGGGGGGTGCAGGGGGTGCTGGCCGCACCGGGCGCAACATCTGGGGGGCGCGCGCTCGCACTTGCAGCTCTCTGCCCCTACCTGGCTCACTCACTCACTCTCACTGCAGTGCTGGCTGTGCGAATCCGATCCGAGCCGCTGGGTCGCCGCCCACTGTGGAGGGGGTGGGTGCCAGGCGTGCGGTGCGGAGAGAGAGCGAGGGACTATCTGGGGGAGGGACAGTGCAGCGGCGCCCAGCGCAGCGCTGTGCGCGGGAGAGAACCTCACCAGACCAGCCCAGGCAGCAGCAAGAAGAAGCTGGCAGCGGCGGCAGGTTAGGGGTTAGGGGGCGCAAATTACTTGCCTTGCCCCGGGTTAGGGGGCGCAAATTACTTGCCTTGCCCCAGGTGCTGACAACCCATGCTACGCCGCTGCCACTGAGGAATCATAAGAAACTCAGAAAAGCCCTGCAGTGGGATCAGGCCAATGGGCCACTTAGTCCAGCCTCCTGTCCTCACAGAGGCCAACCAGATACCCCAAATGGGAAGCCCCCTCCCCCCGCAAGCAAGACCGGAGTGCCACAGCCACTCTCCCCACTTGCCACTCCCAGCAACTTGTGCTCAGAGATAGTGGATGCTGGAGGCAGAACATTTGGCCATCAATAAGTTCTTGCAAAGCCCAGTTTGCACGGCAGGTTTAGCAGCGGTGTTGTAAATTCCCCAAGATCTTTAGAAACGTCCATCCTGCCTTCTTTGCCTCGCTTTTTAGAACGCAACAGCCATTTCTTTGACGCTGCCACACACCCATCCGTCAAGAAGCCCAGCAGGTGTTGAGGTTCCAGCTAAAAAACAAATTAAAAAAAAATACATTTGGCAACTTTTCCGGAGGTTTTTTTTACCTTGACATCGCTCCCTTCTGCCGTGAAAAATAGCCTCGTTATGGAGCAGATAACTTCTGGATCCAAGGTAAAGTGACATCGTAGATCTCTCTCCTGCAACAAATGAAAGATGAGTCAACACGGTCATCGCTTGGCAAGGCGAGGTCTCCCATCTGCAGAGGAGAGAGGGAAGGAGTTGGGCTGAAACAGGGTAGAGGTGGCTTCAGGGCTGAGCACGGCTTATGGGGCAACACGGGGAAAGTTAACCTCCCCTTGGCCTGTAGATTTCTCCATGCCTGGTCTTTGAAAGTGCACTTTCTCTCTCCAAATGGAGGCGTTCTTCCATCTCTCAGGCTTTGTTTGGCCCTGATAAGCCACACAACACAGGCAATATAGAACCGTAGAGTTGGAAGGGATCCTGAGGCTCATCTAGTCCAACCCCCAGGAATGCAGAAAAATGCTGGCATATTATTTATACCCTGCCCCTCTGACTGGGTTGGCCCAGCCACTCTGGGCAGCTTCCAACATACAGTGGTACCTCTGGATATGAATGGGATCCGTTCCGGAGCCCCATTCGCATCCTGAAGCGAACGCAACCTGCGTCTGCGCGTGCATGGGTTGTGATTCACCGCATCCGTGCATGCACGTGATGTCATTTTGCACGAGTGGCAAAACCCGGATTTAACGCGTTCCATTACTTCCGGGTCGCCGCAGAGCGCAACCCGAAAGTGCTCAACCTGAAGCATATTTAACCTGAGGTATGACTGTACAGTCATACCTCGGGTTACAGACACTTCAGATTGCATTTTTTCGGGTTACATACCCGCCAAAACCCGGAAGTACCGGAACAGGTTACTTCCGGGTTTCGGGGGTCGCGCATGCGCAGAAGTGCTAAATTGCGCTTTGCGCATGCACAGAAGTGCCGAATCGCAACCCGCACCTGCGCAGACGTGCTGCTGCAGTTTGCGAACGCTGCAGATTGTGAATGTGCATCCTGCACAGATTACGTTCGCAACCCGGGCGTCCACTGTATATTAAAACATGAAACATTTTTTAAAACTTCCCTATCCAGGGCTGCTTTCAGATGTCTTCTAAAGGTTGTTTAGTTAACTCATCTCCTTGGCTCTGGGGTCGCATTTCTCCATACCTTCCAACATTTTCCCGATGGAAATAGGGACTTCCTAAGGAAAAGTGGGACATTCTGGGGAGAAATCAGAACCTGGGACAGCTTCTGTAAATCCGGGACTGTCCCTGGAAAATAGGGACACGGGGGGGGGGGGGCGTCTGGCCTTGGAGAGAGCCCTTCTCTTGTGAGAGTCATTCATTGAGAGCTTTGGAAACCACCAGTTGACAATGAGGGGCCCACAATTAAAGCTAGATAGCTGTGTCAATCTGCATCCATTTGCCTCAAATTGTCACCTTGTCCTCCCCGCCATTTCACTCTTTGCTAAATAAAAGCAGCCAGAGCCTGTCAGCAGAGAGGAAAATGTTTGCCCAGGGTGACCCCTGGGGTCCCGCTGAGTCTCTCCAAAAAGATAACCGGCTTCCATTAGTAAATAATTGCTTTGCCCACTTACGATCTCAAGGACATCCATTGCAGAGGACTCCCCAAAGCCTCATTCTCAGCAGGGCTGGAGTTGCAGCCATATATTTATGGGGTAGCAGCGGAGGGGGGTTTGGGGAGGGGGCAGGAGACAGGGGCTTTCCTCCGCCAGGACATTCCTGGTGATCTTTGTCAGCTGTGAGGCAAGAAGGGTTATGATAATTGCATGATCCCACAGTGAGGATCCCCCTCGAGATTTTGCCATGGCCAATTAGTCGCTGCTCCCATCACTGCTGCTGGAAAGTGTGTCATTTGGGGAGGGGAAGACTCCAGAGGCAGTGCAATGAGAAACTTTCTGGAAGTCTAGCTCACTTTCGAAATTTGGGGGTCGGGGGCTCATCCGCGCTGCACTTTGATAATTTTAGACCCCAGATTAGGCAGCCTTATGGCGGGGGCTCATTGGATCAGAGAGGAGGTGGTGGAGTGGTCTGATGTGGCCCTCAAGACCTCTCCCCCCCCCCCAGCCTCAGGGCTTTCCCCAAGCCACCACCCCCCTCTCCACGGGCCATGCCCCTCACCAGTCCTGCTTTAGTGCTTTTGGCAGCCTGGAAATGTGTCCTTGAGCTCTGAAAATGTGTACCCTCCAACATTTCTCTGATGAAAATAGGTAAAGGGACCCCTGACCATTAGGTCCAGTGGTGGCCGACTCTGGGGTTGCGGCGCTCATCTCGCTTTATTGGCCGAGGGAGCCGGCGTACAGCTTCCGGGTCATGTGGCCAGCAGGACTGAAATATACTCAGAGTCGCAAAGTGATTTCATGCTCTTTATTCAGCTCATAGTGGTGAGGAGGAATGAATGAATGTCCCCTCAAAGTATCTGCTTTATATACATTATTTACACAATGGGCTGCACATGATTGGCTAATTCCGGGATTCACCTGTAGGCCAATCAGGTTGTGGATTCGCTTCTATCTGGAGAATGGTTGGGTGGTTCCTGCCAACCAATCATACTGCTGCATTGTTCTAGGACCAATCAGACTGCTGCGTTTTGGATCCTATTGTTCTAGGACCAATCAGACTGCTGCGTTTTGGATCCTATTGTTCTAGGACCAATCAGACTGCTGCAGTTTGGATCCTATTCAACTCAGTACATAACAATGACTAAGCCGCTTCTGGTGAACCAGAGCAGTGCATGGAAACGCCATTTACCTTCCCGCTGGAGCGGTACCTATTTATCTACTTGCACTTTGATGTGCTTTTGAACTGCTAGGTTGGCAGGAGCAGGGTTCTATTCCATCACCACCACCATCATTTTATTATTTATACCCAACCCATCTGACTGGGTTAGCGGCAGTATTTCAATAGAACCTCCATGGCCAGTCAGTGCCTACCTTTGAATACGAGGTCCCATCCCTCCACGGTTTGTGCCATTCCCAAATGTTTCCTTTTCCTACAGAGACGGGCACCAGCAGCTCCTATTTGTGTGGTGTCATCTTGCAAACCTCCGCCAGGGCTTCCATCCAGCCCACAAATCTCTCTTGCAGCAGAGTTGCCACCCGGAGTCCGGAGCCTGAGTTAACTTTGGAAAAGCTGCGTGGGCACTTTCTGTTTTCCTCCTGCCTCCTGTCCAAAGCCATATAAATGATGGTTGAACTCGGAGAGTAGGTTTTTATTGTGCTGTATTTCCTCTGTCTCCAGACAGTCTATTAGAAAGTTCTGGACATGGGCAGCTGGGGCTGGTGGTTCTCCTTGGGACTTGGCTGAAGCAGCAAAGTCGGCCGAAGGAGGAGATCTGGTGGGCTGGACAGCCCTGTTTTAAAGCCAGGATACCTCAGTCAGTAGAGCATAAGACTTTCAATCTCAGGGTCCTGGATTTGAGCCCCATGTTGGGCAAAAGTCGATTCGAATAGATGGCCCTCATGGCTCCTTACAACTCTACAATTCCATGAGGAACAAAAATGAATTTACAAGGGATGGAGAAACACTTCTGTTCAGAAGAGACATTGCCTCAATATTTCCTGCCGCATGCAAGAGACAAAGGAACACCTCTATTTTAAAAGAGCAATTCTCCGGGAGGTGGAAGAATGCCTCTGTTTCGAACATGGTTTCCCAAATTTGGGTCCCCAGCTGTTGTTGGACTACAACTCCCATCATCCCTAGCTAGCAGGTATGGTGGGAATTGTAGTCCAAAAACAGCCGGAGACCCCAATTTGGGAAAACCCTGATTTAGAAGAGGCAGAACGCTTTTTCAACCAGGCCTCTGCAGACCGAATGAGCTGCTTACATCGAACAGAATTAGGATCTCTTGCTTGGTCGCTATTTCGTTCCAGTTTCCGATTGCAGGGGGCTAATGGTTTCCACTGTGACCTTTTCATTTTGTGTGTGTGGCTCTGTGGAACTCCCTGCCTCTTGAGAGCAAGCAGGCACCATAGAAACCCTGCATTAATCCCTACGCTCTTTTCAGATCTATTTGCTTAGCTAGCAACTGACATTTCACATGTGATGATAGTCTTCATGGGATGTGGTTACCGTTTCCAATTCCATTAACCACCCACCTCAATTTCCTGCATCACCCACAAACACAGGCACATTTTCTTTCGTGTATTTCATTGTGTTTATCAATCACTTCCCATTAAAGCATCCCAAAGTGATAAACACTTTTTTTATTAAGAAAAACAGTAATGAAAACATCAATAAGTGTGTCTCAAGGCGCTCAGTGGAGACGACCTTGACGTGATCGTACCAGCTCTGGGCTGGCGATTCGTCTTTCTGAGCATTGCTCCTCTTCCACCCCCAGTGTTCAACAACGCATGTGCGCATGAGGGAAGGCGTCCTGAACCAACCGTGCGTACTCTCACGCCTCGTGCTGGAATCATGCTTTATATTTATTTATTTTTAGGGGGACGGCTGTAGCTTGGCGTTCCGACTCAGTATTAGGCAGCTCAATTTGCTCCAGTTTGAAAATCAGAATGATGAGGTCCGGAACCTTGACTTGGTGTGTAAAAGAAGGGTTGTGAGTCGCTGGCACAGAGCGCAGGCCAGTCTTGTAGAACGTCCCAGAGCAACATGGGACTCGGGTGGGGTGAGGAGATGATACCCAGTGCCAGAGCGCTTGCTTGGCATGTAGAACGTTCAACCCCAGTGGCATCTTCAGGTAGGGCTGGGAAATTTCCCTAATTCTGAAACCCTGGAGGGCTGTTGCATACCCTGCAAAATTTCTCCGGTGAAAATAGGGGCGTCCTATTCCATCATAACAACAACAACAACAACTTTCTTTTTTTAAAAAAAATAATAATATTTATTACTTTTCCAAAAATTTAAACACTAAAAAGACAATACAATGCAATACATTAAAACAAAAACAATAAAATAAATCAAACAATTTCATTATCCCATCTTTCATTCACTTATTTCCACGACCTCCTCACACCTCCCTTTTCGTATTCCACTTCTGTTAATTATTTCAGCAATTCCTTTCCATCTTCCTCTATTTTCTATCCTATAATTATCTTAACTCATTCTAACCTTATTTTTTCCTTTAATGCTCTATTGTTCTATTTATACTTAATTCCTTATAACGTTTCTACTAAAGCCATGTAACTTCATTCCAACATTTTTCTAACATTCATTAATTTTACAGTATTTCTGTAGATAATCTTTAAATTTTTTCCAATCTTCTTCCACCGACTCTTCTCCCTGGTCTCGGATTCTGCCAGTCATTTCCGCCAGTTCCATATAGTCCATCAACTTCATCTGCCATTCTTCCCGGGTGGGTAAATCTTGTGTCTTCCAATATTTTGCAATGAGTATCCTTGCTGCTGTTGTTGCATACATAAAGAAAGTTCTATCCTTCTTTGACACCAATTGGCCGACCATGCCCAGGAGAAAGGCCTCTGGTTTCTTCAGGAAGGTATATTTGAATACCTTTTTCATTTCGTTATAAATCATCTCCCAGAATGTCTTAATCCTTGGGCATGTCCACCAAAGGTGAAAGAATGTGCCTTCAGTCTCCTTACATTTCGAACATTTATTGTCGGGCAAATGGTAAATTTTTGCAAGCTTGACTGGTGTCATGTACCACCTATAAATCATTTTCATTAAGTTTTCTCTTAGGGCATTACATGCCGTAAATTTCATACCTGTGGTCCATAACTGTTCCCAGTCAGCCATCATTATGTTATGCCCAACATCTTGTGCCCATTTAATCATAGCTGATTTCACTGTTTCATCCTGAGTGTTCCATTTCAACAGCAAGTTATACATTTTTGACAAATTCTTAATTTTGGAATCTAACAATTCTGTTTCCAATTTTGATTTTTCCACCTGGAAACCAACTTTTTTGTCCAAATAACTTTCTTATTCATATCGTGTTCAGCCGGCTGGGTTGGCCCAGCCCCTTTGGGCGGTTTCCAACATATATAAAAATACAATAAAACATTTGAAAACTTCCCTATCCAGGGCTGTTGTCAGATGTCTTCTAAAGCTTGTATGGTGACTTATCTCCTTTGCTTGGGGGTTGCATAACTCCATACCCACCAACATTTCTCCTATGAAAATAGGGGTGTCCAATGGGAAAGTAGGGATCAAATCAGAAACTGGGATGGCTTCTGTAAATCTTGGACTTTTCTGGGGGAATAGGGACACTTGTAGGATCTACATAGATCAGTGGTTCTCAAAGGCTGTGGCAGGATGACTCTTGCAGTCCCTTCCAACTCAACAATTCTATGATTCTCTGTTCCTATATAACTGCATTTTTTTATACTTTCTGAATGCCCCATGATTATATAATAAATTAGTGGTGTTCTTGGTTATTAATCAAGTACTGCTATGAGCTGTAGTAGTAGTAGTAGTAGTAGTAGTAGTAATAATAATAATAATAATAATACTAAATTATTTATACCCTGCCCACTCTGAGCAGCTTCCAGCAAAAGATTAAAAATACATTAAAACACCAGTCATTAAAAACTTCCCTAAACAGTGCTGCCTTCAGATGTCTTCTAAACGCCAGATAGTTGTTTATTTCTTTAAGGGCGTTCCACAGTGTTTTTTATTTGTTTGTTTTTGTTTTCCAATGCTTCAAATTTTTATTCTCGAAGTGTCACCCAGAGAAGAAAAGTTTGAGAACTGCTGGTGTGGATAATACTGAGCTAGATGAGGAAGGTTCATAGAATCCTAGAGCTGGAAGGGACATGGGGGTCATCTAGTCCAACCCCCCTGCAATGCAGGGATATTTTGCCTTACATGGGCCTTGAACCCACAACCCTGAGTCTCTTGCTCTACTGACTGAGGAGAGGGCTACCTGTGGCTGCTAGACACCCCCCATGGAGGCAGCGATGCCTCTGAACTCCAGCTGCTGGAAATGGCAGGAGGGGAGAGAGTTGGTCTTGTGTTCGAATCTTGCTTGCGGCCACTGTGAGAACAGGACGCTGGACTAGAAGGGATCTTCAGACGTAAAGAGCCAGGTGGTCCAGCAGCCTTTTGCCCACATTCATGATTCTGCAAGGCACCCCTCCTTTCCCGATGAGAGGATGGGGATTTCAAACATCCCACCATCCTAAAAGTCCACCTCTCTTTTCCATCTCTGGCACAGGTGAGCTTAAACTCTGCTGACCTCTAGTGGCCGCCTGCCTCTTTGCTCTGCTTCCAGCTGGGGGCTCACCTATTTATTATTATTATTATTATTATTATTATTATTAGCCACTCATCTGACTGGGTTGTGCCAGCCACCAAAGAAGAATGGCAGCTGAAATTGATAGAACATGTAGAATTGGCAAGTTTGACGTGCAAAAGTTAGAGATAAGAAAGAGACCGGTTTTTAAAGGTAATAGGAAAATGTCCGCAGAATACTTAAAAACTCAGTGTAAAATATGTTAAAATGCAAGTAGGGTTTGAGAGAGAACAGCAGTGGGGGTGAACTTTCCATTTTTCTTTTGTGGTAAGGGCAAGGTCTATAGCAGGCATAGGCCAACTCGGCCCTCCAGATGTTTTGGGACTACAACTCCCATCATCCCTGACCACTGGTCCTGTTAGCTAGGGATGATGGGAGTTGTAGTCCCAAAAGCATCTCGAGGGCCGAGTTTGCCTATGCCTGGTCTATAGTAACTATAACATGCAGCATAAATTGAAATTCTGGGGGAACCCTGGAGGGAGGGAGAGGAAGTCGCAGGTGGAATGATTGATTGCTAAACTTGAAATGATGTTGAATTGTTGAATTCTGCGTGTGTGTGTGTAATAAAAACCTATGAGACAGCTGTGGAATAGCCAGCTTCATATAAGCAACATGCTTAAGTCTAATTAATGCATGATGGAGTTAGTATTTATTCATTTATTAGATTTTTATACCACCCTTATCATAAGATCTCAGGGCGGTTCACAGAATAAAATACAGGATAAAAACAAGTAAATAATTGAAACAAAACAGCAACCCCCTCTTCCTGTAGACACATTAAAAAGGCTGTAGAATATTAATCAGCCTGTAGAATATTAATCAGGTCGTACAATTTTAATCACAATTTAAAAAAAAAAATTAGTGTTCCATGCTGGGTTGCCAGAACAGAACTGAACAGGCTTAGGATCCAGTCTAAGTCCCCCCTCTCTGGTCCAGGATGAACAAATTATGCCTGTATATATTTGACTGTCCTGGGATTGAGGATTTACAGCTGGCCAAACAGGAATCAGCCAGCTGAGCTGGAGATCCACTGAATCCTAAGCTAGATCCCTGCGGATCTTGCCATAGAATCGCCCCTTAAGTGGGAGGTGGGATTTTGGGTTCATTTTTTATTATGCATTTTGCTTTTTTATCTCGTAATTTTCTGTTGCAAACCACCCCGAGATCTATGGACGAAAGGCGGTATACAAATTTTATGCATAATAAATAATAATAATAAAACCAAATTCCTTACTGGTGCCGTGAAGCAAATACCACCCTCTCCTGCGTTGTTGCCGACTGAGATCCCAGCAGCAGATTTTTATTTTTTTTATTTTAAATAAACAATTCAACAACATTTCAAATTTAGCAATCAGTCATTCCACCTGTGACTTCCCCTCCCTCCCTCCCTCCTTCCATGGTTCCCTCAAAAATTCAATTTATGCTGCAATGTCATAGTAACTCTAGACCTTCACCTAATCTCACTATACAAACAAAAAGTCCACCCCCGCCGCTGTTCTCACTCAAATCCTATTTGCATTATAACATTTTTACAGTGAGCTTTTCAGTATTCTGCAAACATTTTCCAACCTTCTTTAAAACCGGTCTCTTTCTGATCTCTAATTTTCCACGTCAAAACTTGCCAATTCTACATATTCTGGCTGCCATTCTTCTTTGGCAGGTACCACCTCCTTGTGCCATTTTTGTACGCATAATATTTGTGTTGCAATGGTTGTGTAAAGAAATAACTCTCTTCTCTGTGGGCCCCCCTTGTTTCTCTTTTTTATATATATATAAAAAAATTATTAGTTTTTTAACATATCATTTTCAACAGTAATTAAACATACTTTTACACCTTATTCAATTTTTTTGACTTCCATCAATCCTGTCTGAAAATTTTCCAGTCTAATCTCTTAGTATGCATTTCTTAACTTCCCTATTACATTTCAAACTCATAATCAATATCTCTCTCTTTTGCTACTTGGTAACACTTCGTATGGGACGCGGGTGGCGCTGTGGGCTAAACCACAGAGCCTAGGACTTGCTGATCAGAAGGTCGGCGGTTCGAATCCCCGCAATGACGGGGTGAGCTCCCGTTGCTCAGTCCCTGCTCCTGCCCACCTAGCAGTTCGAAAGCACGTCAAAGTGCAAGTAGATAAAGAGGTACTGCTCCAGCGGGAAGGTAAACGGCGTTTCCGTGCGCTGCTCTGGTTCGCCAGAAGCGGCTTAGTCATGCTGGCCACATGACCTGGAAGCTGTATGCCAGCTCCCTCGGCCAGTAGAGTGAGATGAGCGCCACAACCCCAGAGTCAGTCATGACTGGACCTAATGGTCAGGGGTCCCTTTACCTTTAACACTTCATATATTTCTCCTTAGAAAACTTCTTGTAGTCCTACTAGCGTAATTTGCTGATTACAGTTGCTCTTCAAATAATTCAAACCCCCCCCCTTGTTTCTCATCCTTCCCGGATCAGAACCCCTTCCACCTTCACATGGACCGGAGCAACGACTTTGAGACGCTCCTGGAGCTGCTGGCTAACATATTCCGCTCCAACAAATGGCGCGAGGTCACCTTGGTGCTGTGCCAGGCCTGGGACGTCCCTGCCTTTGTGGACCTGTGGAGCAGCTACGCCGAGCTGGAGAGGACGGCTGTGGTGGACCTGAGCTTCCACGAGGAGAAAGAGGCCGCCCGCCTCCTGCGCCGCCACTTGGAGGAGTACCGGGAACTTCCCGGCCCCGCTCTGCTCTTTGGCTGCAATGCCCACCACTCCCAGCTGGTCTTCCGGACGGCCAGGGACCTCGGGGTGCTCCAGGAGTTTCACTGGGTGCTGGGGCAGCCCCAGAACGTGGACGAGCTTCGGACGGAAGGGCTGCCCCTGGGGCTCTTAGCCTACGGGGAGGTGGGCAGGCCGTCCCTGGAGCAGTTCGTCCACGACGCAGTGGAGCTGGTGTCGAGCGCCATCTCCAGGGCCGTTTACGTCCGCCCGGACCTCGCCCTCATCCAGAACATGGTGAACTGCAACGACAAGCACACCGTCGCCTCCGAGTCCTCAGGGCGCTACCTCTCCCAGTGAGTAAGCCGGGGGTCCCAGAAATTTGTGGTGGCTAGGGGGAGGACGAAAAAGCATTTTAGAAGACCTGTGGCCAGTGCGAGTTCCCGTTCTCAGCAGACTGAGAAGGGGCACTCATCCAGAGGTGCAACAGGCAGGTGATTGAGCTTCACCTCTGCATGGATTGGGTGATGCCTGACACAGAGGCAAGCCCAAAACAAGGACCTGTCAAGAGATGTGACAGGCTAAGAATGGGGATTCTTCCAGAGATGCAACAGGCAGCCTCTCCTGTGGGCAGGTGATTCCATTTCTTCTTTGCAGGAATGGAGGTGATCTGGTCTGGCAAGCCCTGACTCATACAGAGTTGCGACGGGCAGCTGCCTGTGAAGACTGGCAGCTGTGCTGTATCCCTGCAGTGGAAGAGAATGACTGATCCAGTTATGCCCAGAATAGAGTGGGAGTCATGGAGGCTGAGTGGTAGGAGGCAGGCCCAGATCGGCAGGCTCCTTTGGGAACCTGGGTGCTCCTCATCAGAAGGGGCTTGCACTCACTGCCTGTTAACCCCTGAGACAGTTTTAAGGCTCTGCTACTACCACAAGTTAACATCCAACTATTGCATCACGGCCAAGTGGGAATGTCATGCTCCTGCTCCCCTTTCTCTCTCTTGTGGCAGGTAGTTCCACAAGTTTATATATACAACCAATGCAGCCTATTATTATTATTTAAATTTTATTAACATATAAAACACATACATATACATTTACACAATTACACAATACATGTACACAGCATACTACCTTATATTCATAACATAAAACATACCTACATTACTCTATATAATGCCTATCTATACTGTACATATCAACATACCTACACACCTGCCCCACACGGACACCCACCAAGTGACTTCCAGCCGTTCTTGTTACGCTACTTTTCCCCCCAACTAGCTTAAACACATTTCATTACTTCTTTAATCTCTTCTTCTATCTTAACTTTACTCTCCTTTCACTCTAATCATTTTCTGGATTCACTCAGTATCTGTCAGAATTTCCACCTTTTCCACATAAATTTTGATGTATTCCTTAAAGATAGCCCACTCCTTATTCACTTTTTGTACCATATCTCCTCTTATCCTCCCTGTTAGTTCGGCAGTATGGAAGTATTCCATCATTTTAGATAACCAGTCTGTTTTAGTTGGGACGCTGCTGCTTTTCCAATTTTTGGCAATCAATAACCTTGCCACCGTAGTTGCATACATAAATATTGTTCTGACCATTCTTTTTATTTCCTCTGACATGATGCCTAGGAGAAAAGATTCTGGGTTTTTTTCAAATGAAAATCTAAACATCTTTTTCAATTTGTTATAGATATTTTCCCAGAATCCCACTATCTCTTTGCACTCCCACCACATATGTAGAAAGTTTCCTGCCCCATTGTTGCATCTCCAACAGACATCACTACAGTTTTTATACATTTTTGACAGTCTGACCGGGGTCAGGTACCATCTATATTGCAATGGGAATGGCTGTGGAAAAAAGATATCAAATTTACGGCATGTTATAATTTAAGAGAGAATGTAATTTAAGAGAGAATGCAGCGTATCTTACCAGGAACCCAGCCTCCTGCTTTCCTCTCCCTCCCTCCCTCCCTCTTTCTCTCGGTTCCAGGTTTTTAGCCAACACGTCCTTCCGCGGCCAGACGGGGGAGGTCTTCGTGCACAACACGTCCCGCGTCCACACAGATCGCCACTACAAAGTCTGGAGCCTCCTGAGGGACTCTGTGGGGCAGCCCACCTGGGTGACGGTGGGGACCTGGAAAGGGGGCGAGATGGAGGTGGAGGAGCGGACGTGGCCCCAGCACCTGCAGCGCAGGAACCAGGCAGAGGGCTTTTGCCGCATGAAACTGCGCGTGGTGACCTTGGTAGAGCACCCTTTCGTCTTCACCAGGGAGGTGTGTACGAACCAGAAAGTGCCTGCATTTATTCAAAAGCCTTTTTTAAAAAAAGCAATCTTGTTTACGTCAGGGGTAAGAGGTGTGGGTTAATGTGCACAACAGCCAGTCATTGTGCAACATTCCTCACAGCCTCTTGGACCTTATACACAACGGCTGGGAAATGTACCAAAAGAAAAAAGAAAAAAGCAGTCAACATACGCATGCTCCCCAAGGCCTGCTGGTAATTGTCTACACTGACAAGGAAATGTGCAAAGTCCCCTCTCCATGGACATGTTATGTGCACATTCTCTAGGAAGGCTGGTCAATGTGCAGAATGACTGGCTGTTAATGCACATTAACCACTCACAGAGGAGGCTGTCCATCCAAGTCAGACTCAGAGGAGTTCCACTTTCTTAAACTGGTCATGCCCATTGATTTCAGCGGACCTACTCTGAGTAGAACACAACCCACGAGGACGAGGAGACAGAGCCATCATTTTAAGCCAAACTTCCTTGCTGAGCTAGGGCAGGGGTTTTCAACCCGTGTTCTGTGGCACCCTGGGGTGCAGCGGGCATCACTGTCCTCTGTCCCTCTTCCCTTCCCTTCCTCCTCTGATGCCCTCTTGCCCCTCTGCCTCCCAAAGGCTTGCACAGCTGTTTAGTGCAGCAGCCCTGGCTACAAGCTCCCCATGCGAATGGTGCCTCTGGGGCTGGCCAGGGGGTGCTGGGCGCCAGGAGCTGAGGCAGCCTTGGAGTAAGTAAGCAAGCAAGCGGACGAGGGAGCCCAGTCAGCCAGTTGGGAATGGACAGACGAGTGGGCAGCTGGGCAGCCAGGCAGGCAGGCACTGTGCTGGCCTTTCTTGTGCTTGCTGCGTGCCAGGCCTGCCTGGGAGCTGAGTGCCCAGTGCTCAGAAGAGGAGCTTTCCCGCCTTGCAGGCCTGGCAGCACCCACTGCTGCCTCCCAAGTTAATGTCAGGAGATCAGCCTACACTCGAGTAGGACCCTGGCAGAGACACATGCCCGACTGGCATGTTGCTTAGTGAGCAGGGGGAGTCAGTGGCAGAAGCTGAAGCAGGAGAGGAGGGAGGCCAGGAGGCAGAGATGGTGAAGAGTCACGGGTGTCTCCCCCTCCTCCTGCAACAAGCTCCCCTCCCTGCTTGTCTCCCAGGACCAGGAAGGGCATGAAAAGTGCAGAGGGGAGGTTGGCTGCACGCAGATGCAGTCTCCAGTTGCTTGGGGAAACCCTGGAGAGGAGAGGATTTAAATGGCTATGGGTCTTGGCAACTGATCCATGGGGCAAGACCTAGTGGGGGTGAACTGCTGTGCTCATCAGTCTGTGCAGATCGTGTTTTTGCTGGTAAAGAGTTAACTCCAACTTGCACAGTGTGATTTATTGCTGGCTGGCTCCTGACATCTAAGAGAGAAAGAGAGAGAGAAAGAGAGAAAGAGAGAAAGAGAGAAAGAGAGAGAGAGAGAGAGAGAGAGAGAGAGAGAGAGAGAGAGACATACTAATCTGTGGTTTATGCAGGTGGATGAAGAAGGCAACTGTCCTGCTGGCCAGCTGTGTCTGGACCCCCGAACCAACGACTCGGGCGTGCTGGACACCCTCTTTGACGAGCTCAACTCCGAGAACGGCTCAGTCCCTGCCGAGTACCGGAAATGCTGCTACGGCTACTGCATCGACCTCCTGGAGAAGTTGGCCGAGGACCTCCCCTTTGACTTTGACCTCTACATCGTGGGGGACGGGAAGTACGGGGCCTGGAAGAACGGCCGCTGGACAGGGCTGGTGGGGGACCTCCTGAGTGGGACGGCCCACATGGCAGTGACGTCCTTCAGCATCAACTCGGCCCGCAGCCAAGTGATCGACTTCACCAGCCCCTTCTTCTCCACCAGCCTGGGCATCCTGGTGAGGATCCGGGACACGGCGTCTCCCATTGGAGCCTTCATGTGGCCGCTGCATTGGACGATGTGGGTGGGCATCTTTGTGGCTCTCCACCTGACCGCCCTGTTCCTCACCCTCTACGAGTGGAAGAGCCCCTACGGGATGACCCCCCACGGGCGCAACCGCATGAAGATCTTCTCCTACTCCTCAGCGCTCAACCTCTGCTACGCCATCCTCTTTGGGCGAACCGTCTCCAGCAAGACCCCCAAGTGTTGGACCGGGCGCTTCCTGATGAACCTCTGGGCCATCTTCTGCCTCTTGGTCCTTTCCAGCTACACCGCCAACCTGGCTGCCGTGATGGTGGGAGAGAAGACCTTCGAGGAGCTGTCTGGGATTCACGACCCCAAGGTCAGTGCAGGGTTTGGTAACCTCTGAGTGCTGCCATTTGCTGGCCTTGCATGGCACTGCCTGCTGCACAGCGCCACCTAGTGGCTCTTGCACGACACTGCCTGCTCCGCAGCTCCACCTAGTGGCTCTTGCACGGCACTGCCTGCTGCACAGCGCCACCTAGTGGCCCTTGCACAGCACTGCCTGCTCCGCAGCTCCACCTAGTGGCCCTTGCATGGCACTGCCTGCGGCACAGCGCCACCTAGTGGCCCTTGCACGACACTGCCTGCTGCACAGCTCCACCTAGTGGCTCTTGCACGGCACTGCCTGCTCCGCAGCTCCACCTAGTGGCTCTTGCACGACACTGCCTGCTGCACAGCTCCACCTAGTGGCTCTTGCATGGCACTGCCTGCTCCGCAGCTCCACCTAGTGGCTCTTGCACGACACTGCCTGCTGCACAGCTCCACCTAGTGGCTCTTGCACGGCACTGCCTGCTGCACAGCGCTACCTAATGGCTCTTGCACGGCACTGCCTGCTGCACAGCGCCACCTAGTGGCTCTTGCACGGCACTGCCTGCTGCACAGCACCACCTAGTGGCTCTTGCACGGCACTGCCTGCTGCACAGCGCCACCTAGTGGCCCTTGCACAGCACTGCCTGCTCCGCAGCTCCACCTAGTGGCCCTTGCATGGCACTGCCTGCTGCACAGCGCCACCTAGTGGCCCTTGCACAGCTCTGCCTGCTGCACAGCCCCACCTAGTGGCCCTTGCCATTTATACAACTAATGCCGTAGTCCAGCTTTTGCTGCCAGACCACAACCTCAGAGTTGGGAGGGACCCCAAGGGTCATCTACCCCAACCCCATGCAATACAGGAATCTCAAATTAAGATTTTAAGTCTGCTTGCTTCTATTAAAAAAAAAAAACCCACCATGTGGTCCCTGTTTTGCTTTTTGGCAGCTGCACCATCCTTCACAAGGATTCCGATTTGGGACTGTCTGGGAGAGCAGTGCGGAGGAATATATCAAGAAGAGTTTCCCAGACATGCACGAATACATGCGGCGGCTGAGTGTCCCCACGACCCCTGCGGGCATCAAAATGCTCAAGTGAGTTGGGGGTGGAGTGGGTGGGAAAACTCGGTTTAGTTTGCATTTGAAGGGAGACCGACCAAATCAACACTCCCCCCCCCCCCAAGAAATATGCAAGCTGAAACAAACCCATCTTTTGAAATTGTGCTGCCAGCACAGCCAGGAGAGGTACTGTTGGAAAGGTAAGATAGATACATGAGCGTAGTCCCCTTCTGTAATCAAGTACATAAATAAAAATACTTAACTAAGAGCAGAAATTGTAGAAAGGTTTTGACAGATTTTTCTGAGCACTTGGGGTCAAAAGAAAGTAATTTGAAACAACGGTTGTGGAGACATTTCATTCCGAATCTGCTAGACAAAGCCAGATAAAGAGTAATGAGTTGGGTGTCTTTCCCCCCATGACATACGGTAAATCCTGGCTGCACCCATGGATAGATAGATAGATAGTTGGGGTGTATGGGGTAATAATGGGATAGATAGATAGTTAGGGGAGGGGTAATAATAATAATAATAATAATAATAATAATAATAAAGTGGTGATGTGGGTTAAACTACAGAGCCTAGGACTTGCCGATCAGAAGGTTGGCGGTTCGAATCCCCGCGACAGGGTGAGCTCCCGTTGCTCGGTCCCTGCTCCTGCCAACCTAGCTGTTTGAAAATACATCAAAGCGCAAGTAGATAAATAGGTACCGCTCTGGCGGGAAGGTAAACGGCGTTTCCGTGCTCTGCTCTGGTTCCCCAGAAGCGGCTTACTCATGCTGGCCACATGACCCGGAAGCTGTACACCGGCTCCCTCGGCCAATAAAGCGAGATGAGCGCCGCAACCCCAGAGTCGGTCACAACTGGACCTAATGGTCAGGGGTCCTTTACCTTTTAATAGTAATGATAATAATAATAATAATAATTGGACGAGACCAAATGTGGGTCCAGGAGTCAAGAAGGCAGGTGCCTTTGCTGTGTTCTTTTCGGCGCCTGCTAAAAACATGCCCGTTTAAAAAGGGGTTTCTGTACATGCTGTGGAGGAAGTGAGGGGCAGGTGGGGCTCATCCACCTGGGAAGGGAGCCCATCTAGGAGAAGGAAAACTCTGACCCTAAACCTCCGCTGCTTGCGGGATATCTTCAGAAGAACAGGCTTAGCAGTAAATCCTACACAAATGCAGAGTGGAGTCCCTAAGGTGGTTGAATGGTGCCTTGCACGCCTCCTTCCGGCAACTCCTGCAGCCAGTAGGTAACCAAACCAACCCCTGTGTCGCAAAGAGAACGTCAGCAATGTCCAGGCAACACGATGACCATATACATACGCAATGGACAATCTTTATAGAATTCCTTCAAACCATAACAAAATGAAATCTTTAGTCTCAAAGTCTCTGAAAATCTTTAAATGAAGCGAGGCACCAGACTGTGTATGATGAAAGACAAGCTGTGAAGCTTTGTGTATACAGCCAATATGATGTCCAACACTGAACAGTGATTCCGGATATTGACTACTGTTTCGCAGAATTCTTTGTCAGCGTGGTGGGAGGATATAGAATTGCTTCATAAACCCATCTTATTTCGAATGAATGTATGTAAATGAAAATATCAAATGCTGTGGAACAGTGCTCATGTAATAATGTAGTCACTGCTCACGTCTTCCTTGTTTTCCTTCGAACCCCATCAGCAAGGCCAAGAGGGGGTCTTGCTGCCTGGGCAGCCCAGGACCCCCAGACACATTGGCCAGGTTTGCCCCCCAGGCAGGTCACTGCAGCAGTTTTACTTCACACCTGGAGGACAGTCCATTGTCTCTCAAGACTGATGGAGGCCAACAATATATACTACTGTTCGTGCATCTGCTCTTTGCAATACCTTAGGTCTGAGCTATGCAACAATTCAGGTTTAGCAAAGGTCATGGCTTGCTGACCTGTCAAAGTTCTGCAGCAAAGGAATGGCTGCTTTGCTGAAGCAACGGGGGCCTTGATTCGGCTCAGCGCCGTTTGCCATCATTTGTTTGGTGCTTCGCTCAGTTCTCTAAGGAGCTGGAAACATAGACTTGTAAAGTTGGAAGGGACCCCAAGGGTCATCTAGTTCAACCCCCTGAAATGGAGGTCAGTTGATCTGCAACAGAACTGGGTTATATGGCTCAAGGGCAGTCCAGACTGGGCAATTCATACCTCTAATAATTTATGGTGTCTGCTTGCAAAACCTTCAGCTCTTCAGGCTTAGCTCTGTCTATCTGTTTTAATTAACTCGGGGTTTCGGGTCTCTCCTCATCAGGACCAACCCTCCGAAGCTGAACGCCTTCATCATGGACAAGTCTCTGCTCGATTACGAGGTGTCCATCGACTCCGACTGCAAGCTCCTCACCGTCGGGAAACCCTTTGCGATCGAAGGTTTGGGGGGAAACGTCAAAGGACTTTATTTCATGGCTCCCCGAGCCCTGCTCATTTAGCGAGGAATCCTAGCGGAAGGGTTTTGAGATGGAGAGAGAGAGAGGAGGGGGGGCGGGAGGGGGGCAATCGCAGTCCCAATCTCGCCGTAATGAAACTGGGTCACCTCAATCAATCTTTTAAGTGGGGCTGTTAAATATTAAAGTGCGGGAGATGAGAGATGCCTCTCCGGGGGTCAACTGTTTTCCTTTGGGGGAGGAGGCGGGAAGACGCAGCGGCACAGTTGGCTCCTTTGGAGACTGCAGACTTCACAGTCTCACCCACCCAACAAGCTGTCCTTTAGGGGAAAGGTCCCCCCCCCCCCCGCCCTGAAGGCCATGTGCTCTTCTGAGTGACCTATCAGGAATGTGGCGTTAAGTTTGGGAAAAGGTTCATAAGAACATCAGAGGAGAGCCTGCAGGATCAGACCAATGGTCTGTCTACTCCAGCATTATGGGAAGCGGAGAAGCAAGACTGTGGAGACGCGTAGAATGGTAGAGTTGGGAGGGTCCACCAAGGGTCATCTAGTCCAACCCCCTGAAATACAGGAATCACAGCTAAAGCATCCCCAACAGGTGGGCATCCAACCTCTGCTTAAAAGCCTCCAGTGAAAGGGATCCCCTCAAACTCTCCCACTCCATGGTGCTGTGAGGTGAACTGAACCTTAATAGGTTCTAGAGTAAAGGTAAAGGTAAAGGGGCCCCTGACCATTAGGTCCAGTCGTGCCCGACTCTGGGGTTGCGGCGCTCATCTCGCTTTATTGGCCGAGGGAGCTGGCGTACAGCTTCCGGGTCATGTGGCCAGCATGACTAAGCCGCTTCTGGCGAACCAGAGCAGCGCACGGAAACGCCGTTTACCTTCCCGCTGGAGCGGCACCTATTTATCTACTTGCACTTTGAGGTGCTTTCGAACTGCTAGGTTGGCAGGAGCTGGAACAGAGCAACGGGGGCTCACCCCGTCGCGGGGATTCGAACCACCGACCTTCTGATCGGCAAGTCCTAGGCTCAGTGGTTTAACCCACAGCGCCACCCGTTTCCCTAGGTTCTAGAGTAGCCCCCATTAAATCAGTGGACTGAAGCGAGTCACCACCTTTTCATTTCAATAGGTTGCCTCTGAGTGGGACTCTCTACGTCTGCGAATTTCAAGGAGTCTTCTCTGAGTAGAACTCACAATCGGGTTTTGTGTGTGTGTGTGTGTTTGGGTGAAGTGTTTGTGTCTCGCACCTCTTTGTCCCTAGCATTTGGGGGATCTACTGAGCCATTCCCTGCAACTGAAGCTCCCTGCTCTTGCATGAAAATCTGTTTCATTTTTTGTTTCTTCCTTCCTCTCCACGCTGGAATATTCTGTTTCCCCATCCCTCTGCCCCAGGAGCAGCCAGGGGTCTGCAGGGGGCGGCCTTGCAAACTTTGCTGCAAATCCTCTTTGGGTTTATGGGGTGCGGAGGTGGAGGAGGGGAGCACCCAATACCCCCTAACGCTTTCGCTCCTTCTTGACATCCCTAATTATTTCCAGGCTGCCCTCGCTGGAGCATCATCTGAAATGCTTTTTGATCTCCCTGTTTCTCATTAGCTCTTCGGCAAACTGGGGAGCCGAGCGGAATACAAATGAACCCATTATTTCTCTCTCTCTCTCGCCCCCCCACACCACACTTGATTCCCACTCCCCAATAATTGATCCAGTCTCATCTGCCAGATTTATATTTTTTGAGAGAGGAGGGGTGGTTTTTTGCCGGCGTGGTGAGGAGAAGATTCTTTATTTCATTTTATAACGTACATCAAACAGAGAGAACAGGTGAAAATTGAAAGATGAAAACGATAGAATGAGTGCAGTCACAGAGGGGTTCAAATAACAAAATCTAAGTTGAGAATGTAAGTTTTATCAGATTATCTATTTGCAAGGCTCGTGATGTGGGCTGCCGTGAAAATGATGCTTTATATGGCATAAAGGAGTGCCAAATTGCATTAAAAGCGCCAGGAGGTTCCAGTCCTTGTCAAAATATCAAATTATGCGTAATTTTCTCCCTATTCCAGAGTGGTACCAAGTGGCCAGTGTAAGATTTGAGAGGTGTTTTCCATTGAGCGGCAACGACTGTCAAGAGGAGACTGATTGTTTTGACAATATATCGCCAAAAATATTCTGTGACTTTTAATTTTGAACAGCAAACAATAGCTTCTTTAGTAATGTTTAGTGTTTCTGCCAAGATTTAACTCCAGAAATCTTTTACCAGTGTGTACATTCCACCCTAAATGAGAGTTGACTGCCAGGGGATATTCTTGACCCCAAGGTGAAGTGATTGACAGGTCAGAGAATCTCTCCCCCCCCCCAACAAAGCAAAGCTGCAATTCTCCTTCTTCCCCAACTGTAGACTGTTTATAACATTAGTGTCTCATATTGAATATGAATGATCTGTAGAAAGAGCTCTTATGAACTGAAAGCAGAGGCTCTGTATGTACTTTTGCAACCCAAGAAAAACTTTTAATAAAAACAATTTTTTAACAAAAACGAGAATGGGTTTGGAAAAAAATGTTCTTATTAAAGATTTCCTTGGGTTACCTAAGTACATACAGTGTCTCTGCTTTCAGTTCATAGAGTTCTTTCCACGGATCAGTTACATTAAGGTGCAAAGTTGCATCAGCAACAATAGGAAGGTTGAATAGATTTGTCTTGTCGGTCCATATCGACTTATTTATCCATCCGCCCACCCACTAGGATATGGTAAATAAAACTGCCAGTACCCTAACACCATTTATATCCATCTGTGGTCAGACTACATTTGTAGAATCATAGAATGGTAGAGTTGGAAGGGGACCCCCAGGGTCATCTAGTCCAACCCCCTGCAGTAAATAATAATAATAATAATAAAATTATTTATACCCCGGCCTTCCCGGTTCAGAAAAGCAGGCTCAGGGCGGCTAACAACAAATTTAAAACACTTAATTGGTGCAACAAAAAAACAGCATAAAATACAGTATAAAACGTGAATAACAATAAATTCAGAATTCAAAAATCAGTTTAGGGGGAAAATCCATCCAATAAACATTAGATGATCACCAGGGCTAGCTGGCTAAATTAGTCCTATTTGGGCCAGCAAGGAGACCAAGGGAGAATTAGCTGTGGGATCCCAGAGCGGGGAATCTTCATAAAAGGGGAGGGGGAGGGAAGGAAGGGGAATAAAAGTTCAGGCTAAGTTCGAATTGAAAGCCAGGCAGAATAGCTCTGTCTTGCAGGCCCTGTGGAAGGAGGTTAAATCCTGCAGGGCCCTGGTGTCATGGGACGGAGCATTCCACCAGGTGGGAGCCACCACTGAGAAGGCCCTGGCCCTGGGGGAGGAGAGTCTGGCTTCCTTAGGGCCTGGGACCTCTAAACTATGGTTGTTCATGGACCTTAAGGTCCTCTGCGGAGCAGACCAGGAGAGGCGGTCCCGTAAATACGAGGGCCCTAAGCCACAAAGGGCTTTAAAGGTCGAGACCAGCACCTTAAACCTGGCCCTATACTCCACCGGGAGCCAGTGCAACTGGTAAAGCACTGGGTGAATATGCTCCCATGGCAGAGACCCCGTGAGGAGCCTCGCTGCAGCATTCTGCACCCACTGGAGTTTCTGGGACAGCTTCAAGGGCAGCCCCGCGTAGAGCGAATTACAGTAGTCAAGGCTGGAGGTGACCGTCGCATGGATCACTGTGGCCAGGTCGGGGAGGGAAAGGTAAGGGACCAACTGCTTGATCCTGCCCACAACTGTTGCTGGTGGGGCTCTAACCTCCAACCTCCTGGTTAACAGCCAAATGCTTAGGTTCCTGTGTACAGTTTTGATGCATGGAGAAAGTGGCGGGGGGGGGGAGTTTTTAATGTTTGACATTTTATTAAGTTTTTATATGTGCCGGAAGCCATCCAGAGTGGCTGGGGAAACTCAGCCAGATGGGCGGGATATAAATAAAATTATTATTGTTATTATTATTGTTATTATTATTATTATTACTACTACTACTACTACTACTACTACAGTGGTACCTCGGGTTACATCCGCTTCAGGTTACAGACTCCGCTAACCCAGAAATAGTACCTTGGGTTAAGAACTTTGCTTCAGGATGAGAACAGAAATCGTGTGGCAGCAGCAGGAGGCCCCATTAGCTAAAGTGGTACCTCAGGTTAAGAACAGTTTCAGGTTAAGAACAGACCTCCAGAATGAATTAAGTTCCTCTCCTGAAACACTACAGCTTGCATGAAGCTGAAGGTTGGGATATTCAGGATGGATGAAAGAAAGGACTTTTTCACACAGTTAAACTATGGAACTCACTGCCTCAAGAAGCCACCAACTTGGCTGGCTTTAAAAGAGGACGAGACAAATTCACAGAGGATGTCTACTAGCCAGGATGGTTGGAGGTGGCACAGAAGGGGAGAATTACTCCTTTTTGCGCGGGTGGGGGGACGGGACTTGCCTTCAGGTTTCCCTTGGGGGTATCTGGTTGGCCACTGTGAGAAGAGGAGCCGGACTAGATGGGCCACTGGCCTTTTCTGGAAGCCAGGCTTTGAAAATATTTTATTTTATTTATTAACGTTCTTATGTTACATCAGTAAAGAATATCATATTACAATACAATGCTTATTATCATATAATTTTCAACATGTATACAAAATTTATATACAAAGTTTTATATACCTAAAGATAACAAAAGAAGGGGGGGGGAACAAGGACAAAAAACTATTCCAAAGTCATATCTGTACCAACACTTTGGACCTCCTGTCTATCCCGTTGTATATTCCTTTTTATAATTGAATGTGCTCTTATTACTGTGTATATTCTTTACATTTTGTCTAATATATTCCTATATCAATATGCACCCTTGGTCTTATTTCTCAACTCAGTCTCTCTCCAACGTCAATCAAATGCTAGCATAGATAGTGAACCTTTGCTGTATTTTTGAACATATCTCCCATATCTATCCCACTTTTCCATAAATTTTTGTTTTGAGTTGCCTCTCAGACTATTTGTCAACTGCGCCATTTCAGCAAATTCTTGTAGCTTGTTATGCCAATCCGTTATTGTCGGGGCTTCTTCTTCCTTCCACCCCTTTGCCACCAAAGTCTGAGCTGCGGCCATTGCATATTGAAGATATTTTAATGGAACCTCCATGTCCAGAGGCAATCTATCTGATCCTTAGGTTCTCAGGGGGACTTGGCCACGGTGAGGATGCTGGACCAGAGAGGCCACTGGCCTGATCTAGCAGTCGGGCTCTCCTTGTTTTATGTTCTAATATCTGACTGATATTAGAACCAGAAGGCACTCTGCACATGCTCGAAACCGAGATTGGTGTTCCTCCAGCAACACCCTTTATTTATTTCTTTTTTGCATCAACCCACCACAATATTTGTGTTTCTGCCACCTTCCAGGCTACGGGATCGGCCTTCCCCAGAACTCGCCCCTGACCTCCAACATCTCAGAGTTCATCAGCCGCTATAAATCATCTGGCTTCATGGACCTCCTCCACGACAAATGGTACAAGATGGTCCCCTGTGGAAAGCGGGTCTTTGCTGTCACCGAGGTACGGGGGTTGGGGGCTGGGGAAAGGGTGGGTTGCGGAGCACACAATGAAAGAACAATCAGGCGTTGTTGCAAAAGTTGGGTGCCAGCCCCCACTCCCTGCAAGACTCCAGGGGGTTCCAGGCATTCGCCCAGGGTCTGTGGTCCCTTGGGTCTCCAGCTGTTTTTGGACTACAATTCCCATCATCCCCGACCACAGGTCCTGCTAGCTAGGGATGATGGGAGTTGTAGTCCAAAAAAAGAGCTGGAGACTCAAGTTTGGGAAACCCTGGGTTAGAGTATCAGACTAGGACCTGGGTTCACAGAAGCCTTCCTACTAGGTATTTTAGGCCAAGATATACCGAAAGAAAAGAGGATTCTATTTATGTATGCCACTACAGCTGCGAGAATGCTGATTACACAAAATTGGAAGACTGGAGAAATACCAACTAAAGAACAATGGCAAGAGAAGTTGATGAACTATGCAGAACTGGCAAAAATGACAGACAGATTAAGAGAAAAAGACAACAGTGACTTTGAAAAAGAATGGGAACCATTTACATTATACCTGCAGAAACAAAGAAAGTCTATAGACTTGATGGCAGGATTTAAATAAACATTCACATTGTTAGTATTAGAAAATGTGTAGAAGATAGAGAAATAATATGGTGTACTCATTTTTATGTTTTTAGGTTTGATGTTATTGTATAACTATGTTATTAGTAACTTTTTCTTTTAGGAGGCAGCAAAGTGGGTGAAAGGAGAAACAAACCAGAAGCGGAAGTTGGGGGAAGCCTAGCAGGGGAGGGAGGAATATATAGTAAATGTTAAGAATTTGAGATGTGTGTAATGAATGAAAAAGAAAAATGAATAATTGCTAGGCCACTCCAGAATATTAATGTGCTTCTTCTTGAGCCACTCCTTTGTTGCCTTGACCTTTGTGTGTTTTGGGTCATTGTCATGTTGGAATACCCATCCTCGACCCATTTTCAATGCCCTGGCTGAGGGAAGGAGGTGCTCACCCAAGATTTGACGATACATGGTCCCGTCCATCGTCCCTTCGATACGGTGAAGGTGTCCTGTCCCCTTAGCAGAAACATCCCCCCAAAGCATAATATGTCCCCCTCCATGTTTGACGGTGGGGATGGTGTTCTTGGGGTCGTAGGTAGCATTCCTCCTCCTCCAAACATGGTGAGTGCCCACTGTATGTGTGGGCTCTGAGCCGTGCTCATTCTGTCTCTCTCTCCTTGCCCAGACCCTGCAAATGGGCATCTACCACTTTTCGGGTCTCTTTGTCCTGCTTTGCATTGGTCTCTGTGGCTCTTTGCTGACTTCCCTCGGAGAGCACATCTTCTACCGCCTCATCTTGCCTCGCATCAAACGCAAGAAGAAGTTCAACTACTGGCTTCACACCAGCCAGGTAAGAGATCGCCTCCCAAACTTGCCAAAGCCCACGCTGACCGTGCAGGACGGCGATCCACAGGTGGCGGCCTCCTCTTCTGTTCCCCTCTCTTAAGCATGGGATGGAGGGCGGTTGGTTCATCCACCCACCGCATTCCTCCCAGGTGCGTCTGCAAAGAAGAAAATTCCTGCCCGCCAGAGACCAGCCAGCTCTTTGTGTCTCAAAAGAACCGGTTCCCAAGCTTGCGTTGTTGATAGGATTTGCAGCTTAAATTCAAATAAGGGAAAGCTAATTCGCAGGGGCGGCGTTGCAAGGTGTTTCTGGTTTCAACCAGTGGGTTGGGGTAGATGACCTCCTGGGATTCCATCCAACTCTATGGTTCTGTTGCATGCTGATTGGACCACTTTCCTGCTTTCTGCTCACGTTGCAAAGCATTTAACTGTGAAAACCTGAGGATTCCCAAGGAAATCATGTTTTTGAGTATCAGTGGGAGCTGCATGCACCTCACATACTCAGAGACACTGTGGGTTTTTTTGCCAATTTAGATGTTATCTAGCCAATCTGAGGCCTCACCATTACTTTCTTAATTTGTTTTTAATATATGCCAGAAAATCCACCGGGCACTGAACATGGGTTTGGAGGAGCAGAGGAACAAAAAGCTGAATTTGGAGAAAAGGTAAATAAGGAAACATTCCTCACTCTGCCTCGCTGCTTGCTCTGAACTCTGTTGCTTTATATCGGGATAAATTTTGCAGCCGGAAAGAATTTGGCTTCCATCGTCCAGATTTAATCGGCTGCTAAGGAGGAGTTTATGCCATTGGGCTTTTCTTCCCATATACATAAAATTGTAAGGCTGTTGTCGTGCTATCGTCTTTTAAAAATGATGCAGGACTTTCTCAGGGGCACTAAGAAAGATGGAAGTGGAGTGATGGAGGAAGGGGGAGGCTGTTGTTGTAGGACAGAGATGTCCGACAGGTCCACAATCTACTGGTAGATCCCTGCAAGGTTTTGGTAGATCACGGTAGATTGTTGGCTCCCTTTCCTTAGCGGTGGTAAAATAGATTCCAGCCCCCTTGGCCCGTCCTCCATTGTAGCACAATCTGCCGAAAGGGAGTTTTTAATTCTGTGAGTAGATCGCAGTCTCTTGGGAGTTGGCCACCCCTGTTGTAGGAGAGGCAGCCACTCCACATCAGGATTTGACCAGGTGCCCAGTATAAACTAGCATATTCAATTCCATGCAAATTAGCATATGCAAATTAGTACAGACAAATGTTATGCAACACAGCGCAGGGAAACTGTTGTGCAGCTTAGCATTGGCAAATGTCATGCAAATGTCCCCCAAATTAGCAAGGGCAAATATGCAAACCAGCACAAGCAAATGTAAATTGGCATAGGCAAATCTTATGCAAATTTCCTTTGGGAGCCTGTGCACCAAGCTCTTTAACTACCCAGCAGTGCCCCCACAATTGGACATGAAGCTCACTGGGTGACCTGTGGGGCAATTACTGCTTCTCAGCTTTCCCTACCTCACAGGGTTGTTGTGCTTTTTCCGCTCTCTTTTTGTCCAAACTAAGACTTTGATCTAAATACAATAAAGAGGGGGGGAGAGAGAGAGAGAGGGAGAGAGAGAGAAAGAGAGAGAGAGAGAGAGAGAGAGAGAAAGAAAGAAAGAGAGAGAGAGAAAAGAGGTTAAAAGAGAGAGAAATAAAATTCAGAAAGGAAAGGACTTCCAATGCTTCATCTATCCACTACAAATATAGACAATATTCACTTTGTCCAACATAACACCCAACAAAGCTACTTTCTATAAGCAAACATGATCTTCAATCCTTGAATCCTAATGTCATTATTTCTTTTTCTTTTTCACGCAAAAAATCTTTGAGAGGTTTCCGATCTTTTAACAAATGTTAACAAATGAGTTTTCTCTGATTAAACATGTCCATTTGCCATCTCAGCTCAGTCCATAAGTTTTAATAGCCATTCTTCCATCGTTGGTCATGATTTGTCCTTCCACCACATTAGCGCATGTAAAAGTCTCACGGCCATGAACATACAGTGGTACCTCGGGTTACAGATGCTTCACGTTACAGACTCTGCTAACCCTGAAATAGTACCTCGGGTTAAGAACTTTGCTTCAGGATGAGAACAGAAATCGTGCTCCAGCGGCGCAGCGGCAGCGGAAGGCCCCATTAGCTAAAGTGGTAGCTCAGGTTAAGTACAGTTTCAGGTTAAGAACAGACCTCTGGAACAAATTAAGTTCTTAACCTGAGGTACCACTGTATCTGACTTTTAGAAGACATCTGTATTGGGAAGTTTTTCAATGTTTGACATTTTATTTTGTTTTTATATATGCCAGGGTATAAATAATAAAATTCTAATAATAATAATAATAATAATAATAATAATAATAATTTATTTATACCCCGCCCATCTGGCTGGGTTTCTCCAGCCACTCTGGGCAGCTTTCAATATAATATTAAAATACAATAATCTATTAAAAATTATTATTCCAGCTCTACAGTTCGATGCTTCTATTATATGTTCCCACTGTGCCATCCGTATACAGGGTTGTTTTGTTGAGGACAATCTGCCTTGAGCTCCTGGGAGGAAAAAGTGGGGCATGAATGAATAAAGAAAGCCAATTCTCCCTCTTTTCTCCTCTCTGCCTTCCCCCAAAGGTGCAACATCCAAAAGAGCCAAGAGGAACCAGAAGTCCCATCACCACCGCCACCGCCTTCCAACCAGCCAGGTTGGAACAACCTCCGCCGGGCAGCCGTGAAGAAGGAGGACAAGCGCGTCCACTTCAACATCGAGAACGCCCCGGACGAGGCTTCAGATGAGGAGCGAGAGGCCCCCGTCTGGCACTGCATGAACGGCCAGGATCCGCAGCAGGGCAGCAAGGAGGACAAAGAGAAGGAGCTGAAGGAGCTGGAGAGCAAGATCGAGGACATGCGCGAGCAGCTGCGGGCTGCCCTGGTGCGCAAGAGCGAGCTGATGGTGGCGCTGGGGCCACCACCCAAGGCCCCCCGCCTGCCCCCCGCCCTCAAGGCCTTGATCAAGGAGAGCAACGAGGACAGGTGATGCCCAGGGGCGGGGGCCGCCTCTCGCCGGCTGGCAGTGCGGGGCGGCTCCAGCCAGTTGTGGAGATGGACAGCAACGAGCGCTCGGGCTCTGGAACACTTTCGGAAAGGCTGCACGAGGACTTCTGCGCTTGAGCGCTGCTGGGATACAGCTTGGGGTGGCCAGCCGTGGGTGCAAGGAAAAGGTTTGCTCTTGACTCTGCTACGTTTCCCGGAGCTGTTTTGCAAGAGGGGGCTGCGGCAGGTGGCGTGCTGAGCCTGCACTTTGCATGCAGACGTTTCCAGGATCAACTCGCGGCAATGCCAGTTTTTGTTTTTTTGAAGATCTCAAGTAGCAAGCGAGTCCCAGGAGAGAGCCGTTATATATATATAAGGCTGCTTTGTTCGTACGTTCAGACCCCGACACACCAGATCTCAACACTGCAAGCTAGTTCTCGGTAGGTTCGCCAAGCAGCCACTGGGCACATAGGAGCAGGCCTGCAAGCAATCAGTTGGCGCACTCTCCGGCCACCAGGTGCCATCCCTCGCAGGATCCAGTGAAACGTATATTGGAATGGCAGAACAATCAGCGAAGGGGAAATGCAGTCGGTCAGGGACAAAACACAGAGTTTTGAAAGGAAGGCAGTCTGAGGTTCAGTCCTTTGCAGTGACACCAGGTCTTGGGAGGGCCGTTGTCTTTGAGCCCCTCCACGTAGGACTCCAACTCCCAGCATTCCCAGGGCCAGTGGTCAAGGAGGAGGATGGGAGTTGGAGTCCTGCAACACCAGGAAAGCCGTGGGTGTCCTCAGCAGTGTCAAACGAGAGATGGGCAAATGTCTCTGTTCAGAAGAGGCATTCTTTCCTGGGAGCAGGGAAGGCCTCTTCAGAGGTCAGGGCTGCAGACCAAGAGGCGGGAGTGATGGGCACCAATCTGGATGGTTCGAAACAGGACCAGACAAATTTGCAGAGGAGGAGAGGGCGATTGAGGGCTACTAGTGAGGCTGGGCAGTATCTGGTTTCCAACATTGTGATAGATATCACCAACTAAACATTGCAATACATAGATATGTCACGATGTCTGAAATAAGGATGGAGCGATGTAGAGGCATTGGCTGGTCCCACATTGTGATTTTTGCATAGCACACAAACACATCATGATATCACGAGATGGACTTCAAACTGGTTTTGGATGATATATTGATATATCACCCAGCCATAGCTACGAGCCAGGACAGCTGTGCTCTCTGCGTCCACGGTCAGAGCAGCCATGCTTCTGAATCCCAGTTGCTGGAGACCTTGGGGCGGTGTGTGTCGGGAGGAGAGATGCTGCTGTGCTCAGGTCCCGCTTTCATTTTGGGGGCATTTGGTGGGGACAGGGGGCTAGACTAGATGCCTCTCTTTGTCCTCAACCAGCTGAAAAACTCATCTCGAGTTCTTTTGAGCTGGGAGTTCAGCAATTTCTTGGAGGGCCACAAGACTCCCCCACGATGCCTGGGGTGGACGCCCCATGCTCTGACTCTGTTAATGGCAGATTAAGATGTTCACATTTCGGAGGCTTTCGGTCTATTTCTGATAGGGCCTTTCCTTCGCCTTTCCGCAGGCGGTTTTATTTTAATGCATTTATTCCTTACGGTGACCTGTTGGGTTTCCTGAACAGCTCAGAGGCCTTTGGCCTAATCAGGCTGCAACCTGGCAATTATTATTATTAATAATAATTAATAGATTGCATTGTTTGGGCTCAGATTGCTAGCATTTCTCACCTCCTGTTCGAATGCAGGTGTTGGGCTAGTCTGCCAAAGAGGTTCTTAAGCAATGATTGACAAGATCGAGAGCCAGTGGGAGCAACACGGACTCTTCATGCACCCTCCCCTAGCCCCTCCCTTGAGTGGCCCTTAATGGCTGCCATGGGCCCAATCCGCACTATAGAGATAAAGCAGTGCCATGCTGCTTTAAATGCTCTTGGCTTTTTCTCCCAAAGCATCCTAGTTTGCTTGGGGCACTGAGAATCAACAGCGATTCCTGGAGTGGTTTAACAACCAATTAACCACTTTGAGAATTGCAAATTCTCTGGGAGGGAGAATAGGGGGCACCCTAACGATTCTCCTCACCCTGGACAAACTCCACTTCCCAGGACTCCATGGGGGAAACTGAGGCTGTTTGAAGTGGCATCATAACAGCAGAAATGCATAGCGGACTAGGAATGCCAGAATGGAATCATGTGATTTGGGCCTTACAGATCCTTGCCAGTGTGCTGTAGGCTACTAGCCACAGTCTTCTGCTGGGATACCATCCCATTCTCAATTTTACGATGAACCATCCAAGATCTGTTGAGCAGCTCAGGTTTGGCGAAGGTCAACTGAAGCCAGCAGCTCAGGTTTCGCAAAGTTTAGCCTAAGTAACTTGAATAACTGGAGGACAGGGTAAGGGGCTTGTGCAGAGTTTAGTGGGCTTTTTGTTCAGGCAGCACCAGTTTAGCAAAACTGAGTGTGGTGTTCTGCTTTGATCAAGCAGCTCATGTTTAGCAATGCTTAGCTTATAGCAAAGATTAACTAACTTGCCAAGGAGCAGTGGGACTTTTTTGCAGATCTGCGATTTGACTGAGCCGCGGAATAAGTGGAAAGCTTCTTCCAAAATTAGGTTGCAGAGGACATATTGCAAATGACATCATTGCTCGGGCAAAGATCAGTTCCCGGAAAAGTCTTGCTTTCATTAATCAACAGTATAATTAAGCTCAGATGTGATGCTGGTTTTTGCCAATGCTTCCAGTTAGGACAAGGGAGGGGGGCATAGATATTGGGGATCCTCAGGTTGCTGGTATAATTTATTATCCCCCTCCTCCTTTCTGCTTATCCTCACAGCACGTAGGTGCAGCGAATGAACCTGCTGTGCCCATTTTGCAGCAGGGAAAAACTGAGGCTGAGAGGCAACAAGCCAGTTCACAGTTCATTCAACGCTGGCGCCCTCCAAGAAGACCCACAACGAAAGAGTGAAAAAATTCACCCATGCAATCATCACTTGAAAACACATATTGAAAGAGCCGGATCGGTGTCTGTGAATTGGATTGTTGAAGGGAACATCAAAATTCTGCAAAATAGAATAGTATAGTTATATAGAACAACTTTGTAACATGAAAAGGAACACATTAAAACTGGTATTACTTTTAAATGCTCATTTGTTAGAAAGAGAATTCAACCTGCCTGTTCTTTTGCTCTGGTTGTACAGAGCATTTTAAATTGATTCTCTGTGTATGTGCATGTATCTTCCTATATATATAATATTGTAAGGCTGTCATCACGCAGATCTGGGCTTGCACTACAAATCCTCCACTGTGGGCTGGGTGATGCGGACCCTACATTTTTATGCATATAAGAAGATATATACATGGAATAGTGGCTTCATAATAGATCACTGCAGGAGGTGTGTGCTCAAAACCAACTCATGCAGGTTGATTTCCCCCCCCAAAAAAATTAGTATTTCAGGTTCTTCCCATTCTAATTTGTTCATATGCAGAAACATAGTTGTTGTATTGACACATCCACACCATATATGTGAACACACGGCTCCCCCTGCCCCAATAGTCCTGGGAACTGTAGTTCACCCCTCAAAGGGTTACAGCAGAGGTCCCCAAACTAAGGCTCGTGGGCCGGATAAGGCCTGAAGGACTCGTTTATCCAGCCCGCGGTGACCCCCGCTGCCGCCGCTCGCTCTTACCGGTGCTGTGCTGCGCGGCTACCCACTTCCGGGTCAGAGGAGCACTGGAAATAGCTTGAGCACATGCACAAGCATTATTTGCGCATGCGCAAGCGTTATTTCTAGTGCACATCCGGGTCAGAGGAGGCCCATGCACATGCGCACAAGCTATTTCCGGTGCTCCTCCGACCCAGAAGTGCGCCGGAAATAGCGTGTGCACACGCATATGGGCACGTGCTCCCCTGCCCTCTGGTCCACTGCGCAATCGGCGCTGGAGACACCGGCCCGAGGCGTGGTAAGTTTGCTGACCCCTGGGTTACAGCATGGGTAGGCAAACTAAGGCCCGGGGGCCAGATCTGGCCCAATCGCCTTCTCAATCCGGCCCGCGGACGGTCCGGGAATCAGCGTGTTTTCACATGAGTAGAATGTGTCCTGTTATTTAAAATGCATCTCTGGGTTATTTGTGGGGCATAGGAATTCGTTCACCCCCCCCCCCCAATATAGTCCAAAAGGTCTGAGGGACAGTGGACTGGCCCCCTGCTGAAAAAGTTTGCTGACCCCTGGGTTACAGTGTCCAGCACCATTAACGAACTACAGTTTCCAGGCATCCACATGGAAAGGCAGCGGCTTCAAATGTTTGGTATAGATGTGCTCTATATACTAGCCTGTTTTGTGGAGGTTTGATGTTCAGACCCCATTTTCCTTGCAGATGTAATACTTCAGTCCTCTAACGATGCAATTCATAAGCAGTCACCCCAAAAGCTCACCTAGCTACTGGCTAGGCAAAGGCTTGAAAAAGGAACACAAGCTAAACCCGCAAACAAGGTAAAAATTCAGGGTGGGGGGGAATCCCTCTCAGCTGGAAGAATTTATTACAAAAATAACAGCACCTTGCTCGAAAACCCCAGCTGTCAAATATTCATTAAAAATAATAATCTCAGTACACCCACATTTCAGAGCTCATTATACCTTCTGCTTCAGGGGAAAGAAAATGTAGCAGGTTCTATTTTTTTATTTATTAAAAAGAGACCTCTTTGTTTTTTTATTCAGCCTAGCCAGAAGCTGTTCTGATTATGCTCAGGATGTAATATTATTTTCATTCATGAATTGCCTTTCACATAAGATATACGAAATGCAGGACAGGGGATGAGATTATAAGGGGGCAGGGAGGTAAGAAAGACTTGGAAAATAACCCAAAATGCAATCTGCATTCCAAGTAAGATGCTCTGTTTGAAATAATTTGATGTATTTTTGAGAAGCCACCAATGGCATCACTCTTGAATTCATCCGTTGCAACTGACGCGGCACCAAGCTCAGTTTTGGACTCCAAATCCCATCAGCTGCAGTGTTATACAGCTGCACTGGCTGATGGGAGCTGTAGTCTAAACTTCTATAGGGTGCTTGGTTGGCGAAGGCTGGCATTTAGCCTTTGGGCACCCAGAGGGGGTCCTGCTCCTAATGATGGGCAGACGGATGATACAGGTAGCCTGCCAGGTGTTGCTTGACTACAATTCCCATCATCCTCAGCGATGCTTGCTGGTGCTGTTGGGAGTTCAGCAACACCCAGTGTGGCGTAGGTCCCCTCTCCTTGGAGATCAGGGATGGGGAACGTTTGGCTGACATTGGACTCCAGTGCCCATTAGAGCCTGTCAACATGGCCTAGGAACAGAGGAGATGGGAGTTGTAGTCCAACAGAACACCTCCGGTTCAGTCGCTGGCATCTCCCTTTAAAAAAGCAACTATAGGGCACGGCAACAAGCATTTTCAGCTTCATATGATGCCAGAATTGCATTGGATCATCTCATTTCCTAGAATCGCAGAGTTGGGACACCCAAGGGTCCTCTAGTCCAACCCACTGCAATGCAGGAATAAAATAGCAAAACTACCACAGATCCGAATTAATGCAAGCCGAAAGGCTCCCTGTTAGGCACACATGCAGCTACTTGACCAAATATTTGGATGTTGACAGATAATATATATAAAACAAATTTAGAGGGGGTTGAATGTATGAGAGAACTTTGGAATCGTGGTTAAGCCTCGGATTTTGGTCTCGTTTCAAAAGACTAGCTCCATTGCTTATTACAATACTCAGCAGACTTTAAGGACTCCCAAAAACAGCTTTCTGTCATCTTCTTAAAAAAAGATTAGGATGCGTTTCTTGGAAGAGTTGTAGCTGAGTTGCACAGCACCCGCTTCGCAGTCAAGACGGTCCCGGGTTCAAATCCTGAATTTCCACGTAGAGCTGGCCGTGTTCCCTGCCAGTGAGTGTAGAGCTGTAAGCTAGCTGGACCAACTGCAAGGTAACTTTACTCCTCAGAATAATGAGGACTAGGAACTTCTATTTTGAAGGTGGGAGAGCATCTCCTTTGCATGCAGAAGATTGCAGGTTCGATGCCCAACAGAATCTGCAGGTAGTGGCTCTGTCTCAAAACCTCTGAGCTAGACGGACAAATGCGCTAACTTCTGTCATTTGTTTACTTCTGTCTAGCTGTGTTCCGGAAACTCACAAAAACTGCCTAGAATTCTTGACATCCAGAATATAAGAGGGTGGTGTTTCTGCATAGATTTTATGTTGGGGCGAAATAACCTCAAGAAGTTGCCACAGATTTCAGGCTGCAGTGTGGCAGGTCATGCTCAATTTAGGCTGATAACCACCGGGTGAAACTCTTCACAGAGGATGCCAAGATCAGTTTGGACCACTCCTTGAGGTTTGGTCATTGGAGTGGAGAAAATAAACCACACAGCATTTCAAAGAAATAAGGGTTGCGGCCAGTGTTAGACTTGCTCAAAGCGAACTTACGGAAATCAATGCATGTGACTAATCTAGGTCCGTTCTGCTCTGAGAAAGCCTTCGCTGGAGACAACCCTAAGAGGTCAGGCTGAGACTGCGGACAGGAGCTGCTGGGCCGTGTAGGAAAATGAGATATGAAAGCTAGGAGCTAAATGGCACCTTAAATCTAGGTTATGGGTGCAACAACGGAATGTCTAGGCACTTTTTAATTAACAAGAATACAAAGCTGAAAATTAATTAACTGCAGCTAAAATCTTGTTTTTTCCCCACATGCTCTAGACCTTCCCCTGACCACCCCACTAATATTCTTAAGAGGATCTCCTCCAGTCTTCAGAGGGTAGCTGGAAGTGGGGAGGCAGAAAAAGGTCCTCCTTTCCTTCCACTGCAGTTTTAATCTGAAATATTAGGCTCAGTACTGCACTGCTCTCAGAAACTGCTCGTGCTAATGAAATTCTGTCGCAAAACACGCCTAAACAATGGGAGTTTTGAACACTGCTGCTGGGGATGGCTGATGCGACGAGCATCACGTTTAATTCTGGGATTTTGAGGGGTGCAGAGCAAGTATTTGTGGTGCTGAGCGGGAGACAACTGATTGATTTTGGGACGATTGCGTGTAAAATGGAGATTTGGTTTTTCAGCACTCCATGAACTGGGTGTTTCTCCGGAACAGAAGCTGCCTTGCAGACATGACTGGATCTTGCACGGCTTGGGGGGCGGGCGAAGTTCTCCCTCTCTGCCCCGGCCCCATATCGTACTCTGTTCCATCCCAAAGTTAAGGGAAAAAAGGAGCACGGAAGCAATGCTGTTAGATATAGTATTTATTATATATATAATATATATAATATATACATACTTTTTTGTACATTAAATAGAATGAACTCTACTCTTCATTCCTGGTATAGTTAGGTGTGATTCTTCTCTCTTTCTCAACCCCTCAATCCTTTCTGCCTGACGATTACAACGTAAAAACCCTAATGTCCGAGTACAAGAATACAAGCACTCCATTGCCAAGCAGAGATGGGTGGGCAGGCAGCGAATGATCCCACCAACATATTGCACATGAATGGGGGTCGGGGGGGGGGAAATACCACCACTATGCTTGTTGTCGGCCAACCCACCCTCCACCCCAAAACTAAAACTACTTACACGTCACCCATCTAAGTGATTCTCCCTTCCCTGGCTTTAGGGTAGTGCACAGCAGCCCAAGGTGATTTTGACTGCAAAATCAGAGCATCTCACAGACGCTCCTGGGCTCCAGTCTCGAAAAAGGCTGCTGCTTGCTTAAGGGTGTACCTGCCTACTGCACTTTGCACCTCATGGCAGAACTAAAAAAAATAAGAATTAAGATGCCCAAGGTCCTTGGCTCCTGCCTGCTCCCAGGGACCATGTGGCAGGACAGTGAGGTCATAGGGGCAGGGTTTCCTTAGGTCCAGCCGTGCTACCCCCTGAACCTTCCAGCCTCGGAATTCCCCTTGCTATTGCTAGATCACCTGAGTACAAAGGCACTCAAAAGTTTGGAGCCAGCTGCGTTTGATGCTTCCTATTCCCAGCTAGCGCGCACACACGTACACCCCACAATTTAAGGGGTACAGCTCTGCTCCAGAAAGGGATGGGCAAAGACTCCTGGGAAGCGGGTCCTTTTTGGGGAGGGGTGCCCCTGCCCCCCACCCCACTTTATGTTTCCAGGAACTTAGGTGGCATTTTTTGACGCACGCACGTGCACACTCTTCAAAACACATCCTGCTTACGAGATAAGGCACTGGGCTGGGAAACTTTTTAGGGTGGGGGAGTGGAGAATAATCCTAAATTGCCACGCTGCGCAAAACAAGAACTGAGTTCACCTGTCAACAGCTGTGCAAGGGCATAAGAGAGAGGGAGCTGCAAGGGTTCTCACCAAATGACAGCTTAAAAAAACACACCACCCAATTTTTAAAGCACCCAAAAAGCCCCCTCATTTAAGAAAGAGGGTTGACAGCCACCTGGTCCTCTCTCATCAAGGCCATGTCAGACTGAAAATCAGGAGCTGCTCCCTCTCACAGTCACTAAGGATGCACCGTTAAGATGCAACTTGCTAGAACCTTGGATCTCTGGGAACAAAATAACTGCTGGGCTTTCCTATGTAGAGGTTAAAAACAGGGAGGTGGGGGGACAACGACACACAGTCCAGCGACCAGGCAAACCACTGCAAAGGGGGGGTGGCTTTCTGAGGACCCCCTTCCCCAGTGGCCAAAAAGGGCTTCCTTGACGAGAGAGAGATAGAATCCACCTCCAGATCTTCTCCTTGACGTTAATTTTTAAAAGCGCCCTTCTAACAAGAAAGATCTATTACTGTTTTACTCTGAAAGAGGCTGCGTATATGCGTCTATAAACGCGGCTTCTTTCAGAGTAAAATGCAGTCTGTCCCCCATGCTAAAAAGGAAAAAAGGAAAGGAAAAAGCCAGGCAGACGTTTCTATGACTCCAGCGCTTCTGGGATGACAGATCTTCGAGAGCAGTGGCTGCCAGGAACCCCAGATTTAAAGGGGGTTCGTCTCAGGGCCCCCTTCCACACAAGGGTCTCAAGTCCTTCTCCAGCAGCCACCCGTTTTCGCCCCTCCCCTGACGCAGAGTTCGCCATGATACCCGTTTCGTTCGCCTCCCCAGCGCCCCCTCCTGACAAAAGCAGAGAAGCACACACAGAAAAACAGCAGTAATTCCAGGGCAAAATTAAGTCCACATCTCCGGCAGACACCAAAGGCGGAGGGGCGAGGAGTCCCATGATTTGAGAAAAGCTTGGTGGGGTGGGGGGCAGAGAGACTGGCGGGGGGCTGTGGCTCCGTACGCCCAACAGGAAGGAAGCAGAGGACTCTCTTCAGATGCAGGGGGTGAACTGGCTATGGGTGTGAGCCCCTCGTTTTTTTATTCACATTTTTCCCTTCCTTTCCTGGGTTTGGCGGAAGAAGGGGTGGGAGAGAGAGAGAAAGGGGGGGCAGGTTCTCTCCCTCCCCCTCTGGCCTTTCAAGCTCTGCACCTCTTCAACGGAGGAATTGCAGGTGAGCCCAGGGACAATGGACGGTCGAACTGAGAAGCATCCCGTCCGCCAGGAAGCTCAGGAGAGGCAGTGGGAATCTGGGCCCGCATCAGCCGCACTGTCCAAAGGCGCCGGCGCCGAGGAGTCCGCCTGCGCGAGTCCCTCCTCGGAGGCCTCGCCCGGGGCCCCGCTTGCAGCAGAGCCGAGTGGACAGCAGCCTGCGAGGCAGTCTGTGTCCGGAGGTTTGCCGCGGCCAGCTGAGCTCTCTGGAGGCTGTGGGATGTCCTCATGGGCTGGACTGAGGGGGGTGGTGGCGGCAGCAGCAGAGGCCGATCCGCCTGGTGAGGGAACCCCAGCGGTGGACGTGACCTCGATGGCAATGGACCCTACAGGAGCCTCTGCGAGGTCGCTGCTGACCAGGAGGCGGGTCATGACGCTCGAGGCCGACGCCACGTCCTGAAGGTCCCCGCTGGGCCCGGCGGCTTCTGGCGTGACGCTGGGGTCCAGGAGGGAGCCGCTCAGGTTGGACATGAAGGAGGCCTCCGCGATGACGGCTGTCTCCGCCACCCAGTTGAAGTTGTCGCCCAGGGAGGCCACCGTGGCGGCTACGACGGCTGCTGTGTGGGCATCCTCGGGTGCCAGGGGGCCGTCCCCAGCGGGGCCCCTGTCCAGGTGGGGCCGCGGGCCGGCCGGGTCGGCGGGGGCAACCGTGTTGTTGTTGTTGAGGTTGTCCTGCAGGGTGGTCTGGGCTCCACCCTGCTGGTTCTGGAGCAACATCTCCTGGATCCGGATTTGCTGCAGGATGGCCGGCAGCTCGTAGTGGTGGAAAAAGTAGATCATGGAATGCTGTGGGAAAGGCAAGGGGCAGAGGGGGTGAGCTGGGGGCAAAGGCGGCTGACATCCACACTGGCCAAGCCTTCTGAATCGTGGCCCATTCCGCTGCCTGCTTCCCCCTCCCAGCCCCTTGGGCAAAACTGGGTGTTTTTAAAAGAAAGCTTACACACCAAAATAACCTGGGCCCACCACTGAAGAATGCAGAATTCTGTGCCCCTTTTTTGAACTTTTTTATTGATGTTTTCACAACACAGTAAAAGGAACTAACTGAACTACATCTGAAGGTAGCATGTTCATCATGATTGATGTTGCATTGTGTTTTAAATATTTTGTTGGAAGCCAACCAAAGTGGCTGGTGCAACCGAGTCAAATGAACAGCACATGAATAATAAAATTATGATGATGATGAAGAAACATTTTTATGTCTAGGCTCCAAATGGCTCCTTAAACTAAGGTTACGGTTGCCGAAAAGGGAACGCCTAGTTGCCATTTTGGGGCCAGATAGCTTGAAACTTGTATTTTTTCAACACAACTTTTTGGCTCCTGAAATTTGTTTTTTTCTGATCATGCGGATAAAATACAACGGACAGAATTCCGCAGTATGTGAAAACAGTCAATATCCAAGGATCTCCAGGCAAACACCTCCAGATGGTGGAGATGTCAGGAGCCATCTCGGCATCTTCACTCGGTTGCAAGTGGCCAATAGCCAGGTGCAAAATCCGCCTGGGAAATTTTGAATGCTGGTTCCAGGCTAAATGCGCCCAGCTCCCTCTACTGTTCCACAAAGTCCGGCTGAGTTCAACATCATCCTGCTTCCTTGCTATGGTTAGTTCTACATCCTGAATGGGTTTTCCTGCACTCCAGACAAACATGGTGAAATTGCCAACGTACCTGTATGAAAAGCCACGATGTGACCAGGGCCAAGCTGCTGTATTGCCCATTGAAGCGGTAATGGTAGGCATAAAAGGCAAAATGGTACAAGTAGAAAAACCTGGAGAGGAACAGAGACATGGGGGAAAGGGGGTTAAAGCACATATATCAATACTGGATTGCGGCAGCACACGCTCCGTAGGGCTTCAATCACACTTGATCTGAAGCTGCAGTTAGGGCAGAATGATGGGTACTGACCTCTTGGATCAGCTGTACTAGCCCTGTTACAGACTCCACATAAAGACCGTTTCCACATTTATAAGAACTCGACCTTTTATCATGGCAGCACCTGTGGAACTCCCTGTCTACTGATGCCAGGCAGGTGCCTTCGCTGTGCTCTTTTCCGCGCCTGCTAAAAACATGCCTGTTTAGAAAGGGATTTCTGAACATGCTGTGGAGGGAAGTGGGGGGGGTCTGTGGAATCTGCCTGGGAAGGGAGCCCATCTGGGAGAAGGAAAACTCTGATCCTAAACCTCTGCTGCCTTGAGGAATATATTTGGGAGAAGAAAAGGCTCAGGAATAAACCCTACACAATCCAGAGCGGAGTCCCTAAAGCGGTTGGATGGCACCTTGTCCGCCTCCTTCCAGCAACTCCTGCAGTCAAGCTGGTGCCAAAGATCTTGCTCTGCTTTCCTTTGGACACCAGCAAGGCTGAAAGGCAGGTCTTGCCATCTGGGCAGCCCAGGATCTCCAGACACACAGCCCAGGCCTGCACCCCAGGGAGGTCACATCGTTGCTGCTCACACAGCAGTTTGGCTTCACCCCCAGAGGTGCACTCCGTTGTCTCTCGAGACAGACAGATGCCAACAACCCAGAAAGTTGATGTGTGTCTTAATCTGTTTCTAGTCTATTGCTATATTAACTTTCTGAAGGTTTTAAGTTATTGTTGCTAGCTCTTTTCTTACAATTTAACAGTGTAAGTACAGTGAAATAAACTCTCTCTCTCTCTCAAATCCACCTCTCCCCTGCCACACAACTGAAAGATGGGAACGGAAACATTGTGGAAGAAGGTTGGGAAGTCAACCAAATAAAGGACCATTGGAAACAGACAGGGCTGAGTTCAGTGGTCAGATCTGGCACAGAAGAGAGCCAATGTGGTGCAGCAGTTACTGAGCTGTGAGTGGTGTTAGAAACTCAGAAATAAAAGCTAGGCTCCAAATGGCTCCTTAAACCAGGGTTACAGCTGCCAAAACAGAATGCCTAGTTGCCATTTTGCTGCCAGGAAGCAGGAAATCGTATTTTTCAGTATGACTTTTTGGTTCCTGAAATTCATTCTGATTTTGCAGATAAAATAAAATGGGTAGAATTCTACAGGATGTGTTGCTAGTGTGTGAAAACAGACCAGATCCAGGGATCCCCAGGCAGGCACCTCCAGGTGGTGGGGACATCAAGCGCCATCCTGGCACTCAGGCATCTTCCCTTGGTCGCAAGTGGACAACAGGCAGGTGCAAAATGTGCCTGGTTCCTGGCTAATTTCGAACGCTGACCGGGAGACCATGTTTCAAGTCCCACACTTGGCAATGAAGCTCACTGTGTGTGACCCTGGGGCCTGTCCCTTGCCTCTCATAGAACCAAAGAATTGCAGAGCCGCAATGAACGCCAGGGTCACTTAGCCCAACCCCACCGCAATGCAGGAACCACAACCTATCTCGCAGAGCCATTGCATGAATAAAGAAGGGGTGGAAGGAGGACGTCACAGGCCACCTCAAGCGGGCTGGGAGAAAAGGAGGCCTATGAACACCAGGAACTGGAAGCTCCGTGTGCCCTTACCTGAGCCAATGCCTCTTGCTGGTGTTGGTGTGGCAGCAGATGGCGTCGTACTGGTCTGCCAGCCACACGATGAGGATGATGTAGAAGGCTGTGGTGGTGTCGTTGAAGAACTCGGACATGATCGCCTCCATGCCTGCCACAGGATGAAGGAGAGGAGGGGAGAGAGAAGGCCAGCAAGTCATCAGGGAGCTCAGCATCCCAAGAGTGATGCAAGACGAGTCTGCTGGATCAGGCCAAGGGCCTCCTAGTCCAGCATCCTCTCCTCACAGTGACCAATCAGATGCCCCAGATGAGAATTATTATCCTTATTATGTATATGCTGCCCACCTGACTGGGTTGCCCCATCCACTCTGAGTGGCTCCCAACAAAATACTAAAAACACAGTAAAACAACAACCATGAAAAACTTCCCCATACAGGGTTGCCTTCAGATGTCTTTGGAAAGTTGTACAGTTCTTTATCTCCATGGCATCTGATGGGAGGGTGCTCCACAGGGTGGGCGTCACCACCAAGAAGGCCCTCTGCCTGGTTCCCTGTAGCCTTACTTCTCGCAAGGAGGGAATGAGGGAACTGCCAGAAGGCCCTTGGAGCTGGACCTCAGTGTCTGGGCTGAATGATGGGGAGGTGCTCCTTTGGGTCTACAGGGCTGAGGCCGTTTACGCCTTTCAAGGTCAGCAGCAACACTTTGAATTGTGCTCGGAAACATACTGGGTGCCTATGCAGGTCTTTGGGTCCCAGCAGCCACATTCTGGATTAGTTGTAGTTTCTGAGTCACCTTTAAAGGTAGCCCCACAGAGAGAACATTGCAGTAGTCAAAGTGGGAGATAACCAGAGCATGGACCACTCTGGTCAGACAGGGTGCAGGCAGGGAGGGTCTCAGACGGAGCTGGTAGACAGCCGCCCTGGACGCAGAATTGATCTGCACCTCTATGGACAGCTGTGAGTTAAAAATGACCCCCAGGCTGAGCACCTGGTCCTTCAGGGGCACAGTTACCCCACGAAGGACCAGGGAGTCCCCCACCCCCACCCACCCCTGAGGGCCTGAGCACAGCGCAACAGCAGCAACTCTCCCCGCTTGTGATTCCCAGGAACTGGTCTCAGGACCTAAGGTTCAGATCCCCACTCAGCCACTGAAGCTCACTGGGTGACCAGGGGCCAGTAGCCTCTGACTCTTTTCCAGCCTAGCCTCCCTCACAGGGCTGCTGGGGGGATAAAACGGGGAGGGGAAAGAATCGTGCCCATCACCTTGAGCTCCTTGGGAGGAAAAGGTGGTGCGCAAGATGTAAGAGACAGAATTAATGGGCCTGGTATATCAAAGGCAGTTCCTGACATTCCTGCGAGGCGGTCTCCTTACCCACGAGAGCCAAGATGACGGTCAGCAGCGGGGCTGCCGGGAAGGCAATGGTCATGTTCATCTCCAGCATTTGCAGAAGGTCCACTGTGAGAGGGAGGAGGAAAACATTCAAGAGGAGAGGAGGCAGTTGTAGCCCCAGGTGGGAGAAGAGGAACCCCTCAACACAGATGACCCCAGGGTTGATCTCCAATTAGAAGGAATGCAAAAAGCAGAGGCAAGAGAGAGGCTGCAAATTTTGCCAAATTTTGTTTAGCACATCTCGGTCGACAAACTGTGGTTAGTGCTAACTACAACTTGGCTTCAAAATATTATTTTTAACTTTGTAAATAAATTAAGTTAAATTATCATACCACTGCATCTCTCTCTCTCTTTTTTTTACTGGCCAAGGGAGCCGGCGTACAGTTTCCGGGTCATGTGGCCAGCATGACTAAGCCGCTTCTGGCGAACCAGAGCAGCGCACGGAAACGCCGTTTACCTTCCCGCTGGAGTGGAACCTATTTATCTACTTGCACTTTGACGTGCTTTCAAACTGCTAGGTTGGCAGGAGCAGGGACCGAGCAACGGGCGCTCACCCCGTCGTGGGGATTCAAACCGCCAACCTTCTGATCGGCAAGTCCTAGGCTCTGTGGTTTAACCCACAGCGCCACCCACGTCCCAATTAAAATTAAAAAGTTAGACACCAATTAACCATTCTTCATCGCCTGTATAGGCTGGGTGGAATAGAAAAGTTTCCAGCCGGTGTTTAAAAATTGGCACAGAAGGCACCTGCTAAATCTCTGGTGCAGTGGTTCTCAAACTTTTTTCTCTGAGTCACATTTTCAGAATAAAAGTTTGCTCACACCACACCCATTTTTTTATCAATAAGAAATACACTGGAAAACAAAACAAAAAAACCTAGCAGTGCTTGTTTTATAATATAGAACACAACTACTTCCTAATATGATCCAGAAAGTATAAAACAACACAGTTACATAAAAACTGTTCAAAATTTATTTGATTGCCCTTGAATCTTCCTGCCACACTTGCCATCCTCTCTTCCGACACCCTTTGACAACCACTGCTCTAGTGGGAGGGAGTTCCACAGGACTGGGCCAATTACAATAATGGCTCCGTTTCTCATTGTTGTCAAACCAGCCTCACCGACTCGGGGAATGACCAGCGACGCTCCTGCAGGTGTTGTCAGTGATCAAGCTGGAATATAAGGGCTCAGGAAGCCCCTGAGGAACCCTGGGCCTAAGCTGTTCAGGGCTTTTAAAATTAATTAATACAAGAACCCTGAACCTGGACTAGCAGTAAAGTGGTCAGCCAGAGCAGCCGCTTCAACAATGGCCTCACATTCTCTAACTGTTATATACAAGGTCTCTCTCAGGAGGTTGTCGAGGTTTTTAAGCAGAGGTTAGGCTGTCATGGATGCTTTAGCTGAGATTCCTGCATTGCAGGAATGATGACCCTTGGGTTCCCTTCAAACTGTGGACCTTCTGATGCTGACTGATCGGAAGTGGCAAGTCTTGTTTGAACCCTCTACCCAGGGGGTTGGGGAAAGAAGAAAACTGCTGTCTTTGTCCTCCAGCAAACGGACCACTTGGGCTCTCGGAAAGCCAGCAAGACCGGATGAAATACTTACCAATAAAAACGAAGATCTGGTGGTGCGAGTATCGCAGAAGCATGGAGACAGACAGAGTCTGGAAAAGAGAAGGGGTGGGCAAGTGTTAGAGCCCCAGCTCCCTATGAATGTAGGGCAGTGTCACCCCCCCCCAAAAAACCACCCCCAACCAACCAAAATTCTAATAGTTGCAGACACCTGCCCTTTCGCCTGAATTAAATACCGAAGGCACTGTACACATGAGCTCCCAAATAATTAGCTTTTAATAATCTTATCTCCAGTGCTATTTAATAGTCAGTGCTTATTTAATCATCTTCTTCCTTGGAGGTTTCTAAGGAGAGGTTGGATAGCTATCTGTCATGGATGCTTGAGCTGAGATTCCTGCCTTGCAGGGGGTTGGACTAGATGACCCTCAGGGTCCCCTTCCGACTCTGTGATCCAGGGGTGGCTCAACTAGGAAACTAATGAACCTTAAGCTTCGGGGCCTCCAATTCCAGAGGGACCCCAGAAGCGAATTTAGTCCACACTGCCTAAAATTTTTGAGTCGCACAAATCGATTAATTTGTTGTTGTATATACAATATTTCAACAATCCCAAAGTTTGAATGTCAGTAGTGCAGATGTTTTAAAGGTGTGGTGATCTGTCATGGAACAAGCCTCTCCCCTTGAAAAAGATGATTTCAGTAATTATCGAGACCTCATTGCTGGTTGTGAAGGCCTCTGAGCTGCATCCCTCAATATCACCCAGCGAGGAACTTCACTGGGTTCTCAGTCAATTATTTTAACCACAGACCACTCAGGGAGCTTTGGCTGGCTCCTTCATTATACACCTCTAGGCACCAGGTGAAATTGTTCGCCTTCAACCAGGCCTTTGGCTGATATTATTATTATTATTATTATTATTATTATTATTATTATTATGATGTCCATCTGACTGGGTTGTCCCAGTCACTCTGGGCAGCTCCCAGCAGAATAAAACATTAAGCATTGAAAACTTCCCTGAACAGGGCTGCTTTCAGATTTCTTCTGAAAGTCAGATACTTGTTTATTTCCATTATTTCCTTGGCATCTGATGGGAGGGCATTCCACAGGGCAGGTGCCACCACCGAGAAGGCCCTCTGCCTGGTTCCCTGTAACCTCCCTTCTCACAGGGAGGGAACCGCCAGAAGGCCCTCGGAGCTGGACCTCTGTGTCCGGGCAGAACGATGGGGGTGGAGACGCTCCTTCAGGTCTACAGGCCCGAGGCTGTTAAAAGGGTATTCACATCCAATATCCTTTTAAATGTGTTGTGGGAGGGGGTCATTGATTTGTTGTTGCTCTTATTTTCCGAGCACAATTCAAAGTGTTGGTGCTGACCTTTAAAGCCCTAAATGGCCTCGGTCCAGTATATCTGAAGGAGCGTCTCCACCTCCATCGTTCAGCCCGGACACTGAGGTCCAGCACCGAGGGCCTTCTGGCGGTTCCCTCACTGCGAGAAGCCAAGTTACAGGAAACCAGGCAGAGGGCCTTCTCGGTGGTGGTGCCCTCCCTGTGGAACGCCCTCCCACCAGATGTCAAGGAGAACAACAACTACCAGACTTTTAGAAGACATATAAAGGCAGCCCTGTTTAGGGAAGCTTTTAATGTTTGATGTATTACAGTATTTTAATATTTTTTTGGATACCGCCCAGAGTGGCTGGGGAAGCCCAGCCAGATGGGTGGGGTATAAATAATAAATTATTACTATTATTGTTGTTGTTGCAATTTTATGTTTTGGACTGCCCCGAGATCTAAGGGTGAATGGTGGGATACAAATTTAATTGAAAATTAATAATAATAATAATAATAATAATAATAATAATAATTGTTCAAGATCTCTCCTGGGATCTACTGGGGCTGAAAAGCAGCCCACGAGCTGACACAGAATACTCACGAATATGACCATGATGACGAATGCTGCCAGGTACGAGGTCCGGGCCATCCACATGCTGATGAATCGGTAGTGTTCCCCAGATACCACATTGCGGAGGAATCCTGAGCAAGGACAGAAGGGAAGGGAAGGCAGCAGTGATGGGGATGGACAGGAGGAAAAAACAAGGAGGTTTCAGCAACAAAGATCTCCCAAAGTGGACTTAGTCCAATTAGTTGGCTCTGGCACCATCTAGTGTTGGACTTGCCGCCTTCTGCCCCACCAGACATTGCAACAGCCCAGCCCAGATCTGTAACTGAGTGAGAACAGAGACCAATTATATACATATGCTAAACCTTTGTTCTCTTCGTTTTCAGCCAAGGCTTTCACGCTGGACATGAGGATGTCGTCGTAGCCAAGGAACTCGTCCAGGAGCAGGCGGCTGAACCGGTCTCCAAAGCACTGGTCTCGAGTGGGGTCTGGGGAGAAGATGGAGAAGAGGGTTTGTGAAAACAGGCGGAAAGAAAACTGGCTGTGCTGATAGCAGCAGGAAGAAGCAAGTCGAGGGGTGTTTGTGCATTTCACGGGACGCTCAGAAACATTCCAACTTCTGGAGGGGAAGGAGTGGGCGTTTTGTGATTTGGGAGGGAGGCACCATGGCACAGGGAAAAGAAAAAGCGGGGGCCTAGTAGTGGCCAACGCAGGCCTAAAAGCAACAAGGAGCAATCCCGGGTTCAAATCTTGCCACCACCCATTTAAGCTCACTAGGTGGAGTTTTGAGCAAGGCAGTTTCCCTTCTGCAACACGGGAATCAATCTTTCAGTGTGGCAGCACAGGAAAGAGAATCTTTGTACGAGTTAACGCTTCATTATCCCCTTTGCTGAACCTTTGTACTTTTGTCCTTCCAGGCTGTGACACTTAATGATTTAAATTGTTGATTATGTTTGCAGCTATTTTTCCCCGTTAACAAATTATATAGATAGAGAGAGATAATAATAATAACAACAACATTTGTACTCAGCTGCTCAACCTCCCTCCGCCCCCGCCCCAACAAGGCACAGCAAATAAACAAAGCTCCACCCTCAGTTGAACAGAAAAGCAAAGCTTCTTACCCAGGGTCACCACCATGACAGGGATGCTGAGGCGCTGGCGGGTGCTGTGCGACAAGCGAAGGAACCCGTATTCAAAGGAGTATTCCACGATGTACTCTTCCTGGGGCCAGACTGGAAGGATTTTTTTTAAAAAAGAAAATGGTATTTTTGAAAAGGCCAAGAGGATGGAAAACCAGAGGTGCCCCCAGGGGTATTGCCTCAGCCTAGTTCACCACAGCATGACCGTCGATTAAAAGAAACCTCGCTGGGTGCTCCAAGGAGCTGGGGAAAGTTCCGAAAAGGACAGGAAAAATGACTCTGCTATGAGGAAAGCTTGCAGTGTTTGGATGTTCTTAGTTAAGGAAATAAGAGGTGACATGCTAGAAGCCTGTAAAATTAATGCAGGGCACGGAAAAAGAGAAAAGTTTTCCTCCCTCTCTCATAACATTAGGAATTGTGGACGTCCAATGAAACTGAACGCTGAGAGATTCAGGACACTGTCCCGCCCCCCATACAATTTTTACTGAATTTCCAATTTTTTACAAATTGACTTTAAATCAAATACTTACATTTGTTTCCTGACAGACTTCCCACTTCCACCTCCCGTGTTTTTGTATATATCAAACTCTCGCCTATTGCAAAAATGCCTCTAATACAATTACTTTTTCCCCTTCTGCTGCTCCTTTCCTACCTGCAATTTTTAAACTTGTTTGTACAGTGGTGCCTCGCAAGACGAAATTAATCCGTTCCGCGAGAGTCTTCGTCTAGCGGTTTTTTCGTCTTGCGAAGCAAGCCCATTGACGGATTAGCGCTATTAGCGCTATTAGCGGTTTAGCGGCTATTAAAGGCTTAAAGGCTTAGGGGATTAGCTGCTAAAAGGCTATTAAAGGCTATTAAAGGCTTAGCAGATTAGATAAAGGTGGAAAAGCGAAAAAAATCTCTAGACTCGCAAGACATTTTCGTCTTGCGAAGCAAGCCCATAGGGGAATTCGTCCTGCAAAGCAACTCCAAAACGGAAAACCCTTTCGTCTAGCGGTTTTTCCGTCTTGCGAGGCATTCGTCTTGCGGGGCACCACTGTAGTGCTTTTCCAAATAGTCCCCACCCCCCAATGCCTCCATTCTTCTATAAAAAGTGCATCTTTTTGACCTCTTAATATCGCTGCCCGCCCCTCTCCATGGCATTAAGGTCATTGAGAGCGGGTCAGTTTCAAAGGCTGCATGCCCCGAGAGTGCGCAGGTGGCGGGGCCTTCTCTGCCGTGGCCCCACTCCCTCTCAAAAAGGAACCTCTCCCACACACAAGGAGAGGAGGCAAACACCGAAAGAAAAGGAAAGTGGCAGGTGCAAAGGGAAGGGTGTGGCAAAGGTGAGGAGTGGGAAGGAGGGTTATTTAAAGGGTCTGCAATGTCGTCTCTTTACCTGCTTTGGCTAGCATCTCAAACTGGGACACCGTCTCGCTGAGGGGCTGCATACCTTTAGACGCCGGCTCGCCGCTGAAGGAGAACTCTTGGCTCTCGTTGGGGGCTGGCACCTTGGCGCCGCCCAGGCGGGGGGGCTTGAGGAAGACCTTGGGCTCGATATCCAGCTCAAACTGGGATCAGCGGAAACAGAGGAGAAGAGTTCAGGGAAACGCAGAAGCTGCCTTCTACCAAACATCAGATCCACTAGTCCTCCTAACTCAGTGGTTTCCAAAGTGGGCATTGCCTGGGGGGATGCTAAGGGGCAAGGGGGCAGCAGGGGGGCAGCGGGAGGTGTAAATGGCCACTAGACTCTGAAACGCTAGCATCACTGGATCAAGTTCATCCATTGTGTTGAATTAATTCAGCTAAATAATAGGACTGGGCAATATAGTGATGTACTGGATTGTCCAAAACTGGTCTGAAGTCCCAATCATGATGTTGGTTGCATAGTTTTTCACCTGGCAATATATAATGAATCATAATGTGTGTGGGGGGGTGCTATGCAAAAATTACAACGTGAAGCCAGCCAATGCCTCTACATAGCTCCATCCTCATTTCAGACACTGTGATATATCAGTAGATTGCAATGTTTAGCTGGCGATATATCACAATGTTGAAACCAGGTATCGTCCAGCCCTATTAAATAGCTTAAACAGGATTTGGGGGGGGGGGCGAAACGTGCAATTGTTTTACTGTTTTGAATTTTAGGGCTTTTTATAGGGTAGGGTAAGGGATGCGAGTGGTGCTGTGGGATAAACCACTGAGCCTTGGGCTTGCCGATCAGAAGGTTGGTGGTTTGAATCCCCGCGACGGGGTGAGCTCCCATTGCTCGGTCCCTGCTCCTGCCAACCTAGCAGTTTGAAAGCACATCAAAGTGCAAGTAGATAAATAGGTACCGCTCCGGCGGGAAGGTAAACGGCGTTTCCGTGCGCTGCTCTGGTTCACCAGAAGCGGCTTAGTCATGCTGGCCAGATGACCCGGAAGCTGTATGCTGGCTCCCTCGGCCAATAAAGCGAGATAAGCGCCGCAACCCCAGAGTCGGCCACAACTGGACCTAATGGTCAGGGGCCCCTTTACCTTTTTATAGGGTAGGGTAGGAGGCACTGGGGATGGAACCAAGGGGGCAGTGACCCAGTATTTTTGGGAACCACCGATCTAACTCATTGGCTTCTATTATTATTATTTGTCTGCCATAAGGTTGCAGGACACATGGCAGCAATTTAAAAGAAGCAATATCCAAAACCATTAAAACGATTTACAGTCTGAAGAAGAGGGTGAGTCCTGACAGACAGACACACACACACACACACACACACACACACGCCTTCATCTCCCCCGGATGCAATAAAGTGCGTCTCTCCCGCTTCAGTCTCTGCAGCCACAGCAGGAGCTGCAACTCTCCAGCAGGTTGATTCCACCTGCTAAGGCACACTCTTCCATTGTCTCCCAAGACTGACGGATGCCAACCAACCACATATATCAGGTGTCAAAGATCATGGCAGCCTGGTGTGTCTGCAGCATAATGAACATGGCTAAGAGCCTAAATAAATGGGAGTAACATCTTGAGGACCCCACCCTGCCTAACCCTGAATGAGAATGCAGATGCACTGTCACATCTGACCCATTTGCTGCATCTGCGGGATCAGCCTCTGTACTTTTGTGCACTATAAGCAACAAGGCATTTCTCTCAGGGGGCGATAAAGAATCTAGTCGTTTACGCTGCGTTTGACAGCTCCTCTCAGGAAAAATATTTGTTGTGGCACAGAGAAATAGCGCGTCATCGTTAAGGATCCAAAATTACTTTTATAACATGCAGCAACCTTTAAACAGCCATATGGAGAAGCTAGACACACACACAAGCCCCCGCAGCCTCCTGCCAACCTCCCCCAAGGCAAAATAATCTCTAAACAGAGAAATGAAATAGTCCCCCAGCCCTGAAAGGCTAGATGAGGTCTAATACGAAGCACAACTGCGGTGGCAGACAGCAAATGGTAGCTTTCAGCTGGTTTATTTAATCCCCGTTCTGGGTTGCACTCAACGCAAATGGAAATATATATATATATATAAAAGAGGAGCCATATTGGAGAAAATTAAATGAAATTAAGGAGTAAATTGAGTGAGTTAAATCAGCTGCGTTGCCACCCGGGGACTCCTGGCAATTTGTTCACACAAGGCATTAATTTGGTTTAACAAACCTTTAATGTACTACATGCTGGTTCGATCGCAAGGGAGGAAAGGAAATTACTGTTTGGTGGGTGGGGAAGAGGACCCGTTAATTATTGCCAGCTCTGTAGGGCTTGGAAGAAATGAAACAAAAACCCAGCCCAGCAGGACCACATAATGTTTTTCTGCACTAGTGAGAAACAGACCTTTCAATGTGGCAGCAGCTGCCCTCTGGAACTCCCTGCCTCTTGATATGAGGCAGGCACCTTCACTGTACTGTTTCAGACACCTGCCAAAAACTTGCATACATTTACTATACGGGCTGGACGCGGATGGCGCTGTGCGTTAGGACTTGCCGACCAGAAGTTGGCGGTTCGAATCCCTGCGACGGGGTGAGCTCCCATTGCTCGGTCCCTGCTCCTGCCAACCTAGCAGTTCGAAAGCTCCTCAAAGTGCAAGTAGATAAATAGGTACCGCTCCAGCGGGAAGGTAAACGGCGTTTCCATGCGTTGCTCTGGTTCACCAGAAGCGGCTTAGTCATTCTGGCCACATGACCCGGAAGCTGTACGCCGGCTCCCTCGGCCTGTAAAGTGAGATGAGCGCCGCAACCCCAGAGTCAGCCACGACTGGACCTAATGGTCAGGGGTCCCTTTACCTTACTATATGGGCTGCATCCAACAAAGTTCTACTCAAGGGTACACCCACTAAAATTAATAGGCTGTAATGTCACCCCTTTTAATTTCAATGAGTCTACTCTGAGTAGGACTAAAGGCAGAGACAAACCCTATATATTTTTGGAAAGCTGTTTGTTCGCAATGTTATTTGTAACCTCTTTATAATATCGAACCATATTTTGCATGACGGTTCCCAAGATCAAGAAGCATGTTTTCGTCCAAGTAGGGATACAACTGGACCCAATTCTGAATCAAGAAAATAGGGCTGAACCTTTCAAAGCTGTGCTGATAAATCATTCATTACTCGACGGCTTCCTAGAAGCAACTGTCTAGCTCTGGGACTAGATGGGAGTGAAATCTGACGGGACAGGAGTCTGATGGCTTTAAAAGACAATGAGCATCTTGGAGGCTGAGTTTTGTCAGAATCAAGTACACACCTCCAGAGTTGGCACAAAATACATTACCTCTAGTAGATGAGCCACCAGAGTCAGTGGAGGGCCGTGAAAATTTGTGCCCAGGGATTTTTAGACTCGTTTACTCATGTACTAACTGAAACCAAAGGGGCACATGGGTTGCCAGAGGTGAAATATATTGGCATTATTTTCAGCTCTCCTGCTCCACTATCTAGGGAAGCAAGAGTCACGATCAGAGTGCAAGGACACATTTCAGCCAGGCAAAAAATGCTCAAGGAGGGTGAGGAGCAGGGCTGGTGAGGGTGCATGGCTTCGGGGAAAGTCCCCGAATAAAGAGGCCCAGAATGTCCACACTTAGGGTTTCCCAGCTGTTGGTGTTGCTTACGCAATGCCTTGTAACTGAGGCTGCTCACAAACAGTTCCTTGGGGCCTCAATTAGCCACTGAGAAGTCCTCTCTCTAAAAAGCATCCAGGTTTTGCATTCCCAGCAGGGAGAACCAGTGATGACGGATCGTACCCAAGAGGATCTCCACAGCAAGGAGATGGGAAAAGAATACAGTGGGTGAGGCAGTCATCCTACAGAATCACAGAACGTTGGAGTTGGAAGAAACCCCTTTAGGCTCATACATCCAACCCCCTGAAATGCAAGAATCAAAGCTAAAGAATCCCTTGCAGGCGGCCGTCCAACCAGTGATAGAAACTGAGACATGAAAGCTAGGAGCTAAAGGAACCTTAAACCTAGGTCACGGGCGCTGAAACCGAGTGTCTAAGCAGGCTTTTTTTATAACAAGAATACAGACCTGAAAATGAATGAATGGCAGCTAAGATCTTATGTTCGTTTTTCACATGTTCTAGTCCTCATCTGAAGACTGCAAAAAGCAAAGCCATACTTCCCATGCACCAAGAACAATGGGAGTTTTGAAAGCTGCGTCTAACCTATGTTTAGAAACTGCTAACGAAGGAGAGAGTCCACCCACTTAGAGATGGTCTGCTCTGCTCCACCCTACCTTGATGGAGCTGTTCTCAAACATCTCCACGCTCATTTCCTCCTCTTCTTCTTCCTCCTCCTCCTCCCCGCCAGCTGCCTCAACCACCATACCCGGGAAACGGTCGCTCTCGCAGAACTGGAGGAAGATGGGGGCGCGGCTGGAGTTGCGCTGGATCTCCACCCGCAGGATCCCGTCGCGCGGCCACTTGTCTCGGACGTGCTCCAGGCAGTTGATGGGGGAGCGGGAGAAGGCAATGTGGATATACGCCAGGATGAAGAGCACAAACAGGGCCTGGAAGAGGGAGGAGAGAGGCGGAAAAATTAGAAGCAGGAGAAACAGGAATCGAGGACCGCATTCCCTTCTTAGAGTAGTGCCACAGGCTAGTTTCTGCACACTCGCATCTGTCTCTCTCTCCTCCATCTGAACAAGCAAGTGGCATTATCAGAGGGTCAACCTTCCTGGGGTCACATGACTGTGCTGGCTGGGGCCAGTGGGTGGGGCAATAGAGGCAGATGCCAATAGAGGCAATAGATGGCAAGCTAGTTTCTAGACACACTGACAGGAGCCAGCCAGCAATAAATCACACCCTGCACATTGAAGTTAACTCTTTATTAGAACAGGATCTGCACAGACCTGGTGGAGGGTCAGGGGTAATGGGCACAGGAACTCATGCCCAATAGGACTTGCACCCATGGATCAGTTGCCAAGACTAAAAGTCCCTGCCTCTCCACAGCCATCTAAGTCCCCTCCTCTCCAAGCAATCAGAGACTGCGCCAGAGTGTAGGCAACCTCTCCTCCACCTTTCATGCCTCTCCTGGTTCTGGGAGACAAGGGGGGAGGGGAGATTGTCGCAGCAGGAGGGGGAGACAGCCGTGACTGCACCAGCTGGACTCATAATCTTGGCCTCCCTCCTCTTCTGCTGCAGCTTCCGCCTCTGATTCCGGACTGCTCTCTGCCACAGACTCTCCCTGCTCACTAAGTCCTGTTACCCCTTCAGCTTCCGACTCTACCTCTTCCCATTCTTCTCCCTCCGACCAAGGTTAGAGTTGGTTAGAGTGCAGGGCTGATAACACCAAGGTTACAGGTTCAATCCCCATAAGGGACAGCAGCATATTTCTGTATTGTAGGGGGTTGGACTAGATGATCCTCAGGGTCCCTTCTAACGCTATGATTCTATGAGAATCACTGTCCCATCACCAATCCCCAGGCTCTGAGCCTTCTTCCTTTGGGGGTTCCTCTGCTGGTACCTCCCACCATCCCTCTGCATCCAACCAGTGCCTGACATTCACACACTTACACACCCCACTCTGTCCTATAGAGGCATCAGCAGAGTTCATGGACACATCCCAGACCACACAAAGATGAGAGGAAGTTTTTTGGACACCCCCCCCCCAAAAAAAAGCTGTTGACTGAGAATTTTTGTGGGCTAGTTAGCTTCTGTGTATTGATTTGAAAGGCTGAATGAACAGGAAACTTCCTCAAATGTTTACAACAGGGATAGGGACCCCCGGGGCCTCCCAGAAGTCATTGCACTTTAACTCTGGTCTCCTTGAGTCTTGGCCAAGTGGGTTGAGTAGAGCCAAAGGAGTTACAGGACGGTAGACTTTGGCTGACTGTTTGGAGGAGCTTCCAGAGAATGTTCTCTCCCGAGTCATCACCACCCTAAAACTCTGAGGGCAGTGGCACTACCAAGAGGGACCCCCCCCTCCAGTGAGAGACCCCTCCCTAGAGTGTCTGAAGGGAAGCGGCCAAAGTCAACTTAGATATTTGGTACCCGAGTCATGAATACTAATATCAGCACCTTGAACTGGACCCAGGAATGAACTGTCAACCAATGCAGCTGTTGTATAACAAGGGTCATGCAAGTCCAAAATGGAAGCCAGCCTGTAAACAGACAGCTGTATTTTGGATGAGTTGACGTTTTTTAGGTAGTCTTCAAGGGCAGCCCCACACAAAGTGATGTAGCACTTGTCAGGATTTCCTGCCTCAAGCAAGAAGCTTGAATGAATGACCTACAAGCTCCCCTCTGCAATTCTATGAGCCTGGACTCGCAAAACTGTCCACACAAGTTGACAGCTCTCAATAAGTTCTGCTAGGAGGGCTGTTTTTGTGGGGTTAACAGAGAAGAAACTTCCTTTTTTTACCTGGCCATCCAAACCCAGAACTGTAACGCAATGACAGGCACAGGTTCTCCAGTCAAAGGCCTTTCTCAGCTCTATCCAAAGATGCTAGAGATCAAACGAGGAGCTTTTGCAAGCTCTACAACCAAGCTACAGCAGATATCAACATTAGCATTCCTAACACTTCTGGTGTGTGCTTAAGCCACCGAAAAACCCCACCTTCCTATTTCTTAAGAGTTGTGATGTTGGAAGGTACCCCAGGGGTCATCCTGTTAAACCCCCTGCAATGCGGCAGTTTTTAAGACTGGCTAGTTGCCAGTCTTAAAAACTGGGATGGAAAAGCTAGGAGCCAAATGGCTCCTGGGACCTGGGCTGTGGGCGCCAAAACAGAATGTCTAGTCGCCATTTTGGGGGGGTCGGCAACACTAATTGTAATTTTGGTAAGCATGAACTAATACGCAATTCACATGAGACACATTGCTAATATCACGTTTTTATCAGAAATTGTTAATACACATTAATTTGGTGTTTACAATAAAAATACTGGTACCATACTTCAGTTTTCAAAACACTCTACTCTTTATTATTAAACTCCTTAACATAGTGTCTATCTTTAACTTTGAGGCTTCAGAGCACATACTTTACAGTAATCCTTGAGCATCAGCTGGGCGCAAAAAATGGCACCCAGATTTTTTGAGGTGCTCGCAAATGGATAATATTTTGGCGCAAAATGCACCTGGCGCCCTGCTAATTTCAAACCCTGCTAATCGCCTGTGTCGGTTAAATGTTGCAACCGGCCAACCAGGAAGAATCCTGTAAAAGCTTAAGAGAGGAGTGGGGAGGGAAAGTGTTTCCAACTCAAAATTTATGTGCCACAAATTATTTCCATGTGACTGTGCGCAAATGCTGTGTTAAATGTATGTTTGAAACTGGAAGTGTTTAGGATTCAGCAGGTGGAAAGTAAAGGCTTCCTTGATATATAAGGGCTTCCTTGCCTTTCTCTGACAGAGGAGCACATTGAGAAACCTTCAGGAGGGGCCAGTGTTGGGTGGGGCCAGGGGCAAAAGTGGGCAGAGCAAGAAATGTATTTTTTACTTTGCGTAGACTAGTTCCTACACACCTTCTCTCTGCTCCGCCCAGGCAAGGAGGAGGCCTGATCTGAGTTAAAGGTCCCCGCAGCACAACATACAGTGGTGCCTCGCAAGACGAAATTAATCCGTTCCGCGAGAGTCTTCGTCTAGCGGTTTTTTCGTCTTGCGAAGCAACCCTATTAGCGGCTTAACGGATTAGCGCTATTAGCGGTTTAGCGGCTATTAAAGGCTTAGGGGATTAGCTGCTAAAAGGCTATTAAAGGCTATTAAAGGCTTAGCAGATTAGATAAAGGGGGGGGAAAGCGAAAAAAAAATCTCAAGACTCGCAAGACATTTTCGTCTTGCGAAGCAAGCCCATAGGGAAATTCGTCCTGCGAAGCAACTCCAAAACGGAAAACCCTTTCGTCTAGCGGTTTTTCCGTCTTGCGAGGCATTCGTCTTGCGGGGCACCACTGTATTTGATTTTTATTTATCCATTTATTTAATCTATATACCACCCTTCCTCAAAAGATCTCAGTGCAGTTCACATAACAAAATACAAGATAATTGAACCAAAACAACAACCCCCACCCCTTCCCACAGATACATTTAAAAGGCTGTAGGATATTAATCAGCCGAAGGCCTAGTTGAAGAGGAATGTTTTCATATGGTGCCTAAAAATATATAGTGGAGGCGCCAGGCAAACCTCCTTGGGGAGAGTATTCCACAAACAAGGAGCCACTGCAGAAAAGGCCCTGTTCTCATGTTGCCACCCTCACGTGAAGAGGGTACACAAAGAAGGGCCTCAGATGTTGAACGCAGTCAACCTCCCCCACTCCCCCACAAAAAAACCACTTTACCTTGAGAAGTACGAAGAATTCAAATATACGACGGAAGGAAGGTGGGAAGAGGCGGGCGTAGGTGACGGCCATCTTGAAGAAAAGGGCATGGAACAAGCGGTCACGTACGTTGATGAGGGGGTTCTGGTTGAGGTTGCGGACCCCACGGTTGTTTCCGGCAGGGGCCCTACCGCCCACATTATTGTTCATTGGGTGGTGATGGTGGTTGCCTTGGTTCTCTGACATCCTTTTCCAAGACAGGTGTTAGCTTTCCACGGGCGAATTCAGATTTGGATAACAGAATGTGCTCAGGAAGCGGCCTGTGGGGTCGTCTTGGTAAGGTTTCTCCAGGGGGTGGGGAAAAGCGGCCGAGGGGGAGGCGAAAAAACAAAAAAAACAAGAGTCACCTTTTTCCCCCACAAGGGGAAAAAAAATCCACTCACAGCAGGATAAAGAGAAATTGTCTTTTAAATGGGCTGATGCAAAAGTTTCAGTAACTTTGTAAACAGGTGGAGAAATTTTTTTTGGGGGGGGATACTGGTTTGAAAAGTCACCCAAAGAAAGCAAGGGAGGGGGAATGTTAAGCTTCCTAGGTTGCAATTTATATAATATTGGAAGGTAGCGGGGGGGCGGGGCGGGGAGAGACTGAATCTAATGGGACTTTTGGGTCAGAGGGGTGCAACAGTAATAGTCCCCCGAAAGAAGAGGAGCTACCCCAAGACAACAGAGCAAAAGGGAGTCTGGGGGGGTCCAACACGGTAGGGTTCCAAGGGGGGAGGCAGAGAGAGATCCTAAAGAGATCAAGTTGTGGGTTTTCTTGGGGGGGGGGAGAGCTTTCTTTAAATTAGGGAAAGGGGTCAGACAAAGAAGAGACTATGCTAGCAAAATAATAAGGGGGGGGGGAATGCCTAAGTTTAAAACACCCCAACTTGGGCTGGGGAGAGGAAAAGAAAAAGGGGTGGGGGTGTTAAAACCTTTGATTTAGATGTTGAGGGCTGCCAAATCCCACCGTTGTGGGAAGAGGCACAGGTTGAATGGGGGGGGGGAGGAAATGCCAGCCTCAAAAAGGGGAGAAAGAGAAAAGGAGTCTTCAAGCCCCTTCCTTTTTGGGGGGGGGTTTGGCTGGAATGCTAAGCAGACCCCAAAATCGAAGGGTGGGGGTGAAAGATAGATATAAGGAAGATATTAAAGGGAGGAGGAATATGCCTATTTTAAAACACCCCAATCTAGGGGGGGGGAGGAAGATGGATGTGGGGCGATTGCGGGGGCCCCCCAAACCCCACATATACACCCTTCCCCTTCAGAACTGGGGGGTGGGAGAACAGGCACCTTCCCTCAAAAAAAGAAATACAAGGGAGGGGGCGAGGGAGGAAGGAGGACTAACTCCCCCCCCAAAAATGGGCCCACCCCCCAAAAAAAGAGAGAGCCGCCCCACAGATGTCAATAGGTGTGGGGAGGGGGGGTGACAGGATACCAGGCTGGGGCGGGAGCGAGGCCCTACGGGGAGGGAGGCTCGAGCTGGGCCGGCTTCTCCCCTCCTTTTCGGGGCGCCTCCTTTGAGGGGGGGCCGGCGAAGGAGCGCCCCGCCGCCGAGCTGCCTCCTCTCAGTCCCCCTTCGCGTCCGCGCCGGCCGCCGCCATCTTGTTTGGTTCTCTTCCCTCCCATCTCCTCTTCCTCCTCCTCCTCCTCCTCGCCCCGCCCACCACGACGGGCGCGGTGACGTCAGCGGGAGGAGGAGGCGGGGCGAGAGAGAGAGGGAGAGAGAGAAGCGCCGAGCCGGGAGAATGGGAGGGACGGAGAGGATTCTGGGAAAGCACGCAAAGGACGCAAACCCTCTAGTAGGACGTCATGTCTAAACTAAGGAAGAGGAGCTCCAAAGGGGATGCGGTCAAGATTGAGCGGCTGTAACACAACACTTCCGGCTCTGAAATAACATGTGTCCTAGAGGGTGGAGATGAGCTGAGCTTGAGTCTTGACTGATCAATTATTATTTTTTAAAAAAGCACTTTTATTTTTCCCTGAATGTGATTGGGTACGTTGGGGGAAAATGTTCAAAAAATGAAATTTTTCTTTTACTTCCTCCACTCACCCACACAATACTTTTCATGAATGCACCTCCACCTGTTGAATTTCTACCTGCGTCGTGAAGAAAGCTATTGCAGATGCCGAAGGAGAACTCCCAATCCCCCTCCCCCGTCATTTGACCTCTTTGATTCCCCAGTACCTATGAATACCGGAAGCTGCGGTCGAAAACCGGAAATGATGTCCCATCGCAGAAGCACTTTTCCTACCTCTTTGTCCCAAAGTTCACCCGCCCCGTCAGCCTCATTATGAAGACCCCGCCTCCTTTCCCCATCATGCATCGCCAGAGCAATGCCAAGTTTCCTTTTAGGTTTCTCCGATTCTTTTGCTACTTTCTTTTAAAAAACTTCACTCCGGAGGAGAAGAGCCGCAGAATCATTTCCCTTGATTAAAAAATGCGAGAAAAATACTAAAGGGAAATAATGGCTTTCCATTTGTGATCACCATGATCTTACAACATTTCTACCAACCGAGGTTTATATAGCAACTGCGCGCATGTAGCATACGTGCTCGCTTCGGCAGCACATATACTAAAATTGGAACGATACAGAGAAGATTAGCATGGCCCCTGCGCAAGGATGACACGCAAATTCGTGAAGCGTTCCATATTTTGCAATTATTGCTAAGGGATATTTTGCAATTCTAGCTAAGTGATCCACATATAAAATGTATATGTGTTTTAAAAAAATAAATGCATCCTCCCTCCTCTCTTTCCTCCCCCTCTCCACTTTGCTAACCTCATAACCACTTTTGCAATGTCTTGCTTTCAATGGGGGGAAGAAGGGCTCTGCCGTAGTATTTGCATAGTAGGCCCATTTACATCAGTTACTTATTTGGTTCTTTTTTTCTCTATTCCCATCTTCTTTCCCCCTCCAAACTCAATTCATTTCCCCTGCCTTTCCCCGAGTTTGTCCTTGCACAACAGCCCTGCCAGGTAGGCTGCAGGTGAAGACTGCTCCAGGTTAGACTCTAGCTCCAGGTTAGACTGTCAGGCAGTAGGGATCCTGGGATGGGGCCTCTCAGGCAGGCAGCCACAGTCCCCAAAGGGGGAGCATGGGATGGGGCCGGCTAGTTGCCAGCATCCCCCAGCCCCTATAAATCTTGGGGTTAGCCTGCCCTGGGGAGAGAACATGCCACGTTTTGGACTTGCTGCTTGATGTTCTGTAGCTGGTGCCAGAGAAGCCAATAAAGCCCCAGAACCCCTTCAGTTCCTGTGTGTGATGCATAGCTGTCAACCGTCCCTTATTTGGCGGGACAGTCCCTTATCCCAGCGCCATGTCCCGCTGCTGTCCCTTATTGATGACGTCCCTTAAATTTCCCGGGTTTCAAAGGAAGCAGCTCCTCTCCCTCCCTCCCTGCTGGCCAGGGAGGCTCCAACTGTGTTGCTTGGCTGCGTTGCTCACCCAGTAAGGAGTTTTAAGAACGACTGGGGGGTGGAGCTTGCATGCCTTGTGCCGATCAAATCTGCCGTGTTGCCTGGGGACTCGCCTTTGCTCAGCGCTTCCCAGCGGAGAGGTGACAGTGGTTTCCCTTGCTGCATCCCCTTTGCCGGGTTGCTGTGCTGTGGGAACCACCGCTTGAGGCTTCGTTTGGCTGCTGGCTGGGCTTTCTGCCTTTGGCTCAGAGGGGCTCAGAAGATGAACATACCTGTGCTTGGAAAATCCCTTATTTTGGCAGCTGATCCCTTATTTCCGAGGCTGATGGTCCCTTATTTTCAAATCTGTAAGTTGACAGCTATGGTGTGATGCAGGAAATTGCAGGAAATTCTTTTTTTGCAGGAAATTCCCTTATTCCAGCGCCGTTTCCTGCTGCTATCCCGGATTGTTAGATATCCCATATTACCTGTCCCCGGGACAGGTGAGGCTGCTGATCCCTTATTTTCAAATCTGAAAGTTGACAGCTATGGTGTGATGGACTTGGAGAGAGGGCTGGGGAAAGTGACCCCCTCCTTGACCAAGAGAATAACAATAACAATAATAATAATAATAGCAATAATAATAATAATAATTTATACCCCGGCCATCTGGCTGGGTTTCCCCAGCCACTCTGGGCAGCTTTCCACAAACACTAAAATACAATAACCTATTAAACATTAAAAGCTTCCCTAAACATGGCCAAAACCCATTCATCCAGCTGGGAAAGTATGTCGGAACACAAAATGTCTTTAATTATTAGCAGCTAGATAATACCACAAAGCAGCCACTCAGATTTCGGGTGGATTGAGGAGGAGAATTTGGAATTAGTAGGAGGGAAAATAAGAATATTCGATAGGAGGAAAAGGAAAAGGGAAGTAGATAAAATATCTACAGTCATATGTGGTGGGATTGTCCGCTAGTTAATGAATTCTGGAAACAGACTGGTATAGAAACAGTGGGAATTGTGGGTAGGAAGGTGGAAATATCTAAATTAATGGTTCTTATTAGCCTGAGTAGCACAAGTTAAAAACAAAGGAGGAATGTAAATGGGTAAAATTGATGGTAATTGCAGCCAGACAGGTTATAGCGAGTAACTGGAAAAATGCAGAAGAGCTAGAGGTGAACCAATGGAGGAAAAAACTGAAAAATATTATAATTTTAGAATATCTAACTGTGAAGATACACAAAATAAAAGGGTTTAAGGTCAGTGAGAAGGAGGAGGATTGGTTTGAGAAAATATTGAATTATTTGGGCAGGTTTGAACAATTTGGGGCAATTAAAATGTTAAAAGTTAAATAAACCTTGTGGAGGGAGGAATGTTAGGGTATATAGAATTGTACATATGGTTGATTTGAATATGTTATTATTGATTATGTATATCCAATGTATCAGCCGCCTGGGGGGTTTCACTGTTTGTTTTCACTGTTTGTGTTTTGGTTGTTGGTAAAAAAAAAAATTAAAAGAAAAAGAAGAAAAGCAGCCACTCAGCTGCAACCTTCCCCAGAAGTGAGATTCCAATCCTCATCATTCTGAATACATACAAATTTTGTTATCTGGGCTCTAGTGGCCACATCAGCCATGCAGAATTCAGCGGCCAGGTTGCAAGACGATTTGAGCATATTGCACGGATCCTGGTCTGGCTGCACTGGCTGCCAATTACTTTCCGGGCCCAATTCAAAGTGCTGCTTTTGACCTATGAAGCCTTAAATAGTTCAGGACCACAATACTCTTTCCATATGAACCTACCCTGAGATTGTCATCTGAGTCTCCTCTTTGTATGTGTCCCTTCTGAGGGGCACGAGAACGGGGCCTTTTCTGTGGTGGCTTCGTTTGTGGAATGCTCTCCCCAGAGGCGCCATTGCTATATGATCTTCAGGCACCAGGAAAAACCATTCCTTTTTAAACCGACCTTTGGCTTTTACCTGTCTATGGGTAGGATGTTTTAATCTATTTTTAGAAAAAATAGAATTGTCTTTTAGATTAGCTTTTTCATGCTTGCGTGTGTTTGGTTTTGCTGATTAAAGTATTGTAAGTGCTGTGGCAAAAAAAAAAAAAGCAACTAATAAATTTATTTAACACTTAATAATATTTTTTCCCAATTATATTTTATTAAATTTCAACTTTTTAAACCTATACAATCCAAACACAATTAATCTTTTCTCTTATTTTTGTTGACTTCCCACCCTGTTTTCCAGAGCTGCTCTTTCTCTCTATTATAATCTAATTCCTCCTGCTGCTCATTGCTCAAATCCTGCTTGCATGTTCATCATACTATAACATTTATTTAAATAGTCCGAAAAAGGCAACCGCTATTCCATAAGAACACACACCATTAGCTTCTCTTAATCCTGCTGTTAATTTTGCACAGGCAAATAATGTATCCTCATAAGGAGCAGAATGAAATTCAAGAGCTCTTGTTCGTCCCGACTCGCACCTTAATCCTTGGTAACCTTGCCAATTCTTGCAGGAGGACAAAACAAATATTGTTCCACGGGGTGGCCAAGCTATTATTTAAGCATTATTTCCTTTGTGCGCTTTGTGAGCAGAGTGTTTTGAAGCACTCCAGCCCTCATTGCTTAGATACTAGCTGGGTCTGAACACAGCAGAGAAAATCTCTGTGAAAAAGGGACACTGAACGGAGCCCCGGAAAGCAGGAAATCTGCCACACAATACGGATTTGGTGGGGCCACACAAGCTGAAGGGTCCCAATCCTCCCAAAAAATTATCCGAAAGGCAGACTATCTTTCAGAGGTGGGCAACGCCATCCTTGCATCTTTCCTGGTCTCCCTTATCGCCTCCTTTCCCATCATCTCATGCACAGAAATCAGCTAAGCAGTGGTCACTGAGATCAGCTGTGCTAGAGGTCAGCTGCGTGGAGGAGCAGGAGGAAAGAAGCATCTCTCCAGAGCTCAGCTGCTTCGCTGGTGAATGAGCACGGATGCTCGTTGCGCTCAACTCCCACCAGTCGCTGCGTTGCTCCCTGGAAGAAGACGACAGCCATGATGCCAGCTGGCTGGAGCCCCCATGAGACAATGAGGCCGCCGCACATCGTTTGGGCTGATCTCGTGATCCGGGTCCCTCTGCACCAGGGCCGGTCCAAAGGTAACCCCTGTGCAACTGTACATGTGCTTGTTTTTGTTTCGTTTTTTTCCTGTTTCAATTTTCATCTGTCATTACAGCTGTTCTCTCTGCAGCCCTGCAGAGGGAATTTTTTTTAATGTTTAATTTTTGTTATGTTTTTATATATGCTGGAAGCTGCCCAGAATGGCTGAGGAAACCGAGGCAGATGGGTGGGGTGAAAATAATAAATTAATAAATCATTTTTTACTACATTGCAAAATGAAATGGAAAAGAATATTATCTGCCATTTCAGTGGCACCCAAAGAGATGCAAGACGCGACCTCTGCGGCAGCCATGAAGCAGCACCCAGGAAGCAAGGGTCACAATTTGGGCCAAAGGAGCAGGAGGACACATCTGCCCCAGTGCTGCCAGGATTGCACCCAAGGAGCCGAGGCGGAAGACAGAAAGGAGCCCATTGCCCCGGCCTGCCATGCAGTGCCTCCCTCGTCCGCTCCAGAGAATGGAGACTCTCGAGAAAAACGTGCCGTCCGAACGATCCTCGTCGACCTGAGACCCATCCTGGAGAAAGCGTTGGACCTCTCGGACTCTTCTCCAGAGATGTCGGAGAGAGACTCCCAAAACGATGAAGAACATCTGCAGAGTGGAGATCTCCCCGCTGAAGGAGGAGGACACAGCTCAGAGGTGGCCACTGCTGCTTCCATAGATACCAGCATCCCTGAGGACATCTTGCCACCGCTCCCCAGGGCTCCCTTCCGAGCACCCAGTGCCCACGCTGAGAGCACCCGCAAGGCCCCCGAGATCTGTCCTCAGTTGGACAACTCGACTGAGCTTGAGGAAACCACGCTGCTGGCCGCGTTGACCCATGAACCGAAACTCAGAACAGCTGATTCCTTGCCTAAGATTACGCCGCAAGAGCTAGGAGAAGACCACCTATTGCAATCAATCAAGGTAAATTCACACACCCAATATGGGTGCTGCTGTGACCCAGGTCTGTCTGTGCATGAGGATGGGTTTTCAACCAGGGATGAGCAGATTTCTTCTTGGTACCTTCACCATCCAAGGCCTGGTTGCTTAGTGCAACCGGAATGCACTTTAAACATGCTCAAGGGAAGACCCTTGCAGCTGTCGCTATTTTCCAGGTACAGTCACACGTTTACAGAAACCGTCCTGGTTTCTGATTTGATCCCAGAATGTCCCGCTTTTCCTTAGGATGTCCCTATTTTCATCAGAGAAATGTGGGAGGATATGGAGGTTATGCGACCCTTGAAGCAAGGAGATAAGTCAGATAAGTCACACCTTTAGAAGACATCTGAAGGCAGCCCTGGAGAGGGAAGTTTTTTAATGTTTAAAATTTTATTATGTTTTCATATGTGTTGGAAGCCGCCCAGTGTGGCTGGGCCGACCCAGTCAGATGGGCAGGGTATAAATAATAAAATTATTATTATTATTATTATTATTATTATTATTATTATTATTGAATAGGGCATTCCTATTTTCATCAGAGAAATATTGGAGGGTATGCCCTTGTCACTGCAAAGTCATGTCTCTCTCCCTACCTTCTTGGGTCAAGCGTTGGACATGCCCCCAATTTAAAACACTATCTTGCCTCTTTCTCTTCACATCTCCCCCTGCTTTCCTGACCCACTTTCCCCAGCCTCCCGCCTCCCCCCCAGACTTCCATCTCCCCACGCAACTGCTGCTACAGAGGCTGCAGGAAACGACCACCAGCCGACATCACTCGCTGATCGCGCAAGTCCTGAGTTCGCTGCGGGAGGAACTCTTGATGGATGAGCAGCTGCCTCTGGATGGTGGGTAAGGAGACTTATTTCTCCCAGGCGCACAAATGTAAGATGGGGCACACCTGGCTTGCAAAGGATCTAGGGTCTTAGTGGACCACAAGGTGAACAGATTCATCCTCTCTCTCTCTCTCTCTCTGCACTTCCAGGGACAAGGCAAGCCCCCTCCTGCAGCTGCCCAGCATCAAAGCTCCAGAAAGGAAGAAGGGAGGCCAGCATTTCAAGCCCAGCCAAGTGACCACTGAAAGGAGGCTTGGCAAGTTCACCTGGCGCAGGTGCCACAGGTCTGTCTATGGGGCCGGCTCAGCCCCACAAGCCGCAGACCTTTGAGTTGCGGCAAGGTCTTTAATTAAAGATGATGTTGCTGTTGTTACAAAACAAACAACTTAAGATCATTGGTTTCTATGGGTCCATTCTGACCCATAGAAGTTTTGCTGATAACAGGGGTTTGAACTGAACTTTACTCTGCTCAGAATAGAACCCACTAAAATTTATCGACCCAAGCCAGTCAATGTCTTTGAATCTCAACAGCTCTACTACTGAAGCTGAACCAATTATTTTGCAAGGTTATATATATATATATATATATATATATATATATATATATATTCATGATTGTGGGGGGTCTGTTTTTTTCTTAAATAAATAAAATAAAGTCCAGTGTGCTGACTTTAATTTTTTGCTTTTTGGACCTTTGACTGTGACTGTTCATAGAACTGGAAGGGGCCCCCAAGGGTCATCTAGCCCAACCCCCTGCGACGCGGGCTTCGAAGCCAAAGAGAGAATCCCAAGCAGACAGCCATCCAACTGGTTTAAAAACCTCCAAGGAAGCAGAGTCCACCATCTTTAGACAGGTTTCCTAACCACACAATCCTATCCACATCTACTCAGGCAAAGGCTGAGCAGTTACTCCTAGAATAAGTGTGTACAGGATCAGGGCCTGAGCAGCTGCATAATTTCTGGATGCAAGTCTGTAAACACACACAGACCACATTTCATTATTCTAGTGGTGAAAGCACACCAGATAGCATTCTTTCCAATTTCAGTCCCTCTGTATGTTTTTCTCTTTTGGGGGCATTCATATTCTGCCTAGTCCGCCAAGGAGTTCAAGATGGTTCTCCTCAACAACCCTTAACCGTATCCACAGAACATTAAATCTGATGTAATTTCACACTGATCCGTTAAAAATTTGGAGATACCAATAAATATTAATTGGCAAATAAGAAAAAGAGAGAATCTTATCAGCAGAACAACAGTCCTGTGAGGTAGGCTAGGCTGAAAGGCGGCGATCGTCCCCCAAGGTCCCACCCACGGAGCTTCATGGCTCAGCTGGAATTTGAACCCTGGCCTCCCATATCAGAGACCGATGCTCTAAGCCAGGCATAGACAAATTCCGGCCCTCTAGATGTTTGGGACTACAATTCCCATCATCCCTGACCACTGGTCCTGTTAGCTAGGGGTGATGGGCATTGTAGTCCCAAACATCTGGAGGGCCAGAGCACTAAACCTTGCTGCCTCTCTCTTGGACTCTCAGCTGCTCACCCATCACCCTTATCCGTGGAGCCCCTGTCAAGATCTTGCCCGCTCCCAACACCTCTGTGATTCTATGATATAAGAGGGAGGATGCTTAAAGGAGCACAACAGAAACACACAACAAAAATGTGTTCCCTTCCAGATTTGTTTATTGAGAAATATATCGTGAGAAACGGGCTGCCCACCCCACAGCCCTCTCTCCCCGCCTCCCGGGGCAGCTCACACGTAGAACTGGCACCCGAATTTCATTTCTTCCTGCTTGCTCTGCGGGTGCAGGAAGTAGAGCTCGTCTAGTGTGGGGTTTGTCCAGCGGGTGGTGTGGTAGCGGGACTCGCCCACCTGCAGGGAGGAAGAGGAGAAGCTATTGACAATCTGTCGGCCTCACTTGGGTCAGGCAACAAGGAACTTAAAAGAACAAAAAAACAAAACAAAACAAAAAAAACGCCCAATATCCTTATGATAAGTGATACCACCCCTGACCACTTATTATGGGGCACTGCAGCTCAGTCTGGCAGCTTCCTTCTTTGGTCGCTTGGGAAAGTCCCTAAGCTCGCCACAGGTGAGCGCTAATTCAAAAGAGGACGCTCTGAGTCCACTGTACAAGGGACTTGGCTCTTTTAAGGCCACGGGGGTGGGAAAGTGCTTGAGCAACCCCATTTTTTTAACACTGCACCCCAGAAGCAACCCCAGGCTGGTCCTCACCTGCCAGTCAGGGACGTCCTTCATGATCTTGGCTTCCTCATCCAAATTCTGCCGCAAGAGGCGCAGGGTCCTTTAAGAGGGAAGACGAGAGACGGACAAGAAAGCGAGGCACAAAATGAAAACAGCCGAGTTGCACAAGTCTGTTGATTTCAATGGATCTACTCAGGTGTCAGCAGGTTATTTCTGCGGGTTGGAGGCTGGCTTATCTGCATTTTTATTTGATCCATTGCTAATTATCACAGCAACACCTGCTTGGAGAAGGACCTGGGAATAACTCAAGGATTTTGCAGGCTACTGGCCACTAAGCAGAGGTTGGGTGACCATTTGTCATGGATGCTTCAGCTGAGATTTCTGCATTGCAGAGGGTTGGACTAGAGGACCCTCGGGTCCCTTCCAACCCTACAATTCTATGGGGGAAAAACCTAAAAAGCTGGCAGAGCCAGTGCTTTGACTCCCAGACTATAATTATTTCTGAGGAGAGCCTGGGCCCCCGCTCTTTTGATGGAGCGTGGGTACTGTCATGCGCAACATTGATAAGACTCTCCCAGCTCAAACAAGCGAATGGAGCAATAATGAGGCTTTCGAGTTCGCTTGCTATAGATGAGCACAGATAGAGACAGCCAGGTAATGTCGAAAAGCATGGAGCAAGAGGCTGGGCACATCTTTCTTTTTCTTTGATAGGGTCCCTGCTAATCACTGGCAGTTTAAATAAGCACACACTTGCATTAAGAGCTGAAGGTTGCATCTTCGGCTATACCTCTTCTGTGTTTTAGAAACTGAACGAGGGCATTTGCACATGAACGCTGGTGAGCTGAACGAAGCTTACTCCCAGGAAGCTGTGCAAAGGATCACAGTCCTACTGACCCAAATAACACAGCAACACACGATTATTAATAACAACAACAACAACAATAATCCATTTTCTTACCCACCCTGCACCTTCAGGTCCCAATCACAACAATTTAAAATCCAATATTTAAAACACTTCAATGGTTTTAATGATGCAAACCACCTTGATATATATTTTGTAACTGATGTAGCAATATACAGATTTTTTAAAAAAGAAATAAGTACACACTGCCCCCTGGTTTGTTTATGGGTGTGCTTACTGGATTCAAGGCAAATACCTGCGTTTGGGGCTCTCCTCAGGGAGGGGCGGTGCCACAGCGGCTATCACAACAAGCCCCTGGGCTTCTAAACCCACCACAACTTCACGAATTCTGAGGTCTATGTCCATAGAGAAAGGAAGGACCCACGAGGGGCGGGTCACTTGCTTCAGAGGAATCCCATGGGATCCACACATACCTCCGGTCGTTCTCCGCCAATAGAAGAGGATAGATGGCAATCCGTGTCTCCAGATCCTCAATGTTCAGACGTCTGGCGAAGGGAGAAACACAACAATAACAACACCCTGCCCATCTGATTGGTCCAGCCTCTGGGTTTGACAATGGGGAGGGAGGAATCCTGTTGCGTTCTGCGCATGCAACAACAGGTGAATCCTGCCCCTTGTTTCTCTTTTCCAGCAGTACTCTTTAACCAGGATTTCTCAACCTTGGGTCTCCAGCTGTTTTTGGACTACAACTCCCATCAACCCTGGCAGTGATGATGGGAACTGTAGTCCGAAAACAGCGGGACACCCAAGTTTGAGAAACCTTGCTTTTAACGTCTTAGTGGAGTGTTATATCCCCATGACATTGGTCACTAAAGTTGATAAGTCTGTAGCTGCTTAGTGTGCGTGAAGATGCACCAGAGTCAAACACAGAGGAAGGCATCTGCAAGGAAGTTGGGAATGGACAGAAGGCTGTCTCGCTAGGGTGGTCCATGCCCTGGTTATCTCCACCTTGGACTACTGCCATGCGCTCTGTGACTTGGAAACAGCCCTGTTTAGGGAAGTTTTTAATGTCTGATGTTTTGTTCTGTTTTTAATCTGTTGGGAGTCGCTCAGGATGGCTGGGGAAACCCAGCCAGGTGGGTGTGGTATAAATAATAGAAGATGGTAATAGTAGTAGTAGTAGTAGTAATAATATAATACCAGTCCTGAAAGATCTTCACTGGCTCCCAGTCCGTTTCAGAGTCCAATTCAAAGTGTTGGTGCTGACCTTTAAAGTCCTAAACGGCCTTGACCCAGTATACCTGAAGGAGCGTCTCCACCCCCATTGCTCAGCCCGGACACAGAGGTCCAGCTCCGAGGGCCTTCTGGCAGTTCCTTCCCTGTGAGAACTGAGGTTACAGGGAATCGGTGGCTCAATGTCCAACCCTCATTGTACAGCATGAGACTCTTAAATCTCAGGGTCATGGGTTCGAGCCCCATGCTGGGCATAAGACTCCTGCATTGCAGGGGGTGGACTGGATGACCCTTGGGTTCCCCTCCAACCCTACGATTCTCTCACCGCTGGCTGCTGGGAGTCCAATGGAAGGTGGGCAAGTCTGATGTGGAGGCTTAGATTTTGCAAGAGAAAAGGGTCGTTTCAGCTTCTTTCATCTCCCACGCAGCATCTACTTAGCAGAAAGGCTAGAGAAACTCACCTCCTCTCTCGGTTCCACTTCACTATACTGTAATAGCCGACGATGAGGGTCCCCAATCCAATTGCAAAGAGGCTGTAGCCTGGGGAAGGAGAAACACAAAACAAAAGGGTGAGAGCATCCAGCAATTGCCTATACGAAGATCCCTTGAATTAAGGTTACTAGTCCACATTGAGGTTCTGGCTGCTTTGACAGCTATTCCCTTTTGGATGGCGAAATTAAGCTGAGAAGCTGTTCCAATGGCCAGTTCTAGTACTATAATGCTCGACCGAGTAAAGATTATTGTCTTTGTACCCAAAAACTGATTCTGAGCACTCCCTATCCATTTGTGAATTGCATATGCATATCATTGATTTACTGAACTGGCATGTGCTGCCTTAACAAAATGTTTGTTTATAGGTTTTTCCTTGTACTTTTAGGGGCATTTTTCATTGCTATTTGGTTGGCTTTAGATGCTGCCCTGTTTGGGCTTCGTTTGCAGAACGAGCAAACAAATGATAGATGATAAAGAAAGAGAGGACACATGTGAGCCCCTGAACATTTTGTCTCCCCCAACCCTTTGGAGAAGAAAAAGAGAGCGAGACTTGACCTCTATGCAGTGGTACCTTGGTTCTCAAACTTAATCCGTTCCGGAAGTCCGTTCCAAAACCAAAGCATTCCAAAACCAAGGCACGCTTTCCCATAGAAAGTAATGCAAAATGGATTAATCCGTTCCAGACTTTTAAAAACAACCCCAAAAACAGCAATTTAACATGGATTTTCCTATCTAACGAGACCATTGATCCATAAAATGAAAGCAATAATGTACTCCAGTCATACAATCAATCAATCAGTAGCTGAACTGGGTTCTACACAGTCACAAAAACAAAAAGAGAGAGCTGCAAAAACATAAATGCAAAATAAATAGCAAAAACAAACAGACCTCAGCGTAACACTCCAAACAAAAGTGTGGCACTCAAATCGGAAGCATAACACTCCAAATGGAGCATGTTTGGCTTCCGAAAAAAGTTTGCAAACCGGAACACTTGCTTCCAGGTTTGCAGTGTTTGGGTTCCAAGTCCCCCCCCCCCCCGGTAAATCTTTATTGGTTTAAAATACAGATGTAAATGATCATTTACAATGAAGGTAAATATAGAAAAATTCAGTACAGAAGAAAAAACATCATGACATAAGAGTAAGAAAAAAGTTAAAAAGACGAAAAAGAAAAGAAAGAAAAGATGAAGGGAAAAGGGAAACATTTATACAAAATCATGTTCATCAAACAAAAATTTCTGCTGAAAACTTCCAATCGTTCTCATTATACTATTTCCATTACCGTGGTTTTGTCGCCCAAAAATGAATGAAACGAATACCTTAGTGGGATATATGAAAAAGGATATAACGCAAAGGTGTTTGAGAACCAAGGTCCCACTGTATTCCCAGGACACGAGATGCCCCTTTCAGAGGAATCCCGGCCCCCAGGCGACCCTCAGGGGTCCCCCCCATGCAGGGGGCCAGGCTGGGGAGGGGGGCCAACTGAGAATGGACCCCACCACTCGGGGAGCCAGGACCTGTCTTGGGGGTGGGCAGGGAGTTAGGTATTTCTCTGGTTTTCCTTGATTTTGGGGATGGCTCCCCCCCGCCCCTTTCTGCCCCAGCTGCCCGAGCCCCCTCCCCCCACCTCCGAGGGACCCAGGCGTCCGGGCGCCTCCCTGGGCGGGGCGGGGGAGGCCCGACTCCTCACCCGAGAGCCCCCTCCGGGGCAGGTTCCTCTTGTAGTCGATGGGGCCGTAGCCGCCCGGCGGCGGCATGTCCTGCTTCACCTTCCCGGCTCCCGCCGCCATCTTGGAAGCGGGGCGAGAGCTCCTGGCAGCGGCGCCCTCTGACGTCAGAGCCGCCGGCGGGCGCCTTGGCGTGACGTCGCCCCTGCCGGAGCAAGCGGAACCCCGACCGCCCTCTCCGTGTTACCGTAACCACACGAGCCGAGGCGCACGGCATTCTGGGGAGCAGGGCGCATCCCCGCCCTCGTGGCTCTTAGCCAAGGCTTGCAACTGGAATACAAAGAGGTTGCTCGGCAGGGAAAGGGCTTTTTCCCCGCCCGCGGCTGATTTCCCTGGCTTTTTTCTGGCCCTCGGAGGACCTGTCTGGCCTTGGTGAAGATTTGACTTTTTCATCCCCAAAAAGTTTTTGATTTGAGTTTCTACTGAAATGAGGCTGCATTTTAATGTTGTATTTTAATCTTGTTTTTAAGCTGTATTTTAATCGATTGTTTTTATACCTGGTGTTAGCTGCCCTGAGCCCAGTCTTGGCTGGGGAGGGCGGGGTATAAATAAAATTATTATTATTATTATTATTATTGGCTGGGGAGGGCGGGGTATAAATAAAATTGTTGTTGTTGTTGTTGTTGTTGTTGTTGTTGTTGTTGTTATTTCTGGAGGCAGTGGAAGACAGGAGTGCCTGGCGTGCTCTGGTCCAGGGGGTCACCCGAAGAGTCCAACACTACTAATCGACTCAACAAGCAGCTGATTTCTGCATCGCAGGGTGTCGGACTCGGATTCAGTGCCGGATTTACGCATAAACTCAATAAGCTCTAGCTTAGCGTCCCGCTCTCTTGGGGCCCCCATAAAATTGAAAGGAAAAAACCACTGGATGTAGATTTCCGAAATATAAGACAAAAAAACCAATAAAATAAAACTTACATGCAGCAACCATGTTTTGTGTTGTGTAGGCTCTAATAATAATAAGGTGCCACTCTGGGCGGCTTCCAACAAAGACTAAAAATACATTAAAATTTCACACATTAAAAACTTCCCTGAACAGGGCTGCCTTCAGATGTCTTCTAAATGTCAGGTAGTTCTTCATCTCCTTGACACCTGGTGGGAGGGCCTTCCACAGGGAGGGCACCACCACCGAGAAGACCCTCTGCCTGGTTCCCTGCAACCTCGCTTCTCGCAGAGAGGGAACTGCCAGAAGGCCCTCGGAGCTGGACCTCAGTGTCTGGGCTGAACGATGGGGGTGGAGACGCTCCTTCAGGTCTACAGGGCTGAAGCCGTTTAGGGCTTTAAAGGTCAGCACCAACACTTTGAATTGTGCTCAGAAACTATGATGTAAGTAATAGGCCCCGCCTGCTTCCTAAAATATCACTGATTTGCTCATTTCTATATACAGTGGTCCCTTGGTTCTCAAACTTTAATCCCTTCCCGAAGTCTGTTCCAAAGCCAAGCTTAATAATTATTTCACTATTAATATACTGTACTTCTTAATTGTATTTCAGTTCAACAATTATTTTGATAAAATACATATTTTGCTATGTGCAAATGGCTTGAGATACCTATGAGGCCCATAAATTACCATATAGCATATATTCAACACAAAAACAGCGGCAATTTGTTGTTGACAAAGGACAGCTGGACATATAAAGGGCCCCATTACCTTCAGGAGCTCAGGGCCTCATCAAACCTCAATCCGGCCCTGATTGTAACTGAAATAGAAAGAGGGGAAGTTGCTTTTTTATTTAGTGCATCAAGCCATTCGGCAGCTCTTCAGGGCTCCACGCAGAGAAAGGGCCGCCCTCAGCTGATTTCTGCATCGCAGGGGGTCAGACTAGATGACCTGTGGGGTCCCTTCCAACTCTCCCATTCTGTGATTCTCTTTACGCGAGGAGACCATCAGCAGGGATTGAACCCGGGAGCTTCTGCATGCCAAGCAGGTGGGCAGCGGTCTCCCTCTACCAGCCACGCCACCCTGGCCCAGCCTTCAGAGGGCTTGCTTTCCAGGAGAAAAGGATAAATTTGTCCATGTGCAAAAAAAGTCTTAACAGGTTCAGGCAGAATATTGTACGTTTGGTAATGTTTCGGAACAAGTTCAATGATATTTTTTTTTTTAATTAATATCCCTAAATTAAGTTGTGTGTGCTTGTTTCTCAATCTGATCCTTTTCCATGGTTTTGTATGTTTTGTGGTATTTCATGCATTGTGATTTGCTGCTATTTTATTGATTAGTTTAGTAATTTTTAAAAACTATTTAATGCTCTGGTTCATGGGGTCACGGAGAGTCAAACATGAGTAAGACAACTAAACAACAACATTTAATGATTATTTGCTGATAAAGGTAAAGGGACCTCTGACCCTTAGGTCCAGTTGCGGACGACTCTGGGGTTGCGGCACTCATCTCGCTTTACTGGCCGAGGGAGCCGGCGTACAGCTTCCAGGTCATGTGGCCAGCAGGACTAAGCCGCTTCTGGTGAACCAGAGCAGCGCATGGAAACGCCGTTTACCTTCCCGCCGGAGCGGTACCTATTTATCTACTTGCACTTTGATGTGCTTTCGAACGGCTAGGTTGGCAGGAGCTGGGACCGAGCAACGGGAGCTCACCCCGTTGCGGGGATTCGAACCGCTGACCTTCTTTTTGGCAAGCCCAAGGCTCAGTGGTTTAACCCACAGCGTCACCCGCGTCCCTTTATTTGATATTTCGCTGTTTATTACATTCTAATGAATTACTGAATACTGCTTTAGTTGATACAAATTGTTTATTCAAAAATTATGTCTTAATCATCACTTTTTTGTATTGGGTCAGATTGTCTATTAAGTGTCTTATATTTGCTGTCTATTTTGTTGTTTCTTCAGTTATTCACCTTTCTATAGAAATATAGAAAGGCGGGATACAAATTAAAAGTGAAATGAAAATGAAATGTCAAACTTTATGCTGTCTTCAACCTGCTGTAACAGTATTCCTTTATTATGCCTTTCAGTTTGTTTTGCACACACGCACAAACACATATGTACAATTTTGTTTTTTTTAAAACCCCAATATTCCCATCAGCATCAGGCAGCATGGCCAGGGATTGTCAGGAGTGATGGGAGTTGGAGTCCAACAATGTGAGGCAGTGTGGTGTAGTGGTTAGGGACTAGGGTCCAAATCCCCCTTCGCAGCCATGAAGTTCACTGGGTGGGGCTTTGCCTCTCCCCACCTAAGCCTACCTCACAGGATGGTTGTGAGGATGAAATAGGTAGGAGTAGAACCAAACACATGACCTTGAGGTCCTTGGAAAATAAAGGCAGTATATAAATGCAAATAATGATAGTAATGATAATTAATAAATAGCCTACGTCACAGGGTTTAAATGACTCCTCAAAACAGCTAATGCGGAGACAGAAATTAGAAGCAGCCAGTCAGATCATCAAAATTTCTGATGTTAACAGAAAGGGACAAAGGGCAGATGAAATGAAACTGGGCTAAGGTACTGGATGCTTTTTTGGGGTGTGTGTGTTCATTTGCTCCCGATTATTTTTAAATAACTTCTACAACTATACGAGGCAAGTCCTTGCCCTGCTTAGTTAGAAGCCCTCTAATCCAACGCCCCGCAGTGCAGGAACAAACAGTTTAAGGATGTTCTTACTTATTGCCGGTTCTTAAGACTTTAAATGCACTCTGTGCACGTTCAGAAATACTCAGAACACTCCCTCTCCTTGGAGGTTTCCTAAACAGAGGTTGGCTTGCCATATGCCAGGGATTCTTTAGCTGCGGTCCCTACACTGCAGAGGGTTTGGCTGGATGACGCTCAGAGCCCTCTTCCTACGCTACAATTCTGTTGAGCTGAACTGGAACTAGTAAGGTTCTAGACTAGTAAACCCACTGAAATGAATAGGTAAAAATAAGCCACGTCCTTTTAATTTCTATGGGTCTGCCAAGAGTGGGATGATCTGCACTTGAAAAATTGGTTTATTGGCTTGTTGGAAATAACCGACCCTGCTAGGTAATCCTGTCTTTTAGGCCCAGTATCCCTGAAGGAGCGTCTCCACACCCATTGTTCTGAGGTCCAGCTCCGAGGGCCTTCTGGCGGTTCCCTCCCTGCGAGAAGTGAGGTTACAGGGAACCAGGCAGAGGGCCTTCTCGGTGGTGGCACCTGCCCTGTGGAATGCCCTCCCAGCAGATGTCAAGGAAATAAAGAACTATCTGACTTTTAGAAGACGTCTGAAGGCAGGGAAACTTTTAATATTTGATGCTGTATTTTGTTGGAAGCTGGGGCTGGGTATGAGAAATTTATTATTATTATTACTACTATTATTAGAACCGAGGAGGTGCCCCCCGCCCCCCAGTTTGGGAACCACTGTTCTAGACCTTAAGAGCAAAGTGATAGGGCATGAGCAACGCCAGTCTCTGATGACATTTCTCCAGGATGCAACGAGTTTAAAAACACCCCCCCCCCAATTTTCACCAAGTGTCTTCTAGATATGTCACCCCACCCCGTGTCATTCTTCATGTCTGCAAACAGCCCCCAATAAATTGTGCTAGTGATTTTGCTGTAGCTTAGGAGGAAGGCATGGGGATGAGAGCATGCCAAAGGATGTTTGATCCAGACTTGGTAATGGGGAGTTGAGAGATATCTGGACGGCTCTGCAGAATGCTGGCTAATTCCCAACGCTGGATCCAGTTCTTGGCTACCTGGGCAACACAGATTTTCTGTAAAGAAAAGGCCCAGGACAGAGGATGCTGAATAAAAACAAGCACCTCCTCAGTGGCTCTCTGGGATTTTTGGCACGGAATCCTTTGCAGCCCTGTGTAGAGATGCCAGGGATGGAGGACAGCTGAGGTCAGATACAACTTACAGTGGTACCTCGCAAGACAAAAAACTCGCTAGACGAAAGGGTTTTTTGAGCTGCTTCGCAAGACGATGTTCCATGTGTGACATCGCTGGACCCTTTAGAGAGCAGTGCCAGATATCATGTGTGTGTGTGTGTGTGTGTGTGTGTGTGTGTGTGTGTCTGTTGGGTGTTGAGCTAGGACCCGAGAGAGACCAGGGTTCGAATCCTCCCGTTCAGCCACCAAGCTTGCTAGGGGTGACCTTGCGTCAGAAGCGATCACCCTCAGCCCTGGCCGACCTCACAGGGTTCTTACGAAGGTGAAGATGGGGAAGACGGGCTCCCTTGAACTCCATGGGGGGGGGGAGGTGGGATATTATAACATATAGACAGGTCCATGTAGAATAGTTAAAACCCAAATATCCACACTTGTGGGGAGGGGAAGAAGAAAGAAAGAAAGAGGAATTATAAGGAGCTTTTTATTACAATGCAACAGTCATAATCTGAAGAGGGGACCCCCCCTCCTCACTCCCCCCCCCTGTACAGCAATGGTTGTTTTGTAATTTTTTTTTGTATTTTTAAAAATTTATTTTAAATTAAGTATCTAACTTGCTGCTAACAAAATACCAGACTGGCTCCCCACTGCCCCACCTGCCTGAAAAAAAGAGAGAGAGGTTCAACTGCATTAACCCTTCCCCACCCCTTCCTCTTTATATATAGATATATATATTTATATATTTATATAATTTTTATTTTTTATTTTGCAACGAACCCCTCTCCTATCAGCACTAGATCTAGTACCAACATGTTGTTAGGAATAAGTCATTTTAAAAACGGGGGCTGTAATTCCACCTCTAGAAAATAAAAGTTTTTTTTTTAAACAACCTTAAAAACACAAAGAGGGAACAAACTGTAGGTGCTCCTTTGATTTTAAAGCTTGGAGTATTCTGTTTTTTTGTGGGGGGTAGGGGTGGGGAATGCAATTTAAAGCAAAAATAAAGGTTACCCAAGGTGCTACTAGAAATTAAACATTGGGGGGGGCAGGGGGGAGAGAATTTGCTTGTTGGGAGGAGGAGAATGAAGTCTGGGGCCCTGTGGTCAGGGTCTGGGTTGTGCTTTGAGGACAGCGACCAGCCCTGCGGAAAACTCTTCAAAGAGTACAAAGGCCATTTTGCACCCCCCCAAAAAAAACTGGTAGCAAACGGCGGTTGAGGGAGGCTCTATCTCGTGGCACAGCTGAATCAACTTTCTCTCCCACTCCCTTTTCTTAAAAAAAGCGCCTCTCCACAAAATTTCCTTTTCCAAAATCCACCGGACCTTTTCTTTACTCCAGGTTGCCTAAAACTGCATATGGCTCCTGGAGAACCAAAGTACAACTCCCGCCCCCCCCCCCCGGCCACAGAAAGCGCACGGCGGGAGGAGGAGAGGGGGTGGGAGGGACCCACTAGAGATTTAAAAATAAAAATTAAGAAAAAATTATACATCTCTTCTTCCTTGATCCCTGTTGGGATGTTTGAGGTGGGGAAGGGGGAAGAGAGGCTCAGCCCCCCTCCCCACAGTTCATTCTCTCCAGATGAAGGGAACGCCTTTTAAACTGTCCGGTAAAGTTTTCGGGCTATCAAATGTCCGGGGCAAAACATCTATCTGAGACAGGATCCTGTTTATTTCAAAGAAAGACAAGACAGGTGCGCCTCCGACCCCCCCCTTGCTGCAACCCCCCCTCCCCGCTGAGTCCTGTCGCTCCACATCTTCGGGGGCGGGGGGGGGGCGGAGAGTCCGTTTTGCATTTGTTCACAACATAAGTTATCAGCGGGTTTGTCTTTAATTAAAAAATAAAACCAACAAGCCTAAGAAGCCACTCATGCCCCCTCCACCGCAACAACCCCCCCGCTGCCCCCTCCGTTTATCACGTTGCCACCACGGGAATTGCGGGGGGGGGGGGGGCAGAGCAAAAACGAAAAAGGCAGGGCTGGATCCAGTCCGTCCCCTTTGCGGATTTCTCTCTCCACAAGCGCTGGGTCCCAGTTCCACTTTCCGTGAGCGGGAAGAAGTACATCCTTGATCGCTAACGACCGTTGTACGATCGCTCAGAAACGGAAATAATAATAATAATAATAATAATAACGACAACGATAAAATCTAAAAAGGAACTAAAAAAAAAAAGCGGCTTTTTTTTCTTTAAAGGGGAGGATGGGACGAAAGCAGGCGAGAAAGACAGAGAGAGAGAGAGAGCAAGTTTCTTGCGCAATTATTCCTCGTTCTGTACTACTGCTGGCTGGCGGGGGGAAATGACATGTAACTCCCCCCCCTGCAAAAAAAATGCTAATAAGAGAGACAAAATAAGTTTCAGGGTGTGTGTGGCCAGCAGGAAAGAATGATAAAGGGCGACTCTCCTCTCGAAGACAGCAGAACAAAAATGATAATAATGAAAATGCGAAAGTCCGGTTGCCTAATGTCCGTTGCAACCTCCCCGAGTGTCCGTTCCACCCTGCCGGGAAGTGTCGTTGCCCCCCTGCCGCCATTCCTTGCTGAGAGCGGCACTGGTGGGAGCAAGCTTTTCCCTCCTGCGACCTTTGCAGGCGTGATCCGGGCGAGGCTTGAAAGCAGGCTTGCTGTTCTTGTCGTCGTTTTCCCCACCGGGTGGTGGGATGCTGGGCAGGTGGCGGAATCAAAGGTTGGGTTGGGGAGGGTGGGGGAAACGGGGGGGAAAAACAAGAAGAAAAAGGGAGAAGTCTTCCACTCTAGGCGGAGGTTCCTGCGTTATTTCCACGTGGCAGACTGAGAGATGGATCGCGGGGGGATCATGTCTAGGAGGTACTCACGCTGGCGGTCCACAGCCGAGGCGGCAGTTTTATGCACAGCGAGACTGGGGTTGACAAAGTTCAGCGTCCCACCTGGAGGGAGGGAAGAAAGAAAGGAAAGAGGGGGTCAGGGCGTGTGTGTGTGTGTGTGTGTGTGTGGCACAGCACAGGTCTGCACATACAGGGTACGTGGTAACTGACAATCGTTCCCGCTAATGGCAAACTCTGCCGGAGCGTGTGGATGGTTTTGGAGGCAAAGCTCAGTCGGTAGAGCACGAGACTATTAAAGACTCTTAACCTCAGGGTCGGAGGCTTGAGCCCCACCTCGAGAAAGATTCCTGCATTGCAGGGGTTGGACAAGATGACCCTCGGGGTCCTTTTCAGCTCTACAATTCTGCTATTCTATTAAAAAACATGGGGGGAGGGGCAGAATGCAAGGTATCAAAAGGATCAGTTACTGCTGATCCTTTATCATTTATGCTGGCAATGTGAAAAAGCACAAACCTTTTGAGTCTGTGGTTTTTAAAGAAACCACTAACATGGTCTCCACCCCCATCTTTCTGCCCAGACACTGAGGTCCAGCACCGAGGGCCTTCTGGCGGTTCCCTCACTGCAAGAAGTGAGGTTACAGGGAACCAGGCAGAGGGACTTCTTGGTGGTGGCACCTGCCATGTAGAACGCCCTCCCATCAGATGTCAAAGAGATAAACAACTACCTGACTTTTAAAAAACATCTGAAGGTAGCCCTGTTTAGGGAAGTTTTTAATGTTGGATGCATTACTGTATTTTAATATTTTGTTGGAAGCTGCCCAGAGTGGCTGGGGAAGCCCAGCCAGATGGGCGGGGTATAAATAATAAATTATTATTATGATTATGAATTGTCGTATTATCCCTTTGCCGCTGAGCTACAGCCTCTCCCCCCACCACAAGCCTCCCAAAAGACAATGAGATTCTTTTCATCCATATGCAAATGTGAACCAATCAATTAAAAATTGCATTCCTGCACTGCAGGGGTTTGGGCTACGTGACCCTTTGGGCTCCCTCCCAACTCTACAAAAAACACAAACAATCATAAATCAAAGTTTTAAAAGCAGGGCCCTGAGAAGCCACCGAAAGAGAGAGAAAGCGTCCCAGGAGGGAAATTCTGCAAGGCGGTTTGGAGTCCCAGAATGCTTTGCAAAAGGCACGAAAGAAGAGGGAGGGGAAGACGGAGGGAGAAGTAATAATTCTAATTAAAGGAATAGAGAAGCACCCTTTTCACCCAGGAGAAGAGAAGAGAAGAGAAGAGAAGAGCCAGCCTTGCTCTGTTGGCTGGCTGGGCAAGGGAGCTCAGCCAGCGAGGGCAAATATTTGTTTTTAAGAGTGTTCTCGAGAGCGAGTTGTCTACCTGCGTTGACGAGAGTCTTCTTCCAAGTGCAAGCACTTCCTTTGCCGGCGGGTCTCTGAGCACGCTTACCTTGCCTGCCGCCAAGCGCGGCCACACTGGAGGCGGCGTTCTGCAACTTGGGCGACGGGCTAAATGCATGCAACACTCCGCGGGGGGTGCTGGCGCTGCGGGGAAGCTGGCTGGAGGCCTGGGAGAGGGAAAAGGGGAAGAGAGGAGGAAGGTGAGAGAGGCCGGAGCAAAAGTCCCGCTCTGTGCCCATGTGAGAACTCTGGGAAACTCGGGTCCCTGGCTGTTTTTGGACTACAACCCCCATCACCCTAGTGCTCAGGGATGATGGGAATTGTAGTCCCAAACCAGCCAGTGTTTGGGAAACACTGTTCTAGATCCGTAAGGATGATGGAGGTTGGGCTCATACTGCAAGCGGCTGGCTAGTGGAGTATTTCCTGCACGGGCCGGCAGCATCTCTCCAGGGTGTCAGACTCAGGTGTCTCTCCACCCTACTGTGGATCGGACCTGGGACCTTCTGCATGCATAACAGGTGGTCTAGCCCTGAGTGGTGGTGCTCCAGGCAACACTCAGCCTACCCAAGTCCTAGGACCTTCTACAAGCACGGAGTCATGGTCATCCCCTTAAAATCAAAGTTAAGATCCCAGCCCTCATTGTTTTAAACAGGCAGAGAGGAAGCTGCCTGAAACCGAACCAAGCTGTTGGTCCGTATGACAGAGGTGCACGTAGCACTTCCACTATATGCTGGAAGACACAGCTCTTTCCCCTGGTCCTTGGCACCCAAGAGAGGTGTGCGCATGTGTATTACCGTATTTTTCACTCTATAAGACGCACCAAGTTTTTGGAGGAGGGAAAAAAAAAATTTTGAAGCCAGAACAGCAAGAGGGATCGCTGCGCAGCCTGCATTCTCTCCATAAGACACACACACATTTCCCCTTACTTTTTAGGAGGGAAAAGGTGCGTCTTATAGAGCAAAAAATACGGTATATTGTAGCTGGCATTGTCTCGAGAGACAATGGTGGGCACCTCCGGCGGTGAAACCAAACCACTGGTGAGCAGCAGCTCCCTGGGGTGCAAGCCTGGGCAGTGTATCTGAAAGTCCTGGACTGCCCAGATGACAAGACCCCCCTCTCGGCCTCTCTGAGGGGGTCCAAAGGAAATCAGAGCAAGATGGTGGACACCAGCTGGGCTGCAGGTGGTGCCAGAAGGAGGCGGACAAGACGTCATCCAACTGTTTTAGGGACTCTACTTCGGAATTGTGTAGGGTTTATTCCCGAGCCTTTTCTTCTCCCAAAGAGAGAGGCAGGCAGCAAGGCAGCAGAGGTTAAGGATCTTTCTTCTATTTAATGGGCTCCCTTCCCAGGTGGACGAGCCCCATCTGCCCCTCACTTCCCTCCACAGCATGTGCAGAGACCACCTTCTGGACCCCTCTTGGTCTCATCCGCTCCATCCACTGGAGCCGATCTTCGCATGCAGGAGAAGCCCCTAACTGTGGGTTTGAGACCCACTGACTCCCCTCACCTGGTTTAGCTGGCCAGTCATTACACCCAGCCACCCCTCCCTATTTTAGGACCCACCCCTGTTCATCTGATTGCAAATTGTATAAACTTATTTTATTATTATTTATTTTATTACATTTGGAACATAGGAAGCTGCCTCCTACCGAGTCAGACCACTGCTCCATCGAGCTCAGTACTGTCTGTACAGTGGTACCTCGAGTTGAGAACTTTGCCCCAGGATGAGAACGGAAATCGTGTGCCGGCAGTGCAGCGGCAGCAAGAGGCCCCATTAGTGAAAGCACGCCTCTAGTTTCAGGTTTCAGGTTAAGAACAGACCTCCGGAACAAATTAAGTTCGTAACTAGAGGTACCACTGTACTGACTGGTAGCAGCACTCCTGGGATTCAGGCATAAAGTCCTTCTCAACCCTGTTTGGAAGCACCAAAGATTGAACCTGCGATCTTTTGCTTGCAAGGCAGGTGGTTCTACCACTGAGTAGGGCTGGGCAATATCTGGTTTGCAACATCGTGATATATTACCAGCTAAACATATACAATGCATCACAATGTCTGAAATATTGTGGAGCTAGGTAGCGGCATTGGCTGGCTTCACATTGTGATTTTTGCACAGCACACACACCATGATTTGTGATATATTGCCCGGTCACAAATTATGAAACCACTATCATATGGACTTCAAACCAGTTTTGGACGATCTACCAATTTATTGCCCTGCCCGACCACGGAACCATATATCCCACCTTTTCTCCAAGGAGAGCTCCAAGTACATGGCTCTCCTCCTCCAGGCCTCATCCTCCACAACAACCCTGTGAGGTCGGCCAACGATCTTGTATATTTATACCACTGTCACCTGGCACAAGTGGGGAAATGGCTCTCCCCTTGGGCCTGCAGAACAAACTAACTGGAAAGCTAAGTTGGATACAGCATGCTGCTGGTAACGCCAAGGTTGCAGGTTCAGTTCCTGTAAGGAACAGCCGCCTGTTCCCGCATTGCAGGGGGTTGGGCTAGATGACCCCCAGGGCCCCTTCCAATGCTACGGTTCTTATGAACTAAAAGCTAGAGAAAGTGCCGTGTCCCCACCTGCTTGAGCGAGTGATGCTGCTGTGCGATCTGCTCGGGTTTGGTCTGGACGGGGGAGGCCGCCTGCTGCAGTATCCGCTGCTCGATCTCCTGCTCCTGCTGGAGGGCCTTGACGAAGGCGGCCTTCAGCCGGCTGGTGTGCTCGGCTTTCAGCGCCTTCTTCTGGTTCGAGGACATGCATGTCTCGCACATGATGGAGCCGCTCTTCTCCTCCCGCCACCGGCAGGTGAAGTCCGTCTTGCACTGGACGCATGTGTAGGGGTCCTGAGAGGAAGGGGCAGCAGAAACCTTGCCTGCAGGGGGAGGGAGAAACAGAGTAAGTCAGCCCAGAAGAAGAAAAAACGAAACAGGACAGCCTTTCCCCACCCCCAACCCATCAATTGCCCAAAGTTGTGGGATGCACGCTGGTCACAGAATTGCAGAGCTGGAAAGCACACCCAAGCCCTGTTGGAAATTCGCCAGCTTGCGATGCCCAGGCGCTAAGATGGCACCTGACTCTCCACCATCTGGAAGTGCCTGCCTGGGGATCCTTGGACCCGGACGGTTTTCGCACACTGATACCACATCCTGTAGAAGTCTATCTGTTATATTTTACCTGCACAATCAGAATGCATTTTGGGAACGAAAATGCTTTCATTGCGCAGGAGCAGTCAGGATGGAATGGGCCAATAAATATGTGGGCTGCCCCTGGATTCTTCTTTAAGTTCTCAAAGTTCTTAACCAGGCTCAAGGTTGTCATCTGAACTAGCCAGACGTTTAACTAAGAATCAATCATGGTCAGTCCAACATTTGAAAAATAAGACTTTAGAGCCGTCTTGCCCCCCCAATGGTAACTGGACATTCCTTTCTGGCAACTGCAACCTTGGTTCAAGGAGACATTTGGTGCCTAGGTGACAGAAACCTCTGCTTGACAGCCTCAAGGAAGGAGAGCCCACTACCTTCTGAGAAAGTCTGTTCCACTGTTGAACAGCTCTTGCCCTCAGAAAGTTCTTCCTAATGTTCAGTTGGACTCTCCTTTATTGTCATTTGTAGGGTTACCATACGTCTGGGAAAACCCAGACAGACACGTCCTCTTTTTGGAGGCCCAACATGTCAGATGGGCATTGTCAGGGAACTGCCATCAGTGCCGGAGGGAGAGAGCAAAATCCAGAGGGATTCCGGAGAGCGTCCAGAGATTGGGAGGAGCAGCCCATCTTCTGGGGAAGAGAATCAGCGTAGCACCAGTGGAGAAGGGGGGCAGATGGGGGAAGGGGCAAGGCGGTCCCATGACTCCTTGCCTGGGACCAGCGGGGAGAGTAGGGGTCCTCCGCTGCCCACGCCCTCCTTGCGCAGAAGGCTTTCGCGCAGAGAGAGTAGGAGGAGACTAGGCGTCAAAGAGCTTCTTTGCTGGAAGAAGTTTAAGAAACGCCCACTGACGGATTCTGCCAGCGATTGAGTCAGCCACAGGTGAGTGGCTGTCCGGACAGAAAAGGTTCACTTAGGCAACCCAGCCAGGTGTTTGCACCCAGCCGGGGAGATAAGCACCGGCTTACGCACGAGCAACCCCTGGAACCATTACAGGCATGTTTTACATTTTAAAGGAAATGTCTGGGTTTCTTTGGGCTCAGGCTGTTCTGCCTGCTGTGGCGTTTCTAGTCATCTGAATCCATTGGTTCAAGTCCTACCCTTATTCTTACTAAACAAATGAAGTGGATTAGCAATCCTTCCATCTCCGCAGGGAATTCTGGGAGGGGAATGGGGGCGGGGTCCTCCCAACAACTCTCAGCACCCTTATCAAACTACAGCTCCCAGAATCCCTTGGGGGACACCACAGCTGCTTAAAGGGATATCACCCTGCTTTAAACGTATGCCTTGGATTCCAGTTTAAAAAGGAGAAAAGAAGGATTTTTGATGGAGGAGAGAATGTCTGTGCACATCCCTCTTCTTACCTTGAGCTTCTAGGAGGTTCTGCACCACCTCCTCCAAGCCCACCAGGTAGATGAACTCGTTGTTGGCCGCGCTGGGCAGGAAGTTCATCTCAGGGGCCGGCGGCTTGGGCGGAGGGATCTCCAGCAGCGTCTTCTCCAGCTGCTTCCGCAGCGCCAGCTTGGCGGCCGCTTGGCGGCTGGCAGGGGAGTCATTGGAGTTGACGATGGAGGCTACGCTGGTGGCAGTGGCTGCAGCGTTCACCTGGGCCGCCGTCACGGCCGCACCTTTGAGCGAAGTTGGCGAGGCCTGAGGGAGCGGGAAGGAAAGAAAAAGGGGTCGTGTTGAGCTGAGATTCCTGCATGGCAGGGGGTTGGACTAGATGACCCTCAGGTCCCTTTCCAAACCCTATGGTTCTGGGACTCTTATGATTCATGCAGACTGCACTGCCCTGGTGCCGTCACACTGAAATAATAGCTCATTGCTTGCTTGCTTGCTTTTAAAAGTTTTGACAGTTGCTACCAGTAATTTGATCACTGGCTGCAAAAAAGATCGGGAACAATGAGTTAGATAAAATTGCTATAAGCTGCTTTGGAGATTGGGAGGTTTAATTTGAAATTAAGCTCATTTTCCGGTGTCTCCTTTTGCCCACACCACGGATGTCAGTTTATATCGCAGGTGTATGTTCTGCCTTATCTTGTTAATATTACGGCTACAAACTTGTCATGGCCTTTGGCTAGATTACAGTGCTTCCCCAACTTGGGTCTCCAGCTGTTTTTGGACTACAACTCCCATCATCCCTAGCTAGAAGGACCCAATGTCAGGGATGATGGAATTGTAGTCCAAAAACAGCTGGAGTCCCAAGTTTGGGAGACCCTGGGCTAAAATAATAATCTTAAATAGTTTTCTTGTTTTATTAATTTTTTAAAAAACAATGAAGCTGAGTATAAATTTTATGAAATAATGATATATTATCATAATCACCACCCTAGTTTATTGCCTACCATTCACCCTAAGGTCCTACGGCAGGTTACAATATCAAAAACACTTTTTGCTTTATTTTGTATTTATTCCATTTATATACTGCACTTTATCCAAAGATCCTATGGTGGTGTACAACATTATATAGCATAGTAGTAATTTAAAAATCACAGAAAAAAACCTGTAATAACAGACTCCACCCCCCCTTAAAAGGTCATAGATTGTTTCATGGTCAAAGGCCTGGCTTAAGACTTTAAAACAGGCTTTGCAGTCACAAAAATAAGGCAGGTTCTGAAAATATACCCCTCAGAATTCAGTAGCCAGGTTGCTCACCAGAGCAAGATGGTTTGAGCAACTTGAAGGAGTGTCTCCACCCCCATTGTTCAACCAGGGCACTGAGGTCCGCCTCCCTGCCTCAAGTGAGGTTACAGGGAACCAGGCAGAGGGCCTTCTTGGTGGTGGTGCCTGTCCTGTGGAATGCCCTGCCATCAGATGTCAAGGAAATAAACAGCTGACTTTTAGAAGATATCTGAAGGCAGCCCTGTTCAGGGAATTTTTAATGTCTGATGTTTTATTGCTTTATTATTATTATTATCATTAATTCTGTGGCGAGCCACCCAGAGTGGCTGCGGAAACCCAGCCAGATGGGTAGGGTATAAATAATTTATTATTATTATTATTACTATGCACCAGTCCTGGTCTGACTGCACTCACTACCAATTAGTTTCCAGTCCCAATTCAAAGTGCTGGTTTTGACCTATAAAGCCTTAAACGACTCAGGACTGCAATACCTTAAGGACTGCCTCTTTCTCTATGAACCTGCCTGGACCCTGAGATCACCTTCTGAGGCCCTTCTTTGTGTACCTCCTCCTCAAGAAGTCCAGAGGGTGGCAACACAATAACAGGGCCTTTTCTGCAGTGGCTCCCTGTCTGTGGAATGCTCTCCCCCCAGGGAGGTTCACCTGGAGCCTTCATTATACAACTTTAGACACCAGGCAAAAACTCCAATGCCCCTTTAAAATGTGTTCGGGGAGGGGAGGGGGATTACTGGGTTGTTCCTGTTTTTGTTTTTATTATGCACTTTGTGTTTTTTATATTGTGGTTTTATCTCGTGAACTGCCTTGAGACCTGAGGGTATAGGGCGGCATACAAATTTAAATAAACAACAATGTGTCTTCAGCATTTGTCAAAATCTGTTTAGCGAAGGTGCCTGACGTATCTCTGGGGAGAGTTCGAAGGCTTAGGATCTGCTGCACAGAAGACCCTCCCCCTCCCCCAGCGCCACCCCCCTCCTAAAGCATCTGAAGTCAGAGAAATCGCCACTCTGCTGATCTGGGCACCCAAGAGGGTCTGCGGAGAAGGAGGCTGCCTTTCAGACTTTGGGGGCCCGAGCTGTTCAGGGCTTTGAACACCAACACGTGAAACTTCAAACCGGACACAGAAGGCGGCCAGAATTTTAGTAGCAAGAAACTGGAAAAACAGAACAATACCCAACATGGAAGATTGGCAAATCCTAATGGTAGAATATCTGCAGCTGGCAAAAGCGACAGGAAGAGTAAGAGGCCAGCCAAAACAAAAAGCCTTTAAGGATTGGAGAATCTTTAAAGAATATTTAGAAAACTATGGAATAAAAGGAAACATCTTGGCAGAATTAGACGGATCCCTATATTGTATAAATGTAAGTTTGTAGGGAGGTAAAAAGAAATTATATAAGAAATATGTAACAGTAATGGATAGACAAAGTACAGTGAGATAAATTGGAAGTCAGTTTTAAATTTCTTTTCTATAAATTTTATAATTGTGTTCAATACCAGGAGTATATATGATGATAATTATATCAATCTTCTTATATCTTATAGTGTGGTGGTTTGTTTGATTTTTCTGTTACTTGTTTGTTTGATTGTATGTTTGTTTACTTGTATGTACGTCTGTTTTTCATAAATGTATTTATTTTAAATTAATAAAGATATATTAAAAAAACAAAAACAAACTGGACACGGAAGTGAACTGGCAACCACTGCAGCTGTGTTTAAACACGAGTTATATAACATATAAATGGGACCCCAGCCAGTACCACCTGGCTGCTGCCTCTGGGGTGGCGCCTGCCCGCCCCCCCGCCCCGCTCTTGCAGCTCCTCACCTGTGGGATGTTGACCAGGAGGCTTGCGTTGGGGACGTTGGCGACGCGGATGAGGCCCTGCTGAATGATACGCTGGCCCTGGATCTGCACGCTGGGGACGGAGGCCCGCGGGGCCAGGAGCAGGGGAGGGGGCCCCGAGCTGGAGTGCTGGCGGATGTTGTGGATTTGCTGGGGAGACACAGAGATGGGCTGATATAGATGGGATCCGAGGGGGGATGGAAGAGAAAATTTAGAAGAGGGGGAGTGGAGGATGACAGCCAAAGGAGGAAGAAGGCAGAGAGGAAGATGGCGCAATGGGGGAGATGCAGAAAGGAGGGGGAATAAGAGAGCAAGAATATTAACTTCTTTTTCCCTTTGAAGACAAGAAATGGCAGAAAAACTGATCCTCCACTTATATCCCAGCTTTTCCTCAGGGAGCTCAAGGTGGCATACATAGTTCAGAACAACAACCGTGTCAGGTTGACTTGAGAGGAGATAGGATAGCCATCTTCAAATATCTGAAGGGCTGTCACATGGAAGAAGGAACAAACCTGTTTTTTCCTGCTCTGGAGGGTAGGACTCAAACCCATGGCTTCAAGTTACAAGAAAGGAGATCCCAACTAAATTTCAGGAGGAACTTTCTGACGGTGAGAGTTGTTCCCACAGCGGAGCAGACTCCCTATGGAGGTTGTGGACTCTCCTTCCTTGGAGGTTTCCAAGCAGAGGTTGGGTGGCCCTCTGCCATGGATGCTTAAGCAGAGATTCCTGCATTGCAGGGGGTTGGACTAGATGACCCTCGGGTCCCTTCCAACTCTACCATTCTATGATTCTATAGGTTGGTTAGGTTGAGATAGGCAGTGACTGCCTCCCTGCCCCCTGCCAGGCAGCGCCCAGGGAGTTTCATGGCTGAGTGGGATTTGCAACCTGGTCTCTCCTGTGTCCTGAAGTGACCCTCTAACCACTGGTTCTCCAGGGGATGATTGGGCCACACCACAAGGTTGGAAGCTGACAGTTCAGCCTTTCCCCATCTGCCAAACTCCCAGTCATACTGAAACACCCAACTGAATTCCACCAAGATTTAAGAGCATGGAGTTATCCATGTCCTTCGATTTCATAGAATCATAGAGCTGGAAGAGACCCACAAGGGTCATCTAGTCCAACCCCCTGAAATGCAGGAATTTCAATGGGTGTACTCTGAGTAGGGCTAGCAGCTGATGCATCCCGATGTCTGATTGAAGCGCCATTTAAAGCAGGAGCCCACTACAGAATCATAGACCTGCCGAGTTGGAAGGGATGCTGAGGACCACCTAGTCTAGTTCAACCCCCTGCAAGGCAGGAATATGCAAGCTGTTCCATACAGGGATCGAACCTGCAACCCTGGCATGATCAGCACTGTGCTCCATCTAACTCAACACTCTCTACACCAGAGCTTTCCAAATTCTTCATGTTGGTGACACACTTTTTAGACATGCATCATTTCGCGACACAGCCATTCAGTTTCACTAGTAAACTGGAGGTTAAACTAACGCCTTTTGCAGCCCCAGGAGGAGTGTAGGGAGTGTTTGTGCAACACACCTACACACTGCAGCCGACACACTAAGGTGTTGCGACACAAAGTTTGGAAAGCTCTCCTCTACCCTGACGGACGGTGGCTCCCCCAGGGTTTCAGAAAGGGGTCCCTGCTTAGAGAAGCTGCCGTAGACTGAACCCAGGACCTTCTGCCTGCAGGGTGCATGCTCTACCCCTGCGCTGCAGCCCCAACCGAGCCCTTCAAGCTGAGGCTGTGGGGGCGGAAAGAAAACGGAAAGCCCAAGGTGGAGAAAAGCAGCTCACCTGTGCTCCTCTCACCAGAGGAGGCATGACTATCTGCGTGTTCTGCTGAGAGCCCAGCTTCGAAGATGCCTGCTGCCCTCCGCGGATCAACGGAGGAGGAATAACAGTCCCGGGAATACGTGAGGAATTCTGTATGGCACGAGAAGACAAAGGAAGTGAAGGAGGAAGTCCGTTCTATAAGCACCCCACCCACCGATGCATCATTTGTCGCCAGAATCTTTGCTATATTCTTCAGAAGGTTGTGAAAACAGACCAGTGATTTCCAAAACGGACTAAAGAACAGCGTTAGGGCCAGTGTGGTGTCGTGGTTAGAGTCGGGCTAGGATCTGGGGAAGACCAGGGTTTCCCAAACTTGAGTCTCCAGCTGTTGTTGGACTACAACCCCCTTCATCCCTAGCTAGCAGGACCAAAAACAGCTGGAGACCCAAGTCTGGGAAACCCTGCTCTAACCAATCCACACTGGCCCTCATCACATGGTCGCTGACAAGGCACAATCACAGGGTTGTTGTCAGGGAATTAAACAAGGAGAGGGAGAATCATGTAAGCCACCTTGAGTTCCATGGAGAAAAAGGGGGGATATAAATGCAGCAAATAAATAGATTCTCTTGGGGGTGGGGGGTGATGTCTTTCTTGCCCCAGAACCTCCAAGTAGGCTGCCTGTTGCCCATCTGGGGGTGAGTGGCTGTGGGAGACTTAAGGTCCCAAGAGTCAGCCTCTGTGGCGTCTTTACCCAGCAGAGGCTTCTTCCTGTTGTGTTTCTGAATAAGCAACTTCCCTGGCCTCAGCCTCCTTCAGCTTATGCAGCAGACTCTCTGTACTGGGCTACATTTGAGGAGACTCAGTCAATCCCAATGCAGAGAGAAGGTGTCTAATTCTTAACCGCTGGTTGCTTAAAAAGAAGAGGGAAGGAGTGAAATGTGGCAGCTTTGTAATTCAGGAAAAAATATATATCTGGGCAGCACCAGTGTAGATTTTGGTTCCCTTGCTGTTGAACAGCTTTGGATTTCTGTCAGACCTGCAAACTTGCACTGTTCTGTTAGTGTGAGCAAGATCTGCTTCCCAGTCCCAGCACAAAAGCTGACCTGCCTACGATTCAAGCAAGGCTGAATATTTGCTGGTCTGAACCAACTTGCAAGAGGTCTCATCTGCTGGGATGGCTCTGGAAGAGCATTCGGGCCAACAAACTGCCTTCCCCTCCTTAACCTCCTCACTCCCCACCACCACCCCGAGTTTTTGTTACTTCTCCCCCCGCAAAATGCACACACAGCTTTGCTTCCAGTTCTGCCATGTGCAGACGGCTCCCTTGCGTGTACTGACCTGGAGGAGGGCTGACTTGCTGGAGGCGATGCTCTGCGTCCCTCGCACCAACGGTGGGGGAGTCGCCACGGCATTTCCTGAGGAGCCGGCGGGCTACAAGGAGCATCAGCCAAAAGGGGCACGTTGCAGGGGGTCGGGGGAGAGAGATCAAAGAGAGATCAATTAGGGAACAGACAATTGAAAATCCTTGGGAGTGTTGCGGTAGTTGGCTTCCCCACCTGCCCATACCCAGCACTCTCGCTTCCTGTGTCCTGGGGATACAGAAACTGCCTTGTATTGAATCAGACCATAGTCTGTCTAGCTCAGATTTGTATACCCCAAGTGGCAGTGCATTCAAGTAATCCATCAATTTTTAATGTATGTATCTATATCTATATCTTTATATCCACATCCATATATACATATATATATATAGCCAAAGGCCTTCACAACGAACAGCAGAAAGGCTTCCCTGTAAAACCACACAACGCAAGTCTATAAAAGTGTACAGCGTAAAAGTTTACAACATAAAATTTAAAATTACAACGCAGTAACATAGCTGGATTTCCCATCTTCCGTATACCATCTTCCCGGACTGCTGGGGCCATTAGGAGCCATTGCCCAACATCTCGAGGGTAACAAGTCTAGGGATGGGGGTGGGCAAAGGGGGAAGAGGCTTCTCAGTCCCTACAGTATTTTCTATAGAGCACACCCAGGCTGACACCCAGCAACCAACTGTACGTCTTGCTGGGATGCCTGAAAGCAGAAAGCAAAGTGGTAGACTGCTGCTGAACAGGGAAGTTCTGTTTGGCTTCTCAACAGCCGTTGACGGCTCCAAGCCTGGGATGGGGCACCCTGTGGGCCCCCCACTCCAGATGTGGTCAGGCTCAATTCTCAAGCAGCCCCCACACAGCCAGCTCTTAGGGATGCTGAGAGCTTGAGGCTGCTAACCCTGAATTGCCACAGGTCCCCATGCTTGCTCCAGAGGGAGGGGTGGTGTGCCACTGCGTTTAGAAATTAGCCTACTGAAATGTTGCTCCGCCCACTTCTGCCCCTGGCCCCACCCACCATGGCCATGCAGGGCCCTCCCCAGAAGGGAGTGTGGTCCTCAGGCTTAATCCCCATACCCCACCACTGAAAGAATTACCGTATTTTTCGCTCTATAAGACGCATCAGACCGTAAGACGCACCTAGTTTTTGGAGGAGGAAAACAAGAAAAAAAATATTCTGAATCTCAGAAGCCAGAACAGAAAGAGGGATCGCTGCGCAGTGAAAGCAGCGATCCCTCTTGCTGTTCTGGCTTCTGGGATAGCTGCGCAGCCTGCATTCGCTCCATGAGACGCACACACATTTCCCCTTACTTTTAGGAGGGAAAAAGTGAGTCTTATAGAGCAAAAAATACGGTTCTTTAAGCCACTTTCCAGAACAACATCTCTATTTGCCTGTTGTTGGGGGTGTGTGGAACTGGGATAAGTCTTTGAATGTACTGTTTATCAGACTCTGTGGAGCTTACTTCTGAATAGGCTTGCAAGGGATTGGGAATATTTTAAACAAGGGGCATCCAAGGGTGAAGCAGGGCAATCTTTATTCTAGGTGACTTCACCCAGAAGGTTTTTGCACCCAGTGGCAGCGTGCGGCCAAGAGATTCTCTCAGAGGAAATGCAGCCCTCGATGGGCTGCTCACACCTGGCCTACAGTGTTAGAAACTCATAAATAAGAGCTAGGTACCAAATGGCTCCTTCAACCAGGGTTACAGTCGCCAAAACAGAATGCTTAGTTGCCAATGTGGGACCTGACGGCTCAAAAGTCAATGTGACTCTTTGGTTCCTGAAATTCTTGGGACACCCCCCACCCCCAGCGCACAGCTGCCTTGGCAATCCACCGCGGAGTAGCAAGCGAAGCGTTCTCACCTTCTGAGCCGTTGTCTCCTTCTGTATCTGACTCTGCCGCAGTTTCTTCAGCAGGACGAGTTTCGCCTCCTCTAACCGCAGCTCCTCCTTCAGCTGCTTGATCATCTGCTCCCGCTCCTCGGGGCTGCTCTTCTGCAAGAGGGAAAGGGGGCTTAATTCTCCAGTTAGGGGGGTTGCCAAAAGGGTTGACGTTTTGGGGAGGGGTGTACAGGGAAGAGAGGCGACAGCCATGGGGAGGTAAGGGGTGCAGGACTGGCTCCAGACCTCCCTCCTCCCCTCCTTGCTCTATGGGCCCCTTTGACAGGTGGGTGGGGCTGCTCACCTGTCAATCACCTGCCATTACGGATGCCCAGTGACAACGTCACCTTTCATTTTGCTTGCCTGCAGGCGTGGTTTGGGGACAGCACCTGCAGACTGTCACATGTGGCATGTGACTCTTAATCTCAGGGTCATGGGTTCAAGCCCCACGTTGGGCAAAAGACTCCTAGATCACAGGGGGTTGGACTAGGTGACCCTTGGGATCCCTTCCTACTGTACAATTCTATGCGATGAAGCAGGCACCTTCACTGATCCCTTTTCAGCACTGGCTAAAAACATTTTTTGTTTAGACAAGCCTAGTCAGATATTTAGAAAGCTGGTGTGAGTTTTAATCTGCTTGCAGTCTACTGCATTTTAGCTTTTCAAATACCTTATTATTGTTAATTTTTCTTAGTGATATTATTTTTCAATAATAAAACAGTGTACAGTGGAACTTCAGAAGCCAAACACCTGTAAACTCGAACGTTTTGGTTCCTGAACGATCAAAAACAGGAAATGATTTTTCCGGTTTTCTAATGATTTCTGGAAGCCAAACGTCCGGAGCAGTTTCCCGCAGCCAATCGGAAACCATGCCTTGGAAGTCTAACGGACTTCCAGACGGATTCCGTTTGACTTCCAAGGTAAAGGTAAAGGGACCCCTGACCATTAGGTCCAGTCATGAAAGACTCTGGGGTTGCCACGCTCATCTCGCTTTATTGGCCAAGGGAGCCGGCGTATAGCTTCCGGGTCATGTGGCCAGCATGACTAAGCCGCTTCTGGTGAACTGGAGCAGCGCACGGAAATGCCGTTTACCTTCCCGCCAGAGTGATACCTATTTATCTACTTGCACTTTGACGTGCTTTTGAACTGCTAGGTGGGCAGGAGCAGGGACCGAGCAACAGGAGCTCACCCCGTTGCGGGGATTCAAACCGCCGACCTTCTGATCGGCAAGTCCTAGGCTCTGTGGTTTAACCCACAGCGCCACCCGTGTCCTGACTTCCAAGGTACGTCTGTATAGATTTTGGCACCCAGACTGAGTGGGCTCCAGCTGCCCCTGAGGGTAAAGCCCCAGAGGCTGCAGAAGTCAAGGCAAGCGGTGACTGGGTGAATCAGAGTTTTAGCAAAATGTGCGTGGATGAGGGGCAGAAGAGATGTACAAAAAGGGATGGCTTGTTTCAGCGCCACACCCAAGGAAAAGTCCCAGAGGAAGACAGAACAGGAGGAAGCAATGAAAATAGAAAGCTCACAGCCGCCTGGCCTGAATGCCCCGAGTGAGGAGAGGCAGCTACGTTAAGGCAAGGGCTAAGACTTACCATCAGCACCTCTGTGCTGGTCTCCTTTAACGGGATTTTCGTCAATCCATTCATTCTTGGGCTCGACGGCTCGTTGTCCGATAGTACTATTACATCAGGCGAAGGGACCCTCCTCTCTCGCTTGACGTCGCTGGAGGAGCCACCCCACACACAAAAAGAAAAGCAGAGAGAGAGATGAGAATAAATAACAGTAAATTAAGACAACACAGTGCAACAGTTCCAGCTGGCTGTTGTTCAATTAACACTCCACCTTCCCCAATGTATGTCCTTCAGAGAGGCTGCTGCGCTTCATCATCCCTGACCACTAGTCATGCTGGCTGCTGGCAGATGGAGTCCAGAAGCACCCAGAGCGCCAAAGGTTGTTCGGTCCTGCAGTAGGAAGAGGCATTCCTCTTTCTCAGGAGAGAATGGCTCTTCTAAACGGAGGCATTCCTCCACCTCTTGTACACAGCAACAGAACTTTTCAGGGCACTGTCCCCCCTGATCCCATAAACTCACCCCCCTACCCTGAAGAAGCATCGTTCAGAACAGCGGTTTGCACAGCCCACTGAAGCAAACAACACAATCAAATTCAGCAACAACTGGGTGCACATTCATTCAACATCCAACTGAAACTATTTAGTTTCGACAAAATCAATGAACTTGATCCAGGGATGCTGGCTTTTCGACAGCCATTTATACCTGCTAGGCAGTGGCACTGCCCACTGCCCACAGGTCTCTCAAGGTCCTGAGACTAGGAGCTTCTAGTTCAGCCCAGACACTTAGATCAAGCTCTGGGGGCCTTCTGGTGCTTCCCTCACTGTGAGACACGAAGCTACAGGGAACCCTGTGGAATGCCGTCCCATCAGATGTCAAGGAAATAAGTATTATGATGATGATGTTTAATCTTACTGTTTATTAGTAGATTCTAATGAATTATTGAATATTGCTTTATTTGATATGTTGTTCATTTGAAAGTTATTGTGACTTTTTATATTGATCAGATTGCTATTATTCATGTTTGATGTTTTATTATGTTTTTGCATATACTGGAAGCCGCCCAGAGTGCCTGGGGCAACCCAGTTTGATGGGCGGGGAACAAATAATAAAATTCTTGCTGTTGTAAATTAGCAGAACTTTCACCCCACTTGTAGCAAGTGGTCTCAAGGAGAGGTTTCTGCGGATGCTGCAATACTTAGAAGAGTCTCTAGAGGGCAGCCTAATGCAGTTCAAAATGCATCATTCCTCCAAATGGGGAGAAAAGGTGAGAGAGAGGTTATTCCCCTTCCCCGTTTCTTAAGAACCATGCCATATTTGTGGACCCGATAGGACCCCATGCAATTAAACCTTAACTCATTGGAGACCCACTAAACTTGAGAGGCTCAAGCCAGATATAGCGCGGCTTGTGAAAGAGCACACTTCTTCCTCTGCAAACATTACCCAAAGGGTCCTATTCCTCCTTAGAATCATAGTGTTGGAGGGGGTTCTAAGGGTCCTCTAGTCCAACCCCCTGCAGGAATATGTAGCTGCCCCTTATGGGGATCGAACCTGCAGCATTGGTATTATCAGCACTGGGCTCTAACCAACGGTGGTCTCCAGGCCACCTTTGCCAAGTCGCAAGGTGGTTAGATTGGTCTCAGCTAGGGCCTTTTCAGTACTGGCCCCGACTTGGTGGAACGCTCTGTCCCAAGAGACTAGGGCCCTGTGGGACTTGACATCTTTCCGCAGGGCCTGCAAGACAGAGCTGTTCCGCCTGGCCTTTGGTTTGGACTCAGTCTGACCCTTACGTTTCCCTCCCTTTATGGTTTTGATCTATGGGCTACTATTAAAATGAGGCTGCATATTAAAACACATTTTAACCTGTATTTTAAATTGGGTTTCCCCCCTATTATGTTTTAACTGTGATTTTATTGGTGTTAGCTGCCCTGAGCCCGGCTCTGGCCTGGGAGAGCGGGGTATAAATAATTCTTTTTAAATTATTATTATTATTAATAAAAAAAGTAAAGGTAAAGGGATCCCTGACCATTAGGTCCAGTCGCGAACGACTCTGGGGTTGTGGCACTAATCTCGCTTTACTGGCCGAGGGAGCTGGCGTACAGCTTCTGGGTCATGTGGCCAGCAGGACTAAGCCGCTTCTGGAAAAACCAGGGCAGCGCATGGAAACGCCGTTTACCTTCCCAACGGAGCGGTACCTATTTATCAACTTGCACTTCGTGCTTTCGAACTGCTAGGTGGGCAGGAGCAGGGACTGAGCAACGGGAGCTCACCCTGTTGTGGGGATTCGAACCGCGACCTTCTGATTGGCAAGTCCTAGGCTTTGTTGTTTAACCCACAGCGCCACCCGCCCTCACTTCTTTCAGTAGACAATAAAACAAGCCCCTAGCTCAAGTACTCTCTCACAGGCCTCCTCTTTATTTTGATAAGCAGACCTGATTCCAGAGAAGAAGATAAATAAATAAATAAATGGATGGATGGATCTAAACATGGGACTTTTGCTGCAGACTCGACTTAGTTTCCACTCGCTTGTTTTTTGGTTTGCTTTTTTTAAACATCATTTAATGCATTTACATCCCACCTTTTTATCCAAGGAGCTCAATTCTTTCCTCACCCCTTATTCTACCCACAGAACAACCACCCTGTGAGGTAGGTTAGCCTGAGAAGCAGTGACTGATACCCAGCGAGATTCATGGCTGAGTGAAGGGATTCGAACACTGGTCTCCCAGCTCCTAGTCTGACAGTCTAGCCCAGGGTTTCCCCAACTTAGGCCTACAGCTGTTTTTGGACTACAACTCCCATCATCCCCAACCACTAGTCTTGCTAGCTAGGGGTGATGGGAGTTGTAGTCCAAAAAAAGCTGTAGGCCTAAGTTGGGGAAACCCTGGGCTAGCCACTACACCGCACTGCAGAAGAGCTCTTCCAACAACCCTCAAGGAAATAAGCAAGCGTTCCTGTTGTCTCTGGCGGTCGTCATACTCTGAGCAGAGGAACCAAAACGCATGGACACAACTAACATTGTGCAATACAGAAAAGAGCCCTGCAGCTGAATCAGGCCAGAGGGGAGCCATCTGTTGGTTACAGTGTGGTGCTGAGAACACCAAGGTTACAGGTTCAATCCCCATAAGGGATAGATGCATATTCCTGTACTGCAGGGGGTTGGACTAGATGATCCTAGAGGGCCCCTTCCAACTCTGATCCTCTTGTCCTCACAGTAGCCAAATAGATGCCCCAAAGGGAATCCCACAAGCAGGACTACAGCACAACACCGACTCTCCCCAGTTACGACTCCCGGCAACCCATATTTAAAGGTGTTTTATTGCCTCTGACGTGGAGCCCATTCATTTCAATGGGTCTACTCAAAGTGGAACTAACTTAGGTAAAACATTTTTCTTGCAGTTGATGCAGATACTGGCCAATGTACAGCCATACCTCATGTTACGTTCTTTCAGGTTACGTCCTGCGGCGACCCGGAAGAACCGGAAAGGATTACTTCCAGGTTTTGCCGCTCGTGCATGTGCAGAAGTGCTAAATTGTGCTTTGCGCATGCGCACAAGCGCCAAATCACGCCACACACCCGTGCAGATACGGCACTTCAGGTTGCGCTCTTTTCATGTTGCGAACGGGCCTCCGGAACGGATCCCGTTCACAACCAGAGATACCGCTGTACTCTTCCTTGAAAACTTTACAGCTCCGGCTTGTGGCTTTTTAAAGTGTCAAGTTTTGCAGGAATGAACTCTTGAGGAAGAAAGCAGTTTCTACCAGGCCAATGCCAAGTTCAGCAAACGGGGCATTCGTAGAGAGGGGACACAAACAGCTTACAATTTCAAACAATGAAAATAAGGCCCTCTCTTTGGGAGATACCTGGGATTGGGACGTCTGCAACATTCCAGCCCTGACTACAGAAGGGAATGTCCGGTCTTGATCACAGAATCATAGAACTGTAGAGTTGGAAGGCACCCCAAGGGTCATCCAGTCCAACCCCCTGCAAAGCAGGAATCTCAGCATCCTCTTCCTACAGAGGGCCCATTACACCAGCCTGCTTTCAACAAAGGAGATCATGCGCTTCCCTGCCACAAAATACTATCAAGCAGAGAGCTTCCCAAACCAATGGCTTCTGTTAAAAGCCCCAACACACCCACTCCTCCAATTTGCGAACTGTGCAAGATGTTTTCTCTGATCCTGAACCTCTTCTGCCTTGTGGGATGATGATGATGATGATATACCACCCTTCTTCTGAAGGTCTTTGGGAGAAGAAAAGGCTAAGGAATAAACCCTACTCAAATCCAGAGTGGAGTCCCTAAGGCAGTTGGATGGCGCCTTGTCCGCCTCCTTCTGGCAACTCCTGCATCCCAGCTGGTGCCCAACGTCTTGCTCTGATTTCCTTTGGATCCCCCATCAGTGAGGCTGAGAGGGGGGTCTTGCTGTCTGGGCAGCCCAGGACCCCCAGACCCACGGCCCAGGCTTGCGCCCAGGGGGGAAGTCACTTCAGTGCTGCTAACACAGTGGGTTGGCTTCACCCCCGGAGGCAGACTCCATTGCCTCTCGAGACAGATGGCAGCAGCGAGATGTAAATTCAGCCTGGGAAGTGGTCGGATTTTGGGTTCAGAAGCTCCTGGTTTGATGCCCAGCATTTCCAGACACAGCTGAGAAAAAGAGACCTTGTATCTGAAACCCTGGAAAGCCACTGGGGATCCTGAGCTGCACTCTTGCACAGAAAAAGAATTGGCCAAGTTTTAACCCCTTCTGCTACGTGCAAACTAAAAATCTTTCGCACACATCCACAACGCACACGGTCACCCTTGCATAATCAGTTATCACAGCATCATCATAAGACGGTGAACTCCCCCCCCCTCCATGCCGCCAAAAAAGTCACATGATTCCATTGGTCATGTGGATTAAAAAAACAACCCAAAAAACAATTCCTTTCCACATCCTGGAAAAAGTCATGGCAACCAACCGGTCGGAACCGGTTTCGTGACACATTTGCTTTCATTTTGTGGAGTGGGAAGTTGTTGTTGGGGTGGGGGGAGGAAGGAAGGGAGGAGGAGGAGGAGGAGGAAGAGGAGGAGACAGGTAGTGGAAAGAAAATGGAGGGGGTCGGAAGGAGGAAAAGTCTCTCTCAATCAGACACACACACAGAAAAAAAGGGCAGGCAGGCAGGCAGGCACGAAGAACCTTAAAAAACTTTCTGAAACCAGCTGAACTGTGAGATTCTGCAGAACCTGTTTTGTACACCTAACATTTTTTTTTATTTCTGCATTTAACATTGTCATTCCTCCTGCTTCGTTTTAAGGCACTAATTTCATTGGCTAAGTTGCATCATTTTGCATAATATCTTTATATATTTATTGCAGCGACTACCAAACAGAAACTTTCTATTCTTATGGCAATACATATTATGATTATTATTTATATTTGTATACATTCATTAAATTTATATATCGCCCTTCATCCAAAGATCGCAGAGGGTAGTTTACAACATAAAACCACAAAATGCATAACATAGTATACATATTTTTTAAAAAAGCAAACCAATACTATATCATGTTTGTAGGTGGGTTTCATCCAACTAAGAGTAGACCCATTAAGGAACTTAAGGCAGTTCATTCATTTCAATAGCTCTGCTCTCTTGCTAATGTTGGATATAACCCACAATCGTGTATGGATTTGTTTTCTGTATTGATTCACATTATTTTAGATTTTTCTTATCTTTTTTCTTTTTACTGCAGCATTTATTGTTCATGTGGGTATTTCTATTTTTAATATTATCATTATTTATTTTCAATTATTTATATGCCGCTTATTAACTACAGCCACCAAGCAGTGTATAATAAATTCAAAACAATGCAAATATCTATTATGATCATCATCAACAATTTTATATACCTAAAGGTCCTACAATGCAAATGATTTATTTTCAACAGTTTATGTACCACTCAATTACAACAGCCCCTAAGCAGTGGATAATAAACTCAAAACAATGCAAATAACTATTAGAATTACAGTGGTACCTCTAGTTGCGGACACGATCCATTCTGGGATGCCGTTCGCACCCTGAAAAGTCTGCAACTAGGGCGGCACTTCTGCGCAAGCGCGGAGCGCGATAGAGCGCTTCTGCACATGTGCGAAGCGTGCAGAACGTTTCTGCGCAAGGTTTACCATGTTCGCAACCTGAAAAGCTGCAATGTGAAGCAAACACAACAAGAGGTATGACAGTATAACGTTAGAAGAGACCCTGAGGATCATGCAGTCCAACCCCCTGCAACGCAGGAATACACAGCTGTCCGGGAATCAGACCTGCAACCTTGGCATTATCAGCACTGCGCTCTAACCAACTGAGTTATTATTTTCAACAATTTATATACCACTCAATTGCAGCAGCCTCTACGGAGAAAGGTTGTTTTCTGCTGCTCCAGAGAAGCGGACACGGAGCAATGGATCCAAACTACAAGAAAGAAGATTCCACCTAAACATTAGGAAGAACTTCCTGACAGTAAGAGCTGTTTGACAGTGGAATTTGCTGCCAAGGAGTGTGGTGGAGTCTCCTTCTTTGGAGGTCTTTAAGCAGAGGCTTGACAACCATATGTCAGGAGTGCTCTGATGGTGTTTCCTGCTTGGCAGGGGGTTGGACTCGATGGCCCTTGGGGTCTCTTCCAACTCTAGGATTCTATGATTCTACGCAGCAGCGTATAATAAACTCAAAACAATGCAAACAACAGCAGCAGCTGAAAATGAAAATATCAGGGTATCCTTGTGAGCCTCTTTGGGTACAATGGTGGGAAATGTATGCAAATCTAGGAAGACACTGCAAGGAAAAACTGTGCACAAATTCACACACTTCTACTGCCCACAGTGCTTTTTAGGTTGGGCCTCCTCCCTTGTTCAAACCTCAACATACTTGGGAGCAAGCCTCCATCAGGTCCAGTGGAACTTATTTCCTCCAAAGATTAAAGTCCTTTTTCAGGGCGTTGGAGGAAGGATAATAGAATGGTTGCATTGGAAGGGACCCCTGTGGGTCATTTAGTCCAACCCCCTGCAACAGCTGTCCAGGCAGCTTTTCTTTCTTTTTTCTTTTACTGCAGCATTTATTGTTCATGTGGGTATTTCTATTTTTAATATTATCATCATTATTCATTTTCAACCATTTATGTACCACTTATTACAACAGCAGTGGATAATAACAGCACTTATTCCCTAAGCAGTGGATAATAAACTCAATACAACACAAAGAACTTCTATCCATCCATCCATCCATCCATCCATCCATCCATCTATCCAAGCTGCTTCTCCTTCATGCTGTTGGAAAGTTGCCTTGCACAGAGCTCTGGCTTCATTCAGCTCAGCCTTCCCTCCCCTGCATTGTTCACTTGGCAGCAACTGCCCAAAGTTTTAGGGGTGTGTGTGTGTGTGAGTGTGTGTGTGTTTGTCTTCCTCAGCCCCCACCTGGATATAAATCAGGATTAGAACCTGGGATGTTCTGGGTACAAAGCAGGTGCTCTAGCACAGAGTTCAGGCTCCTGTCTTTAAAAGACAAGAAGAATATTCTAGCCCTCATGGTTCTAGAACAGTGTTTCCCAAACTTGGGTCTCCAGCTGTTGTTGGACTACAATTCCCATCATCCTTGACCACGGGTCCTGCTAGCTAGGGATGATGGGACTCGTAGTCCAACAACAGCTGGAGACCCAAGTTTGGGAAACACTGATCTGGAATCTGAAATCATACAGGATGCAGAGTCAGAGCACTAGCTCAGTACTAAAGAACAAAGAATGGCAAGTATTGTCTCCTACCAATTACTGGTGGAAGCTGCCCAGGCGAGAATCTCGACTACCTGGAGATGGCAGGGACTGGACATGGGACATTCTGAGCAGAGGAACCAAAACTGACGGACACAACTAACATTGTGCAATATAGAAAAGAGCCCTGCATGAGGCCTTCCTCTAAAAACGTAGCAAGGTTCCAGTCCCTATTGTTCTGGATACACAGCAGATTTGAATGTCCCTCCCAGGTGTGAACACACAGGAAGAGTCATGTGAGTGTGTGCCTGCAGTAACTTATCTTGGGGATGAAAGAAGTCTCTTTGGAATCCAGGAAGTTTCTCCCCAACAGGAAGTAAAAAGAGCAGAAATAAATTCCATCTCTCCCACCCTCCTCCTCAAATAAAATAAAATATCTCAGAAGAACATCTTTGCAGAGTTTGAAATTGTGTGGTGAATAGTGCCTGTAGGGTGGGGTGTGGAGAACAAATGAACACATACACAAACGACACACACACAGAGCTCATCAGCATAACCTGTCCTCCCGGAAGAGCTGGTAGGTCAAGGATCCTTGTTATCAATCCCAAATAAATCTTTTAAAATTCAGCACAGCCTTAAACACTACCAGGCGTCAGGTAGTTTTCCAAGAAGGGTGAAGAGGCACCTGGGCAGGACGGGGCAGTTGATATTAAAATTAAAACGTGGACCTTCTCACATTTCCACCAATTGTGCCCACAAAATAAATGGCTCCAGGGTTAAGGGTTTAAAAGAGCAGGGAAAGCGGAGCCTGCAAATGGCCTCCCCAGAATGCTCCTTGCTCATCACCAGCCTTGGAAAACACTTTTTATAGATGGCTGCTGAGCGTGTGTCTTTTGGCCAAATGAAGGCATGCACTTACAAAGAGGACACCATGCCACTCGAGAAAAACTGCAAACTGCAGCCCAAAATAAATAACAACGGGCTTTTCACCTAAGACTGGGCCCAAGATTCTCCCACTGGTCTGCTTTAAGAACATAAGAAGAGCAGGCACAGGCAAACTCGGCCCTCCAGATGTTTTGGGACTACAACTCCCATCATCCCTAGCTAACGGAACCAGTGGTCAGGGATGGTGGGAACTGTAGTCTCAAAACATCTGGAGGGCTGAGTTTGCCTCTGCCTGAAGTAGAGTCTGCTAGATCAGGTCAATGGCCCATCTAGCCTGTTCTCGCAGGAGCCAACCAGGTGCCTTTGGAAAACCTCAGGTAGGACCAGAGCGCAAGAGCAGCTCTCCCCTCCAATGGCCAAGGATGATGGGGAGTTGAACATCTGGAGGGCCACAGAGGCTCCCCATCCCTGCTATGGAAGGAGGTCCCCTTGGTGTTTTCCTGAACTAAGATGTCACATTCATTTTGCATGCAAGAGATGGAGGAGTGCGTTCGTCTAGACCAGGACCTTGAAAGACCTGCATCCCCCCAGGGGTTATACAGAGTCAGACCCTTGGACCCATGAGCTCAGAACTGCCCACTCTGACTGGCAGTGGATCTCAAGGGCTTCAGGCAGGAGTCCCTGGAGATGCCGGGGATGGGCGAGAGCTGGGAGAATGCCTCTCTTCAGAAGAGCAATTCACCCTGAGAAAGGAGAAATGCCTCTTCTTCGATCAGGGACAGGGAAACCAGTGGCCCTGCAGATCTCATGGGAGGAATGCCTCTTTTCAGAAGAGGAATTCTTTTCTGAGAAAGGGGATTGGCTCTTCTTGGATTAGGGATGGGGAAAACGTGCATCCTTCCAGGTGCTGTTGGGACACCCAAGGGTGGTATTATAATAATAATAATAATACAGTGGATGCTTGCGTTGCGAACATGATCCGTGCGGAATGCACGTTCACAACCCGCAGCAGTCACAGCCTGCAGCGGCACGTTTGCACACGCGCGGGTTGCGATTCAGTGCTTCTGTGCATGCGCCAAAACCCGGAAGTAACCCGTTCCAGTACTTTCGGGTTTCAGCGGGTCCGTAACCCGAAAAAACACAACATGAAGCGTCTGTAACCTGAGGTATGACTGTAGTAGTAGTAGTAGTAGTAGTAGTAGTAGTAATAATAATAATAATAATATACACTATCCATCTGGCTGGGTTTCCCCAGCCACTCTGGGTCGCTTCCAGTACATATAAAAACACAATAAAATGTCAAATATTAAAAACGTCCTGATACAGGGCTGCCTTCAGATGTCTTCCACAAGCTGTGTAGTTCTTTATCTCCTTGACATCTACAGGCTACCTACCTTTTCGAGGTGCTCATGTCCACCGGCTCGTCTCCCGTCTGCACCTCCACTTTGATCGTGGCTTTCATCTCCCCTCCTTTTAACAGTCCCTGGACTCTCCCAGATGTGGGTTCACTCTTCACCTTGAGGTCTCCCCCTTCTGCGTTGGCCTCGGGGGCCCCCAGGAGTCCCTTGTCCATCTTCATCTTCTTGCAGTCCACGTCGTTCTGGGTGATCTCCCGCTCGAGGGCGCGCTTCTGACTTCGCGTCCGGCAAGCTTCTTCTGTCATTATGGTACTCTGATGGAGTGGGGAAGTAACACAAGGAAAGGAAAAGGGGAGGGAAGAGGAAGAAGGTAAATTCATCCAGGCAACACAGATCAGAGTATCACAATGTGGTTTTTTTTTAATAATAGCAATAAAGAAGCAGCAGTCTGAACTAGCTGCTTAGAGAGTGCAAAAGTGGGTGCTCAGCTCTGTTTCAAGCAGAACTCACAACGCAATTCATGGGGAAATGGAAAAATGCGAAGTCAAAATGGGTTTTTGGAAATCAGGGGCAAGTTCACTGCAAGAAGATATGGAGACTCCCTACCCACAATTTTTTAAAAAAACCTGCTTAATTTTGCTTGCCTCCCCCTCCCCTTTAAAAACCTGCCCGTTATCCTGAACACCTGCTTCTCATGACTGAAAGTTTCCAAGTCCCTCCTGGCACATCCTGGGGTTTGGAAAAGGCCCTGCATTTTATTTTTTTAAGGTACAGAGAACATGCCTTTTACTGCTAAAGAGATCACAGGCTTTATTCCGCCACCGGCCCTAAAAGCCACCAGAGAGAATGTCTTAAAGGAGAAGGGCTGTGGGGGAGCCATTCTCTGCACCCCTCCCTCCCCACCGGTTTTGCACAGGAAGTGCTCAAAACTCGTGGAAGTAGTTGGGAGAGATTTGGGGGGCTTTAAAAAAAAGTTTTTTTAAAAGTGGTGGTGGGGTGGAGGGTTGCATTTTGCCCCCACCCTGGGGGGGGGCGTGTGTTCCCTCTCCAATTGTACCTGCAAGAGAGGCAGACACACACACACACACACACACACCAAACCTCTTCTGATTTGGGGGTTGGCGTTGCGGGGGTGGGGAAGGGCAGGGAGCAAAGAGCTGAGTCAGTTTGTGATCCCATGACATCACTGGGTCCACACATGACCCTTTCCCAGGATTCAGTGGGAGAGACAAAGCACTTTCCAGAAAACCGGTCTGAACTGGTTCCAGACAACAAGGCTATGTGTTGTTAACCCCTCGCAGCAGAGAGAGCGCGAGAGCGGCTGCGGCCACCGTCCCTGCATCTGCTTGTGGGTGGGGTGGGGCTGGGGGGCTGCAGATGGGCATTCCAGAACACAGAGTCCCAGGGAATAAATGGGAAGGGGGTGGGGGAGACCACCCCACCGCGTGCTCTTAAAGGGGCAGCGCAGGTGGTGGTCAGCTGGCCGGGCTTGAGAAAGCCATTTTGGAGAAGCGGGGTGGGATGGGGTGCCCACAAAAGACAGATGTAGAAAAAAAGGGGGGTGCGAAGTCAAGGACTAGGGGGTGTGCGATGAACACCATGAGCCCAGCCCCCAGGAGGATCACCCAGCGGGGAGTTGGCAAAGAAAAAGCAACTTTTCTCCAAACCAGGAAGGTGGGGGGGGGGGGAGGGAAGGTTTCCCAGGATGCATTGCACAGGAGGAAGAAACTTCCCCCTCCGTAAAAAAACAAGGTGGAGGCAGGAAAAGCAATGCTTTTGCCGCAGGTGGCCTGTCCCTGCAACGGAAAACCCTTCCAGACTTCACAGAGCCGAAGCAGCAGCGCATTTTGCAAACCACGAGGTCTAGGAAGCTGCTCTGTCAATTTGGGAGAGAGGCAGGATTCTCTGGCGCCCAGCCCGCTGCCACCGGCTGCCAGGGGTGCCAACCTGAATAAAATATTGAGGTGGGGGGGTAGGTAAGCCCCGCCCCACAGAATCGAGCACATGCTGCGGTGTACGCACACTGTTTGAATGGCAATGCCTATCAACTTTGGAGAGGGGCAGCCCCCAAATATGTTATGGGGGCCCCAAGGGACCTTGGCCCCTAGGAACTGGCTCCTCAGATCAAGGGGCTTGCCCACCCCCCTCCGCAGATGGTGTAGGGACTCCCCTCTCCCTGCAGGCAGTGCAGCCAATGGTTAGGAGTGGTGGCAGTCAGAGCCCAAGATCCAGGGGGGTTGCAAGGGCTCCCCATTCCCAAAGCTCACAATTTGTCTGCAGAATTTTGCACCCGAAGAGAGCTGTTGTTTGTTTGTTAAATTGGTACAACGCCCTGTCAGGGCGGTGGACAGCACAAAGATGCAGAACAGAAGCACAAAATGCGGCATGAATAAAGTTGTGTTTGTGTGTGTGTGTGTAAACACCTTGCACAACCGGATCCCAGCAGGACTTAAGGAGGAAGGAGAACTGGACCTACAGTTACGCTTGAAGTGCTCCCTCCTAGGGGTAGGGAAGCCACAAAACTCCTGGGCAGAGACTCCTTTCAATGGGCAAGGAGCCTCCCAACTCTGCAATTCTATGATTTAGTGGTTAGTCCAGCCTGCAAACTAAAGGAAGAAGAAAACCTCACAACCTTTGTCAGTTTCAGCCTAGTTACCTCTCTGCAATTCTCGACTCGCCACTTGCTTAACACCCACCACCCCTTTTCCTGTCTGTCACAATAATGGGGGACAGGCCCTTCTATCACGTAGAAGACAGGAAGCTGGGGTTTGTTTGTTTGCAGCCCCAGAAACTTTTTTTTTTAATACCCCCAACCGCCTCCCTTTAAAGAAATGGAGACAAACCTGGTATAATTCAGGCAGTGTCTTTTCCAGCATGGGGTGCCTCGTGACAGAATCCTATCACATATTGACATAAATTCACCTCCTGCTCGGAAGAGAGGCGAAGGGAAAAGGAGCTTGCGGGAGAGTAATACCGCTTTCTTTCGCCACTGCAGGGAAGGTTATAAGGGAAAGGAAAGAAAAGAAAAAGCAAAGGGTAAATTTCAGTTTATGAAGGTGAGGAGAGCCCTGCAGCTGGCTAGACCAGAGGGGAGTCCCATTGAGTCCGGCATCGTGCCCTCACAGTGGCCAACTAGATGCTCCCAAACAGAAATCCGCAAGCAGCAACAACTCTACCCAGCGGCTCAGCTCAGAGAAAAAGAAATCGGTTATGTACAGACATTTCCATACATAGCTGCCACTACAGCCGCCAGAGCAAGTTCTACCTGCTGCCCGAAAATAAAGGAAATCTTTCTTGATCCTGTGAGTTTTGGGCAACCAGCTAACTCTGCGTGCAAACAAACGTACTAGGAAAGGGGCGGTTTGCAACACATTAAAACATCAAATCAAACAATCCAGAATAAAATAAATTCAAGCTTCAAGGAAAATATTTCAGATCCTTCTAAGGGACCCCAGTTGCCAAACTGGAACCTAGAGGTCTCCGTGTGGTCGCAATTGGGCCTGCGCCAGTTGCAAAAGGTGCCTGCTAATTTCTAACTGCCTGGAGAGGTGCTGCTGCCAGCCAGTGTAGGAATGCAGAGCTAGAGGGACAAGTAGTCCGGCTGCATAAGGCAGCTTCCAAAGTTCCTATTTCCACCTCTGATGCAGGGATATTGAGGGATGAGCGTTGGGAAAGGGCATCACCCTCACCATATGGACAGGTCTACACGGGAGGAGGCATGCTTATTATTTGAACACGTTCCTTGTTTACCCATGCGGGTGGGACGCGGGTGGCGCTGTGGGTAAAACCTCAGCGCCTAGGACTTGCCGATCGTCAGGTCGGCAGTTCGAATCCCCGTGGCGGGGTGCGCTCCCGTCGCTCGGTCCCAGCGCCTGCCAACCTAGCAGTTCGAAAGCACCCCCGGGTGCAAGTAGATAAATAGGGGCCGCTTACTAGCGGGAAGGTAAACGGCGTTCCGTCTGCTGCGCTGGCTCGCCAGATGCAGCTTGTCACGCTGGCCACGTGACCCGGAAGTGTCTGCGGACAGCGCTGGCTCCCGGCCTCTAGAGTGAGATGAGCGCACAACCCTAGAGTCTGGCAAGACTGGCCCGTACGGGCAGGGGTACCTTTACCTTTACCTTGTTTACCCAAGCATTTGGTGGTGGCTGAAGAAGACTGTTGCAGGCAGCCCTAAGACCACTGGATAGAAGAATGCTGTAACAGCTCTGAGATGTTTTTAATTGCAATTGCTTTAAAAATGTTTCAGCTTTATTTTTGGATTGCCCATCTCTCTGCTGCCCTGGGCTCCTTTGAGAGGAAGTGGTGGGTTAGGGTTATGACAGGCGCAACTGGCCTTGTGGCTAGGCTTACCTTGCAGGGTCGTTGTCTACAGCAGGGACAGGGATGTTGAAGCCTGTGTGGGGTGGGGGCAAAGCACTCTTCCTCTTGAGTGTTTTTGTCTGGTTGGAGTCATAGTTGGAAGGGACCACAAGGGTCATCTAGTCCAACCCCTGCAATGCAGGAAGCTTTTGCCTAATGTGGGTTTCGAACCCACGACCCTGAGAGTAACAGTCTCTCAACCAACTGAGAATTGCCCTGGAATCCCGATCGCGCCTCTCGTTTGCCTGGATGCATGCAGAGGGGCATGTGAGAGTCCATGTATAGAAACTAGCTTGCTTTCTAAAAAACATCAATGTCATCTGAACAGAAGCAGCAACAACAACCCTGCGAGGGAGGGCCACATGCACAGACCTCTCTGAGCTCCTTCTGGAGGAAAGTAGGGGTGCAGGGAGGATAAACCGAACAAGCCAATGAAAAACAGAAAGCCACTCAACTTAGCATGCGGAACGGCAGCCTCTCTGGACAAGAACCAGGGCTGCTGCCTCCAGCACTAATGCAAATCAAAGCCTATATCTTAAGGAAATGGGTCTCCAGAGAGAGCAGAATGCTGGAGAGGCGAAGAACAATCCCCACTAGACAACCAAGGAAAAACATCGGTGTGTAAGGAAGGCGAAGAGAACAGGACGATTCCATGGCTACCAGTCAGGATGGCTGCTGTTCTGCCAGCACGGTCAGAGGTGGTAAATGCCTCTAGATCAGGGTTTCCCAAACTTAATTCTCCAGCTGTTTCTGGACTACAACTCCCATCATCCTTAGCTAGCAGGACCAGTGGCCAGGGATGGTGGTAATTGTAGTAAAAAACAAACAAAAACCCACCAATAAACAGCCTAAGTTTGGGAAACTCTGCGGTCTGGATTCCAGTTGTGCTTGTGGGCTTCTCATGGGGGCATTTGCCTGGCCACGCTCAGGACAGGATGCTGGGCTAAATGGCCTGATCCTGCGGCCGCAGGGCTCTTTTTATGTGGCGAGCGCTCCATGCGAGTGCAAATAGCTTGCGCCAACTTTCATTTACAAGCTTTTCAATGTCAAGTGAAACAAAAGTTTCCTCTGCCTGGACCTTTTTTATTACACTCTGGTCCAGGAAACACTCTTCCTCCCTTGATCCTTATAAACCCACTCCCTACTTATTTATTCTGTTGAATCAGAACCGTAGAGTTGGAAGGGACCCAAGGGTCATCTAGTCCAACCCCCTGCAATGCAGGAATCTCAGCTAAAGCATGGAATTGTACCTGTGGACATATGTATTTTTTTTTTAAAAAAAGGAAGGCCCCCTCCTCTCTCCAAGTAAACAGAGTAGTATTCTTGGTTGTAGTAGTAATAATAATAATAATAATAATAATAATAATAATGTTATATATGTTTTAGCCTTAAAGAAAAGCAGAAAATAAAAGTTTCTCTCCTTTATGAAACAGGTCCCTTAAAAAACAAAAAACAAAAAACCCCAACACATTTTCCCTACATTCCTAGAATTATTTGGAAAAAGAAAAATATCAGATATTACAGCTCATATTCCGGAATGTAGCTGTCTTCAGTTCTACTCAGAGTAGCTCCTTGAAAATAATGTTGGGCAGGACAGTGCAATCCAGTCAGGTCTACTCTGAAGTAAGTCCTATTAAATTTGCTGGGGCTTACTCCCAGGTAAATAAGGTTTAAGGATTGCAGCCAAACTGTAGGTCCATTGATATCAACCAACCTACTTACAGCAGGACTCAAGTTGAATAAAGACTGACACTTATTTTAAAAGGCAAGTTCTATTTCATTAACCTGATATGTATGCGCATATATATATATATATATATATGCTATGTCTGAAGAGAGAGAAATCAAGTTGCATTTTGGGATTCTTTTTAAAAGGTGTGTGTGTTTGGAGTCAAAGCTTTAAAAACAAAACAAAGGGGGGGGGGGACTCTACAGAGTCGAGCTTTGAGCTGCAGCACACGAAGGGTTAAGCCCTGCCATCTTCATGCCATTCACTGATATGTCCATTAAGGGTGTTACATAACAAAATGGCAGACCTTAACCCTTCCTGTGCCACACATCCCCATCGCTTGTCAGTCACAGGAGCCAGTCTTGAGTTGAAAGCAGCATGAGGACACAACCAAAATACAACCCCCCCCAAACCCCCGCCTTTTTCTGGGGGGGGGAGTGTAGAGAAATGGGGGAAAGAAAGGACAGTGGGTGCTTTAAGGAACCCTACCATGCCTGCAAAATAAATAAATAAAAGTTGGGGGGGTGCACAAGTTTTGGGTTTTTTTTAACATTTTGTTTGGTTATTCAGGATTAAAGCTAATTAGAAGTTATTTAATTTAAAAGCCACAGGGCAGTGTGGAAAGATTCTGAAACATGTTGGTAGGCAGTATGTTTAATACTGGGGGTGGGGGGGGGGTGAAAGGGACACAGTGCCTCCCAATGTCAGGGCCAGGGAAACGTCTGTGTCCCTCCAGCTGTTGCTGGCCCCTCAGATCTCAGTAGCCCCCCCCCACGCATTGTTTGATAGAGTGTGTGTGCGCGTGCATGTACATGTGTGTGTGGCAATGGGAGTTGTAGTACAGCAGCGCCTGGAGGGCCAAGGAGCTCCTGCCCTCTGTGGATGGAACATGCATTACATGCGCACACAACTTCAGGATCTCTGAAGGGGATGCAGCGCAAGGAGCACCCTTCTTCCATACAACAACAGCCCCCCAAATCCCTCTCCTTTACACAAAGGGAAGAAAATGGGAACTTCAACTACTAAAAACAAGGGTCTGCGGCTGGGTCCTCATCTTGGTCACACTCATATATGACCACAACGCAGAAGCCAGGCAGTGGATACGGGGAGAAGGAGGTCGTGTTTGATGCCGCTTTTTCTTACAGGGAGTCCCATTGCAGGCGTCAAGTCCAACAAGTGTAGCGTTAGCCAAGGAAGTCAGGTTTCACCTCAAGTTTCCACCTGTTGACTTTTGGCAGCTGGTAGGAAAGGGCAAGGACTTGCCCCCTTACATACCTATGGGGCATAGCTGCCAACTTTTTAAAAGGGAAATTCCCTTATTCCGAATAGGATTCCTTGCAAGAAAAGGGAAAAGTTGACAGCTATGCTATGGGGTTAGGTCCTCCTTGCTCAAAGTCAGGTGGAGAAGAGAGCATCTGGGAGCAAGCAGAGAGGCTTCCCTACACACCACGGACCAGCCACCTGCATTTTACGGGTCCAGCCCTACCTGGGTCACTTACGGATCATGGCAATTTCACTGCAACACCCGGTCTCAAGTGGCCTTGTTTGCCAGCGGGAGAAAGAGAGGGAGGGAATGCATAGGGAACTAGGCTGCGCACACCTCAAACAATACAGGGTGGACTTCCTATTCCTGCCTCTTGCTCTCTCACACACAGATTTTGCAATGCAGGAATATAGGTCTGTCGCATCAAGCAGCGTCCGGATTCCCTCAGCGCCCAGCCAGAGATGTCTCGGGGGAACCCTGCAAACAGGAGATGAGCACCACCAGCCCTCCCTGGCAACTGATCTTAAACTCCAAAACTCAGGGGCTGTTTGAATTCCTCTCTGCCACCAATTTGCCTCCTTCGCTGCTTCCCATGGCAGAGAATTGCAAGAACTGGTTGTGCTCCTAACTAAAGGCTGCCCCTTAAACAGTCTCCAAGGTTTTCCTGGCTGTATCAGATGAGTTACTGCCCGTTCCTAACTGTGCCACCACATACCCCAGATTGTTTGTAGGGGGGCAGGTAAGCCCCCCGCCATAATTGATCACACATACCATTTGAATGGCAATGCCCATCAACTTTGGGGGGCCTTAGCCCCTCAAATATTTTATTGTGAGGACTCGAAGGGACCTCAGCCCCTAGGAGTGAGTTCATATGCTTGTGATGCACAGCTACTGCCTCTAGAGATTGGGGTGGGGGGCCTTGGGGGCAAATGCGACCCACTGTCCAGCCCTGAGGACTCTCTCTTTTTCCAGGCCACACCTCTTCTCTCCCAGGCAATGCCCCTCAGCATGGTAGTCCTTTCGCTTGGTTGTAATAACAGAATCACAGAACTGTGGAATTGGAAGGCACCAAGGGTCATCTATTCCAACCCCTTGCAGGTTAGGGGGCGGGTTAGACAAATCTGCACAGGACAAGACTTATCAGCAGATACCAGCCACAGTCACTTATGTTCTCCCTCTACTGTTGCTGGGAGTTGCAAGTGGGGAGAGTTGCTGCTGTTCAGTGTTAGAAACTCAGATATATAAGCTAGGAGCCAAATGGCTCCGTAGACCAGGTTAGGCAAACTAAGGCCCGGGGGCCAGATCCGGCCCAATCGCCTTCTCAGTCTGGCCTGTGGACGGTCTGGGAATCAGTGTGTTTTTACATGAGTAGAATGTGTGCTTTTATTTAAAATGCATCTCTGGGTTATTTGCGGGGCATAGGAATTCGTTCATTCCCCTCCCCCAAAAAATATAGTCCGGCCCCCCACAAGGTTTGAAGGACAGTGGACCGGCCCCCTGCTGAAAAAGTTTGCTGACCCCCTGCCATAGACCAAGGTCACAGTCGCCAAAACGAAATGTCTAGTTGCCATTCTGGGGTAAGTCGGCTCTAAAGTCTGATTTTCCAAATGATGGACTGACTGTGATTGATTCTCAGTTAAACATCTGGCTAGTTCAGAGGACAACCTTGAGCCAGGTTAAGAGCTTTGAGAACTTAAAAGAAGAAAAGTCACTTTATCCAGTTCACATATATACTGGCCTGTTCCAACCTCTTTTTCTTAATGGTTACTCAGACCATTCATGATGTGGGAATATTCTTCCCAACTCTGAGCAGGGCAGTGGGGGAAGCCAAGACAAGTGACAACAATTCACTATAACATGGTTCACTGCTCCTGCTCAGGCTGCACTGAAAAAGCATTTTCGTTCCTGAAATTTATTCCGATTGTACAGATAAAATATAATGGATAGAATTCTACAAGGTTGGGTATTAGTGTGTGAAAACCCCAGGCATGCACCTCCAGATGGTGGAGATGTCAGGAAGCATCCTGGCAAATTCACTTGGTCGCAAGTGGTCAAAAGCCAGCTGCAAAATGTGCCTGGTTATTTTCGAACCCTGCTGCTGTTGCACTGGGGTCCTGCTTTGGGTTTCCCATAGTGAACATCTGGCTGGCCACTGCAAGAGCAGGATGCTGGACTAGACGAGCCCTTGGCCTGATCCAACAGGCTGATTCTTACATTTGGGGCCTAAGTCCTTTATCAGGGCAGCTTAATGTTTCTGGGGGAACAAGAAGCTAGGGCTGGTCCCTGCGGATTGCCCTCCAGCAACTGTGGTACCTTGCCTTGGAAAAAACAGAATGGGAGAGTCCAGCTTTAGTCACCAGAACCAATTCTTATCATTTTCCTTTTTTTCCAGACACCAGGCCACAGTGACATCTTAAAATCATCATCCTCATCCTCAAGGGTTGTCACCAACTAAGTTCTCCTCAGAGAAGACCCACTGAAATTAATGGATCTTACACAGTCAAGTCCGTCAGTAAGAAAATAAGAATAGCCTGCTGGATCAAGCCCATCTAGTCCATCATCCTCTTCTCACAGTTGCCAACCAGATGCCCATTGTGGGAAACCCCAAGTCGGATTTGAGCACACGGGCCCCTCTGGTCTCCTGAAAAGCATTTGCTCCCTCCGACCGTGGCTAGCAGCCATTGATCGCCTCCTCCTTCTCCATGAATCTGCTTTAAAGCCATCCAAGTTGGGGGCCATTCCTGGGAGGAGTGAGCTCCACATTCCGGTTTCTGTGGATCCGCTCTGAGTTTGACTACTGTTGGGCTCAACCCTCCAAGTCACACAAGACAGGAAGCTCCTACCTGTCCCAGCCGTTCATGGGTTCCCAGGAAAGGTCTGCTCAGTCCTTCCGAAGGTTGTTTTGGGGAGGGAGATCCCGACTACAAGAAACCTAGGGAGAAGGAAAAAGAGAAAAAGGTGTACTGGCTTACTGGTGGGGCAGGCAGATATTTATACAAGAGGTTTGTAGACCTTAAAAACATAACCTGGTCCCTGCTGGATTTGGCCAAAGGGGGCCCATCCAGTCCAGCATCCTGTCCTCACAGCGGCCAGCCAGATGCCCACAAGGAGGACCAGAGCAACCAACTCTCCCTGCAACGGCATTCATAAGTATTTACTGACCATGACAGTGGAGGGAGAAGATAGCCATTGTGGCTGATAGCCACTGGCTTTTTTAAAAAAGAAGGGGTGGAAGAACTGAACATGTTCCCTGTTTGTTTTGTATCCCGCCCTATACCCACCAGTCTCAGGGTGGCTACAACATAAAATCACAATATAAAGAAGACACAAGATCTACCCACTCTGGAAGAATGGCAGATGAAGGTGATTGACTACATGGAATTGGCAGAAATGACTGGCAGAATCCGAGACCAGGGAGAAGAGTCGGTGAAAGAAGACTGGAAGAAATTTAAAGACTATTTACAGAAATATTGTAAAATTAATGAATCTTCGAAGGATGTTGGATAGAAACTAAGTGATTTCCAGTTGTAATGCTTTAAGAGATACGAAAAAAGGTTTATAAATGGGTAAAAGCTTAATGGTAAGGATTTGCTGAACTAACAAACTGAACTGGAATACAAAAAAGGGAGGTATGAGGAGGTCCGGGGAAATAAGTGTAAGGAAGATATGCTATGGAAAATTAATGTGTTTTTAACTGTTTTTATTTTGTATGTTTCTTTTTATTTTTCATTTCTTTGTTATACCTTAATAAGGGTTTTTTTTACTCTTTTTGCTGTATTTTCTTGTATTTTTATTTTTTGTTTTTGTGTAATTCTTGTATTCTTTGAAATTTTAATAAATATCATTTTTTTAAAAAATATCACAATATAAAAACACAAAATACACAATCAAAATAAAAACAAAAGCAGCCCAATGAACACTCTGATGCAGAGATACGAGCACCCTGCTGAAATAAAAAGCGTGAGCTGCAGAGCTCTTCTCAACCCAGGTGGACGGGTGGGGTTGTTCAGAGCAGGATTTGGGAATGCCTGAGGCCTTGCGGGAATTGCTGGGACATTGACTCTTGTCAGCCCCCCTAGGCGGCATGACCAACGATCAGGGACGATGATGGAACTTGTGATCCCCGCACCATCCGGAGGTTCCCCAACCTTAGTTTGCTCCAGGCTTCCCAGTCCAAAGGCCACATTCCCTTTTGAGGGTTTCCACCCCCCTCTCTATCCTGTATTCCAGGGTTCCCCAAACTTGAGCGTCCTGCTGTTTTTAGACTACAATTCCCATCATCCTTGACCATTGGTCCTGCTAGCTAGGGATGATGGGAGTTGTAGTCCAAAAACAGCTAGAGACCCAAGTTTGGGAAACCCTGCTCTATTCAAACGAAGACATTATTATTAATTGCCTTTACATCCCACCTTTTCCTGCAGGGAGCTCAAGCTGGTGTACATACTCCCCCCCCTCAGCATTTATAATTCAAACAACAACCCTGTGAGGTAGGTTAGTCTGAGAGATAGCGACTGGAGCAAGGTCACCCAGTGAATTTCCTGGCCAAGCAGGGACTTGAACCCTGGTACTAGCCCAACACCCTAATCACTACACCATGCTGCTGCAGAGTTCAAGGACATACCCCAGCCAGGCAAACAAAGCAGGGCCCTTGAACCTGAGGCCCCCACCCCTGTGGTCTACTCTGACTGATGGTGGGCTCTTGAGGTGTTCAGGTCAAGAGGGGTCTTCCCCCAACCCCAGAGGACCTGAGACCTTCTACATGCAAAGCAGGTGTTCTACTGCAGAGCTAGGGGGACTGCCTTCTTTCAGAAGCTGTTTCTAATATGGCTTCAGCATTAGAAATTCAGGCATATAAGCTAGGAGCCAAATGGCTCCTCAAACCAAGACTGCAGTTGCCAAAATGGAATGTCTAGTTGCCATTTTGGGGCAAGACAGCTCTCAAGTTTTATTTTTCAAAGGATGGACTGACTGAGCTTTGAGAATGTATAAAAGCAAAGTCACTTTTATCCAGCGACAGCCCACAAATCTATTGGCCTATTCCGACCTCTTTTTCTTAATGGAGACACGGACCATTCATAACATAGGAATATTCTTCCCAACTCTGAGCAGGGCAGTGGGGGAAGCAAAGACAAGTGACAACTATTCATTATAACGATGTTCACTGCTACTGCTCAGGCGGCACTGAAAACATATTTTGGTTCCTGAAATTCATTCCAATTGTGCAGATAAAATATAACTGATAGAATTCTACAGGATGCAGTATTCGTGTGTGAAAACAGTCCCAATCCACGGATCCCCAGATGGTGGAGCTGTCAGGCGGCATCCTGGCACCCAGGAATCTTCCCTTGGTCACGAGTGACCGATAGCCAAGTGCAAAAAGCGCCTGGCTAATTTCGAATGTTGTATGGCTTGGCCCCAGGGGTGGGGAGAGAGAAAAGATTGTCTTGAAGTCCTAACTGAGAGTAGTTCTTTGGACACGGACTTGACATTATACTCAGCTTGAAAAGCAAAAATGAAAGGAAACAACCAGTGAGAATGTACCAGGGCAAGAGGCTCTGCTTTGAGCCAGGAAGTTGGTGGCTTAAGTAGATCTATAAAAAAGGTGCAGCCCATCCACACCTAGTCACCCATGCTGCTTTTTCACACTGTAGTGGGGCGGGGGGGCTCACAAAGTGGTTGCAAGGCTGTCCATGGTACTAACAGAAATGTCCCTCCCTGTCCCATCACTATGTGAGCCGTGCAGAACCACCCCCAAAATCTGAACCACGGCACCTCCACTGCCAGTATTTGTTTGGCCAGGATTCTTGGCTTGTATCTAAGCTTAGCAATACTCAAAGGAGACCCATAGCATCAGAGTAAATGACTTACTTAGGCCCATTAATTTGAATGCATCTGCCTTAGATGCACCAGCCTCTCCGGGCGGCTTCCAACACATAAAAACAAATTAACGTGTCAAACATTAAAACCTTCCCTACGCAGGGCTGCCTTCAAAATTCAAATACAGTGGTACCTTGGTTTAAGAACAGCTTAGTTTATGAACAACTTGGATTAAGAACGCTGCAAACCCGGAAGTAGGTGTTTTGGTTTGTGAACTTTGCCTTGGAAGCAGAACATGTTCCGCTTCCTCTTGAGTGTGTTCCATTTGTAAATTGAGTCCCCCGCTGCTATGGGAAAGCACGCCTTGGTTTAAAAACGTTTTGATTTAAGAACGGACTTCCTGAACTGTAGTTTTATTTCCTTGACATCTGACGGGAGTGTTCCACAGGGTGGGCACCACCACCGAGAAGGCCCTCAGAGCTGGGCATCAGCGTCTGGGCTGAACAATGGGGGAGGAGATGCTCCTTCCGGTATACTGGGCCGAGGCAGCTTAGGGCTTTAAAGGTCAGCACCAACACTTTGAATTGTCCTTGGAAACGTACTGGGAGCCGATGTAGATCCTTTAGTGTTATATGGTCCAGATGGCTGTTTCCAGTCACCAGTCTGGCGGCCGCATTCTGGATTAAGTTGTAGTTTATGAGCCTCAGCTGGATGCAACCTCTTGTGGCAGTGCATTCCACAAGCTAATTGGGATCTATTCTGCACAAATCATTGTTAAGAAGCTGCAGCTCAGTGGTCAAGCATCTGCTTTGCCTGGTTCAATCCATGACTTCTCCAGGGAGGGTTGGGAGAGACCCTTGTCTGAAGGGATGGAGAGCAATTGATGTCACTCCGTGCTGGACTCTGTATAAGGCAGCTTCCTATGCTCCCAGCATATGCAGCCAGCATGGGCACTGATCGGGGGTGAGATGATAGGTAGGAGGTAGAGCCCAGCAACATCCAGAGCATCCCAGATGTTCCTCCATCCTTGGCCTATATGGAGGGACACACCTCTGGGCTATAGATGGGCCCAGGGTCCTACTCTGCTGCACATATGGTAAGTATCAGAGAATCAGAGAATTGTAGATTTGGAAGGGACCACAAGGGTCATCTAGTCTAACCCCCTGCAATGCAAGAATCTCTTTGCCCAATGTGGGGCTTGAACCCATGACCCTGGGATTAAGAGTCTCATGCTCTACTGACTGAGTTATTTCAGCATCCAAGGCACATAACCCAAATGCTCACTTAAATAATGCTCAAGCGCACATCTGCAAACCAGCAAGTTACAGGTCGGGGCAACAGAATCCCAATACTGGAGGGGCTCTGAATTCAAACATCCACCCCACCCCACAAAAAAAACCACATTTTAAGCAAGGAAACACACAAATTCCTGGCCCTCAGGGATCCAAGGTTAGGCTGGAAAAACCACTTGAATAAATTAACTCTCCCTCCCACCCCAGAAACTTGGGATAGGGCAGAGGTCCCCTCCCCCAAGAGCTGTAGGAGACGAGAGTAAACTGAGTAACTGGCAAACGGTTCCTTTATACAGGGCCACAGATCATTTTATTATTGCGTGAAGCCTTGCTCTTCTAATTTAAAACAAACAAAAAACCAGAACAACAACATAAACGAGCCTCTCCTTGGGCAGTTTTGATCACAAACACAGCTGACACAAACCCCCAACTGCACAGGATTTAAAAACTAGAGTTGGAACACCTTTGCCCCCCCCAAAAAAGTAGCACGAGACTGAAAACACTGTTTTTCAACACACACACCCCCACTTAAAAACCCTTGTACCCCTTAGGATTCTGGAAGGATGGAAGTTGTGGATCTTGACAGGTTCTGTTGTTGTTGAAACAGGAAGCCCTTTGGGTGTGCCAGGCGAGGCGTAGAGTGGTATCTTTTGTAAGATTTATATATATATATATTAGGTGCAATGTTTCGGTCTCTGGTTCCCTTCCACTCTCATTCTGCTTTGCAAAGAAGAATTTACCAGCTGCCCGGCTTTCTGTAGGTTGCCTCCTGTTTCCCGGCAAACTCCAAGTCAACTTCTCTCACGCAACCCGCCCCCCCCCCACGAAACTGCCTTTTTTGGGGGGGTGCTTTGCTAACAAGAGAGGGGAAGAGAAAAAGGGGTCCAGCTTTGGGGTGCAGAAGGGCATGAACAGAAAGAAGCGAGCCCGGCACCCCGGACCACGGAATGGGGTGTTACCTATGCGCGGAAAGTGCCTGGCATCCCGAGCAGCTGGGAGCTGTGTCTCCCGTGGGCGTTTCCGAAAAGAGGAGGAGAAGGGGAAAAAGAAAGAAAGAAAGAAAGAAAGTCAGGGATAGGACTCCCGGGAAGAAGCTCTCCTTCGCCTCTTAAGGGAGCCAATAAAAGGAGGCTGGCGGTGGTGCCCCTCTTGTAAGCTGGTTTTAAGCTTCCGGGGCAGTTGCAGGAACGACCTTAGGACTCTGGAGTGGGGAGGGAGGGAGAGAAGGGACCGTCTTCAAAGAGGCAGGATTGCACAGCAAGATTAAGTCCCCCGCGCGCCCGGTGCCATTATGCACAAAAGCAAAGTGTGCTTGTGGCACAGGAAGGGGCTTGGAAATGGATCCTGCGTGTGCCATTAGCGCGGCGGGGAGGGGGGATGCCGCCCCACGGCCAAACAAGGCAGCCAGTCACTTACTGGGGGGGTTACTGTTGCTGCTGTCTGCTTGCTTGTTTTGCAAAAGTCAGCTCCGGAGGATGACGGCGGTTTAGGATTTACTGGGGGTTAAGGAGAGCAGAGTGCGCTCAGAGTCCCAGGAGAACCCGCTTCGCTTCCGCACGGAGGACCCCAAGTGGGAACTCGGGAAGCCGCTTTGTGTCGAGTCCATCTGGCTCCCGGGATTGCCTACACCGACTGGCAGCACAGGGGGGCCTTCCCAGTCCTCACCTAGGTTTGCACCCAGGACCGTCTGCCTTTAAAACTTCCGCTGCAAATAAAGGAGGATTCCATGTCCTCATCGTTCTGAATAAAGTGCTGATTCTGCTGGGAGTGAAAGAAGGTGCCCATGCTGACCAGTACTGTTTACACTGGCTGGCAGCAGCTCTCTTGGGTTTCAGACAGGGAATGCAAAGCAGGTTCTCTACCAATCAGCTACGGCCGCTCCCTAAACAGGAAGCTGTCTTAAACTGGGTCAATGGTCCATTGAGCTCAGTACTGTCCGCACTGAGTGGCAGCAGCTCTCCAGGGTTTCAAACAGGAGATATTTCCAGCCCTAAGTGGAGTTGCTAGGGACTGAACCTGAGACCTTCTGCATGCAAATCAGTTGCTCTACCATTGCCTTTCCTCCTTAGGACATCCATGGCAGGGAGTGCTATTTTGCTGCCTATATGCCCTGCCATACCCTGGTTGGGGCTATTGTTAGTTGAGGTGGTCCCTTCAACATTCCTAAGAATGCTGAGTGGCTCTGGATATACTGCCTCTAACCATGGAGGTTCTACTGGATCAGACCAGGTCCCCACATCCTCCAACCAGCCCAACTCAGGGAAACCCAGAAACAGGCTGCAAAGGCAACAGCCTTCCCTGGCATTTTTGGTGTCCAGCTCCTGGAACTCAAAAGATAAGACTGCTCTTCAATATGGAGGCTCCACAACAGCCACCACAGAATACATCACAAAGAGATCTGCTAAGCAGACGGAAGGGTCCATCTAGCAGGGTGGCTTGTCACAAGCCGACAGAACCCCAGACAGGGGCTAACCAGATGGCCACGGAAGGCAATAAGCAGGAAAAGGAAGGCCACTGTCCTCCTGGAAATGGAGGGACCGAACGCCATGCTGGTTCTGCCACACAAAACCGTCACACACACACTCCGCACCCCTGAGACAGCCCTGCTTTAATATTTCACAGAAAGGTGAGGAGAGACTCCAACTTACGATGCCAAGTGGGAATTTCTCATAAGTTTCAAACAAAGCACTTTGAGACATGGGCTGGGAGTGGAAAAGAGAGATACAGGTAAATTGTGGTTTGCTTATGTTTTTGTTTGTTTTAAAGGGCTAGGTCCAAGATTACATGACCTGTTGCAACAGCTTTGCAAAACTTTGTAGGAGCAGCAAGTGGTGGAGAGGTGTTTTTGAGGATATTTCAACTAGGGAAGCTTTGGGTTTCTTTAAAGGTGATGTTTGCATACAATCCTTCCCTGCTGCTGGATCAGACCCAAAGGAGACCCACCTAGTCCTGCATCTTGTCATCACAGTGGCCAGCCAGATGCTCCAATGGGATGCCCACAAGCAAGCAAAGACAACTCTCCCCTGCTGTGGTTTCCAGTAACTGGCATTCAGAAGCACCTACTCTCTCCCAACTGTGAAGACACGAGCATAGCCTCCTCCTCCTCGACTCTTAAATGGCTCCTTAAACCAAGGTCGCAATCGCCAAAACAGAATGTCTAGTTGCCATTTTGGGGCAAGACAAGTCTCAAGTCTTATATTTCAAAGGACGGACTGACTGCGATTGATTCTCAGTTCAACATCTGGCTAGTTCAGAGGACAACCTTGAACAGGCATAGGCAGACCTGGCCCTCCAAATGTTTTGGGACTACAACTCCCATCATCCCTGACCACTGGTCCTGTTAGCTAGGGATGATGGGAGTTGTAGTCCCAAAACATCTGGAGGGCCAAGTTTGCCTATGCCTGGTTAAGAGCTTTGAGAACTTAATGAGGAAAAGTCCCTTGACCCTGGGACGGTCCACATAACTATTGGCCTATTCCAACCTCTTTCTTTATGCTGACTGCTCCTGCTCAGGTTGCACAAAGAGAGCATTTTGGTTCCTGAGATTCTTTCTGATAGCGCAGATAAAATATAATGGATAGAATTATACAGAACATGGTATTAGTGTGTGAAAACAGCCCAGATCCGAGGATCTCCAGGCATGCACCTCCAGATGGTGGAGACATCAGGCGCCATCCTGGCACTCAGGCCCCATCAATTGGTGGCCGATATCCAGGTGAAAATTATGCTTGGCGCCTGGCTAATTTCGAACACTGGTTCTCACAGTAGCCAACCAGGAGGCTGTGGGGAACCCCCAAGCAGGACCTGAGCACAAGAGCACTGCCATTCATGGTTTCAAGCAACTGGAATTTGGAAGCAATTACTGCCTCTGACCATAGCCATGGTGGCTGGAAACCATTGATGGCCTGCTTCTTCCACCTCCACTATGACAGTCTCATCCTCTTTTAAGGCCATCCAAGCTGGCGCCCATCGCTGTCTCCTGCAACAGTGAGTTCCACAGTTTAACTCCGCACTGTGTGAAGGAGGGTGGTCCTGAACCTTCCACTGTTCAGCTTCCATCGATACCCATGAGAGAGGAAAACTTCACTCTATCCACTTAATTTCATAAACTTCCAACAGTCTTACCTCTTTCTCGCCTTTTCTCTACGCTAAAAAACCCCCCAAAGCACTTGGGGGGGAGAGCAGAGGGAGGCTGTGGAGGGGTATGGCCTGGGGCAAGTTTCAAGGGGCAGACACAGAGGTTGGGGGGGGGGTATTTGGCCCCTCAGGGGCTGAGGTTCACAATCCCAGATTTACAAATTGGTGTTGAATTTCTCCCTTCCAAGGCCACAAATGACAAATCTAGTACTGTATGTGCAACCGGGGGGTGGGGGGTGTTGTCGGTATTCTCTGTTATTAGCCACAATGGCAGCCCCAGGCCTCTGGAATCAAGTTACCAGCTGAAATCAAGACAGGGTCTCAGTGTTTTCGGCAGCTACTGAAGCATTTTGCATTTAAGGCCCCCTTTCCTTGAAGCAAACATTAATTGTGTAATTGTAGAAACGGTACCTGCTGATTTTCAAGAGTTTGGGTTCTTTTTTCCACTTCATCTTATTGAATGCTGATTCAGTAGCTGCCAACTATTTATAAAATTGTAAGATAGGTTACTAAATAAACAGAATCTTCATGTGACAAGGAAATATACCCCAGAACATCAAAAGCTGGGAGAGACACTGGAGGTGAAGTCCATGGCTCTCCAGCTCTCCTTAATGGGCTTTGTGGAAGCATTTGATGAACTTCAGAGAGAAGCAGGATGCTGGATCTGTGCCTCCCTGCCACATGACTGAAACAGAAAGCCTGCTCTTAAAATCTAGGAGGGTCCCACCGTTTGTTGAAAAGTTGGGTGATGATCCATCAGAGTATACAATAAGAACATCAGAAACTGCCTTTTATCAGGTCAGTCCCACTGGCTCCATCAGAATTTCTACACTGACTGGAACAGCTCACCAGCAGTGTCCGAAATCCCCCAGGTGCATTTTGTGACTGGCATCTCCACCTCGCTGGGTCCTCCAGCTTTCTTAAGCAGGTAACCAGCAGAGCTTATTTATTACCTTATTCTCCCACCTTTTTCTCCAAGGGATGCATGATTCACCCTCCCTACGATGACCCTGTGAGGTAGGTGACTGGCCTAAGGTCACACAGTGAGCTTCATGACTGCGTGGGGATTTGAACCCGGATCTCCTAGTCCTAGTCTGACCCAAATCACTATACCACGCTTGCTTCCTAGAGTACTTTTGCTATGGGGCAGCTATATAAATTAAGTAGGTAAATAAATAAATATGGGGAAAGCTAAATGTCACTTAGAGAAGGATCTGAAATATTTCCCTGGAAGTCTGAATTTGCTTTATTTTGGATTGTTTTATTTGATGTTTTAATGTGTTGTAAACCGCTTTGAGGTTTTTGCTTTAAAATAAAAAGCAGCATAGAAATGAACTGAACAACAACAACAACAACAACAACAACAACAACGGGGGGGGGGATGGTGATTAGACATTCTGCTGTGGTGACCACAACCCAGGTTAAAGGTGCCATCTGGCAATTAGCTTATATATATCTGAGTTTCTAACACTGCTCCACTGCTCTCCAGGGTTCCAGCAAACAGCCTTTCCCAGCTCTTCCTGGAAATGCTGGAAATTGAACCAGGAGCCATCTGAATACAAAGCATTACTCTGCCACCGAGCTACAAAGTACCCAGTCCTCAATGTTCCGAATAGAGCTGATTTACACAGGAAGCCACCCTATACTCATGTTGCCCACACTGGTTGGCAGTGGCTCTTTATTTGTTGCCATGAGGACTGCAATCTTGCGCTTTATTTTTAGGGAAGGGGCACAGGTGTACACACAAGGCCCCAGGTTCAGTCCCAACAGGCACCTCTGGGTAGGGGTGGGAGAGATACCGTATTTTTCCATTTATAAGACACCCCCATGTAGAAGACGCCCCCTATTTTGGGAGACTCAGATTTAAGAAAATGGGGGAGATGTATCCATGTATAAGGCGCCCCCTAATTTTTAACATTATTTTAAAGGGAAAAAACCTAGTCTTATACATGGAAAAATACAGTATCTGCTGCCTGAAACCCCGGAGAGCTGTGCTGCCAGTCAGTGTGGACAATACTGGTATTTGGCATAAAGAGTAGAGCTGGGTGATATATCAATATATCACCCCAAACCGGTTTGAAGTCCCTATCATGATATTGGTTTCATAATTCTTGACCTGGCAATATATCGTGAATCATGATGTCTGTGTGTGCGTGCGCGCATTATGCAAAAATCACAATGTGGGGGAAACTGTGAAGCCAGCCAATGCATCTACACAGCTCCATCCTTATTTCAGACATTGTGATATATCAGTAGATCGCGATGTTTGGCTGGTGATATATCGCAATGTTGAAAAGCAGGTACTGCTCAGCGAGGCAACTTGCTCTCATCCCAGCAAGCCCCTCGTGATGGCAGCCAGAGCTTTCCCGCCGCATCCTTGGCTTTCAGAGGCAGCAGGAGTTTTCGCTCCCGGTTCCCCAGTGGATTGCACAAGGAGAAGGCCTTAAAATGGTCACCGTAACAGTATGCTGGCACCAGCCCAGGACTTAATATAGCAGAGCCACACCCACTTCTTCGGGCCTGGTGTGTGTACGTGGGCCTGTGCGTGTGAGAATGGAGCTGCAATCGCCTCCTCCAAAAGCAAAACAAAAAAGTGCCCCCCATGCCATCCTCACCCACCACGTCAGACACAGAGGAAAGAAACCCCCCAAAGTTTGACATCCTTCCCTGCCTGCCTTCCCTTCACTAAAGGCGCGCGTGTGTGTGTGTGTGTGTGTGTGTGTGTGTGTGTGTATTGCACAGGAAGAAGTTGGTTCACTTGCTGCAAGAGAGAGGAGGAAATAAATTTTAAAAATCCATCTGGAAATGAAAAATGGTTCGCCCTGATGAGATCATAATCATTTCTTTTAAGAGGAGGGGGTTGAAGACGCCTGGAAATAAGTGTTTGGGTGGGGGCTCAATATGGAGTGTCCTGCGGCTGGATCTGGCCCAAGGGGGCCCATTTAGTACAGTCCGTCCCCCCCGTCCTCGCCAACCAGATGCCCCCCAATGAGAAGGCCACAAGGAGGCCTGGGGCACAAGAGCCACCAGCCCTGTTCGGAGGTAGACAGTGGAGGGAGAACCTAGCCCTAGTGGCCAGTAGCCCCTGAGAGACTTCTCCTCCATGTATTTGTCTTATTAATTCTATTTGTTAAAAGATAAACAATAATCCAACAACATTTCAGGCTTTGTAATCAGTCGGTCAACCTAGGACTTCCCTTCCCTTCCCTCCATGGTTTCCCCAAAATTTAAATTTGTGCTGCATATTAGTTACTCCATGTCTTCGCTTCTGCAAAAAACAAAAAAGCCACAAAACACAAAACTCCACCGTCCTTCCCATTGCTGTCCCCAGTCAAATCCTATTTGTGTCTTAACACGTTTACACTGAGTTTTTAAATAATCTACAAACATTTTCAAATCCTACTCAAAGTCACTCTTTTTTATCTCTAATTTTACAAGTCAGACTAGCCAATTCTGCTAATTCCAACTGCCACTCCTCTTTTGTAGGCACTGCTTCTCCCCACCATTTTTGTGCATATAGTATTCGAGCTGCCGTTGCTGCGTAAAGAAATAGATTTACCTGGTTTCTGAAGGGGACATCTGTTCCCGTTATGCCTAATAAAGAGGCTTCTGGACTTTCTGGGAGAATTACCTTAAATATCTTTTTTATCTCATTATAGATCATTTCCCAAAAGTGTTTAGCCACTTTACGCATCTATCACATGTGATGAAACGAGTCTTCTGCTTCTTCACATTTCCATCAGACGTTTGACGCAGATTTATGCATCTTCGCCAACTTAACTTGGTGTCAGGTACCACCTGTACATCATTTGCATTAAGTTTTCCCTCAAAGTATAACACTTTCTCCATGATATATAAGCCAGGCGCATGCAGGAGACAGACCCAGATGAAATGAGAGTCCTGCCAACATTAAAAAGACCAGCTCCATCAAGGCTCCTTTCCCACAACTGTCACCAGGCAGCAGCCATCCCATGAGGCTGCCTCTGAGGGGGAGATAAGAAGTGGGGTGCTTTCCATCAGAACTGCTGAAAGACCAGCCCCATTCAGCACCTCCTGCCACCGGACTGCTTCTATGCCAGCCGGCCTTTCTACTGTGTGGGAATCAGTGCCCGGCTTTGCTTTTTTCCTCTGCCCTCCCTGTCCCTTTTGCCTTGTGTGTCGTGTTTTTGTTTTTATTTTAGATTGCAAGCCTTGGTTTTACGTAAGCCACTTGAGGAAGCTTTTTTTGGCTAAAGAGCAGGCTATATTATATTAATTATATTAAATTTATTATTATTATTATCCGGAGGCTCGTTCGCAACATGAGCAGAATGCAATCCACATCTGCGCATGCGCGGGTCGCAATTCACCGCTTCTGCGCAAGACATCATTTTGCGTGTCTGCGCATACGTGAGCAGTGTAACCCAGAAGTAACCCTTTCCGGTACTTCTGAGTCGCCACGGGATGCAACCTGAAAACGCTCAACCTGAAGCAAGCATAACAAGAGGTATGACTGTATATTATATTATATTATATTATATTATATTATATTATATTATATTATAATTACTCTGCCCATCTGACTTGGCTTCCCCAGCCACTCTGCGCAACTTCCAACAAATATAAAAGCCTAATAAAACATTAAAACTCCCCTATACAGGGAATAGTTATCTTTCTTGTGATATGATGAAAGGCAGGGAGGCAGTGTCTTTGTAAGCTTGCCCACCGAAGAAAAGCCATTGAGGAAATGCCCTAATCACTAGGGACAATTGTAATTCTTACAAATGCGCTTAAATAAATAAATAAAAATCAAACAACAAAAACAACATTTCCTGCACTATAGAACGCAAACCAAGATCTGCTGTCTGATCATTTCTCCAACAAATCCACTGTATGATAGGAAAGTGCTGGTCCCCTCCATCCACACTGGACACTTCTGCAATTGCTTTAAAGCAAAGATGAATTAACAGAGCTAGCAGCAGGATGCATAGCCAGATTCATGAGGCCTGGCCCTTCTGGAGGAATTGCGGCCCTTCTTTTGACTTTCTAAATTTCTCAAGAGGGAGTCGCCGGAGAACTCCTGTGGTTGCTAAGCAACCACCTTGGGGACCTTAGCCTGGCGGACACCATTTCAAGAGGTACAATAGACACCCCCCCGCTATAATTATTATTATGTTCATATATATACACACACATTGCAGACAGGCAGGCTTTGTTTGTTTGCTGCAAAGTTTTGCTGAGGCCCCTAGCTTGGTACATTTGCAGCTCTTGTATATTTTGGGGGGAAAGTGTCCTTAAAAAGCGGGGAGAGAGAGAAAGAAAGAAAGAAAGAAAGAAAGAAAGAAAGAAAGAAGAGTTGGAGGGAGAGGCATTGAAAGGTGTCATTAACAGGAAAGTGAAGTTCTTAATTTAGCCACAAAGAGAGAGGTTGGCAATTGCAGGTGGGGGAGGGGAGAGAGAGAGGAAAAAAAGGCATAATTAGCCCAGAAAAAGGTTTCCTGCTGGCTGGCCAATTTGCCTCGATTTTTTGGCACAGAGGGGACCAAAGTCAGCTAGCAAATGAGATGCAAGCCCCCCCTTACCCTCTCTCCCCACCCACAGATTTTGTGATGCTCAGCTGCCCAAAGGTAGCTCAAGATTCCTGCCTTTTGCTGGGGATGGGCAAGATTCGCAAAGCCAGCATGGCTCAACTCACTTGTGGATCCCCCTTTGGGGGCATCTGGCTGGCTGCTGCTGCGAAAACGGGATCATGGGCTGCATGCCCCCCCCCCAAGCATGATCCACGGGGAAATCCAGATGTTCTTGCAGACAGCTTGAAAAAGAGGATTAGACGAATTCATGGGGGAGGAGACGGCTGTCAGTGGAAACTGAATACCAGTTGCTGGGAGCTGTAACAGTGGAGCTCTCAGACCTGCTTACGGGCTTAGAATCATAGAATCCTAGAGTTGGAAGAGACCCCAAGGGCCATCGAGTCCAACCCCCTGCCAAGCAGGAAACACCATCAGAGCACTCCTGACATATGGTTGTCAAGCCTCTGCTTAAAGACCTCCAAAGAAGGAGACTCTACCACACTCCTTGGCAGCAAATTCCACTGTCGAACAGCTCTTACTGTCAGGAAGTTCTTCCTAATGTTTAGGTGGAATCTTCTTTCTTGTAGTTTGGATCCATTGCTCCGTGTCCGCTTCTCTGGAGCAGCAGAAAACAACCTTTCTCCCTCCTCTATGTGACATCCTTTGATATATTTGAACATGGCTATCATATCACCCCTTAACCTCCTCTTCTCCAGGCTAAACATGCCCAGCTCCCTTAGCCGTTCCTCATAAGGCATCGTTTCCAGGCCTTTGACCATTTTGGTTGCCCTCCTCTGGACACGTTCCAGTTTGTCAGTGTCCTTCTTGAACTGTGGTGCCCAGAACTGGACACAGTACTCCAGGTGAGGTCTGACCAGAGCAGAATACAGTGGCACTATTACTTCCCTTGATCTAGATGCTATACTCCTATTGATGCAGCCCAGAACTGCATTGGCTTTTTAGCTGCCGCGTCACACTGTTGGCTCATGTCAAGTTTGTGGTCAACCAAGACTCCTAGATCCTTTTCACATGTACTGCTCTCAAGCCAGGTGTCACCCATCTTGTATTTGTGCCTCTCATTTTTTTTTGCCCAAGTGCAATACTTTACATTTCTCCCTGTTAAAATTCATCTTGTTTGTTTTGGCCCAGTTCCCTTTGGGCTTCCCTTTGGGGGGATCTGGCTGGCCACTGTGAAGACACGATGCCGGACTAGATGGGCCCCCTTTGGGCCTGATCCAGTCGCGGGCCTCTTCTGATAATCCGATTACGTCTATAGGATTGAGTTCTTGGCGTGTCGAACTGCATCAAAGCTCGCTGTTTGTTGGCTAACATTTTCAGCGTTGGCAAAGAAAAAAGGGGTGGGGGGTAAGTCTGCCATCGCTCCTGTGATTATTTGTACACCACTTCCGAAAGGGTGGAGGACAGCACCCTCAAGGTAGTTTCAGCAGGTACCTGGAAAAGAATCCCTGAGTTTTCCTCCCAGTGACATCACACAGTCCACTTGGCTGCGCAGAGCAGTGACATCACCATGACATTAGCGCACAACTCCCTGGCAGAGTGAACCAAGGCTGCAATCATAACCCCACGCACCTGGGCGTAAGCCACATTAGAGTCAATGGGACCTACTTCTGAGTAGACATAGTTAAGAAATGCCCATCCACCAAAAATTGCTGTTCGATCACCAAAAAGATTGAAATAAAAAGCAGAGAACATTCGGAAATGCCTTATTTATCAGTTATAATTATTATTACAGGTAACTAGACATGTTTCTCTGCCGTAGTCGAAACAAAATAAAAAAAATCCTTCCAGTAGCACCTTAGAGACCAACTATGAGCTTTCATGTGTATCTGAACAATTATGATTACATCTATGTATTTCACTTTTTCTCACAGGAGCCCAAGGTATGCACGACCCGCCTCCTCCCAATTCTATCCTCAGATGGGCGGGGTATAAATAATAAAATTATTGTTATTATTATTCTGAGCTAGATAGACCAGCGGACTGTCTCAGTCAAAAGCAGCTTCCTAGGTTCTAGGTTCCTATTTAAAACTAGGACCATGAGGACCAGCATCTATAGCTTAGTGGTAGAGCACCTGCTTTGCAAGCAGGAGGTCCCAGGTTCAACCCCAGGCAGCGCTGGGAATGTCTGCTGCCTAAATCCCTGGACAGCTGCTGCCAATTGGTCTTGACAGCGCTGGATGGAGCAGTGATCTGACTCAGCAGAAAGGCGGCTTCCGGGGTTCAAGGCTTCTTGAACCAACTCCCTGCTCCCTGAAGAACCTGTTGGGTTAGAAAGAGCAGCCTCAGAGGCTCTGCACTCCAACCACCTGAAGTCGAGTGGAAGAGGGTGAGCGGCAGGGCCTTGTCAGTAATGGGACCATGCTCTTGGAACTAATCTGCAAAAGAGGCGTCATGGTTACTATATTTTCAGCACCAGATGAGAAAACAGGGCGTGAAAGCTGTATTTTAGCTCTTAAGCTCTGTCAGTGCTTCATGCTGGATTTTAAAACTGCCTTCTGTTTAGAGCCGAGTTTCCCAAACTTGGGTCTCCAGCTGGTTTTGGACTGCAACTCCTCCCATCATCCCTAGCTAGCAGGACCCGTGGTCAGGGATGATGGGAATTGTAGTCCAAAGACAGCCAGAGACCCAAGGTTTAAAGCCTTTGAGGAACTCTCCCCTCTGGAAGCCTGCCTGGTGCCATCACAGTCAGCTTTTAGGCTCCAAACTAAGACTCCCCTTGGCCTTTTTGAGATCATGCTATCTTGACACCTGAGATAGAATCATAGAGTTGGAAGGGACCCCAAGGGTCATCCAGTCCAACCCCCTACAATGCAGGAATATCAACTAAATCATCCATGACAGATAAACAATAATACTAATATTAATAACAATAATACTCTACAATGGTGCGCATCTTATGGGTGGCTTTAAAAGGGAGATTGGACAGATTAATGGAGGTAAAGGCTATGCTCCATCTCTGTACTTCTGCCTGCCAGCTGCTAGAAAACAAAGGGATGTGGGGGGCGGCAAATACTCCTGTGTGTTTCCAACAGGCATCTAGGTGGTTGCTGTAAGAAAAGGATGCTGAACTAGACAGATGGGCCATTGGGCTGACCCACCAGGTCTCTTGAGTTCTTACTAGGTTGAGGTTTTCCTTACTTTGCTATATGGTCAGATAAGCATTTTCAGCCATTCTGGGACAAAGTTTTTTTTTGTTTTTGAATGTTTTTTATTAAGAGCATGCGTGCGCGCACACACAAAACACATATGAACTACAAAGAACTATTATGACTGTTTAGAGGCACTGTGGTCTGTCAATACTCAGTAGGTTCCAAAGATCAGCATATGGCAGAGGCAGCGTGATTTACGCATTCTGTTAACATGCATCATAAACCCTAGCTGATCAGAGACAAATCTGCCCCTCTTGACCTTTTTATTTTTACTCGGTAGCTTTTATTGCTAGTGTGATGCTCCAACTTCCTTTTACTCCGAAAGTGTAAGCCTGGATATATTATCCCAGAAGAGTGCTACTGTTAGTCTGGCTGCCACTAATGATTGGCAAATCAACACCTTGCTTTTTAAATCCTTATTATCATCAATAAAGATATAGTATTTAGGAAATTTTTGCTTCTTATGTGTTGCTTTCTTCTATCTTTTCAAAAATTGGCTTCTCCTTTATTTTTACCCATTTTGTATTTTATCTTGTTGCAAAGCCCCTTTGGGGCAAAGCGACAGGCAAGTGTGAATAATAATAATAATAATAATAATAATAATAATAATAATATTGCAATGGTGAGAAAGAGGAACAGGTTTAGGAAGCCATTGCCAATGGGGCTTTTCCTGGGGTGTGGGTGCATGGCTGATACTGAACCATGCCAATGCTAAATGCCAGGCCTGCATGACGTAGCCAAAGGCTGTCCCACTGTCAAGGAACCCTAAATATTGAACCTGCCACTTGCTCCTATTCCACTGCGGCAGCGTTTGCCTGCCTGCCTTGTCCTCCCCATCTCCCTCCTCAAGGAGGAACTCAAGACTGCAAACAGGACAGGAGTTTGCCTTCTTTGCTTATTTCATTTTGTAAACTGCTATGCACACAAAGTTGCTACAGAGGTAAAGAAAAAGGAATATATGCAATTTTTAAAACTGCAATTTGTTACTCTGCATCATTTTTTAAAAAACGCATTTTGCAAGAAGGATAAAGAGAGTCTAGCTTCTGAGTCAGGCCGAAGGGATCCCATCTAGTCCAGCATTCTGTCCTCACAACGGCTAACCTGATGCCCCAAAGGGAAGCTGGCAAGAAAGAGCTGAAAGCAAAAGCAGGTCTCCCCACTTGTTTCCAACAACTGGTTATGAGAGGCTTTATTGCCCCAGATAGTGGAGGGAGAACACAGACATCGTGGTCAATGGCAGCCTTAATTCTCCATGGACTGGTCTAAACTAGTATTTCCCAAACTTGGGTCTCCAGCTGTTTTCTGGACTACAGTTCCCATCATCTTTGACCACTGGCCCTGCTAGCTAGGGATGATGGGAGTGGTAGTCCAAAAAATTGCTGGGTACCCAAGTTTAGGAAACACTGGTCTGATCTAAGCAGCTCTGTACTTAATCTTGTTTTTAAGTTGTATTTTAATCAATTGTTTTTATACCTGGTGTTAGCCGCCCTGAGCCCGGTCTTGTCTGGGGAGGGTGGGGTATAAATAAAACATTATTATTATTATTATTATTATTATTATTATTATTCAGTCAGTCCAGCATCCTGTTCTCATGATGGCAAACCAGACACCACTTTTACAAAGCCTGCAAGCATAGCCTGAGCTCCCCACTTCTGGTTTTCACAACTGTACAGGTGGGCAGAGCACAGCTATCGGGCCCAGTAGCCCTTGAAAGCGCCCCTCCCTCCTCCACAGTGTTCAAAATCCCCCAAGCACCAGGCTCATTTTGCAACCGGCACGGATCCAATTGCAACCCTGCGGAGATCTCGGGGCGACTGAAATCTCCATTTGGCCGGCCCTTCCACCTTTCTTAAGCAGGTCAGCAGAACAGCTCATTTACTGCCTTTTCCTCCAAGTGGTGCATGAGTCACACTCCCTATGATGACCCTGTGAGGGAGGTCGTCATAGCCACTGCCCCACCCTGCCAACCTAGAGTCCTGCTATGAGGCAGCTCTATAAATCAGTGGTGTCCAAAATTTCTTCAAAGAGGGCCAGATTTGGTGAAGTGAAGGGCTGTGGAGGCCGACCAAAGGGTCAGCCAAAGTTGTTGACTTTTTTTTAGGATTGAGGTTGTTGAGGGTTTTTTTTTAGGATTTTACCCCAGGGAATTAACTGCCACAGGGGCCAGATTAAACTGGTTGGTGGGCCGGATTGGGCTCCCAAAACGGACTTTGGACATGCCTGCTATAAATGAAGTCACTGAATAAATTTGAGGAAAGCAAAATGTCTCTTGGAGAAGGATCTGAAATATATTGCTGGAAGCTTGAACTTCTTTTATTATGGATTGTTTCATTTCATGCTTTAATGTGTTGTATATCGCTTTGAGTTTTTTTCTTTAAAATATAAAGTGGTATAGAAATGAAATTAATAATAGTAATAAATTTTAGACGGGGGGAGCATCAAGACAGTCAGTGGTGGCGACCACAACCAAAGCTTAAGGTGTCATTTGGCAATTAGCTTTTATATCAGAGTTTCTAACACGGTTCCTCCACGAATTTATCTCCGACACTTTAATTTGCAAGTTGCTCCAAGACATCAGTGGAACATTGTCCAAATATTACCAGGAATGAATGAACAAATGAGACTCGCTCAAGGATTCCATGGAGGCTGTGTGTGTCCGTGTGTTAACTACATGCATCAGGGCGTGGGAGCAAGAGGGCACACAACACCAAATGCCCCCCCCACGGGGCAGATGCGTCCTTCTGCAGCACCCACCCTTCTTGTGCACCCCCCCAACTCAAACTCCCGGGAGACGTCTTAAGGATCCAGATGTTGAAAAACAGCCAAGGGTTGGGATGTTTGCCAAGTACACAGCGATGCTGATGCAATGCTGTGACACGACTACGCAACATCCTCCCTCCCCTCCCCCCCTTGCCCATTCACGCAGCAGCCAGACGCCAAGATGCCTTCGCAGCAGGAATTTTTTTAAAAAGTAGCATGGGATCTTCACCGTGCAGCCAGGTGATTGTAATAAGGCGAAGTTTATGCTCCCACTGACCCAGGAAAAGGAGAGGCGGGAAACAGGCAGAATTCTGGGTGTCTGTTGGGAATACGAGGGAGAACTCAAGGCATCCTGGGTCTCCAGCCTACCAACCCTGACATCCTGGCTCCTAACCAGCTGCAAACTCTGGGGAAACCTGCAAGAGTTATGAATGCACAGGGGCAGCTCTCACTGGGTCCATCTGGAGCAGTGTGGCCTTCCCGGACTGGTAGCTGCCCTCCAGGCTTTCAGAGACCCTACCTGGAGACGTCATTGGGGATAAAAGCTGGGACCTTTTGCTTGCAAAGCAGGTTCTCCCCTTCTGAGCTACGGCTCCTTCCCCACAGTGGCATTTACTTCTTGGTTTTTAATTGCATGTCTACGCCACCTTTTTCTCCTAAGAGCTCAAGGTGGCACACATGATTCTTCCCCTCCCTCCATTAACCGCCACAACAACCCTGCAAAGTAAGTTACCTGGAGGCAGGGAATGGTCCAGTGAGCTTCACAGCTGAGTGGGCATTCGAACCCTGGTCTCTCAGGTCCAAGTCTGACCCTCTAACCACCACACCACACCAGGGCTGGGTGATATATTGATACAGTGGTACCTCTGGTTAAGAACATAATTCGTTCCGGAGGTCTGTTCTTAACCTGAAACTGTTCTTAACCTGAGGTACCACTTTAGCTAGTGGGGCCTCCCGCCGCCGCCATGCGATTTCTGTTCTCATCCTGAAGCAAAGTTCTTAACCCGAGGTACTATTTCTGGGTTAGCGGAGTCTGTAACCTAAAGCGTCTGTAACCCAAGGTACCACTGTATATCATCCAAAACCAGTTTGAAGTCGATATTGTGATATTGGTTTCATTATTGTTTACCTGGCAATATATCGCAAATCATGGGGTGTGCGTGTGTGTGTGTGCGCGCGCGCTAAGCAAAAATCATGATGCGGGAAAGACCATGAAGCCAGCCAATGGCTCTACACAGCTCCATCCTTATTTTAGACACCGTGATATAGCAGTATATCACGATGTCGCCTAGCCCTACACCACACTAACTCTCGCCCCCAGTGAACAGCTAGCCTTACAACAAATCCTGTGTGAGAGGCCAACTTTTACCACACCTGTCTGTTTTAAAACCTGTTATTTCTGGAGACAACAAGGTTACCCCCCTGGAAATTATTACTTTGCAACTGCTGCAGACCTCTCCCTCTGTCTCTCCCCCTTGTGCTCAAGCCACCTTCCTCTTCTACTGAATTATGGGAGAGCTACCCATTTTAGCACGGGTGGCGCTGCGGGTTAAACCACAGAGCCTAGGACTTGCCGATCAGAAGGTCGGCGGTTCAAATCCCCGGAACAGAGTGAGCTCCTGTTGCTCGGTCCCTGCTCCTACCAACCTAGCAGTTCGAAAGCACGTCAAAGTGCAAGTAGATAAATAGGTACCGCTATGGCAGGAAGGTAAACGGTGTTTCCATGCACTGCTCTGGTTCGCCAGAAGCGGCTTAGTCCTGCTGGCCACATGACCCAGAAGCTGTATGCCGGCTCCCTCAGCCAATAAAGCGAGATGAGCGCCGCAACCCCAGAGTCGGCCACAACTGGACCTAATGGTCAGGGGTCCCTTTACCTTTTTACCCATTTTAGCAATATTTGGGTCTTACCCTGCCTTGACCACCTGTTAAACCTCACTCCCCCATTCAGAGTTTTACACACACACACACACACACACACCCCTACACCTTCACAGGGTTTTTTTTTAAGAGCAAGGGGAAGTACAGAGCTCAGAAGCGAAAGTAAAAACCATGAGCATTTGCATGCACGATAGCTTTTAACCCCAGAATCTGTAAAGCCACAATCCCAGGCCCTGCAAGCTCTGAAAAGGGGCAGCTGGGGGTCTTCAGTTCAATCAGCATGAACAGGCCTTATTTCCGAATAAGACTGCTCTTAAATAAATAAATAAATAAATGAGAGGATAAACTGAGGTACAGGGAAGAAGCCCTGCAGGATCAGGCCCAAAGCTTCCATCTACTGCCTCTGAGAGAGGACAGTCAGCAGAGAAATTCACTTAGCAATGTCAGGGAGTGGCATCACCCCAGTGATCTAGTCTTCAAAGACATGGTGCTAGCTTGCATGCCATGAGACTTAAAAGGAAGATTATCCATGGGCAAGAAGAATTGCTGGATCAAACCAAAATTCCATGTAACCCAGTGTCCTGTTCCCAACAGCGGTCAGTCACACACTCCAAGCAAGACCACAAGGGCAGCATTCAACTAAGTTTCACAGCAAGTACACCCGCTGAAATGTATGAATACGACCAAGACAGGTTTGTTAATTTCAGTGGGTCTACTCTGAGTAAAATGGAGCTGAATATCACTCCATGGCATCAGTCTCTGTCCTCTGCGTATGATAATAACTCTGCAAATGTAGCACAGAGGTAGCTGCCAGCATGACGTTCTCAGGCAGTGTTCGAAATTAGCCAGGCACACTTTTTGCACCTGATTATTGGTCACTTGCAACCAAGTGAAGATGCCTGGACGCCACAATGGCACCTGATATCTCGACCACCTGGAGGTGCATGCGTGGGCATCAATGGATTTGGACTGTTTTCACTTGCTAATACCACATCCTGTAGAATTCTATCTATTTTATCTGTACAATCAGAATATATTTCAGGAACCAAAGTGCTTTTTCTGTGCAGCCTGAGCAGGAAACAGCGGTTTAGTGAATTGTTGCTTGTTTTCTCTTACCCCACTGCCCTGCTCACAGTTGGGAAGAATATTCCTAGGTTATGAATGGTTCCTGTTACCATTAAGAAAAAGAAGTAGGAATAGGCCAATAGATAGGCAGACAATCCCTGGATCAAGTGACTTTTCTTCTTTAAGTTCTCAAAGTTCTCAACCTAGCTCAAGGTTGTCATCTGAACTAGCCAGATGTTTGACTGAGAATCAATCAGTCAGTCCCATCACTGGAAAAATAAGACACGAGAGCAATCTTGAACCACAACAGCAAGTAGACAAAGTTTTGGCAAATGGTTTAAGGAGCCTTTTGGCACCTAGCTTATATATCTGAGTTTCTAACACTGGAGCCCAACATCAGGAGGGTGACAGATTCCCCATTTGATTTAAGAGGCATCCCCTGCTCTTCTGGAGAGAATGCCTCTTTTAAATAGAGGCATTCTTCCATCTCTTGCATGCGGTAGGGAATGCTGATTCCCAGCAGCAGGGATGGGGAACATCTATAGGGCCCCTTCAGAAGTGTCTGGACTCCAGCTCTCATTACCCTGACCACTGGTCATGCCTTCCACCCAGATTAGCCATCCACCTTATGCTGTTTTATGGCAACATAAATCCCATGTTTATCTGTATTTATTTCCAGTGCTTGAAATTAGCCAGGCGCCAGGCACATTTTGCGACTGACACGGGTTCATTTGTGACCATGTGGAGATATCTGGATGACAGGTTGGCGAATGGCCCCTCCACCTCCAGCTCTCTTAAGCAGGTCATTTATTGCATTTAAGGTAAAGGTAAAGGGACCCCTGACCATTAGGTCCAGTCGTGGCCGATTCTGGGTTGCGGCGCTCATCTCGCTTTATTGGTCGAGGGAGCCGGCGTACAGCTTCTGGGTCATGTGGACAGCATGACTAAGCCGCTTCTGGCAAACCAGAGCAGCGCACGGAAATGCCATTTACCTTCCCGCCAGAGCGGTACCTATTTATCTATTTGCACTTTGACGTGCTTTCGAACTACTTGGTTGGCAGGAGCAGGGAGTGAGCAACGGGAGCTCACCCCGTCGCAGGGATTCGAACCGCCAACGTTCTGATCGGCAAGCCCTAGGCTCAGTGGTTTAACCCACAGCGCCACCTGCGTCCCCATTTATTGCATTTATCTCCCACCTTTTTCTCCAAGGAGTACATGGTTTACCCCCCTGCTCAGTTAATTCCTACAACGACCCTGTGAGGTTGGTGAAGAGGCCGTGACTGACTCCAAGGTCACCCGGCGACAGAGTGGGGATTTGAACCCTAATCTCTCAGGTCCTAGTCTAGCACTCTAACCACTATACCCTACAGGCTTCCTAGAGTCCTTTCTGCTATGGGGCAACTCTATAAATTAAGCAGGGAACTAAATATGGAGAAAGCAAAATGTCACTTAGAGAAGGATCCGAAATATTTTCCTTGAAGCTTGAATCTGTTGTATTCTAGATTGCCTTATTTAATGTTGTAAACAGCTTTGAGATTTTTTTATTTAAAATATAAACCAGTAAAGAAATGAAATTAATAGGAATAAACTCCACTGCAAAATGGCACCTACACATACTGCTGTGGTGCCTGCAACCCAGGTTTAATTTAATATATAAGCTAATTTGGTGATTAGCTTATATATCCGACACTATCTCATTCTCCAAATCTGGAAGCCCCTCTGTCATGCCAACATGATCCAAAGGTGGTTTTCAAGCAATACAGAAATACCCCAAAATGTTTTTCTGAAGGCCTTCTTGAACCTACTGCCAGCCTGTCACATTAGGCAACCCCTCTTCTTTGGGAAGGACCGCAGTTCAGTGACAGCGCACCTGCTTTTCATGCAGAAGGTATCGGGTTCAATCCCCAGTGATGGCTGGGAAAGAGTCCCTTCCTGAAACCCCAGAGAGCTGCTTCCAATCAGTGTGGACAACACTGAGCTAGATGGACCAACAGTTTGACTTAGTTTAAGTCAGCTTTCCATGCTCCTAGTGTTAAGGGAGATGAATATCCCGCTGTCTGCTCCAGAGATGGGAACAACACCTGTGGCCTCTGGACCAAAACACCCAACACCAACATTTTCCCTGACCATTGCCCATAATTTCTGCCTTGCAGGGGGTTGGACTAGATGACCCTGGGGACCCTTCCAACTCTACAATTCTGTGGTTGCTGCGAGTTCAAAGACAGCTGGAGGGCAGCATGTTGGATATCACTGGAAAATGTTATGTTTGTGGGTGCAAGACACCCTAAATTCCTGTGTCCAGCAGGAGTTAGAACTTAATCAAGGTAAATGTTAAAATATATTTCCTGACAAGGAAATTGCCTGGGGTGATGGACAAAAGGAAGGTAATTAGCCATTAGGAAAGCAAAAGAGGGGGGACCCCTCCCTCAACTCAGAATAAGTTTTGAAGAGAAAGCAGAGTTTTGAAGTAGAGTTTCAGAATTGGTTGTGATGTGGGAAAAGGCAGAGCACAATGTTTAGCTTTCTGCTTGAATCCAAGGCCGCAGCTATGGGAGACACAAGACGCTTTTGGGGTGTTAATGCTGTGAACCTCTCCACTACAGGCTCGGGCGGGATATCTGTGTAAATAAGCCATATATCCTAGAGACACCAGTGTCTCCACTGTGCCTCATTCCCAAAGGCCAAGCGCAGACCCTGGTGAAGCACTCGGAACCCCTGGAATTCTGCATGACTCACAGATTAGGGTGGATTTGGCTAGAGAAGTGTTTCCCAAACTTGGGTATCCAGATGTTTTTGGACTACAATTCTCATCATCCCTGACCACTGGTCTTGCTAGCTAGGGATGATGGGAGTTATAGTCCAAAAACAACCAGAGTCTTCCCTGATGGAAAGCAGCTCCCTGTTTATATACAGCAGCGGGGTCTCTGCAGACTGAAGAGGGGCAACATCTGTGGCCTTCTGGCGTCGATAACACCTGGAGAGGAGCCACAGGTCCCCCCATTCCCCTCCCTCCCTCTCTGTAGCTTAAAGAGATGCCCATTAGGAATGATATTTTGAGAAGGATTTGAAGGTGATGAGGGAGATTGGAGGGGGTGTGGGAAAGTAGAGAAGAGGAACTACTCCCCTATAAACAGAGAGTGAGAGCAGCCATCTGGAGCAAAAGAAGACCTGGCTAACCAGAGAGCCTGAAGCAACAGTGGCCAGTCCATAGAGTGGGAAAGGAAACCGTCACAGAGACAGAGCTCAATGGAAAATAAAATAAAATAAATAAATAAATGCAAAACTCCAGGAAGAGGTGGGGCAAGATTTCTGGTGGGGGAGGGGGCAGGCAAGAGTGAGAAAAGGTCTCTGCAAGGCGAATCCGGCTACAGGGGGAAGCTTAGGTCCCACCCCTCCAGCACATCACCACCATCATCATCTTCATCCTAACAGGAGGATTGAGGAGGGACTTTTATTCTGGAACAGAATCCTGTCTGGCGACCTGCCAGGTTTAGGTGCTAAGAGAAGACGCAATTATGTCCTCAAGCTCCCCTCCCCTCCGAATTTTTTCCCCCTCTCCATGTCCCCCCCCCCCACGCCCAATAAAGCCAGTGGCCTGCTCATTCAAAGTCAGGAAGCCATTTCAGACGCCCCAGAAGCCCCACTGACCTGTCTCCTAAGCTCCCCTCCGAAGTTCTCTCCCTCCCCACACTCAATAAAACTGTGTTTTGGGGGGGGCGGGTGGCAGAGGGGAGTTATTTTCTAAACCATGCTTTGTATTTAAGTGCTCCGGCCGCCCTCTGCCTCCCCGCCCCCACTCCACTCCAGTCTCTCTCTCTCTCTCTTCTTCCCAAACTGGGAGGGAAAGGAGGGAGTGCGGGATGGTGGCAGGAGGAGGAAGAGGAAGTGAAGAAGCAAGGCCGGGGAAAGAGGACAAAACAGGGCTCTAACTTTTTGAAACAAGCTTTTTTCCTCCTTCCCACCCAAAAGGCCGCGGTGGGTGTTTTTATCAGATAATGCTACAGAACCCGGCGAGTCTGGCTATTATAGAGTGGAGTAGTTTTGAAACTACTTCTCGTGGAAATAAAAGTGTATCTTGTCAAGAGGAAGCCTCCTCCAAAACCTAAGTTCCAGCTTCCTGTCTCTCTCTCTGTCCTCCCCCCCCCCCGCCGCCCCTTCCATCCTCGGTGAAGCACGCCAAAGAAAGGAGAAAAACCCACTTTCTTGCGAGTTTTTATGAACACGAAACCTTTTTGAAAAAGAAAAAGTTCTTCGCCAGCTGCTTAACCCGTCGAAGGTTCGGAAGACGATTTGCCAGGAAGTCGAGTAAGCAAAATCTCACGCCTCCCCCACCCTGCCAGGCGAAGGGGCCGGGAGGGGCAGCAAACTCCCAATCCAGCGAGGCCGGCGAGATAAGGAGGCTTCCAGCCCCAGCCCCAGCCCCACTCTGCTCGTGCCCCACTCCTCTAGAGGCCGCAGGAATCCCACTTCCACCGCCTCGCTCCTCCTCCCCCACCCCAAAGGGGAAAAACCCCCAACTTTTAAAGAGACGCACTTACAAAGCCGCTTAAACGATCCCCCAAATCGAAAGGTCGGGTAAGTCCACTTCTTTTTTTAAAAAAGCCTCCCTTTTCTGTCCACCCCCTTCACCGGCGGTGGGGGGGGGGTGGAAACGAGGAGGAAGAGCAGCCTCCTCTTTCGAACCGGCCGGCGAGATCCCTCCTCTCTCCAAATCCTGCTGCGCTCTCGCCCCCCTCCGTTGGCCAAATGCGCTCTTTACACATGGAGTCGCTGGGCGCGAGCATGCGCGCACCGCCCGCCGCCGGCCCACTTGGCTCTTGAATCCTCCTCCTCCGATCTTCCTCTTCCTCTCTTCCCTCCCCCGGCCAAGCTCTTAATTAGATGGCAGCAGGCAAACTCCGCCTCTGCCATCTCCTTCCTTTTTCTCCGCCCGCCCTCGCCAACTCCGCTCTCAAAACTTTGCGCAAAATGGAACGGCTGGAAGAGCGCGCGCGCAACGAGGAGACTCGGGCAGGAGATAGGCGCAAAGAGAGAGCGCAGCGAAGGACCGGCTTGGAGATCGGGGCAGGGAAGGAAGGGGGGATGGCTCAGGATGCAACGGGGGTGGTCCCCCACTTTTTTGGTGTTCCTCTTTCTCTTTGGGGCCACGTGGAGAGGCTGGACCGCCGCAAACCAAGTCTGGGTATGTGCCGATATAGAGGCAGGGGCTTCTTTCTGCGTGTCCCACTCCGGGGAGGGAAGAGGAGGCGGCTGCTACTGCTACATCCGATGGGGCTTTGCATGCTGGGGGAGGAAGAGGAGAAGCCGCCCAGCCTCGCTAGGGCGTCGGTGCCAGAGAGCGCTTGTTGTTGGACCTGGAGAATGACGGCCGCCCGGGACTCGCAGCTGCCTGGCGCTTTGCGAGGCCCAGGGGTGCTGACGACACGACTTTGCTTGCTGCGTTTACTCGGGAAGAAGGGCGGCCGCGGCCGGAACGGTAATCCCTTTATCGGGGCCGGCCGACTAAACTGTCAGCAAGCTTCCAGGTGCTCCGGAGCTCTCCGCTGACGCTGCGGAGTTGAAAGCCAGCTCTCGCCTTTCTGGCATTTGGGTTGGGGCCTAATGCGAGGGACAGGGTAGCTCAGTCGGTAGAGTCTGACTCTGCGGGTCGTGGGTTCGAGCCCCACGTAGGGCAAAAGATTCTTGCATGGCATGGAGTTGGGCTAGGCGACCCTCGAAGCCCCTCGCAGCTATGCAGTTCTATGGTTCTCCCACCCACTCCACCCCAATTGCTCGGTACAGTTTCCGCGAAATTGGGGCATTCACAATCTGGGTTAAAATGAGAGCTATAAAGAAGCACCTATGGCCAAACCCCTTGAGGCCTCCAATCACTGCTGGGCTCCAAACTTCAATCAGCCACAGCCATCATAAGGCAGGTTTCCTTTGTGTTCCCCGTTAAAACCAGTGCTTGATTCAGAGCAGGAGGACTGTAATTTTGTTTTTGGGGGAGCAGTTGGGCACCTGCTTTGTATGCAGGAGGTCCCAGGTTCAAGCCACTGGGGTGGGGGGCACACACACCAGCCACCTCCGTCTACTGCTACTGGCAGTGCCTTCCAGGGGTCGCAGGCAGAAGCACCCCACCCCATCTTTTATTTAGAAGGAGAGACTCCAGGAATTGGCTGCATGAAAAGCATTGTTCTACTCAACAGTAGAGCCACTGAAATGAATGGGCCCAATCTAGTCATGTTCTTTCATTTCAGTGGGCTGTATCTAATGCTAATTCTACCCAGAAATTAGAACTGTTGAAATTGACATAACCAACACAGGTCCATTCATCTCGGTGGGTCTGCCCTGTGTAGAAGGTACTACTCGGTGGGTCTACTTGTGAGTACAACTTTGGATGCAAGGCTTGCACAGTGGTGGACCCTGCTCCAGTCTCTTGTGGGCTGCAGCTCTTAGGCTTCTTCCATCAGCAACTTTTAAGTCTCTTTAAGGTTACCATATTTATTTGAGTCTAATGTGCCCTCGGATCTAATGCACACCTCAATTTTCAGAACCTTGAAACCAAAAAAGGTATTTGCTGGCGAATGCAAATGTGCCATCGAATCTAATGTGCACCTTAATTTTCGCAGCGTAATTTGGCCAAATGAGATTAGATTTGAGTAAATACGGTATTAATAACTTCCATCCAATCTCTTGTGCCCACTACAGCTCCCCTGCCCCATCTTTGAGGATGAGATTTCAAGTCTACACCAGAGGCAAGTGCAGAGGCAACACGCCCAGCCCTTACACCAACTACCCTTCGGTGAACACAATAAAACCTGGAATGCAAAGCAGGTGAAAAGGTGTGGTCTGGCTGGTCATGAGGCTGAGGCTGGCCATGATGGCTGTCAGCATTCCAAGGTCTTTTAGGTGTCACGTTCTGGGGTGTGCCTTTAAGGTAACACTGTGTTTGAAGAATGGAGGGCATCAGCTGTGCTCCATTAATTATACTCCCTGGTGAGTTTGTAGGAGCAGGGTGGGTCCGAAGGGACAATGGCTATCTACTGTCTTTTTTTTCCTTCTTCACCTAAACAAATGGAATAGAGGAAGACCTTTTTCGTTTTCTTATATTTTGCCAGGGAAACATGGCCAGCTTTCTTAAACCTAAAATTCTCAACAGGAGGGCAGATCCTATAAGTTGAAACAGGAATCTGCTACAGAAGACACTGCCCAGTCCTATGGCATTTTAAGAGGGAGTTTGGAGATAGTGCACCGTAAACAGGTGACCACGTGCAAAGTTTAAGGTCAGAGTGGCCAAGAAATAAAGCCCAATATCAGTCCTGCTTAGAGTAGACCTGCTGCAATTGATGGGCATGACTCACTTTGGTCTTTTAATTTCAGCATGTCTGTTGTGAGTAGGGCTAGCACTCGATACTACTCTTCCCCATAAGATGCTGGGGCAGGTTACAGCAATGTATAAAGACAATATTGAAATTGTTTAAAGAATTTACAATCAGGAAGGATAGGGTGGGGCCTAAAATATAGCGACACAAGAAGAGCCCTGCTGCTCAGGGCAATAGGCCATCTAGCATATGATCCTGTTCTCAAAGTGACCAACCAGATGCCGCTTTTGGGGAAAAAACACAAGCAGGACACAAGTGCAACAGTATCTCTTCACTTGTGATTCCCAGGAACTGAAATTCAGAGGAACAAATTAGGGTGTCAAAGGTGAGGGTTAAAAAGGTGTGTTTTCAGCATACAGTAAAGTACTTTCCTTCCTTGGATGTTTTTAAGCAGAGGTTGAATGGCCTTTAGCTGAGATTCTTGCATTGCAGGGGTTTGGATTAGATGACCCTCAGGGTCCCTTCCAACTCTACAGTTCGGATTCCATACAATTTAAGGTGCCATGCTCACCTCTGTAGAGAGGGGGTTCCACAGCTTAGGGGCTACTACAGAGTGACCTGTTTGGCAACTGCTTCCGTTGTTCTGCACTGGCTCCCAGTATGTTTCCAAGCACAATTCAAAGTGTTGGTGTTGACCTTTAAAGCCCTAAACAGCCTTGGCCCTGTATATCTGAAGGAGCGTCTCCACCCCCATCATTCAGCCCAGACACTGAGGTCCAGCTCCAAGGGCCTTCTGGTGGTTCCCTCTTTGCAAAATGTGAAACTACCGGGCAGAGGGCCTTTTCGGGAGTGGCACCTGCCCTGTGGAATGCCCTCCCGCCCAATGTCAGGGAGATAAACATGACTTTCCAGAGACATCTGAAGGCAGCCCTGTATGGGGAAGTTTTTAATATCTGATGTTTCATTGTATTTTTACATTCTGCTGGAAGTTACTGAGAGTGGCTGGGGCAACCCAGTCAGATGGGTCAGGTACAAATAAATTAGTATTAGTATTAGTAGTATTACTAGACTCTAGCTGTCATCATCCCTGACTATTGCCCCGCATCCCCAATGGAAGCTAATGGTGAGGTGCATGTGATCTCCCTGACCTTGTTGCTGTCTGAATAATAGGTTTGCAACTAATAGCAGGCAGTGTTAAGAACAACATAACCTATGGATAATTTCAAAGATGTAGTAAGATTTCAGTCCCCATGGTTTTGTTTTTTTTAAAAGATAGGAGTGTCTCAGAGTCCTACCTGGAAATTCCTGGAATTAAACCTGGGACCTTTTGCATGCAAAGCAGAACATACAGTACAACCTCTTGCAAATATGGGAACAAAGACAGTCCCTCTGGAAGCAGGCCTAATAAACTATGTTAATGCCATTTCACAACGGTGAGGCATGGAGACAACAACGCCAAGTCACAAATCACAGGCCTACATGTTCACATTTGTTTAACTATTAATGTTCTGATTCCAGGGCCTTGGAAGAGGAAGCAAGCATGTTGGGTCAGGCGAGGAGGGCCTAAGTTAAATACTGCTAATATTTTAAAATGAACAAAACGTGGAGTGGTTTCCCTTTAGGTTCCTTCCAGCTAAGGATAGTGGCGACAGAAATAGCAAGGGTTACATCATCTGCTTTCCTAAATATTAATGTGTGTGTGTGTGTGTGTGCACGCGCGCGCACACACACACACACACGAACACACACAGAGTGTGTTCTCTTGAGACAGGCCAGAGATTGCACACCGTTTTGAGAGCGAGGGAAGAAAGGGGGAGCAGTTCAAGGTATACCTGTCTGCCTGGTAGGCTGTGTGAAGGCTAGTCACCTCCCCTAGGGTTAGCCAATGTAATGCCTTTCAAATGTTGTTGGAATATACTTCTGCTATCATCATCTCTGACCATTGGGCCATGCTGATTGCCAAGAACGAGGAATGTAAGAAGAGCCCTGCTGGATTGAGCCAATGGCCTATCCAGTCATAGAATTGTTGAGTTGGAAGGGACCCCAAGGGCCATCTAGTCCAACCCCCTGCAATGCAGGAATCTCAGCTAAAGCATCCAGGACAGATGGCCACCCAATCTCCCGAGGGAGACTGTTCCACTGTCAGAAAGTTATTCCAGAAGTTGAGTCAGAATCTTCTTTCTTGTCACTTGAAGCCATGGGTTCAAGTCCTGCCTTCCAGCATCCTTTTTTCACAGTGGCCAACAAAATCTGCATGGTACCAAGCTGGTGTGTACCTCTGATCTACACAGACCAGAACTTTTTTTTAAAAAAATCATTATAATGAAGCACAGGAATATTTCAGCACATGGCAAACAATACAATGACAGAAGAGCAGGGGAATGAGAAGAGGTTTGTGCATAGGAACCATCCATACAGCGGAGATGGTGATTTTAAAATAAGAAGAGCCCTGCTGGATTACACCAAAGGCCCATGTAGTCTGGCATTCAGTTAGGAACATAGGAAGAAACCTTAACAGTGAGTCAGATCATTGGTCCATTGAGCTTAGTGTTGTCCACACTGACTGGCAGCAGCTCTCCACGGGTCTCTTCCCTGTCATGCCTGCAGATGCCAGGGACAGAATTTTCTACATGCAAAGCAGAAAATCTATCACAGAGCTATGAGATTGATCTCCAAGGACCTTCTGGCAGTCCCCACACTGTGAGAAGTGAAGTTGTAGGGAACCAGGCAGAGGGTCTTCTTGGTAGTGGCGCCCACCCTATGGAATGCTCTCCCATCAGAAGTGAAGAAGATAAGTAACTATACAACCTTTAGAAAACACCTGAAGGCAGCCCTGTATTGGGAATTTGTTAATGTTTAGTTATGTTTTTATGTATGTCGGAAGCTGCCCAGAGTGGCTGGGGCAACCCAGTCAGATGGACGGGGTACAAATAATAAAATTATTATTATTATTCCTTGCCCATCACCCAGACTGAAAGCCCTGCCCACGGCAGAGAGGTGTATTATAAACCACCCTGTGAGTCTCAGATGTAGGGTTGTATACAATTTTTAACAACAACAACAACAACAGAAGGACCAGTGCTCTTTGGGATCTCCCTGCTCCACAAAGGAGATGATGCTTTCAAAATGGCAGTTGTCTTTTTCAAGCTCTGGCATGGAAATCACTCGTGTACTGAATCCTATTAGGATCTAAGTTTTGCTTTTTTGGTTTTTCAAAAGGAAAACACATTTAAAGGGTGGTTGGGGAGCCTCAGGTCCATGGACAGAATTCAGCCCTCCAGCTTACCTGGCCCTCAAAACTCTCCCGATACATCACCCCATAGGAGCCAACTGCTATGGTCTGAGAGGTCTCCCCCCACAATAAAATGTTTGAGGGTGCTGCCCCTCCCCCAAAGTTGATGAGCATTGCCATTCAAATGGTGTGTGTGCACCGCGTCATGTGATCGATTATGCAGGGTGGGGCTTACCTGGGCCCCCCAATATTTGATTCAAGTTGGCACCCTGCATCATCCTGTCATAGCTCCTGCTTCAGACCGTCCTTGGGTGTTTTGCTTTGACCGCACTGTGCCTTTGTGATAAAGCCTCTTTGCTTGCCTTGATGGAGGATGGAGAGAAAGGTGTGGGTGAGCAGAAACCAGCCTACTGCCCAAAGGTTAAATTTGCATCCATTGCTCTGCCCAGTTTTGCCTGTGGCCTTGCTCACCACTTGTATGGAGTCCTCAAAAAACTTTACCAGTAGGGAATGCAGCCCTAGAACTGAAAAATGTGCCCCCCCACCCCAAATCCCTGACTTAAAAGGATTGCCTATCTATGTATTCATTGGAGAATTAGCACCCTTGGGTGTCAGACTTTAGCGGGGCTTGTTCAGCTGGGCTCTTAAGTGAAACCACTTAGCATAACTTGTTCAGGTGGATGCGGAAAGGTGCACTTGGAATGACAAGGAGAAGATGAGTCAACTTACATTAAATAAATAGGTTTGTGTACAGTATATGAAAGACGGAGGGAGGGGGAAAGGAATCTGTTGACCTCAAAGCAAGATTTGCACACCTGGGATTAAAATACAACTCACTGTTTTTCTGAACTGCTGATGGGGACAAGAACAGTAGTGTGCTGCAGAATTCTGGAGGTGACGCAGCTATCCTGCGCACTACACCCCACCCTAACAGTAGATGGTTTTGGTTCTGGGGGGGATTAGTTCCCAGTTCTCACTTCCATCTTTTAAAATGGGAATAAGCAGCCTTACAAATAAGTCACCAGCCCACATTTATCTTTTTGCTGCTAACCATATTTTAAAATGGTTTTCTAAAAACACACAACTTGTGTCAAAGAGGTTAGAAAGAGAGAAGAGACACAGAAGCGGGCTCTCATAAAGCTTCCCAACCTGTTCTGCAGGAGATGATTCTTGCTCTTCCACAGGTAACCAAGGTGTGGGGCATTTGCAAGCCTGCTATTATCCTGCCTCACAGATTGGGTTGGGATATGTGTTCTTGAACTCTGAGAATGCCCCTGTGGAGCTAGAACGGACATGAAATTCCCTCAGCATGCAATGGCCTGCACCCCACTTTCCAGTTGAAATAATTGGGAGTCCTGGAAAAGTTGTGGCCAGCAATTAGATTTCGCACCAAGCAAAAAGTTGTTCCCTTTTTCCAGTGACTCTTTTAGCTTCCTGCTTTTCCTATGGCATCCTGCCTCACCCACATTTCACACTCTGTCCCTGGATGGGAATAAAGACCTGGGCTAACCTTCCAGGGGCCACATTGCGGTGGTGGGCAGAGCCAGAAGGGAAAGTGGGCAGAGCAATAAATGCAAATTTTACCTTTTGTACCTTAGGTACAACACATAGGTGTGTTCTACACCCACGCCCACACAGCCCTCTGCCCTCCATCCAGGTAAGCAAGATGCATTATCAGAATTAAAGGACTCCTACCCAGGCAAAAACACCCAAGGAGATAAAGAGGCAAGGCTGGTGAGAGATGCTGGCCTGGGTAGAGTCCCGAGCAGTGAAAAAAAACTTAGATATATAAGATTGGCACAAAATGGCTCCTTAAACCAGGGTTACATTCGCCAAAACAGAATGACTAGTTGCCATTTTGGGGCCAGGCAGCTTGAAAGTTGTATTTTTCAATATGACTTTTTGGTTCCTGAAATTCATTGATTGTGCAGATAAAATATAATGGATAGAATTCTACAGAATGTGTTGCTAGTTTGTGAAAAAGGTCCAGGTCCAAGGACCGCTAGGCATGCACCTCCAGATGGTGGAAACGTCAGGCGCCATCCTTGTGCCCAGGCATCTTCACATGGTCGCAAGTGGCCAATAGCCAGGGGCAAAATGTGCCTGGTGAATTTCTAACGTTGGTCCTGAGGGCCAAATGGAGAGGCATGGAGCTGCTTTTGTGCAATGGGCCTGAAGTTCCCACCCTTGCTTCCCCCACATGCACACTTTATAAACTACTTTGTACATTCCCCTAACAAAATAAAGTCTTACGGGAATGTGGCCTCGGTGGTTCACATCCATTGTGCTATACTCATATTGCTCCATTTCTCTCTCACACTCCTTTGCCATCAACCTTTCTAATGGCTAAAGTCATTGGAACAGAGACTTCTTGTTTCTCTCCTGTTGCTCATGTACCCCTACAGAGCCATGTTTCTAGAACATGCACACTATAAACGATCATGCTTTCTGCAGGCTATGAAATGCGGCCCACCCTCCCCATGCAACCTGCAAAAGTGAGTTAAGATTGTTTTTTGTACATTAAGATATAGAAAACAATCTCTATAGCAAAGACCAGCATCAATCCAAAGCCATCAAAGAGAAGCATCAGGCAGTGTAGTCTGAGGGTCATAACCAGAGTTAAGATCGTCATTATAAAACTAGCAGTTCATAAAACACTCCGGGGGGGGGGGGAGTTGCATTGTTTTTAAGGTGGGTGAAATTCTTCAGAATAGTTTTATTTTTAAAGGCAGGTTGCATCCAACTAAATTAGAGTAGACCCACTGAAGTGAATGGATCTAAGTAAGTCGTGTCCTTTAATATTAGTGAGCCTACTCTGAGGATGACCAGCAAGCTAGTGCTACTCAGAGCAGACCCATTGAAAATAACAGACATGCTCGGTTCATGTCCATTAATTTCAATGGGTCTACTCTTGAGTAGGACATTGTTGGAGACAACCAAGTGTTTACTAGGGTGAGAAAGAAGCTATCACCACTTTCAGTGGCAAGACACCCGCTCCCAACATAAACAGGAAAGGTGTGTTTCATAACCCCCCTTTTAAAAGAATTTTGCAAGAAAACATTTCAGTGAGTCGGACTGCAGCTTCCAGTCTGACATGGGCTTTTATACATTTGGCAATTGTTCAATGAATGGAAGTGGGGACACACAGAAAAGGAAGCAAGCTTTCGAAGTAAATACAGTTCCATGCACAAAAAGTTTCTAGATAACTCCCCCTGCTGCCGCCTTTATGCTGGAATCTCAGCCTGCACCAGGCAATTCTGACAGTTAAAAGTACGGTATGTTGAACTTTGAGGGAGTGGCAGGTGCTGGTTGGATATTTTAAACTGGACCTCACATTCGCATGACACTAATAACTTGCTCCATAAATTAGTGTAACCGCCATCATCATGGGGCTTCCAGCAACTGGTATTCAGAAGCACTGCTGTCTCCCAGCAAGGAGGCCCTGAACACAACCCTCATGGCTAGCAGCTGGGAATCATGGGTGGGGAGAGTTGGTGTCACACTCAGGTCCTGCTTGTGGGGACTTACTATTGGGGCATCCGGTTCACTACTATAAAAACAGGACTCTGGACTGCTTGGTCCTCCTTTGGCCTGATCCAGCTGCAGAGTTCTTCTTTGGGCTGCATTCAACTAAGTTCTACTCTAGAGCAGACCCACTGAAATTAATGGGCCTACATTAGTCATATCCATTCATTTCAAAATGCATACTTTCTAGCATTGGATACAACTCTATGTTCTTAAGTTCCAATTCTATCTCCATTCAGTTTTACCAGACCCTCCAAGTGTCCCTGTTTTCCAGGGACAGTCCCAGATTTATAGACGCTGTTCCGGTTTCTGATTTGATCCCAGAATGTCCCACTTTTCCTTAGGAGATCCCTATTATCATCAGAGAAATGTTGGAGGGTATGGTTGGCTGTCCCAATTTTCATGGGAGAAATGTTGGAGGGTAGGGTGTTATGCAACCCCTGAGCCAAGGAGATAAGTAACTATGCAACACCTAGAAGACATCTGAAAGGGAGGTAGAGGGAAGTTATTTTTAATGTTTAATGTTTTATTATATTTTTATATATGTTGGAAGCAGCCCAAAGTGGGCAGGGTATAATTATTATTATTTCTACTACTATAACTGTTATGGAATAGGACATCCCTTTTTTCATCAGAGAAATGTTGGACGATATGTTTTACTCGATGACTCCCAGTACTATGAAAAAATAAAGGAAAAAATAAACACCCCTTTATTTCTACACTTCCGTGTTAGTTGCTTTTCCCTGTCTCCTAAGGTTAATATCTCCAAATACATTTCTCACAGGGAACGTGCCACAGCTGTCTAGCACAGGTATGGGTGGGTGCACAGCATGGGCTAATAAACTCCCCCCCCCCCCCGAAGATTTGCACAGCTGACAACCTTCCTAATTTTACAGCTGTTGTCTTGGAGATAATGGAAAGGTAGAACAAAGGCGCACACACAAACACAACGCAACTCCATCTCTAAAATAACTTTTTAAATGGAGCACGAGAAAGCAAAGGTTTGATTCCTAACCTATAAGGAATTGTTCAACCCAAATCCCCAACCATGGCCTGTGTAAGCGGGAGGGGCACACACAATGGATCTCTAGAGCATGTAACATTTTCTTCCAAAAGCACATTTCTTGGGGAGGGAGGGAATGACATGTGAAAATAAGAAATCCCTGCTTTTGGTGGCCCCACCCCCCAGCATAAACACACAAAGCACTGGCTTAATGATTTGAAAAGTAGGGCAGTTCTCTCATCACCTGAGGACTTAACATCCCTGTCATTGTATCCAAGAGGAAGGAAATGTCTCACTTCCCCAGCTATTTCAGGAACAGAAATCAATTGTGGGGTAGGGGAGGGGAGAAGGGTGGTTAACTGAGCATTCCATCATAGGCTATTGGAATTGCATTCCTGGGCCACCCTAGGCAGTGAAGTGAAGTGGTTAGAGCACTAGTCCATCCATCCGTCCCCCCAAAAAATCATGTCGCAAGCAACCTGCCTCATGGGCTTAGAATGAAACAGATTCTCCCTTTGGAAGGGTGGGAAATACCTGTGGCCCTCCAGATGTTGCTGAATTACAACTCCAGTCATCCCTAACCACTGGGTCATGTTGCCTGGGGCTGGATGGAAGCTGATAGTTCAGCAAGATCTGAAGGGCCACAGGTTCCTCGCCACTGTGCTAGGTACCTGGGCTACTGGCTGGCTCCAGGTAAAATATTTGAGGGGCTAGTTTACTTCTGTGGGCCTGCATAGCTCGACACCCCTCTTCTGACCCTCCATGGATTCATCTGGGGGGGGGAGGGTAGGGGGAAAAGATGCAGCTCGGAGGTAGAGAACATGCATTGCATGTAGTCAGTCCCAGGTTCAATCCCCAGGCTGGGAAGCTCCCCTGCCTGAAACCATGAAGAGCAGCTGCCAGTCAGTGTTGATCTGGCTCAGCATAAGGCAGCTTCCTACATACAGCTTAGATCTGGTTTTTATCTTAATACAAGTTTCAACTGCTCTATCAATGCCAGGACGTGTGAACAGCAGCACTGCTTCCTGATGACGTAACAATTACTTTACACTGATTTAAGCCGTAGCTTCTTGCCATATAATGCCCTTAACAATTTGGGATCTGGGCATCTCGCCATATTGTCCTGCTGGGGACCCAAGATCTGCAAGGGAGGCCCTGCTGCAAGTTCCAGCCTTAAGTGTGTTCAGTACTGTGGGCCCAATTATGTGGAGCTTCCTCCTGGCTGGGAGGAGAGAGGTCTTCTTGCAATGGCCTTTCCATTTCAGCAATGCATTGCAGTGAAGTTTTCTGTTGCATAATAGGTTTTATCCACTACATGCTTTTCATTATTTTTTAGAGAGTTTAGAGATCTAGGTAATTAAATGGCATATGAATACTGCACTTTAACGAATATAACTAGTTAAATCTGAGGACCAGTCACCCATCAGAGGGCCTTCTCAGCAACAGAAGCTCCAGTTGTGGAAGGCACTTCCTCTGGGAGTTAGGCCGACCGCAGCATTCATGGTACTGCAGAGTTGGATAAGACCATGAGGAATCCTTTGCCCATTGTGGGGCTTGAACCCACAACCCTGAGATTAAGACTGAGCCAGGTTAGAGCAATGTACTCAGCTTTAGATGCTGGCTGAGGACCTGCCTTTCTGTGAAGACTGTAATATCAGCCTGTGTAGTGAGAAACAAGCATACTTGACAACATTATGTGATATTTTATTATTGGGTTTTATTTATGTAGTTGCTGTAACCAACCCTGAGGTCTTCTGATGATGGGCAGGAATGAAGGTTTTTATATATATAAAAATAAGTAAATGTGCTTGTCATGATCTATATTAATTCCCCCCAGCCCTCATAAAAACTTTAAAAGCGCACTGATGTTCAGTGGCTGATCTGGTTTGGCATCCTGCTCTCACAGTGTCCAACGATGTCCCAATGGGAAGCCTCCAGCAGGACCTGAGTGCAACCACAGCAACTCTCCCACTTCTGATCCCAAACAACTTGCATTATGCCTCCGATCCTGGAAGTAATGTACGGTTATCATAGGCTGTAGCAACTGATAGCCTTATTCTCCATGAATTTATCTCATCCTTGTTGGGAGCCATTACTACTTCTTGTGAGAGAGGATTCCAGTTTCATCATGCACTGTCTGAAAAACTATTTCCTTTGTCTGTTCTAAATCTTCCAAGATTCATCTTCATTAGATGTTCCTGAATTCTGGTGTTATGAGAGATGGAGAGAACAACTCTCTGTCCACTTTCGGCACTCCAAGCATACTTTTAGACACCACACTGCTCGCATATGGCAGGGTTTATACACCAGACAAGTGACTTTACGTATCTGAGGGCACTAGACTCCAGTCCATCACAGCTTCCACCATAATACATTTGTTATGTCTTTTTAAGGTTTAATTTCTTTTTCCTGCCAGAGACTTAACACAGCTAGCCAAAATGTTGCCCGGAGCGTTCTTTCCTTCTCTTTGCTGCTCTTTCGTTGCTCAGCCTTCTGCCACCAGCAAAACTTCCATCTCTAAGACAAAACAAGCCCCTGCATGCCTCTAGTTGTACCTCTTGATTTCCCACCTCCCTGATCTCAGTTCAGCTTGCCCTTCCTTCCTGGAACACCTGGACCCAGTGGATTCCCATACTACCCTGTGTATAATTACACCAACCTCACCCTCTTCCCGAGTTTCCCTAACCGGCTCTTCTCCTCTCCTGGCATTCTCATTGAGCCCTCCATGTTTCCTCACACACATCTCTAGAAACTATATTTGGAGATGGGCTGTAGCCTAGTGGTAAACTGTTTTTCATGCAGAAGGTATGTTTAATAATAATAATAATAATAATAATAATAATAATAATAATAATTTATTATTTATACCCCGCCCATCTGGCTAGGTTTCCCCAGCCACTCTGGGCGGCTTCCAACAGAATATTAAAATACAATCCTCAGTATCTCCAGGTAAGGCTGGAAAGGACTCCTGGTCCAAAACCCTGGAGAGTCACTGCCAGCCAGTGTTGACAATGCTAGATACACCAATGAGTCTAGCTCTGTAGAAGCCATGTTCCTATTTAAACCAGCCCTCTGTTCATAAGCATGAGGATCAGAACTTTACATTATCTTTAGAAGGTCCACAGCTGAGTAGTATAGCACATGTTTTGCATGTAAAAAGTCCAAAGTTCAATCGCAGGCACCTCTAGGAGCTGGGAATACCACCTGACTGTGAAACCCTGTAGAACTATTGCCAGTCAGTGCAGAAAATACTGAGACAAACAGACCAATGATCAGATTTTGTCTAAGTCAGCTCCATATGTACAAAGCAAATTCCTTCTTCACCCACCACTCTTGGTACCTCTTTTCTTCCTTGTTTATTTTTTGATATTTCTATGCCACCCCATAACAAAGTCCTTTGGATGGCTGGTGATAAATAAGGAGGGGGGGGAGCTAATAAAGAATTAAAAAAAAAAAACATTTAAAAGGGGAGGTGGATGAATAATTACATAAAAACAACAAAACAGAACTCCCATGCCACAAAATAAAAAACATCAAAGGCTCAGATTATTGAAGCCAGCCTTTGCCAACCTGGTGCTCTCCAGATGTTTTGGACTACAGTTCTCATCTGCTCTAGCCAGCCTGGTTCTATGATGTCAAGGCTGATGGGTTCCCGACTGTGCTGGCTGTGGCAGCTGGGAGTTGTAGTCCAAAACACCTGGAAGAAACAAAGGTGGGAAAGGTTAATATAAGTTCAGGAGACCCAAAGCCTAGAATCAGGGGTGGGAAATCTTTGCCCCTCCCCCAGATGTTGATGAACCACAGCTCCCATAATCCCTGGCCATTGGCCATGTATGCTGGGGGCAATGGGAGCTGCAGTTAGCAACATCAAAAGAAAGGACTTCATCACCAGAGAGATGGGAAAGTTACTCCATAAGTGTGTGGGTGTGTAAACTACTGAGAAGGCCCATTTTGGACCAGGTTTCCAGATGATTTTGAACAGCAGCCCCGACATACAGTGTGTTGCAATAGTCTTAACATAAAGATAGCCTATTCTTCAGCAACTCCTTTCCCCCACTTAATGTGTGAGGGGAGATGTGCCAGACACTTACCATCTCCTTGCTTAAGCTGCCACCTACATGCAGAACAAAAACTTTGGGGTCTGGATCCAGAAAGCTACATAGAATTGTAATGTACAACAGGGATGGACACATATGCTGGGCTCCCTAGATGTTGTGAACCACGATTATTATTTTTTAACTCTTAATTTCAATTATCTGTAAATGCTTTTATTGATAATTTTAATATTGCTTGTAAACCCCTTAAAAGACTTGTGACAATCAAGTGGTATATTGTTAAATGCTGTCCTCAGTGCTCATTCTTTGAGCACCCCCAAAATCCCTCTGAACCCCCCCTCCCACAAACCATCTCCAAAGCCCTCCCATTAGATGTCAAGGAGATAAATAACTATATAACCTTTAAAAGTCATCTGAAGGCAGCCCTGTATAAGGAAGTTTTGAAATGTTTGATATTTTATTATGTTATTTTATGTGTTGGAAGCTACCCAAAGTGGCTGGGGCAACCCAGTCAGATGCGTGGGGAACAAATGAATGAATGTTAGCCATTGATGGTAAAGATTATTATTATTATTATTATTATTATTATTATTGCTCCCCCTGAACCTAAACCACCCAACCAAACTTCTTTCCATTGCACACCCCTACTGCTTCCTATTATCAAATCCCTTGACACCTTAGCACAAACCCCCCTCTGCTCATCCCCTCAACCCCCCCAAAAAAACTCCTGCTTCTCGGCCCCTCAAACACCCCCAAACAAACTTCTACTCAGCCGCAAAACCTGAACGCCCCCTAAACTCCAAACGCTTCCCCAGATTTCTCTCCTCAACCCCTCCAAACCCAACCCAAAAAACTCCCTCTGCTCAACCTCTCGAACCCCCCCCCCCAAAAACCCCACCCCCTGCTTTCTGCCCCTTAACCAACAAAACCAGCTCGAAAACACACACACATGTTTACATGGCTCCCGGTTCGAGCGTGGTGCTGATAAGGCCACGTAGGGACAGCTGCCTATTCCTGCCTTGAGGGGGTTGGGCTAGATGATCCTCAGGGTCCCTTTCCAACTCTAAAAAATTCTATGAATACTCACACTGGCCTGTCAGACATACATACATACATGTATAATATTATATATACATAGTGCTTTTCTTTTTGGGGGAAAAAGGTGCCAGTACCGCACCCCCCCCAGGACCCCCAGAAAAAGCGCCCACGCCCCACACCTATGCTCTCCCCTCCCCCACACTGCGCCCTCGCGTGACAGAAAAGGCGGCAGGAAAATGTGGGGGCTCCTTTGGGAGGAAGGGCGGGATATGGAAATTTAAGAAATAATATTAAAATAATTAAAATATTAGAAATCCGCCCCTTTCCGTTTGCTCTCCCTTCCCCCTAAGTGACACGCGGTGGGTGTTTGTGCGGTGGGGGTGGGGATCCCCCCCCCAAAAAAAATCCCCCCTCAGGCAGGAACTTCTTTCTTCGCCCTCCCCTCGAAGCCCCCGAACGAGGCCCCGCGGACTTTACCTCAGCTTTTCCTCCCGAGGGCCTCCTCCTTCGCCGCCGCCGCCGCCGCCGGCCTCCTCCTCCTCCTCCTCCTCGCTCGTCCTCCTCCCTCCTCAGCGAGGCAAGGCCCGGCTTGGCCCGGCTGAGGGGAGGGAAGCGCGGTGGGGGAGGGGAGGAGGCTCCCTCAGGTGGCCGCTGACAGGAGGCGGGAGGAAAGGCCCCGGGTGCCAGCGCGCGTGCGCGGGGAAGGGCAAAGGGGAGAAAAAGGCGGGCGATCGGCTTCCAGCCTCGGGCCACGCCCCCTCTGGCCTCTCTCGCTTGCGACGCCGCCGGCTGCTCTCCCCGCCCACTTGCCGACCGCAGCCTATCCGCTGGCTCCGCGGCGCCACGCCCCCTTCTGTTTTTCCTCTCCGCCGTCACTGCTTTCCCCTTCCAGGCCCCGCCCCTCTCCGATCAAGCCACGCCCCTCCTCTTTTCGCCTCGCCTATCTGCGTGCCGGTTCGAGGCGCGCCCCCTCACGTGATATTCTAATCCGCCGATTTTGCTTGATAGGCAGCGGGATGCGGCCAATGGGAAGTTCTAAAGGGTGAGGTCAGTGTAGGGGGAAGGGGAGGAATAGGCCAATAAGAACAAACAGAGGGCGGGTCTCAAAGGATCCTTCAACCTCATCGCACCCGGCTTAAGACACGCCTCCTTCGTCATTCCCCTTCTCCCCGCCCCTTTTCTTCTGTCATAGAGTTAGTTGAGGGACAATCACGTCTTCGGGTAAGAAAGCGAAGCATCAGATGGTGGATATCTCCCCCCCCCCCCTATGGAATCAGAGTGGCAATCGGTCTCTATGGGAAAATCCTCTTCGTTTTTGCATTTATAGTTAATAATAAAAGGCACACAGGTGCCATTGCAATTTGGTGTATTAATATATTGCTTTGCCCAACAGGTATCTCTATGTTGCAGACTCTGTGCAAGCAAATAAAAGTACAATTTATTGCACTGGCCCTCTCAGGTTCCCATTTGAAAGCAATGGAGTTTTTAAAAATAAAAGTTATAATTGTTTTTACCCGCTTTGTAAGGAATTTTGTATTTCCTCCCTAAATTTTCAGGGTCACAATTGTAACTGGGGATAGAACCTATGCACTGCCAATACTCATTTTCCAGATTATGCAGTAAGATTCTACTCCTCAGGGCAGGTTCAATAGGAAGTTAGGAAAGGATAAAATGACCTCCCCTCTCACAGACACTTATTAGGGTGTCCGTATCTCTCTCTCTCTCTCTCTTTGCTTTTGCTGTGGTTGGTTTTTTGTGTGACCTACTTCTTAGGGCCTAGGTTTTCAACCAGTGTGCTGTGGCACCCTGGGGTGACTTCTTCCTGCCAAAGCTGTCTCTGTTGAAAGATAGTGGAGCAACCTGGACCCGTTGACCCCAGTGGATTCTACTCCTGAGTAGGCCTTTGCTGGGGAAACCCATCTTCATCATTATTGGGTTGTAGGCAACGTTGGGTCCTGCTCAAGAGGAAACCCATTAAAATAGGTGGGTAATGGATGGGCAATAAACTGCAATAGTAATAATACCCAAGAGACCTACTAAAATTGATTGGTGTGGTTGACTCAGGGGGTCACTGGCTTCCAATGGGTCTTCCCTGAGCCAGATTATATATTATATTATATTAATTATATTAATCGTATCATATCATATTATATATTCTATAGGGTTGTTGCCAGTGTTAATTTTACTCAGTGTAAGCCCATTGAAACTGATGGTTACGGCAGACAGTGTCATTGATTTCCAGTGAAGCCTATTGGGGTTAGAACATAGCAACCTTCAAATCCAAGTCCCAGTGTTAAGTGGGGTTTCCCCTGTATCCCACTGGGGACCCACAGAAAAAATGTGATTGGTAAAGGGAGCTGTGGACTCAAAAAGACTGAAAACCTCTGCCTTAGGGCATAGATGCAGAAAACACATTGATGGAGGTTAAATTAAAGAATGCATACCATGATGCTGTGCATGCACACTCAGAATGAAGCCCTATAGAATTCTATGGGACTTACTCCCAGGTAAGCGTTAGGCACATTTGTGGGCTAATTTAATCTCATTTCTAAATCCCTGAAATGGAGCAGGGCACTTGAATCAGAACTGGATGTGTTGGCTGATACCGCTGTGCTCCACAAATGTTCTCATCATCCTCTGTGAAGAATGGATTGTTGGTGCATCAATTAAGCAAGCCCAACCTATCAAAATCAAGGCCTAGTAGCATATCATTCCATGTCCTTCAATTGATTCTTCAGCTCTCTTTGACTGACAAAGCCAGTTCACCAATAAGAAAGTTTTTAAAGGGATAGGTTGGAACTTAAAAGTGTCTCAACAGGCTCCATGCTTCTACTTAGGAGAAATGAATATGAGGCACTCAATAGCTCTGCAAGGGAGACTTTAACTTGCTGTTCTTTCTTAAGAATAGTAGTCAAAATTTCCTCCTACTCATTCTCTTTTTTTGCAAGGCTTACCACCCTGCAAGGATGATCAGTATTGATTAGGCTCCCTAGCACAGGCAGGGAAAACTGATGTGGAGATTCGATGCAGAAGGGGCTTAACCTAAGACACCTGGTGAGGCAGGATTCAAACCAGGGAACTTGCTCAATTCCCAGCTCAGGCCTTAAGAGCGCACCCACTCCTCCACCCTTTTACAAGTTTGCGTGTAGCCAGACAGTTCTTTCTCAGAACATGAAACATGCAAACAAATGATTCAGCTCTCCGGGGGATCAGGGCTGATGAACATGAACTGCTGCCTCTTCTACTCTAGTTTAAGCATAAGTATTTTTGTGGGAGATTGCAGCCAACTATAACCATAGCATGTGCCATGCTAGTTATTGCACCAAGAGGTTAAGACCATAAATCTGTATCCCTAGACTCAGCTAGGTTGTGGTCACACCCCTCACCTAGAAGGAAGGTAAGTTTTCTCCAGTTGTTCTTTCTATTATCCTGAACACTGTAAGTACTGAAGGTCTCGTCTGGGGCTCCAGGCTCAGACCTCATAAATGGCTCGCTAGCCAGTTTTGTGTTCCTTGACCTACAATTGAGAAACATTTTGCCACATCATGTAACCAAGATGTTTGTACCTGCACTTTACCTAATGCTTAATGGATAAATGCACAAATCAAAGAACCGTAAAGTTGGATGGATACCCCAATGGTCATCTAGTACAACCCCCTTGCAATGTAGAATCTCAGCTAAAGCATCCATGACAGATGGTCATCCAACCTCTGCTGGAAAACCACTTGGTTCCCACAGGCACCACTGCTCCTACCTAGGAGTCAAACCTTGATTAGAAACCAAGCTGAAAGGAAGCACCTGCATCCAGACACCTGCACACAGTTCTGCTCAAAATAGAGAGACACACCCAATGACAAAAGAGAACCCGAGGTTCTCCGAAAACCCACCCCAAGGACTAAGGTGAAAAGCCACTTTTGCTCCTGAGAATGAAGACAAAATAAACCACTGTACATTTTTTTTAATGTCTGCACGTTATCGCTAGGAAAAGGTTAAACACTTTTTTGGAAAAAGGCTAAAAGACAAAACTGTACAAATTTACTAAAGCGCACTTTCTTTTTTTAAGTACATAAAAAGAACTCTTTCACAGAGAGCCTGACATCAGCAGGAGAGAGGAGGACTGTTAAGAGTGACCAAGCAAATAATTTCTCACATCAAGTGGAGCAGGTGCCACACTTTTAACTGTGCAAAGTTACAAAGGTGCCCACCTAACTGGCCCAAATGAGGGTTTTCTGGGAAGGTGGGGCCCCTGGTCGTAAGACAGGGGTCTGCTGGGATGGGGTGGGCAGGTGGGAAACTTTTGGGGAGGGGGGCGCAGGTATTACAGCAGACATACTCAACACACGGCCTGATAGAGCCAACCCCTCCAAGCGATTTCAACACGGGGCTTCCCCAAAGGGGTGGGGAGTTTCTAACCCAAAGTGTGGAAGAGTTCTCTCAGGATCAACTTAGTGCTTTTTTCCAAGTTGTAAGAACCACTTAATGCCTCTCAAACACATTTGTCAAAACATGCTTAATTTGTCACTAATATCACTTTTTCCTCTCTTTTTTAAAAAATAAAATAAAAATACTAATGCCAATATTGAACAACCTGTCCTCTTGTTAACTCTAGAGATGGTGCCCAAAGGGTGTCTTGGAGGTGGGGGCAGAGGGAGGGTGAAGAGTTCAGCCTCTGCGGCTGTATACACTTCTGGTCCCTGGTCTGGGAAAATCAACATAATCATCGCCTCCCCTTTGCCTGAAAATCCTGGGAATAGGCCATCCTTCTGTGCTGCCCTCAGACAAACAAGCAAATGAAAGATCCATTCCATTCAAAAGGGTTTGCAGAAATGTCAGGTTTGCAGATCCAGCTTGACTTGGATCTCAGCTGAAAAAGCAACTGAGGAAAGGAGGAGCTAAACACTCCCCCCCCCCCCGCAAAAGGCAACAGGTCTATTATCACTGGTCTCAACACCTTCCTGGAACATTTGGTAACTCTGGTGCTCTTTATCCCAAGTGTAGGACAAGTCTGTCAGAGAAAAAGCAGGTCCGAGGGTCACTGCAAGGATGAGAAAGACACAGCTCAAGGCTGAAGGGAAGCTTCAGTTCATGATCTCTTCTAGGGGTAAGAGAAGCAGAGACTCCGCTCTACTGAGCCAACACACTCAGCTTCTTTGAGGCATTACTTCCAAACCCTCTGCAGACACTGAAAGCAACTTCCCTGCTGGGACTTTTTTTTTGCACATCATCAACCATCTCCAGAAAACCTGGAGGGTCTGCAACAGGTTTCAGTAGCAGAATGAAGCAGCCCCACGAGAAAACATGATTAGATAGAGGACACAGGTCATTTTTTCAGTTTATGAATACAGTGGTACCTCCGGTTGTGGATGGGATCCGTTATGGAGGTCTGGCCGGATCCCGAGGTTTTTGAAACTGGAGAGACTGCTTCTGCGCACACGCGCACAGCAGTAGAGCGCTTCTGCGCATGCACGCGGGGCAAAAACCCAGAAATATACTTCCGGGTTTGCCGCTTACGTATCCCGAAGTTTACGTAACCGGAGGGAAATGTAAGCAGAGGTACGACTGTATTCTTGATTTGAAAAATCCATGATTGAATGCTCAAGTTAATCTGGCTGAAAGGAAATATTTCCTTTTTAAAAACAAAAACCCACACACGCACACTAAAAGCATGACTGTGTCCCTGTGCTAAAAACAGAAGTTCTGCACCAAGAAAAGCAGGATTCTGCAACACGATTAAATTATGCAAATTGATCACAATGCATAACTAGTTTTAGTACTTTGCATAAAATATTCCTGTTTTTGCTAGCCAGAGCAGGGTAAGGGCACACTTTTATCCCAACACAGGAAAGCCTCTTGATTTCTACGATCTCGGAACATAATTGCCCACAGAAAACTTTCAAGTCCACTGAGGGCTGGGAATCTGCCTTTTTGAGAAAGAGAGAGGAGATTCTACATGCACTGAACTCCGGCCACAGTACCACATCCTGCACTTCTCTGGTGCCCCTTGGTGTCCATCTATGCAGGCACATCCAAGCCAAGCCTTCATTCCTTCTTGCTCCCACTTTCTCCATTGAGGACAAGAGGGCTGGGAGAAGCAGGGTCCTTTCTGAGCCACCTTGGTAAAAGGTGGGGGCGGGCAAGGGGCACTTGGCTCTGGTAAGCTGGAGGTACGGCAACTGGGGCAGCCTGCATCTATGAACCTCAGGAGCTATGGAAAGGAAAAGGACAAGGTTTGATGAGTTTGCCTTCCCAGTGGGAAATCACTGATCTGGGTGTTCTGTTTTGCTTTTAAGAAAAAAGATGAAAAAGCAATTAAAGGGAAAGAGATTTATCATGGGGGGGGGGGGGAGCCAACCCGGGAGATTCAGTAGTAGTTGCGATCTGCTCTCCCGCATGAACTGCCCAAGCCTCCCGTCTCCAAGAACATGGAACAAATGTTCCCTGAAGTGCCCCACACTCCATTTTCACTTTGCTTCTATGCACAGTTCTTTCTACTATATGCCAAGCCAAAAGGAGTCAACTGTTAGGGAATGCACAGTCCGTGTTGGCTGGTGGCTACCGGACCACCGAATTGATTTCCTTCAAAAAAACAAACGTAACAGCCTTGGGAGTGTGCCAGTTAAAATGCAAGGATGTGACATTATAACAGGCAGGTTCAAATTAGCTGGGTGGTTTCCTCCCCTGCTTCCCCACACCCAGTTTTTATCCTTCATTAGAAAATTGTCTGTAAAGTTTTGTTGAAAAGAATCAGCTTAATGGAAAGAACACTTTTCCATGTGAATTGCGTAAAACCTAATTCTGGGTCAGGGAACGGATGTATCAAAACCCCTTCTCACAATTGTGTGTGTGTTTGTGTGTGTGTGTGCAATGGAGACACACACACCTGCAATCCAGGCAAAACACAGAAACCTTAAGAAGGAGCTGAGAGTGGCCATGCTATCCTGCAAGTCTGTGAAGTCTCCTTCCCTAACGCAACACTTGCAAGGCAAGGAATCTGCAGCCCACTGTCTGTTTAAAAAAAGCTCAGCGTAAGAAAAACCCCAACTCCGTCGCCTCCTCTTCTCCGAGTGAAGACTGCACATCGCCCTCCTTTCACAACAGGCTGGCCAGACTGGTGGTGGGTCCGTTCTGCGCCTGGAACTGTACAGGTGGGGGTCCGTCTGTCCACTGCAGGTGGGGGTGGAGAAACACAAGCTGAGGGTCAGTGAGCAACCAAAGTGGGAAATGTTATATTACCCTCAAAACCAGTACCATTTAGCAGCCTGTATTATGGGGATGCTTGACTGTTTACTTTTAAGTAGAGTTTATTAGCCACTTTGCTATTCAAAAAGCATCATATGCAGCATACACACTAATAAACAATACACTCCCCAACCAAAGCCCCTAAACAATACTCCAGCTCACAAATAAAAATATCCAAATTAACCTATAACATTTAACAAAAAGTTAAAGCACCACCATCCTCCAAATAAAACAGCACCCACCCAGGTTAAACCCGCATCCCTGTTAAAACAGTAATTTTAACACAGCAGGCCTCCTTCCACAATTGGAAACCCACAAGAAGAGCCTAAGCACAACAGCAGCAACTCTCCCCACCTGTGATCCCCAGCAACTGGTATTCAAGGGCAGACGGCCTTCCCAACAGTGGAGGGGGAACACAGCCTTGTCCTCCTCCATGAATTGATCTAATATATTTTTGAAGCCACCCATAAGAACTGCCCTGCAGCCCATCTAGTCCAGCATCCTGTTCTCACAGTGGCCAACCAGATGCCTCAAAGGGAAACCCACGAGCAGGGACTGAAGAGCAACGGTGGCGACTCTGCCCAGCGAACGACATTCAGAGGATTAATTATAATAATTGTCACCATTAAAATTTATATACCACCCTTGACCCGTAGATCTCAGGGTGGTCCACAACACAGAATTACAATATTAAAACCACGAAAGACATGGCAGAAATAAGACCAACCTCAAACCAATACAGTGGTGCCTCGCAAGACGAAATTAATTCGTTCCGCGAGTTTTTTCGTCTTGCAGTTTTTTTCGTCTTGCGAAGCACGGTGTCGGAAAAGTTTTGGAAAAGCTTCAAAAATCACCAAAGTCTTTAAAAACCTCAAAAAAGGCTACCACACCGCGTGCTATGAGTTGCTCCTCGAAGTCAAGTCGCAACTGTATTAACGGTTTTAAGAAAAAGGAAACAAACTTTTGCAAAGACGTTTCCGTCTTGCAAAGCAAGCCCATAGGGAAAATCGTCTTGCGAAGCAACTCAAAAAACCAAAAACCCTTTCGTTTTGCGAGTTTTCCGTCTTGCGAGGCATTCGTCTTGCGAGGTACCACTGTAATCCCCCCTCCCACAACACATTTAAAGGGGCACCCTAAACCAGCTCAAATCTGGAAGTTCAGGATGCCTATATAAAGGCAGGCTGGGAAACAGATGCTGCTGGCCTCCTATCGCCCCCTGAACATGAGCTACAGTGGCGGCGGCTGGGGGCCAGAATCCAGCAACGTCCGGAGGGTCTGACATACCGTGATGAGGTTGTGCTCTGGGAGACTACAGGCCTCGATGTGGTCCTGCAGAAGCTGCTGAGAGAAGTTCTGGTGCATCTGCGCGGCTTCGTGGGCATCAATGGCGTTCCCACAGGCTTTGTTCAGGTCTTTTTTTCCGCAGAGGGAAGGGAGAAAAAAGGAAAGGAGAGTGAGATGGCAGACTCCCGGTGGGGTTACACACCTAGTCTCTGTCCATTTCAGAAGCACCAACCCACAAAGATGGTGCAATGTTAGGGAGGTAGGCAGGCATTTGGCCTGTCAGGCCTAATTTGCCTTTTTAGTAGAACACCAACCAGAGCCAAGGGCAATAGGCCACACAGTCAGAACTTTCCCCAATATCTCCCCAAGAAGATCCAGGTGCAAAAGATATACACAGATTTAGCAAGGGCTTTTTGGCAAATGATATAGAATAAAAAAGATGTTTAAAGTGATTATACAAAAAAACAACAACAAAACCCTGGAAGCTTTTATCTTAGGGATTATAGAGACAGAATTCCCCCAAAAGATGATTAAGTTGCTCATATAAGATTCTTTATGCACAAAAATGGAAATAAGTTCCCATGAAAGAAGAATGAGTCTCTGCCTGCCATGTGGCAGAGCAAACATGGCAATAAAATAAGATGATATACACGTATATGGTAGCTGCACGGAGGGTCCTTGGGAAGCCCAGGAAATGGCCACCATTTCATTTTCTGTACCAGGAACGAAGCAAAGGTTCTGAATTTGAATGTGGCATCCCGACTGTTCCCAAACAAAAAAAATACCTGCATATTAACCCTTTGCCCTCTTTCTTTCTTTAAGAGGCCTTATTTTGCAGTGATTGAAAAGCGAAGACTTTCCCCCTCTCCAATCAAAGTTGATTATCAGGCTCCTGGAGGAATGGGGAAAGTCTCTCCCCCCGCCAGCCACCTCTCCTCCAATAACTAGGAAGAGAGTTCACCCTCAAGGACAGTTTGGCAGGAAGTTTAAAGGCAGCACACAAAAAACAAGTCAGACTCTTGGTCTCTCTAGCGCAGTATTGCAGTGCTCTCCAGGGTCTCGCCATCTGCTAACTGCCCCTTTTGAAACAAAACATGCCATCAGCGATTGAGCTGGGGTCCTTCTGAATGCCAAGCAGCTGCTCTGCCACTCACCCGCCTTCTCTGACACTTACCTCGCAGGAGAGCCGATGACCACAGCTGCACGGACATGTCTGGGATCTTGCTTGCCAACTGCATGGCGGGAACCACCATGTTGTTACTCTCCTAGGGGTAGCAGAGCCTTGGATCAAAGGGTGTAAGCAAATCACATGTGGACAAATCCACCCCCACCTCCAAATTTCTGCATGAAATGCCCCACACCAAACCGCAGGAGTGGGCTGTGCCTGCCACCTCTTAAAAGACTCCCAAGAATGGAATTCCAGAATGCCTCAACCCCAGTGGCAGCACACAAACACCGTTTGGAATCACAGTACTGTAGAGCAGGAAGAGACCCAAGAGCTCATCTAGTCCAACCTCCTGCTATGCAGGAAAGCTGCAAGGCAGCTTGAGCAAACTGGACTTCCCCCACCCCCAAACAGCAGTATTTTCTAAACTTCTGATAGCTCAAGCACCCTTCCAAGTTTTGATTTTGATGTACGGATGGGTAAGAATGAGTGGTACCCACCACGTTCCTGTGCGAGTCACTATTCCACCTCCAGATCATAGGTTCTTACAGAGACACGGTGCACAGCCTCCTCTGAGGAGCTCCACTGAGTGTGTTGCTGCACTTAGACTGGATAAGTATTCCAACCCACACCTCAGGTAAAGCTGTGGCAGAATTATCCAGCTCTAAACGGAAGCAACTCCAGAGCAGCCAATCTACACAGAGATGCAGGAGGCTCCCTCCTCCTCACCGAGGGCTTAAATAATCCCATCAATTCACTTCTTGCGGCAGCCTAGCAGAGTTCTCCAAAGGCAGCACTTTGGAAGCAACTGTTCTAAACACTAGGACTTATTTATGTACAGTGGGGGAAATTACTGTCTGCGCTCCAACAGTGTGGAGAGCGACCCAAATGATCAAGGTCCTGGAAACCAAGCCTTGTGAGGAACGGTTGAGGGAGTTGGGGGTGTTTAGAATGAGAAGATATGATAACATGGAAGACAAGATGAGCTTGTTTTCTGCTGCTCCAGAGGGGATGACCCGAGATTTTGGCTAAACATTAGGAAGAACTTTCCAGATGGTAATAGCTGTTCAGCAGTGGAATGAACTACCTTAGGTGATGGACTATGCTTCACTGGCAGTTTTTAAACGAAGGTTGAATGCTTTAGCTGTGATTCCTGTATTACAGGGGGTTGGCCTAGATGGCCTTTGGGTCCCTTCCAACTCTATCATATATTCTATGATTCATATATTCTATGACTCCACCAGTTTAAAGGGGATGCGAGGCAGGGGGAGGGGGATTTACAGTTCCAATCTCCTCAGCAAACCCTTGGACATCTATTCTGTGCAGCTCCCCACCCCCACACAAATAAGCAAACCACATTACAAAAGTTGGCAACTGATTGCGAGTGTCACAATGTGCCCAATATCCTCTCGAGGCACCGCTGCTTTCTTGGCAATTTTGTAAGCAGAGGCCTGACGAGCTCAGGGGAATGGAGAGCACTGCTCGGCGGCATTCTTAAGCTGGATTGATTCCACGCTCCAGTCCCCTTTGGTGACAGAGGAGAAGTGAAACACTGACAAGAGCACGATTCTAGAGAGCCTGTGCTGCTCACCCTGTGATTCCCCAACACATAGAAGATGTGACCCAGGAGGACGAGGGAGCAGGCTGTTAACCGATTCAGGTCTTCCGCGTTTGACATTTTCAACGTCTCCCGCAGAAAACGCCTGTCGGAAAGAAAAGGAGGAGCCTGAAGCGACAACTGGAATGCAACAAGCCCTGCTGGTTTTTGTCCAGTGACCAGAGGCACTTAAAAAGCTGGAATCCCCCACTAACACCCTCCCTGCAAGGTGGGTATCCCCCCCAAAAAAAATGTTCTGTGGATTTCTAGGGGACTGTTAAGGAGCAAAGCTGATGGTGTTGCCATTCTGCCAGTCTCTTGCCTGTAACTGAGGAGACTGGAGACCTTTGGAATTTGGCTGATAATGAGGAGGATGTATTACAGTGGTACCTTGGGTTACATACGCTTCGGGTTACACACTCCGCTAACCCTGAAATAGTGCTTCAGCTTAAGAACTTTGCTTCAGGATAGGAACAGAAATCGGGCTCCAGCGGCGCGGCAGCAGCAGGAGGCCCCATTAGCTAAAGTGGTGCTTCAGGTTACGAACAGTTTCAGGTTAAGTACAGACCTCCGGAACGAATTAAGTACTTAACCTGAGGTACCACTGTACCTGCCTTTTATCCTAAGTCCGCAAGATAGCTCACAACAATTTAAAATCAGACACTGATACAGTCATACCTTGGAAGTTGAACGGAATCCATTCTGGAACTCTGTTCCATTCCCAAAATGTTTGGAAACCAAAGCGCAGCTTCTGATTGGCTGCAGGAAGCACCTGCAGCCAATCGGAAGCTGCGGAAACCCTGTCGGACGTTCGGTTTCCAAAAGAATGTGTGAAAACCAGAACACTCACTGGCTACCTCAGTGGGAGAGAGGGGAAGCAGAAGGCTGACTCCATCATCTTTGCTGGGGGCCCAGCTCCATCAGGCACCTCCTGCCCATGACCTTTGCCAGCTGGTCAGTGTAGGGAACTACTCATTAGGAATTGCTGCCTGTTTTGATCTTCTTCTTCTCTCCTTGTCCCTTTTCCCTTGTGTGTCGTGGGGTTTTTTGCAGATTGTACGGGCACCAGGGATTGCCTTGTTTTGATTCTATGCAAGCTGCCCTTGGCTGAACAGCAGGATACATAACACTTTACATAATGATAATAGTAACAGTAGTAATCCAAGTTTGCTGGGAGGGGGAAGAGGACAGAGCCATCTCTCCAAAAAGAGGAACAGGATGCCTACTTGTGCCTATCACCCCAGCTTTGTCAGAACAATGAGGGTTTCCCATCTCCACTGTCATTCATTCCAATAACCCACCTCTGCACAGGATGCAGTGCAGAGAGGCAGGTTGCCACTTGTCTTCACTAAGTGCCATCAAAAAACAGGCACACCCAACTAAGCAGCCCCCATTCTCACTCTCTGCCCTCACTTGCTTTCTCCCTCCCTCTGCATAAGCTCGAACAGCCAGCCAACCAACCCCACACGACTCACTTGGCTTCGTTGTACCTCCCTTGGAAAAAGGAAAAGAGACCTCGGATGTAGAAGGCTGCGGCTCGCAGGCAGTGGGAGCTGGAGGAGAGGCAGATGTGACAACAAAGAAATGGGCATTAATGACAATTGATGGGCAGTGATGGCAATTAACTCTTGATGCAGAGACTGGGGAAGGCACAAGCAGAGGTTGTACTTGGGAGTTGCAGCATTTTAATCAACCACTGCCAACAGGCAAAAATAATCCAGACTCTGCTTTGTAAACCTCTAAGCCCAATAGTTCCCAAACTTTCCCCTCCACAGACCACTTCTGCCTTGCATTCAAAAGGTCCCATGTTCAATCCCTGGAGACCTTGGGTAACACAGGGCTGGGTGAGCCTCTGCCCGTCAGTGCAGACAGTTTTGAACTAGAGGGACCAATGGTCTGGTTCAGTGTATGTTTGCTATTCTTCTTCAGAATCTACCCATGCAAGTGGATTAAGGCATGGAAACTGTGTTTATATTATTATTACTAAAATTTGTATACTGCCCTATATCTGCAGGTCTCAGGGTGGTTCACAACATAAAGGCAAAAAATACATAATAAAAACAAAAACAAGAACCACCCAATAATCCCCCCTCCCCAACACATTTTAAAAGGGCATTGGATAAGATCTGGTTAAAGAGGGACATTTTTGCCTGGCACCTAAAGGTGTATAATGAAGGTGCCAGCTGAACCTTCCTGGGAACAGCATGAGAAAGAGATGCCCCCATGACTTCCAGATCAGCTGAGCAGCAAAAGCCTGCAACAGCAGGCAATGTGTGTGGAGCTTGTTTTTACGCTACAGCCAATGCTGCTGCTATTGGTGCCTGCCTTGCTTCCACTGGCCAATCAGAGGAAACTTAAAGCTGCCGCTGTGTGACTCAATGGAAGCGCCAGCACTTCTAGGATATTGACGTGCAATTATTTTGGTGTGCAAAGAGAGCGCTCACCTCAGGGGTATGCAAAGGTATTAGAGCCAGCATCAGGTGGTAGAGTATGGGAAGACCCAAGGGCTCCAATCCCCACTTGGCCATGAAGCTCACTGGGTTGCCTTGGGGGCCAGTCACCTATGCTCAGCGTTAACCTACCTCACAGGGTTGTTGTGGGGATTAAATGAGAAGTAGGAGAACTGTTTATACCACCTTGAGCTACATGGAGGGAAAGGTGGAGCATAAAGGAAGTAAAAGGAATAGAAATGAAAATAAAAAGCACTTGCTTGTGTCAGGTGGTCACTACTAGTGTTAGAAACGTAAATATATAAGCTAGTCGCCAAATGGCTCTGTAAACCAAGGTTGCAGTCACCAAGATGGAATGCTGTATGCTGGCCGTAATAATAGGCTTTCATTAAAAACGGAATGTCTATTTGCCATTTTGGGGCAAGATGGCTCTAAAGTCTTATTTTTCAAATAATGGACTGATTGTGATTGATTCTCTCTTTTTTTTTTAATTTCTTTTTATTAATTTTCTAAGCCAAACAACAAGAAAAAAAAGAAAAAGGAAAATAAACCAAACACACCAATGAAAAGAGAAAAGAAAAACATCAACCAAAACAGAAAATATAAACAAACCAGAAGACAAACATCAGTTAACACAAATAATAGTTGACTTCCCTCCATCTCGGTTTTGGGTTATGTAAAGTAGTAATTCTGTTCTGCCGTTTTCATTTTATGTCATCTAAACATCGCAAGGATTATATTAAACCTACTGTGATTTTTATATATCTAGAATTTGATTCCATGTATGTTATAAATTTAGTCCAATCGTCAATAAACTTTGTACCTTTTTGCTGTCTGATATTCTGTGTCATTTCTGCCAAATCCATATATTCAAATAATTTAATTTGCCAATCTTTAACAGTCGGGATATTTGGGGTTTTCCAATTTTTTGCTAACAAGATCCTGGCAGCTACGGTTGCGTGTTGAAACATTATATGATCCTCTTTTTTAATCTCGTCTCCGATCATTCCCAGAAGAAAAGCTTCGGGTTTTTAACGAAAGTGTATTTAAGTATTTTTTCAGTTCATTATATATTGATTCCCAAAATTTTTTGATTTCTTCACACTTCCACCACATGTGGAAGAAACTTCCTTCTTTGGTTTTACACTTCCAACACCTATTATCTCCGGTCTTATACATTTTTTGCAGTTTCACAGGGGTGATGTACCAACGGACATCATCTTTTCCATATTTTCTCTGAGGGTGGTGCAAGCTGTAAATTTCATCCGAGGTCTATTGCCCATTTTGTCATGACATCCTTAACCTCCTCATCCTTGGTGTCCCATTCTAATAGCTGATTGTACATTTTAGATAGCAGTTTGGTTTTACCTTCTATTATTTCTACCTGGAACTTGGATTCCATTTGTTAAAATCCAAATTGTATCCGAGGTCTATTGCCCATTTTGTCATGACATCCTTAACCTCCTCATCCTTGGTGTCCCATTCTAATACAGTGGTGCCTCGCAAGACGAAATTAATTCGTTCCGCGAGTTTTGTCGTCTTGCGATTTTTTTCGTCTTGCGAAGCAGTGTCGGAAAAGTTTTGGAAAAGCTTCAAAAATCACCAAAGTCTTTAAAAACCTCAAAAAAGGCTACCACACCGCGTTCTATGAGTTGCTCCTTGAAGTCAAGTCGCAACTGTATTAACGGTGTTAAGAAAAAGGAAACAAACTCGCAAGACGTCTCCATCTTGCGAAGCAAGCCCATAGGGAAAATCGTCTTGCGAAGCAGCTCAAAAAACGAAAAACCCTCTCGTCTAGCGAGTTTTTCGTCTTGCGAGGCATTCGTCTTGCGGGGCACCACTGTAGCTGATTGTACATTTTAGATAGCAGTTTGGTTTTACCTTCTATTATTTCTACCTGGAACTTGGATTTTTTTCCGTTCATTCTGATCTTTTTATCTTCCTTCCATAAGGCATTAATTTGATGGTACTGCAGCCAACCTGATAATTTACTTTTTAATTTTCCATCCTCTTTCTGATCTTTCTAGGAGGTCTTCATAGGTCCATCTCTCACCTTCTATATTTGTTTTTTTAATAGTTAACATATCTATAGGCGATAACCACCAGGGGTTTTTTCCCCCCAACAGTTTCTTGTTCTTTTCCCATGTTTCTAACAATGTTCCTCTGATAATATGGTTCGAGAAGCTTTTATGCACCTTTTCCTTATTCTGCCAGAGATAAGCATGCCAACCAAATCTTAAGTCAAATCCTTCTAAGTCTAGCAGATCTGTATTTTTCAAAGTAATCCATTCTCTAAGCCAGCAAAGGCACGAGGCTTCATAGTACAGTCTCAGATTTGGGACCGAGAATCCTCCCGTCTTTTTTATCCGTTAACAATTTAAATCTAATTCTCGGTCTTTTACCTTGCCATATAAATTTAGAGAGAATTTTTTGCCAGTTTTGGAATATTGCACTTCCTCTAATCACCGGGACGTTTTGGAATAGGAATAATAGTTTCGGCAATATGCACATCTTGATTGCTGCCATTCTACCTGACCAGGAGAGTTTTATCCTGTTCCAGATGTCTAGTTCCTTTTGGATATCCTTCCAGGTATTTATGTAGTTATCAGCCATTAAATTTATGTTTTTCATTGTAAGCCACACTCCTAGGTATTTTACCTTTTTTACTTCTTTAATTCCTGATTGGAGTTCCAACTGCCTCCTTAGGTCTTCCCCCATGTTCTTTACCATCATTTTAGTTTTAGTTTTATTTAGCTTAAAGCCCGCTACTCTCCCAAATTCCTCTAGAAGTACCAGGGCTTTGTCCATACTTTTGTTTTGGGTCCTCCAGTGAGATTACCAAGTCATCCGCGTATGCTTTCAGTTTGAATTCTTTCACCCCAATTCTAATTCCTCGTATCTCTGGTGTTTTCCTTATCTTATTTGCAATTACTTCCAATACCATTATGAAAAGAAGCGGTGACAGGGGGCAGCCTTGTCTCGTACCCTTGGAAATCTCAAATGTATCAGTTAAATTGTTGTTAATAATCAGTTTGGCTCTTTGACTAGAATAAATTGCTTTGATTCCCTCCATGAAGGCACCTTCTATCCCTGCTGTCTCCATACACTTTAATAGGAACTGCCATGAAACATTATCAAATGTTTTTTCTGCATCGATAAAAATTAATACTGCAGGGATTTCATTCTTCCTTTCCAGGTATTCGATGATATTTATTATATGCCTAACGTTATCTTTTAGTTGTCTATTAGGAAGGAATCCAGCTTGACCCGTGTGTATTACATTTTTTAGATAATGCTTAAATCTGTTTGCCATAATTTCCGCAAATATTTTATAATCATTGTTAAGAAGCGATATCGGTCTGTAGTTTTTTATACCCCCGTTTATCTGACTCCGCTTTAGGTATCAATGTTATGTGGGCATCTTTCCAGGAGTCCGGTATCTTCCCTCCTTGTAGGATGTTATTCATTACATCACGTAGCACCGGGGCTAACTGTTCTCCAATAACTTTATAATATTTGGCCGACAAGCCATCTGGGCCTGGAGCTTTCCCTAGTTTCATTTTCTTTATTGCTTCCTGGACTTCATCTATTGTTATGGACTTATTCAATTGGGTTTTCTCTTCCTCCGTTATGGATGTTATTCTGTTATTTTCTAAATATTTTCCTATTTCTATTATATCTTCTTCTTCTTTTTTGTTTAATTTTTCAAAAAAATTTAGGAAGTTTTTCTTTATTTCGTTTGGCTCTTCCACAAGCCTTTCTTCTATTTTTATCTTGTTGATCACATTTTGCTTTTTCCTTTTTCGTAGTTGCCAGGCTAAAAATTTTCCCGTTTTGTTTGCGGATTCGAAATTTTTTTGCCTCATTGATTTAATTCTCCATTCAACTTCTTGGTTAATTAGCGTTGAGTATTGTAATTGTAACAATTTGGATGTTTGTTTAATCTGATCATCACTAGGATTTGTTATTAATTTTTTCTCATATTCTCTTAATTGGGTCAGGATTCCATCTTTCTTTTGTTCTCTTATTTTTTTTCTATGACTATTTTGCTGGATTAGAAAGCCTCTTAGCACCGCCTTACTAGCATCCCAAACCATATCAATATTTGTCTCATTATTAAGGTTTAACTCAAAAAAGTCTTTTAAAGTGTTTTTGGCCTTTTCAGTTACATCTTCATTTTCAAATAAGTATTCATTCATTCATTCTCTATCGATACATACCCTGAATTCCACACTTAATTTCCAGGGATATTGAATTATGGTCAGACAGATTGTGATTGATTCTCAGTTAAACATTTGGCTAGTTCAGAGGACAATCTTGAGCTAGGGCAAGAGCTTTGAGAACTTCAGGAAGAAAACCACCTGATGTAGGGACAGTCCACACATCTATTGGCCTATTTGGACCTTTTTTCTTAATGGTAACTGCTTCTGCTCAGGCTGCACAATAAAAGCATCTTGGTTCCAGAAATTTGTTCTCTATTGTGCAGATAAAATATAATGGATAGAATTCTATGGGATAGGGTATTAGGGTGTGAAAACAGTCCAGATCCAATGATCCCCAGATGGTGGAGACATCAGGCACCATCCTGGCGCCCAGGCATCTTCACTGGGTTGCAAGTGGCCGATAGAGAATTTCAAACACTGGTCACTACTAAACCATAAATCTATTTGCTTCCAAGCATAACTGGCGCACATACCTCACAGGGAAGTTGTGATCTGGATTTATTCTTTCCAATAAACTGTAAAGCTAGAGGAGAGGAGAAAAGGAGGAAGGATGTTTAATGTTCAGCAATACACATTAAAAACAGCAAAGGGGTACATCTGTGGCTTTCTCGGATGTTGCTGGACTCCCAGAAACCATAATCAATCCTGACCATTAGCCACACTGGTAGGATGAAGGTGTTGGGATTCCATAGATGTTCCCAGCCAGTGCTCTGAAAGGCAAGTCCAGGACTGAAGCCAAGGGAATCGTCCTACCTCTTGATGCCGGTTCCCCTCCCTGATGTAGACGCTCGCCAGGTTAGTCACAATGAAAGCCCACAATTCCTGGTGGGTGGTGAGCTGTGGGTGTGGGGAAGAGGAAGAGGAAGTAAGGCAAAGTCAGAGCATGACTGAAAACAACAACAACCCAACTCACAGAAGGCAGGATTTCCCACTTTTGTTAAGGAACTGTGTTTGAAGGAGAATGCCTGGACACAGGAAGCCAACTTCCAGCTCTGTGTTGAGACACTGAATCCAGCCTTACCCTGAGTGCTGTGGTGAACTGAGCTTCCGCGTTGTCCATGCAGTTTACGGAAATGCAGTACAGCCCCTGCGAGGGAAAAAGAGAAATTACCATTCCAAGGTTCAACAACTCTGGCCTCTAGAGAGAGGGGTGGGGTGGGAGAGAGCATAGCAGCAGCAGTGGGTATAAAACCCTTTTGGCATGAAACTTGGTAGAAAATAGAAATAAACCAATCCCCTCTCCTCATTACAAAGGAATAGAGCAGGGACACCACCACCCCAAGTTTACTTTCAGAGAAACTGGAAGGGGCAAAGAAGCAGGAGCAGCTTTTTCTGAACTAACAGTTTGTCTTTTCTATTCTCTTGCAGCTTTTAAAAATTCAATGCTTATCGCTGCAATAATCTTAGGCAAACTGCTTTATACAGTCTGCCTGGAAAGCAGTTTATAAATACTGCAAATAAATCAATGTAAGTTGTTTAAAACAATAAAATGTAACAACAAATAAATTTTAACTGGATTCAGTTGAAGGAGGTTTACCCCCCACCCGCCCCTGCCCCAATTACATGGCTTAAGAGGAAGAAAGACAGTGTCTGTTGGGCTTTTTTTTTTAAAAAAAGAAATCCTCTGTGCATTGTAGAGCTGGAAGGGAATCACAGTGAAGAGTACACCCCCCTCAAACTCAGGCTGATATACTTACCAGCAGAGTGTGGAGCTGAGCTGCGTGGTTTGAAAAGAGCCGAGGAGACTGCTGGCAGAGCTGGCAAACCTGGGAGATCTTTTGGAAGACGAGGCAAATGGGAGGGAGAGGTGGCATTTAAGTTAGTGCTGTGGGTTTCTTTCCCACACTGACGGATCTTTCTCCCACAAAGCCCCACGAGGGTCACCTCCCGCCCTCTGCCTGCCATTCCTCCACCATCTTTCACCAGCCCCAGCTAAGTAATGTCTGCAGTACTGCTGCTGCTGCTGCTGCAGTAGACCACCCCTCTCTCCTCAAGGTGGGGGAGCCTTGGGGCTTTCCCCCAGACCAGCCACCCCTCTCTGACCTCCGGCCCCTTAAGGGTTCTTGCATTGCTGGGATTGTTTCCTTGCACTCCAATGATGCCTCTTGATTGACCGGACCAAGGACAGAGAAGTGTGTGTATAGAAACTAGCCTGCTCTACAAAGCTAAAATGTTTACCTGTTGTCCCACCCACTTTTGCCTCAGGCCCCACCCACCATGTGGCCCCTGGAAGGTTATCCAGCAGAGAATGTGGCCCTTGGGCTGCCCACCTCTGTGCTAAGGCAGCCTTTGCCAAACCACAGCCCCCCTCCTGATCACAGAATTGTAGAGCTGGAAGGGATCCGATGGTCATCTAGTCCAACCCCCTGCAATGCAAGAATCTAATGAGCTGTAACTGCTATCAGCTGTTCTGGACTGCAACTCCTACCAACTCCAGGCTGCACTAAGAGCTTCTCAGCGCTGCTGCGCCTTCAGCAAGCACAGCGGGGCTTTGCCTGCTCCTCTGCCCTCAAAGGATGTGAAAAAGGAATCCCTGGAATTCATTTTTATAAATACCATATTAGATTAAGGTCTGGTTAACTACAATAATACCCTAATTTCACAATATCTTTTTTCTTTTCTTTTTTTTTGTTTTCTATATGGGTACTATTTCTTGTTTCTTCTTTTTCGTGTCTTACCTTACTCTGCACACTAGGCTTATAACTTTTTTACAACCTGATGTTCCTGTAGCTTAGTTAGATGAACTTTTGCCTAAAAACAAAGGAATGAACTGTCATTTCCAAATCTTTTGAAAAAAGGTCACCCCAATATCAATAAATCAATTTTTGTATATGTAACTGTATAATGCATTATGTAATATGACTAGCATGTATATAGGAAAAATTGAGTTTGCAAATTTTCTAATATTTGTACAATGTTTTGTACACTGTGAATCACTTATTATTGCTTAGAATAAATCGTGGTTGTACTTTGTCTTTGTTTCTACCACAAGCACCATAACATTCCTGCATCACTTGGATTGCGCGTTCTGCACACGTATTACTTTTTGGTATCTGAAGCATGGATGTCTCCTGCTTCCAGTGCTTTTCTGATGCTTTTCAAAGTTCTTTTACAGATGTGAAAATTCCAAACAGTTCCATAAAGTTTTTAAGAGTGCTGATACTTATGAGTAGTAACGTTACATATACGGTGATTTCAACTCTTCATTTTGGGGTGACCTTTTGTCGCAACTGAGAAGAATTAGTCCCTTTTTCAGTGTTTCTAAGAAAAAGTTCATCCCTTTATGATATAGGAAATCGTTTTTATAACCCTACTGCACACTTGTTAATTTTGTACTTTTTATTTTCCAATAAAGAATATAAAGCAGGAACCCCTGGAATACAGAAACTGGGCTCTACCTCCTGCAGGGCTGTGGCTTTGTGACCCGTCACGAGGCGGCACATGATGATGTGTTCCAACAAAATCACTTGGAAGGAAGACAAGATGGGGCTGCAGTCCAGCACTGGAAGTGAAAAAGAAATGGTGGCGCCTTTAGTGTGGGTGGAAAGGAGGGCAAAAGCAGCTGTGACAGCCTCTCCAGGGGCAAGTGGAAAGAGCTGCTCAGCAATCTTGATATTCTATGGGCACTTCTTTGGGCTGGCAAAGCCACCTTCTGGCCCCAGCCTCCTTTCCAATGGGGAGGGCGTGATTGAGCAGACCAAAAAGGGATATGCCAGAAGCAGTGAGGCGAGGGGTCCTTGCATTTCTGAAGTCCCAGAGGGGAATAAAGAAAACTCGGGGCACATTCACATATGCTTACAAATAGATCTTGGTTGACGTTGCAGTGTAACAAAAGGATACTATATTTTTCTGTGTATAAGAAGATGCTTTTTGCTAAAAAAACTTAGGCAAAAATTGAGTGTCGTCTTATACACAGATAGTGAATGCAGAGGGGGGACGTGCGATTAATGGCAGCAGCAAGCAGGAGATTGGCAGCAGTGATTGGGCGGGTGATTGGTGGCTGCTGGCAACTGGCTGTGGCTGCGGCAATTGGGCAGGCGATTGGCGGCTGTGGCAAGTGGGTGGGTGGGCTGTTGGTGGCGGCAAGTGGGCAGACAACTGGCAGCTGCAGCGAGGTGTGCAATCGGCAGTGACTGTGGCAAGCAATTGGCGGTGGCGGGCAGGTGGGTGAGCGATTGGTGGAAGTCACCCCCCCCCCAAATGCTAAACAACTTAATTTTGGGTTAAAAAAATAGGGGTCGTCTTATACACAGAAAAATACGGTAAATGGTATTTGCTGGTAGTGGGTTGGAGATGGGGGTATGACTGGCCTTACAAAAGGGGATTGACAACCCTCCACAAAAAAGGTGGCAGTGATAAAGTGGAAGTGCATAGTGGGGGTGGGGGAGAAGGACACCCTCTGGCAGAGATTTAACATGCACATGGTGAGCATTCCAAGCACGGAATCTCAAAAGAACAAAGACATGGCAGGGAAGAAAATAATTCCTGCTGCTCACTTTTGAGTTTCTCCAGCTGCATAAGCGCCTTGTCCGTGTACTTCTGTGCCTTCTCCAAGTATCCGGCCTGCATTGAGTGCATTACTGTCACCTGTGGGAACAGACAAGCAGAAGCCTTTTGCCATCATTCTGCAAGAAAACAAAAGAGCCAGTGTGGTGTAATGGTTACAAGTGTTGGATTGGGACCTGGGAGACCAGAGTTCAAATCCTCACTCAGCCATGAAGCTCACCGGATGACATTCGGAGCAGTCACTGCCTCTTGGCCTAGCCTACCTCACAGGGTTGCTGTGAGGGTTAAATGAGATTGGGGGTGGGGGGCGGGAAGAACGATGAACGATGTATGCCACTGTGAGTTGTCAAACTCATCCCTCACAGCACAGATAACTTGACCCACTTTCCCACCAAGGGCTATAAAAGAGAATTTTTCATGAGCTGCCCAAAAACTTGTAATTCCTGCAGGGGAGAGCTGAGCTGGCAGTTAACAGGAGCTGAAGGAATCGAGCAAAACATTGGCTGGCTTCACGGTTTTCCCCACATCGTGATTTTTGCATAGCACGCACATACATATATCATGATTTGCGATACATTGCCAGGTCAAAAATTATGAACCTGTTATCATGATATGGACTTCAAAACAGTTTTGGAGGATATAGTGATATATCACCCAGCCTTAGTGTGTGTCTGGTATGAGTCACATGCATTGCATTGTATCAATGTAAGTTCTACACTGTTACACCCACTTAAATTAAATGGACCTAAGTTTCCAGTAGATCTACTCTGAGTAGGACTAACACTGGATATAACCCAAGCCTTTGACCTCCCCTACCATGGGCCATGCAGCCCGTGACCTGGTCAGAATAGTAGTGCAACACTGGTATAGCTTCCTAGGACGCAGCCCCAATCTTGGGTTCACAAGTGCATTGAGCAGCTCACCAGGTAGACCAGCACACACATGTGCTCCTTGGGTAGCCAGTGGAAGAGGTCAGCAGGGTTGCTGGGCAGGATCTCGTCGTCATGGAGGGTGGAGATGGTCTGGATGCACTGCTGGAGCTGCTTCAGGCAAGGCTTGACACTCTTCACCTGGGGAAAGGAAGGGGTCGCCTCAGCAAAGAGAAAAGCTACCACCTGCTGATTTTAATGTTGTGAAGCGCCCTGAGATCTACGGATGAGGGGCAGTATACAATGATTATTAATCCCATTGAATGAGGGGGCGGGGGGGAGGGCTTCCCCTCTGTTCCTCTCCCAGCTGCCTTCCTTCTCTCCCCCCAGCTGTCATGGCACTGCTGGTGTGGGTCCAGGCTGCAACCTGGATGCAGTCCAATTGTCAAGCAGATTTCTAAGTTGTTAGGAGAGTACCCTGGGAATCCCAAGAAACTCGAAGCTTTTCTTTTCGGAATTACAGATAATGAAGTACCAAAAGAGTTGGTTAACTTATTTAAGTATATAACGACAACAGCACAAACCGTACACCCAAAAATGAAAAGGAGGAGAGATTCCAACAAAGGAAGAATGGCTTTTGAAAATGATGGGAGTATGCAGAACAGGCAAGATTAACAGCAAAGATTAGAGACCAAAATTACAAAAAAAATAAAAATAAAAAAATCCTTGATGAATGGAGACCTGTTACTGAGTATTAAAAAAAAACTACTAAAGGGAGATGAAATATGAGCAACAGCATTAATTATTAAAATAAATAGGTTAAACTGTATGTATTGAATAGCGTGTATGAAACAGACAGCATTCAAGGGTAAATATGGAAACCATGTAGGGGGAAGATGGGTTATAGTCTATGTTAAAATTTGTAAGGCTTTTATTGTGGGTGAAAAATCAATCAATAGGGTTTTTTTTAAAAAAGGAGAGTACCCTGGGAAGAGGGAATGATTATTAAACCACTCTGGCAGTCATAGCTCTCGAAGAAGAATGGGGGCCTCCAAACAACTCCCAGCACCTTCAACAAACTACAGCTCCCATTATTCGGGGGGGGGGGGGGAGCCATGACTGCTAAAGTGCTGTCACAGTGCTTCAAATGTACAGTGCGAAAGTGGCGAAAGTGTGCCTTAGTTGGATACAAGCCACTGAAATGATTGGAGATGACTTAACCGAGGCCTATTCATTTCAATGGGTCGAGTGTTTCCCAAACTTGGGTCTCGAGCTGTTTTCGGACTGCAATTCCCATCATCCCTAACCACTGCTCTTGCTAGCCAGGGATGATGGGAGTTATACTCCAATAACAGCTTGAGACCCAAGTTTGGGAAACACTGGACTAGTCCCAATAATATTTGCTTGAATACAACCCAAAGGCTCCAATCCTAACCTCACTTATCTGGGAGTAAGCCCAAGTGAATTCAAAAAGACCAAGAAGACATAGCTAAGCTTGCCACTACAAGCTTCTTGCTTCTAACCACTGCAGGATGCAAGGATGGGGGAGGGGAAAACTACCAGGCGTCTGTAGTGCCTTCCACTCACCTGACCAGCATCCAGGTAATGTGTCACTTGCAGCACCAAGAAGAAGACTCGCAGAGACTCCTTCTGGATGGGGTTCCCCTGCCAGTTCTCCACTATCTGTCCGCACAACGTAAGCAGTGGATGCACCTCTTGTAACTTCCTCTCCATAAGGAGCAGCTGACGATTATGAAAAAAGGAGAGAAGAGGCAAAAAAGGAAATAAAATGGCTGCAATCAGAAGATCAAAGTAAACCTTGCCTGTCATGTGACTACTTTAGAATTCTAAATCTGGTCCGGAGGGCTGAGGGACTCTCCGGAGAAACATTTGAGAGGGCTGCAGGGCAAACAAGAAGGATAAATTCATTCATGCAGTACTGGATGTCACCCAAGTTTTTTGGTTTGTTTTTTTAAAAAATGTTTCTATTGTTTTGCTCCAGGTAATTAAAAGGAAAAGCTCTAACCCGCCCCACCCCACCTGCTCCCAGAACGGTGGACATCCCCACCAAAAACCAATATATTGGTTTTACTGGCATAAAATGTGCATATGGTTTGTTCAAGTCATCTGGCATTTGTGAGTTAGCTTTTCCATTAGTGCCAGGTGACATACTGCAGCCGTCCACTCCACTTTCAAGTCAACACTTAAAGTCCTCCAGTGTTTAGCAATTGTCATCACAAGAGGTTGTATGTGTTCGTATCCCATAAGGCGTAAATTCCTCCCTTTCCTTTCTCATAACAGCTAACACTCTTAATAAAGTCTTAAAATTAACTTGAGATGTTGCGCTTTGTCAAAACTTGCATTTCCAAATATCGTTATTTTTCATGGGAACATTTACTAGAACTCGTGACCTTTTGATTTAAAAAGTACAGAGTGATATCAAACATCAGCCCTACTCAGAATAAAACCACTGAAAATTAATGGACCCAAATTAATCACGTTCACTGATTTCAATTTCACTGTGTGAATGAGAAAGTGTGGGGGAGAGGACTGTTATTATGATGACTATTTCATTATTAGGCTGTTCGTCAGTTGACTTTTTATATTTTTATCACTGATATTCTGTAATGTGTTTTTAATGTTGTACACCACCCTACGGGCTTCTGATGAAGGGCAGGATATAAACTGAATGAATGAATAAAATAATAGTACAGTGGTACCTCGGGTTAAGTACTTAATTCGTTCCGGAGGTCCATTCTTAACCTGAAACTGTTCTTAACCTGAAGCACCACGTAAGCTAATGGGGCCTCCTGCTGCCGCTGCACCGCCCAAGCACAATTTCTGCTCTCATCCGGAAGCAAAGTTCTTAACCCGAGGTACTATTTCTGGGTTAGCAGAGTCTGTAACCTGAAGCGTATGTAACCTGAAGCGTATGTAACCCGAGGTACCACTGTACTACTCTGTAGAGCAGATGCTGTATACAACCAACATTATTTGTTTTAAAACATCCTCACAGCATCCCATTTGGGTTTCAAGGCTGTGTGGTAAGAATATAAGCAGAGCCTGCTGGACTGCACCCCATTTAGTTCTGTATTTTTATCTTAATTCAAGGGGTCAAGCAAGCAGCAAGAACTAGATGAGAGATGGGGGAACATCTGTGGCCCTCCAGATCTGCTGAACTAGCAGCATGTGACCACCGGCCATGCAAGTGGATGCTGGAGTCCAAGATCCAGAGGGCCGGAGACTTCCCTGCCCTTGATCCAAGGAGAAGCATTCCCTACTCTCAGTAGAGAATACAACTTCTAAGGTTGGGGATAGGGAACCTGCTGTCCTCCAGATGTTGCTGAACTACAACTCCCATCATCGCCCCTGACCATTGGCCGGAATAGTTGTTGGAGACATCGGGGGGGGGGACCACAGGCCGCCCACTTCTGTATTAAAGATATGTTTAGGGTGATGTGTGGCTTAATGCAGCCTTCTATTTGTAGGCCACAACTGAACTGCCCATCTGCAGGTTTGTGATCTAGCAAATCTAGAACTATTTAAACCGGTTTCTCCAAGCACACACAACTTACCATGCCTTTGCTTAGCAGAAACAGGGCTCTGAAAGGGGAAAAAAATAACAAATTGAAGATTCTAAAATACAGGCAAGACCACCAGAAGTGCAAGGAAGCTAAGAACTTTCAATTAAAGTTTTTATACCATGCCTTTCCACTGCAATGAGCTTAATGTATTTAAAACATCTAAACACAATTACAAGCAAGCATCTTAAAACAATTCTATTCTCTTATGCCTGGGTGAACAGGAATAGTTTTCAATTCCTCCTGAAAGCTGATAATGAGAGAGAGAGGGCATTCCACAAGCAGGGAACCACCACTGAGAAGGCCCCCATCATGAGCCTGTGACAACCAAGCAGCCCCCTCTCTCTTGGAAGGTTGAATGAGCCCCCAGAGTACCCCTAATAACCCCCCTGGCCCCATCAACTTTGGTGGAAAAAGTTGCCCCATAAGAAAGGACTCACCTTGTATATTCCGACCCTACCACACGGGCGTATTCTGCTCCAACCCCCAGGAGGTCACAAGCAGACACCAAATCTTTTTCAAGTGTGTGAAGTTGCTAAGTGGAGAAAGAAATACACACACAGTTACATTTTGAAAGTTAGCTACTTCTTCCTTTCAAATCTGATCCTACAGCTAACTGCAGAAGCTGACAGTGTCAGTATTGAGTTTTCTATTACTGTTGGGGGGGGGGCTGGTGGTTTTTCATTTGTTTCCCCAACATGTTGTATGAAATATAAATGTGTTATATCGTATACGTTATACAATGCAATTATGCGTATACATACACATACACACACACACACTCAATGTAAGCCACTGGGAAACCCTTTGAGTAGTGAGTTTAATCAATGAAAACAAATCAGTCAGCAGAGCATGAGATTCTTAATCTCAGGGTTGTGGGTTCAAGCCCCACCTTGTGCAAAAGATTCCTGCATTGCAGGGGGTTGGGCTAGATGACCCTCGTGATCCCTTCCAACTCTACAATTCTTTGAGTAAGTAAATTGATCTGCCCACTTTTGTCTCTGGCCCCACCCACCACTAACACACAGCCCCACATAAGGTCACACAGAAGGAAACACAGTCCTCCGGCTGAAAATGGCTCACCACCCTTGGCTTAAAATAAGCATACCGCCAGCTGGAAGAGGAGGCGGCAGTGCCAGTATGGAGTCTGCTGTGAAATCTGGATGGCTTTACGAAGCAGGGGTTTTGCAGTGTCGACAGAGTTCTGAAACAAAACAAATCAAATCAACAAAAATATGGATATAAAGGGAGGGACCCAAAGTTCTAACCCAAAATAGGAGAATCAACAAGATGATGTCAGACTGAGCTAAGAACTTCAGCCAGTACAGATGTACCTTGGAAGCCTAATGGAATCCATTCCAGAAGTCTGTTCGACTTCCAAAGTTCAGAAACCAAGGCATTTGGGAACCAAGGTACGACTGTATTAGAAATTCAGATATAGAATCCAGGTGCCAAATGGCTCCTTAAACCAAGGTTGCAGCCGCCAAACCAGAATGTCTAGTTGCCATTTTGGGGGAAAGACAGCTCTAAAGTCTTATTTTTCAAATGATGGACTGACTGTGATTGACTCTCAGTTAAACATCTGGCTAGTGCAGATGACAAGTTGAGGCAGGTTAAGAACTTTGAGAACTTACAGAAGAAAAGTTACTTGATCCAGTCCATATATCTATTGGCCTATTCCTACCTCTTTTTCTTAATGGTGACATGGACCATTTGTAATGTAGGGCTATTCTTCACAACTGTGAGAATGGTAGTGGGGTAAGTGAAGACAAGCGACAACAATTAACTATAACGTTCACCACTCCTGCTGAGACTGCACATAAAAAGCATTTTGGTTCCTGAAATTCATTTTGATTGCACAGATAATACATAACTGGCAGAATTATACAGGATTAGGTATTAGTGTGTGAAAAGAGTCAAGAGCTGATGATCCCCAGGAATGTTGAGAAAGTGCTCTATCCCATTCTGAGTAGCCCAATCTGAGCATGGAGGGAGTGTCTGTCATCCCTCCTCTTGCACTCTGCCAGGCGCTCAGGATCAACCAAGCGCTCTGTCTCTTGCCTGCCTCCACAGATACACACTCCAACATGCAATCCCATGTATCAGCAAGCAATAAAACTGCAAGAGCCTGGCTGCCACATCAGGCCAAAGGCCCATCTAGTTCAGCACTCTGATCTCAGTGTCCAACGAGATGACCTCATGGGAAGCCCACAAGCAGCACTGTCTCAGCTCAGCTCTATTTTGTAAACCACCTTTCTAAGTCTTCTCTGGCTGCTGACCCCACTGAACTTTGGGATTTAAAGAACTGAGTGGGAAATACATTCTTTCTCCACTTACCTCCTGACAATACAGCTCCGACAGCAGACTGGCAGCTTCGAATTTGACATCCTCAAATTGCGGAATCTGACAGCATCCAAGTTAAGCTAATATAGTAAAAAAAAATGATGGAGCAATTGTTTTAAGGGGTATCCAAAAAATAGGGAGCACAGTTGCTTCTCAAAATTTATATTAACAAAACCAAAGCATAGAATCAATGGGGCTTGTTAAACGCTCTGTTGACACGTAGTTGTGTTTTCCCCTCCAAGCAGCACAACCCCCATTTCCATGAGACCAGAAAAAAGGATACTTGCTGTGATATCAGCCACTGTAAGAGAAACAGAGAGAAATGAGGTATTCCTGGAATCAACAAAAATGAAGCTCTTGACATAAATGGATGGGGAAGACTTTGAGACAGCTTGGAGTTGTCACTACTGAGCTGCCTTGTCCCTCGCACTGGTAGCAATACTTCTTTCCAGAGATTCAGAACAGAGTCTCTCTCTGTCCTATTTGGAGATGCCAGGAATTGAACAGGGGACCTCCTGAATGCAAAGCAGGTGCTCTAACCACTGAGCTATGGGGCTTCCCACTGGAAATAAAAGATGAACAGAGCACCCTTTTTGGGTGTCCACCTTTCACTTTCTTTCTTTTCTGTTCTCAAGATGCCGACACAACCGTGCCCCTTGAAAAAGTCCACAGTCCACTTTCATTCTCCCCACACACTTGCTGATGGTCTCAGTTCATTCTTGGGATGCCCCCGCACCTACTTTATCCAGTGTAGGTGTAGTGGTTAAGGGCAGTAGACTCGTAGTCTGGTGAACCGGGTTCACGTCTCCACTCCTCCACATGCAGCTGCTGGGTGACCTTGGGCCAGTCACACTTCTTTGAAGTCTCTCAGCCCCACTCACCTCACAGAGTGTTTGTTGTGGGGGAGGAAGGGAAAGGAGAATGTTAGCCGCTTTGAGACTCCTTAGTAGTGATAAAGTGGGATATCAAATCCAAACTCCTCCTCCTCCTCCTCCTAAAGGGCTCCAGCTCAGCCATAGAGCCCTTGCTTTGCATGCAGAAGGTCCCAGGTTCAATCCCCAATGACATCTCCAACAAGGCTGAGAAAAGACTTCTTGCCTGAAACCCCAGAGCAGCTGCCAATCAGTGTAGACAGTACTGAGCTAGGTTGACCAATGTTGACTGACTCACTGCAGTTTTCTACACTCCTACTGAGTTGCTTCCTCCTGCTCTGTTGTTCCTTTCAAGGGTGTTCTCCTCTTTGCTCTCCCTTCTATTAACTGAGGCAGCTCACACCACCAAACACATTTAAACCAAACACAACAAGCAATAGAGGCCCTTTCAACCTTCTGCTTATTCTCTAACACACCGCAACCTCAAGGTCTCTCCTTCTCACTGTTCCACATAGGCACTGCTATATATATGCACAGCAGGGGAAATTATGTAGCTCAAACCCTTTCCTGTATGTATGCATGTAACATTTTAACAAAATGGGAGAATTTTGGGCAGCTGTCAAGAAATTCCTACACCATTGTAATAATACAAGGAGTTCAAGCTTTCTTCCTGCCCTTCCTGTTTAACACTGAACTGGGGATGAGGATGCCAACAGGACCATAGCCAAAAAAGGCCAACGACAGAGAGATGGGGGTGGGTATCAACATGCTCTGGGAAACCATGAAGTTTGAAAAAGTAAAAATATGTTTTTTAAAAACGAAACAAAAAATTATGAGGGCAAAAAATACAGCCCAATGAGGGCAGGGGATTGTTATTCTATCAGAGACAGTAGCTGAAGAACTTTTTTGTTGTTCTCCACCTTGGGAAACAGAATAGTAATTTTTTTATAACTGCAACATATGCTGATGGCACACTCCCCCCACCCCGATATATCTACACCTAGCAAACTCTATAACAGGCATCCCCAACCTGCAGCCCTACAGATATTTTGGCCTACAACTCCCATGATCCCTAGCTAACAGGACCAGTGGTCAGGGATGACGGGAATTGCAGTTCAAAACATCTGGAGGGCCGAAGGTTGGGGATGCCTGCTCTATAACATCCACTATCACATCCACACACATAACATGCACCTAATTTAAATACTTGACATCCATCCCCAAACACACACACACACAAGATATATACATGCACAGATGTAAAAATACTCTGCGTCCCCTTCCTGGACATGCAACACACAACAGAGACACACACGACATTAATATGTAACACCCCTCCACATTACACATGCATGCATACACACACTTGTGCACGCACGTCACATTCAACATTCTCTCTGTAATATATGAACGCATATATGCACTGTCTCTGTCACACACAAGCAAAATATATAGTATCTGTGTATATGTGTATATATACACCGTCCCCCACAAATGCAATACACACACATGGGCAAATCATTCTCTCTCTCTCTCTCCAGGCTTGATTGTTGCAACTCGCTCTACGCGGGGCTGCCCTTGAAGCTGACCCAGAAACTCCAGCGGGTGCAGAATGCCGCAGCGAGGCTCCTTACGGGGTCCTTGCCGCAGGATCACATTCATCCAGTGCTTTACCAACTGCACTGGCTCCCGGTGGAGTACAGGGTCAGGTTTAAGGTGCTTCTTTTGACCTTTAAAGCCCTATGCGGCCTTGGACCCACGTACCTATGGGACCGCCTCTCCTGGCATGCCCTGCGGAGGACCTTAAGGTCCATAAATGACAACACTCTGGAGGTCCCAAGTTGCAAGGTGATTAGATTGGTCTCAACTAGGGCCAGGGCCTTTTCAGCACTGGCCCCGACTTGGTGGAACACTCTGGCACAAGAGACTAGGGCCCTGCGGGACTTGATGTCTTTCCACAGGGCCTGCAAGACAGAGCTGTTCCGCCTGGCCTTTGGTTTGGACTCAGTCTGACCCTTATGTTTCCCTCCCCTTACGGTTTTGATCTATGGGCTACCTTTAAAATGAGGCTGCATTTTAAATTGCATTTTAACCTGTATTTTAAATTGTTTTTTCACCCCATTATGTTTTTATTGAAATTTTACAGGTGTTAGCCGCCCTGAGCCCAGCTCTGGCCGGAGAGGGCGGGGTATAAATAACATTTACTATTATTATTATTACATGTATACACCTGCACAGGCAAAACGTATCTCTCTCTCTCCCTCTCTCTCTCTCTGTGTGTGACAGCCTTCTCATTCACTGCTCCCTTCCTAGAGAAGCCAAGCTGGCTCCCTCCTTTGCTGTCCTTCAGCCCTTCTTGTTGCTGAAGACCTTCCTGTTCCAACAGGCTTTTGGGAAATGGCTGCTTTTAATGAAAGGGCTGGCCCTGTGCTGCTTTTATTCTAATCTGTGTCTTTCCAATGGAATTAAAGCTAAAATATCTCTCTCTCTCTCTCTATATATATATATGCACACACCATATATTAACTCTCTCTCTCTATATGTATAACATGCATACACACAAACACTACACACAGCACCTGTAAATCCACGTGCAACATAAATACAGTGCATCTATCTGTATCTGGACATACAGTGCACGCACGCATGTATGTGTATGCATCTGCACACAATACATGGCATCCCACACAGGCACACAAACATACACCCGAATGTGCACGCACAGCCCTTCTTTCTCTCTCCCTCTCTCTCTCTATATATATATATACACACACACACACACACGGGAAATACAAGCTCGTGCTCTCTCTCTAACTGTGTATCTACCACGCCTGCACACAAACGCCACCCGCCACCCATACATGCCCGTGTGTGTCCGGCCTTCCCTCACCGCCTTCTCGAGGTGGCTGCGCGCCTGCTCGCCGTTCCGCGTGTGGTGGTACAGGACGGAGCCGAGCTGCAGGTGGGTCCGGGCCTCGACGCGCGCCGGCGGCTTCCTGGGCAGCACGGCCTGCAGGCAGTGCACGCAGAGGCGCACCTTGGGCGGGCTGGAGGTGCGGAAGTGCTCGGCCAGGCCCAGCAGCGCCACGTACCACGACTCCGAGGAGCCGCCCGACGACGAAGAGGCCGCCGCGGCCGCGGGAGACGACGACGACGGAGGGCCTCCGGCCGCGGAAGAGGAGGCCGAGGACGACGACGAGCCGCCACCATTGCCGTCTCCGCCTCCTCCTCCTCCCGCCGCCGCCGCCTCAGCCCCGCCGGGCGGCCCGCCCGACGGAGGCTGAGGCGCCGCCGCGGACGACGATGACGGAGCCGTGGTCGCGGACACCGAGGAGGAAGAGGCGGGCGGGGGCGGAGGCGCCGTCGTCGTCGCCGTTGCGGAGGAAGAGGCCGCGGCGGCGGCGCCGGAGCCACCGGCTACCCCGGCCGGAGCGCCCACGGCCGCCATCTTAGATTTACCTCAGAAATGATAAGACATGGATTGTCAGGGCCGAGGGGAAAGGGGGCGGGGCGGCGACGCGCGCGGGCCTAGCGCAAAGCGTGACGGGAAGACGAGTGCCGGCGTTGTATGAAGGAAGGAGTGGGATGGGGCGCTTGGACTACAATTCCCGTCAGGCAGCGGGGTGGGGAGCAGTGACGGGCTACAAGCGTCTCCTGCGCGAGAGGTAAAGGAGATGCGCTCCTCTCGCGAGATTTTTTTCCTCCGCACACCGGCTGACACTTTGTGTACAGTATTTCTGTTTTTTATTATTTCTGTTTCATTTTTTATTTGTGTGCCGCCTCCCCGCAAAACTGGCACACGTAGTGGTTTTGGAGTCAGCCAGGTTAGTTAATTTTTTTAAAAAAAATACGTTTTAAAATGTTTTTATTTTTTATTGTCTTAACTTTTTGGTTCGTGTGGTCCGGGATTTAAGAACAAAAAATTAATAATACAAATTTCATTGTCCTCCTATAACTATTTACATTTTAAATCTGATTTGTTTTCAGCCTTCATTTAATTTTAACTATTGTTTTTAACTTTAAACAATGCTGCTGTGTTAATTTGGTGTTCACTTCCCAAGATAGAAATTTTAACTATTATTCATAATGCTATACAAAAAAAAATCATTGCCACCTTGTAACGATTTAAATTGCATAATTAAAAACAGCTTTTAATAAAATTCAAAAGGCCATTTCGCGCAAAGTACTAAAAACATGACTGCTATTATAAAGTATTTTCAACGAATTATTAATATAATAATAATAATAGTAATAATAATAATAATAATAATAATAAAAAAAAAACTGTAAGGATTTAAATTATAATCCTTTCAAGGATAATAATTTGGCAACATTCAAGGATCATAATATAGTACCTATAGTATTTCTATATTGAAATCTCAAAGCGGTTTACAAAACAAAACGGTAAAATCAAGAAAACAACCCTAAAACGATGAAAATATATAAAATATTAAAACGATAGATATATCCTATTATATATTTCTATTTTAATAATACTGTAGTTATGTTATAGCAGATAATAGTACATATTTACATATTTACCATAATATTATAGTACGCTATTATGCGAAATACAGTAATATTAAAAAACCTGCTAGCTACCATTGTACATAGTTCCTCGTATATAATTGTTTATCAAGGGTAGGGAGCGTCCTCCTTGAAAGGCGCGGTTCAAATGTCCTCAGTCAAAATAAATGCAATTATTTTAATAATATTGCTAAATATTAGTATTACTCAATATTAATATAACCAAACATTATTATGGAGGAGTATTTTCTCCCACTGCCCTTCGCCTCATGGGAAATGTAGTCCCTTAGCAAACTACACTGAGGAATGGGGAGGGGAAGCTTAATTTCCACAAAACTCGCGAGAGCGCCTTCCTCTCCTTTCATTGCGTCTCCAAGTCTGGCGAGAGCAGCTTTCTCCCCTCCCACAGTTATCTCAACCCCCCGCGCAGCGCTTGCCGGGAATCGTAGTCCGCCCCGTCTCCCGCTCCTTGCGTCCCAGCTGCTTTATCCTCCCTGCAGCAGCAGCAGCCGAAGCCGATGTTAAGAACCCTCAGAGACGCCGCCGGCCTGAAAAGACCGGCTTCTTCACCTCCCTGCTTTCCTCGCATTCCCCCATCCCCTCAACCAGGCGTGGACTACAATTCCCGGCATCCATCCAACCGCGACCATCTTGCCTCTCCTTTCTCCTCTACGGCTCCCCCCTCCCCAGAATGCAACGCGCCTGCGCCAACGACGCCGGGAGGCGGGCTGGCGTCGGGCTTTCCGCGCGGTGCATTGTGGGAGAAGGGTGGGGACATCCTGAGAGCGATGGACGGCAGCAGAGATGCGCCAGGTGAGTCTGCCCTCCCCCGCCCCGCCCCTTTCCAGCCAGATAAGCCCCCCGCCCCACCCTCTTCTCCCTCCCCCTCTTCTCCCTCCCTCCCCACTGGGCCCCCACGAATTGGCTCCCCCCCCCCAGTATTAAAAAACAACCCCTTTCTCTTCCTTCGCTGGGCCTTCCAAGCTCTTTCTCTGCTGCTGCGGCTGCTTTGGGGGTCGCCAAGCTATTACTGCAGGTCTCCTCGTTATTATTGTTACTGTTACTACTACTACTATTAATAATAATTAAATTCGTTAGCCGTTTCATTTCACCCGAGGCAGTCCAAAGCGTCTTAACCATACTGAACATTTTAAGTACAGTGGTACCTCGGGTTGAGAACTTAATTCGTTCTGGAGGCCTGTTCTTAACCTGAAACTGTTCTTAACTTGAAACTGTTCTTAACCTGAAGCGTCTGTAACCCAAGGTACCACTGTATTCATTTTGCACCTGCCTTTTGACCACTTGCATCCGAGTGAAGATGCCCAAGTGCCAGGATGGTGCCTGACGTCTCCCCCCATCTGGGGAATCGCTGGATCTGGGCTGTTTTCACTCACTAATACAGCATCCTGTAGAATTCTACCCGTTATATTTTATCTGCACAATAGAGAATGAATTTCTGGAACCAAGGTGCTTTTTCTGTGCAACCTGAGCAGGAGCAGTGAACAGCATCATAGTTACAGTGGTACTTCGGGTTACAAACGCTTCGGGTTACAAACGCTTCAGGTTACAGACTCCGCTAACCTGGAAGTAGTATCTTGGGTTAAGAACTTTGCTTCAGGATGAGAACAGAAATCGTGCAGCAGCAGCAGCGGGAGGCCCCATCAGCTAAAGTGCTACCTCAGGTTAAGAATGGTTTCAGGTTAAGAACGGACCTCCGGAACAGATTAAGTTTGTAACCGGAGGTACCACTGTAATTGTTGTCGCTTGTCTTTGCTTACCCCACTGCCCTGCTCAGAGCAGTGAAGGATATTCTTACATTATGAATCGTCCTTGTCACCTTTAAGAAAAAGAGGTTGGAGCTGTCCATGGATCAAGTGACTTTCTTGTTTAAGTTCTCAGAGTTCTTAACCTAGCTCAAGGTTGTCCTCTGAACTAGCCATATGTTTAACTGAGAATCAATCACATTCAGTCCATCCTTTGAAAAATAAGACTTTAGAGCCGTCATGCCCAAAAATGGCAACTAGACATTCTGGTTTGGCGGCTGTAACTTTTAAGGAGCTATTTGGCTCCTAGCTTATATATCTGAATTTCTTAACACTGGGCTCAATCCCTGACATCTTCAGGCTGTCTGAAATCCTGGCAAGAGCCACTGCCAGTCAGTGTAGGCAGTGCTGAGCTATTTGGACCATTGGTTTGACTCATATCTACATGCCAGATCCTGCTTTCAGCTGAGAGTTGTAACAGGTGTCCTTTGAACTCCTTTCCCTTCGCAATGATTATATGAAGGGTTAATATAATTTCTTTTGTTTTTTTGTGGTGCCCCTTCTACTCGGCCAGGGAAAACCAGCCGGTGGTTTGGCATCACGATGCCCAAATCGGAGAAGACCAATGTGAACATCCTGCACCAGGAGAAGCTGATCGCCCAAAAGAAGCGTGAGATTGAGGCCAAGCTGGAGCGTCAAGCCAAGCGCAGCCACTTGGCTAGTAAGCAGGCCTCGCAGGCTAGCGAGTACGTAGGATTGCCTTGTTCATACCTTTCAGATAGGCTGGGAGCAATGGGCAGGCAATTGCCTGTGTGATAGCGCCAGAAGATGCAGGGAAGCACAGAAGTCTAATAAATATACAAAGTAAGTGTCTCTGAGGGAGTCCCTGCTCTTCTCATGTCCCATTCCAGCTGACCTCTGAGGAGAGGCTGACTGCATTTGCCTCAGGTGTGCATTGAGCATTAAATTATTCCTGATGCTCGAGATTTAGCAATCAGATTATGAGGCTGGCTTCTGTTTTGATGCAATCTCCTGCTGAGCATCTGCCAGGGGCCAGATATTCCTGGCATGAGCAGTCGCTCTGAGCTTCCTTCCAGTCTTGTGACATCAGCACATAGATCACGTGGAAGTCAAGGGGATGGGATGGCAACCAAGGACACACAGTCCTCCTTTTGTGTGTCTTTTGAAAACAGTGATAGAACTCCGTAAGAATGAGCAAAGGCTTAATTTGCAAAGGGAGGGAGTCTTAATTATTGGATTATTATTTTTTGCTGGTGGGGGAAGCTGTGCTCCACAGCAGCACTGTGGCCTCTAACCTCCTCCCTCTTTAACCCCACAGTGATGACAGTGGAGATGGGGAAAGCTCTGTTTCCAACAAATTTGCCAACGATGGGAGTTTCCTCCAGCAGTTCCTCAAGCTGCAGAAGGAGAAGTTGGGCAGCGGTAAGCACTTGTTCCTGAGTCCACTCTGCCAATTCTGTGGGCCTGTTGTAAGTCCCAAGGGCAGGGAATTTCTTTCAGCACAGAGAGCCATGTTCTCTTTTGAACAGATCTTTTGGGGGCCACATGTCAATAGCGGGCAGGGCTCATGGGAAAAGCAGGCAGGGCAATGAATGTCAATTTTTTCCTTCTATGCAGTAGAGTGAGTTTCTGCACACATTCGTGCACCAGCCCTCTCAAAGAAACCCGTTTTCTTTTTTCTTTCAATTTTTATTGAAGTCAAACAAATCAGTGCCAAAAAAATACAAATACAAAAAAAGAAAAAGTATAGTATATCAGGAAGAAACTTAAATCAAGTGAGCAGACCATTAGGTAAGCTAAATTTTACATTGTACCATGGAGAGGGAGTCCAGGTATTGGCTATATATATGATTAAGTTGCCCCCAGACAGCATGGAATTTTTCAGGGTCCTCTGAGCTTTTTGCCACATGTAATTTATGCACCTTCTCTCTGGGCGCTTCCTATTTGTAGGGTGCTCTCCCAAGAGAGGCTCACATGGCACCTTTGTTACGTATCTTTAGGCACCAGGTGAAAGCATTCCTCTACAAACAGACCTTTGGCTTTTAAACAATGTCCTTGTAAAGCGGGGTGGGTTGTCGAGTGTTGTTTTTTTTACTTCTATTGTATTTATCTTGTGTTCTATGTTGTGTCCTGAACCCCTGGCGTACCTGGCAGCAGGCCAGTATGCCAAGTCCAAGGGTCAATCCGCACAGGTCCAAAGGTCAGGAATGAAGCTCAGGGTAAGAGCCAAGTCTGAAGTCCAGCAGTCAGGATACAGTCCAGAGCCAAAACCAAAGCCCAGTCCCATAGAGGTCCAGGAGCACTGAAGCCAAGGTCCGCCAGCATGGGTAGCTGAGCATACCCAGCACCTCAGCTCTGCTTCAGTTTTGTACTTTCCATGCTGAATGCAACATCTGGGCTTCATGAGGCATGTGACCCTCACCTGCTCCAAGCCTACTTCCAGCTGAGGAAATCACATCCCTCCTTCCAGAGCTAGCAAGCCCCACCTGGCCAGCTGGGGAGCTGGGCTGTGGATCCTTGCTTCCTCAGCCTTCTGCTGCTCCCTACGCCTCAGAGCCTGCTATGTTTGTGGGGACACGGGCCCCTCTGGCTCTTGCAATGGGTCCTGCTACTTTGGTTCCTGTGCACTGACCCCCATCCCCTCGCCATCCTCCATCCCCAGTGTGTCCCAGTCCCAACTACACCCCTTGTCAGGGTCCTCTTCCTCCTCCCTGTCATCCTGCCGGTTCGTGACTTGTTGTAAACTGCCCTGTGGTCTGTTGAGGAAGAGCAGTATATAAATTTAGTTAATAATAATAACAACAATACAGTGGTACCTCTAGATACGAATGGGATCCGTTCCGGAGCCCGTTCGCATCTAGAGCTAAACGTAACTAGTGATGGGGCGTCTGCGCACATGCGCGTCGCTTTTTGCCACTTCTGCGCATGCACGTGACGTCATTTTGAGCGTCTGCGCGTGTGCAAGTGGCGAAACCCGGAAGTAACGCGCTCCGTTACTTCCTGGTTGCCAAGGAGCGCAACTCGAACGCGCTCAACTCAAAGCATATTTAACCCGAGGTATGACTGTAATGTCAGCCTCTGTCTCCCCACCCTTCCAGACGCTTCCTCCAGCTCTGCCAAGGCCTCTGCGGCAAACCCCCCGGCTGCCAGCACCGCAAAGAAGCCCCCACTGAGCGGGAAGCGCCCCAACCTGAGTGTCACCAGCATGCTGAACCAGGTCAAGAACTACACCCATTCCAAGCAGACGCCCGTGACCAACCGCCTCAGTGTTTTCCAGTCGCCAGATGACGAGGATGAGGAGGAAGACTACGAGCAGTGGCTGGAGATAAAAAGTAAGTGGCGTTTCTTTACAAAGCGAGGGAACAGGGCCCTCTGCCCTGCACAGCTTCCCATCGTTTTTCCGAAGGGGGATTCTGGCCAGCTGAAAAGATACTTACTTTGTGCTTAGAATTCCACTGAGTGTTGTAAAAGCTGTTAAAAATGTGCCTTGAGAGGGAGGGAGGCACATGTCCAGGTCAGGACCAACACCCTCTCCCCACAGCCCCAGCCTTCTTTATTGATTAATCCCTCACTTGTGCCAAAAAAGGGCTTTTAGGATGGACCTAACACATCACTGAGTCTTTGCCCTTAGGCCTACTGTCTTAAAGGGACGCAACACAAAAGGAAAGTGAGCTGGGAGGGTGTAGTTTAGACCACAGTTGAGGAAACCTTGGCTTGATATACTGTAGTTGAGAAAACCATGGTTTGATAGCCCACAGTTGAGTAAACTGTGGTTTGATATACCATAGTTGAGTAAACTGTGTAAACCAGGCGATTGTACAAACAATTAACAAGGAGGTTTACAAAATAAAACCAAAAACAATACAGCGTAGACACAGCTGCCCCAGTGTTCAGTAGGTGTTGGTAGGTCAGTCTTGCATGCCTGCGCCTTCCTCCCCACCCCCGTATTGAAAGCATCAGGCTTATGTTGCTGCCTGCCGTGGCTCCATCGTTTCATCCTCTTTCTCCTCGTTCCACCCACCCCGCTCCCTCCTTCTCCCCCGCCGTCTCGTGGGCCTACTGCTGTGGTTCTTAAAGAGGTAATGTGCCTGTTGGGTGTGTGAGTTGAGCCCCAGTACTGACAGCCTGCTTAAAGTTTGTCCCCCAGAGGACACCCGGACTCGCCGAGTGGTGGAGAAGCTGGCCAGGGTCGTGGCGGAAGGGGGCCCCGATCTGGAGAAGGTGGCGCTCGAGGACTGCAAGGACAACCCGACTTTTGCGTACGTTAGCTGCTGTTCTTGTGCATCCACCCTCCCTCTTCTCCCTCCCTTGTGTGGTCAGTCATGGTGCAGGAAGCCAAGGACAGCCCTTGACTCCCCTCCATGCTTGTTGCTATCCACCTCTCCTGCTGTGCACCTTTTACACTAGGACGCTTCCAAGACCCGATCCCCCTTAATGCCCTTTTTTCTCTCGCACCCCTCAGATTCCTGCACGATAAGAACAGTCCGGAGTTTCTGTATTACAGGAAAAAGCTGGCGGAAATGTGGAAGAAGGGTCAAGATCCAGAAGAGGCCTCTTTCCAGAAAGGTAAGGCGAGGGTCATTGCTCCCCTCCTGCAATTCTTGCGTAAGCTATCTTTTCATAGGCAGAACTCTCCAAACGATTCATGTTGGTGACACACTTTTAAGACAGGCATCGTTTTGTGACACAGTAATTCAGTTTTGCTAGCAAACCGGAGGTTAAACTAACCCCTTCCCAGCCCTGGGAGCAACACACCTACACACTGCAGTCGACACACTGGTGTGTCATGACTCACAGTTTGGAAAGTTCTGGGCTACGGGCTGGGTGTGTATAGAGATCAGCCTGGCTAGCGTGGCACCCTCCAGATGTTTTGCACTATGACTCCCATCAGCCCCAGGCAGCACAGACATTTTGGACTACAACTCCCACAGTACACCGTTGTGCCTGCCAAAACATCTGGAGGGTGAAGTTTGGTGTTGATGATATGAGAGCTGAGAGCTTTCTTTAAAAAAAACACACAAAACCTACTGATTAATGAAGCAGCAGATTTTTAGCTTTAGTTTTTTTAAAAAAAGATAATTTGGCTGCTACCCTAACCCCTCATAACTTGAGAGGAAGCCCCATTGAATTCAGAACAACTTAATTCTGAGTAGACGTGGCTTGGGTTGCTGTTAGCTGCTTTTGGCGCAGATCTGTTGAAATCGATGGCCACTCACTTGAGGCCTAGTGTCTCCAGAGGACCTGCTCTGAGCATGCCTAACTCTTGATCCAGCCTTAATTATTTCTTGAAGAACTAATATCCTGCCTTCAGGGTGCAAAGCACAAATCAAGAATAGTTTACAACATTTTGTATTGTTGTTGTTGTTAATATTTTCAGAGGCAGTAAATGCTTCTCCATACCAGTTGCTGGAAACGGCAGGAGGAGAGAGTTGCTCTTGCACTCAGGTCATAGAATCATAGAACCGTAAATAATAGTAACAGTTCAGTCCCCTGCAAAGCAGTAACCATTAATTTGCTTGCTATGCGTGTCTTTTGGCCATTTGCAGACGTACCATAAAGACAGCTAAAAATAGTTTTTAAAAGCAGTCTAGGAAACCTGCTGTGAAGGTAGGTTTAAGCGATTTGAATGAGAACTCCTAAGGCAGACCTCAAGCTGGAAAAGCTTGTCAAAATGAAAACTGTTTGTGAAGAATATGGATTTTGGGTGTTTCAGAACAAGAGGAGGGCGCGCTGGGTCAGGTCAAAAGATCTGGTTCACCATCCTGCCCTAACTGGCCAGCAAGGTGCCCCAATGGGGAAACCCACAAGCAGGATCTGAGCGCAAGAGCCCTCTCCCCTCCCGTAGGTTCCGGCAACTGGCATTCGGAAGCATCGCTGCCTCTGAGCAGCAGCCAGGCTTAGGCGTTTACCAGGTGCGACATTTAGTCAGCAGACCGACCTCCTGAAAACCCATAGAATGAATTGGGCACAGATTCCTTCAGACAGGGTGACAACCTTAGTCTAGCACGCCTGTCTGCCTTCCGGTTTGCAGGTGTGAGTGCCGCTGCTTGTGTAACAGACCAGGGTGGGGTGGGGGGAAATGCTCAGGGTGGGGGGAACCAGGAGGGGGTATATTTGCGCCAGGAGTGAGCAACCTCTTGCCCTCTGGGTGTTTCTGAGCCATCAGAGGTTTTTTCCAGGCCCTTTTATGTGCACAATGAGGCAGTTGTGTGCCTTAATGTCAGTGGTTATGCTCTGAGACCATACATTTAAAGTGCCCTGAGAGCACTGCAAACAGTCTTGGCTTCTTCTGGGAGCTGTAGTTCATTAAGGGGCTGAAAGTACACTATTCCCTTCAAAGAGTGACAGTTCTCAGAGTGCCCTGTGAAGTGGGGTCGAAGGTTAAACCTCTCTGGGTATTGATCCGGGGAAACCAGCTTTTCAAAGGCTGAGAGTCATTTACACCTCTGCCACCCCCTTCCTTCTTAGTGCCCCCCCCCCCCGGTAGCCCCACTGCCCCCAGGGAGCAGTTGACAATATTGGGACTTAGCTGTGGATCTGTTCTGAGTGCAGCCGGCATTATTTCCTCCTTTTCTGTTTGTGATCAAAGTGGGGAGGCGAAAAGGCAAGAAACAGACTGAGAAAGAGAAATTTTAAACCCTCCTCTTCCCGCTTATTCCGTCCCCTCCCCTCCCGGGGTTCCTTAAGGCCAGATTAAGAGCTTGTGGCTGTTGGGTATGTGAGTTGGGGGCACCGTACTGACAGCCTGCTTAAAGTTTCGCCTCCAGACGACGACGAGACCAAGGACTGCGCCGAGAAGCTCGCCAGGTTCGTTGCCGACGGGGGCCCCGTGGTGGAAATGGTCGCCCTGAAGAACCACCGGGAGAACCAGTCCTTCAGGTGAGGAGGGTCAGCTGGGATCTGGGGGAGTGGGAGAGTCTGTGTGCCAAAACGCGCGCACACACCATAGCCTAGGTTTACGGTGCCGTTGGCAATTAGATTATATATTTGAGTAGATATGTAGCCATGTAGATGTGTTGTCAAAACAACTAGTGTTTTAAATAGGATCTTGGCAGCTCAAACAGTGATGGGGAAACAGCCCACAAATCTTACACTTGATGCTTTGTACCACTCACTCTGGAATAATGGAGAAAGTTGCATGTAATTTGAGATTCTGATGAGGACTAGAACCTCCAGGCACCTTTTATATGATTTGGCATTCCTTCATTACATATACTGTACTGTATCGTCGTCGCATGTTTGGCGGATCTGGGACGACACTTGATAGATTAATGCTGATATTCTTCAGGGGCTTTGTTATTTTAACCTATGTGCCACAGTACTCACCCTGCATGCCTGTTTTATAGTTTTGCTCTCCATCTTTTAATTTCCATCTAGCGGTTCTCTCGGTTTTATATGCGTTATAAAATGAAATTAAAACAAACTTTACACAAAAAAGGATTTGAGACTTGCACTGGGGGAGACCAGGGTTCACATCCACCCACTAAGCCATGCAGCTCACTTGGGTCCCCTCATGGCCAGGTGTCTCTTGGCCTAGTCTACCTCCCAGGTTGTGGTGAATATCAAATGGGGAGAACCATGTATGAACCTTGAGCTCCTCAGGTGGGATATAAATGTAACAAAGAACTAATAAGGAAAGTGTATGGTTGGCATAAATCTCCTAAATCTCCTACCCACCTTTCTTTGGCGAACTAAGCTCACTTGTGAGGAAGAAAGGGAATTTTTTCATTTTAATCAATCCATTTGCCATAGCGACCCTTATACCACTAGGTGGCGCCACAGCTGCTTGAATGTTTTGAATAATGTTTACTTAATTTTATTCATCTCAGTGCATCATTTTTTAAAGTTTTGCACAGTATTTAGGTTTTGTTTCATATATTTTTTTACACGCTTCAGGATTTGGTATATATTATGTGTAGCCCGCTGCATTCTTTCACCATTTTTTTATGTTCCATTGAGTTTAACACCAAATCGGTTATTTCGTACATTACCATTGTGGGAGATTTCCAACTTCCGTGTTTTCTACAGCTCATGTTGGAAAAATGTGACATTCATTGTTCTCGTTCTTAAAAATCCAACAAAAATTATTAATGAATTCAATTTAATACTAATAATAATAAATTTATTTAAAATGGATTTTCTTCCCTTTAATTGGTCTTTGTACGCTCCTTCTGCGGGACGCAGGTGGTGCTGTGGGTTAAACCACAAAGCCTAGGGCTTGCAGATCAGAAGGTCGGCGGTTCAAATCCCCGCGACGGGGTGAGCTCGCATTGCTTGGTCCCTGCTCCTGCCAACCTAGCAGTTCGAAAGCATACAGTGCAAGTAGATAAATAGGTACCGCTCCGGCGGGAAGGTAAACAGCGTTTCCGTGCGCTGCTCTGGTTCGCCAGAAGCGGCTTAGTCATGCTGGCCACATGACCCGGAAGCTGTCTGCGGACAAACGCCGGCTCCCTCGGCCAGTAAAGCGAGATGAGCGCCGCAACCCCAGAGTCGTCCGCGACTGGACCTAACTTTCAGGGGTCCCTTTACCTTTATGCTCCTTCTGCAGATTTTTGTATGAGCCTGGCAGCTCCGGCTACAAGTATTACCGGCAGAAGCTGGAGGAATACCGCAAAGCCAATGACGATGCTGAGGGGGTCCCTCCTATCCCGGCAGCCAACCTGAAACGCAAAGTCCCTCCCAAGGGGGCTCCCTCCCCTTCCTCTTCCTCTTCCTCCTCCTCTTCCTCCTCCTCCTCCTCCTCAGTGGCACTGCTGCCTACACCAGCTGCCCCTCCTGCAAAGCCACCGCAACCTCAGCCACTGCCACCTGCGCCTGCCACCAAAAAAAAGAGGAAAAGCCGGTGGGGCCCAGAAGAGGAGAAGGTGGACTTGCCTCCCCCAGAGCTCGCTCAGCAGACCAAGGACCCCTCGCCCACCCCGTTGTCAGGTGAGTGGCGGTTGCGGGTCGAGCAGCGCTTTGTTCATCCCTAGAGATCAGGGCACTCCTGGACTGGTTTAAAGGGGAGGCCCTCCTGTTCCCACACTGGCCAGCCAGCTGCCCCACAAGCAGGAGCAGAGAGCTGTAGCCTTCTCACCATTCTATGGTAGACTGGCTCTCTCCATGGAGGCTCCTCTTAGGGGTCATTAGAAACTAGGAAGAGCCTGGCCACTGAATCAGGCCAAGGAGACCCATCTAAGTCCAGTGGCCAACCAGGTGGGAAACTAGCAGGCAGGATCTGAGCACAAGAGCCCTCTCCCCTCCTGCGGTTTCCAGCAGCTGGAATTCAGAAGCATCACTGCCTCTGACCATGGAGGCAGAGCTCAGCCCTAATGGCTAGTGCCATCAATAGCCCTCTCTTCCATACGTTTGTATAATCCAACTCAGCTGGAAGCAGCCTACTGTTGGTGGGATTGGCAGAGCAGAGCAGCTCCAAGTCTGTCACCGACTGGTGGGAGGCAGCAGCCAGGGAACCCCCAGAGGAGGAAGGCTCAGAGCCTGGGACACCGAGGAGAGGTCAGAGGGAGAAAATTGGGAAGCTGTGCCAGATGCTGACGGAGCAACAGGGTTTAGTGAGCGGAAAGAGGCTGTGACAGGGAGCAGTTCAGACTCTGAGGCTGAAGCAAAGGGTGGGGGGGTCCAAGAGGTTGCAGAAGAATCCAGGGAGTCTCTCTTTCTGGCTGTGACAAGCTCCCTCCACCCTAGTCTTGGAGAATGTGCAGAATAATGAGGAGGGCAAAAGAGAGGCCAGAGGTGCGCAGGCACAGCTTGAGACTGCTTGGGAAACATCTGGGAGAGGAGGAGCCTTAGAGAGGGTGGAGGGCAGGGACCATAGAGGCAAGACCTGCTGGGAAGGGTTGCTGAGTTGTATGCCGTTTCCTTGAATAAAGGAACTGACGAAAGCCTAGCATCTTTCGTGCTGACCTGTGTCTGACTCCAGCCCTGAGACTAAGCTTGTGAGCAATTGCAATATATGTGAAAAAAGAAATCTAATCTCTTGACTCCTCCTCCTTCCCTCACCTCACTCCTCCTGGCCATCCGCTTCCCGTGTTGGGTACAGATGTTGATAGAAGTATTTGATTGGGGGGTACAGATAGAAGTATGGGGGGTGCTGTCTCCCACAGTGTGCAGTCAGGGCTAACCCTTCCGATGCTCCTCCTTGTCTTCAGTCCAGGACCTCAAAGGCCTCGGCTATGAGAAGGGGAAGCCCGTCGGGCTGGTGGGGGTGACGGAGCTTTCGGATGCCCAGAGGAAGCAGCTGAAGGAGCAGCAAGAGGTAACGGGTTCACATCTCTGCTCTCTCAACGCTTGCTACCTGCCGTCAGGAGTTCGAGTCTTCCTCAAGCGGGGGCCCAGTTTGGTGGGCCCGTCTGACTTCTGCAGGGGTGGGGAAAAGCATCATTCTGTCACCCGTCGGTCACGGCTTCTTCTTTCTCCACCCGCTCCCAGATGCAGCAGATGTACGACATGATCATGAAGCACAAGCAGGCCATGCAGGAGATGCAGATCATGTGGGAGAAGACGGTCAAGGAGCACCAGTCCGGCTATGACAGCGACGAGGAGGTGGACAGTGAGCTGGGCACCTGGGAGCATCAGCTGAGGCGCATGGAGATGGACAAGACGAGAGGTGTGTATGCCTGGCGGAGGGGCCTGGTGGTAGGCGAGATGGAATGGCAGGCGCTAGGCCAGTGTTTCTCAACCTTGGTTCCCCAGATGTTGTTGGACTACAACTCCCATCATCCCTGAGCTCTGGCCTTGCTAGCTAGGGGTGATGGGAGCTGTAGTTCAACAACATCTGGGGCCCCAAGGTTGAGAAAGGCTGCACTAGGCGCTTCTGCATATGCCCATTTCTGGAAGCCATGCAAGAGGAGTCGTGAGCCAGAAGCAGGGGACTCAGCTGATCAAGGCAACTTGAGCTGGCAGTACATCGCCGGCTGCTGCCAGCACAGCACAAGCAGGCGGGAGTGAGTGAGGTGCGCTGTGCTGGCAGTGGCTGAGGAGCCGTAATGTGTCACTGGCTCATACTGGTTTCAGACTATTAATCGTAATGCCTCCCAGGTCTTCAAGGGGTTTGTTTCTTGCAGCCTTGAGGCGAGGCATGCCTTCTGGTTAATCCACAGAAGAGTTTCCAAACTGGCAAGGCGATAAGACCCTTCGCTTTTTCAGCAGCTGGTGCATTTGTTCCTTAAAAAACAATGAAAGAAGAACTTCAGATTTGAAGAGTTGAGGTTGTGCTGCCTCTCCGCACATCACAGTGTTTACCTATGGAGCTCGCTTCCGCAGGAGGCAGCTGTGCATCTTTAGGGGGCTGTAAAAGAGGACTGGGCAAATTCACGGCAGAGGGCCAGCGATCGACGGCTGCAGCCACAGTAGCTGTTCTCTGCCTCCACAGTCGGAGGCAGCAATGCTTCTCTGTGCTAGTTTCTTGAAATCACAGGAGTGGAGAGTTGCTCTTATGCTCAGGTCCTGCTTATGGGTTTCCCATCTGGGCACCTGATTGGCTGCTGTTTTTAAACCCCCCCCCCCCCATGTTCTTTCATCCTCCTCTCTCAGAGTGGGCGGAGCAGCTGACGCAAATGGGCCGCGGGAAGCATTTCATTGGGGATTTCCTGCCACCTGACGAGCTGGAGAAGTTCATGGAGACCTTCAAGGCCCTGAAGGTAACATGCTTTTGCACCCCCTGCTCTTCAAGCCCCCCTCCCCATCTCTCACACACGCCAGATACAAGCTTGCAGGGAACGCCGTCTCCCTTGTGGGATCCCAGAAACTGGGCTGGACAGATCCTTCTGCTGGATTCTGCAAATCTCTTCTCAGTGTAACAGCAGAGTTTGATTTCAGCCGTGTTCTCATCAAGCCTTTGACCTGGTTTGGAACTGCCCCTGAGCATGAGCAGAGGGCAGTTCCCTTGCCACTGAACAAGTACAGTGCCCTGAGCCCTGCCCGTAGTGGAGAGGGAAACGGTTCTGTTTGTGGCTGGCTGGCTGCTGCTTTCCAGAGAAGCTTTCACCTTCCCCCTCCTCTCGAGGAAATCAAATGCCAAGTGAGGCTACCCTCCAGGGGTGGCGTTAGGAGGTGATCCAAGGCACCTGTGCCCCAGAGCTTTTTTAAGCAGTCAGTGCACACGCCCCAACTTTGCTCTCCCTCACAATGCAAAGCCCCCTGGTTTTCTTTAACCCCCCAGGAAGGTCGCGAGCCAGACTACTCCGAATACAAGGAGTTCAAGCTGACGGTGGAGAACATTGGTTTCCAAATGTTGATGAAGATGGGCTGGAAGGAGGGCGAAGGCCTGGGCTCGGAGAAGCAGGGCATCAAGGCCCCCGTCAACAAGTATGCACCTTGTCTCCATCTCTCTCCTCCACCTGCTCTTGGTTGTGTTTTTTTTACTAGGGTCCGCTACTCCTACTCACCAACCCCTTTCCCTCCTACACCTGACCAACCCTCCCTTTGCACGTCACCTGTCCCCTCTGTTCGCCCCAAGCTCCTTTGTGCCCCCCACAGTGTTCTCCCTCTCCTGCCTGCCATCGTGCAGGAGTTGGCGCGGCCACCGACTGGCAGCTGCATGAACTGCACCATGACAACAACCTCACGTTCTTATGTATATAGGAAGATACGGCCTTCCCCCATACGGTGCCTTCCTGGACGTGTCGCAGGGAGGCCACTTCGGTGCTGCTTACACAGCAGTTTGGCTTCACCCCCAGAGGCACACTCCATTGTCTCTTGAGACAGATGGATGCCAACAAAAATCTGAAAGCTCCGTTGGTGGAGCGTGTGCCTTGCCCGCCGGGTGGTAAGAATCTGTCCCTGGTACAAGTCAGCTTCTGACTCCTTTCCTAATAAGCACCCATGGAAGGTAAACTTAGCCTCTTTTTCTCCCTCGAAACAGGGGCGTGACAGCAGTAGACGGGGCGGGGTTTGGGATTGACCGCCCCGCTGACCTGACCAAGGAGGACGATGAATACGAAGCGTTCCGCAAGAGGATGATGCTGGCCTATAGATTCCGGCCCAACCCGCTGGTGAGATCGCCTGGACCTCATTCTGTGTTCTTCTTAACCCTATGCCACCGACTTCCAACCCCTGCCCCACTGACATGCAGCCCAGGGGGCAGCCCCACTTGCCAACTTCCTTCGCCCCTCTAATCTCAGTGCTGCCCTTCACTTAAGTCAGCAGGGAGGAGGATGGGAGCAGACCTAGAATGAGTTGCTTCTCTGCCTCTCAGGGTTGGGCGATAATCTGGTTTCCAGCTTCGTGATATATTGCCAGCTAAACATCACAATATATATATATCAGTGTCTGAAATGAGGATGGAGCTACGTAGAGGCGTTGGTGGGCTTCACGGTTTTCCCCACATTGTGATTTTTGCATAGTGTGCACACACACATCACGATGCACAATACATTGCCAAGTCAGCGGTTATGAAACCAGTATCATGATGTGGACTTCAAACCCATTTTGGACAATATATCGCCCAGCCGTAACACATACCATGATTTGCGATATATTGCCAGGTCTAAAAGTATGAAACCGATATCACAATATGGACTTCAAACTGGTTTTGGGTGATAATATCACCCAGCGCTACTGCAGGCCCCACCCTCGAGGTTTGTGAGAGAGCTGGAACTACACAGAGGGGTCCCTCTTCTCTTGGCACCCGTAGGGAAGGATTGTCAGGTTTCGTGCACGGGCTGCCAGTCCGCACCCACAGCCCACCCAGGCCACTTGTCATCTTTTCTCTGCGGAGGTGGATGTTGGGGGGAGGGGACTGAGGCTCTCCTGTGCTCCCCTTAGTCCTCCTAACTCGTCCTCTGACCGTGCTTTCTTCCTCTTCCCCCGCTACAGAACAATCCCAGACGTCCGTACTACTGAGACCCAGCGACCTGCTTTTCCTCCCCTCTTTTCAAATCGTCGGTTGGTTGGTTTACTGTGTTGCGTTTATGGAATCGACATCTCTGCCCCCCCCCCACCACCCCGCTTTTCCTTTGAAAGCACTCTTGTTTTTAAAAAACTCAAGACCGGTCTCGTTCACCCAGCCCATAGCGATCATGGGGAGGGGGCTGCGCTGTTATTGTTGTCTACCCCCCAAGTAAAGAAGCAACTTTGGGGATTTCTGTAGCTGGACTTGGGTGAGAGGGTTTGGAAGTCAACCCCCACCCTGAGTTATCGCTCCCCAGGGGGCTGTCAGGAGTGAGGTGGGTGGGGTTGTGTGTTTGGGAATGTCTTCGGATATATTGGCTGAGTAACACACGAACACACACACTTACTTGATTTGGGGCAGTCCTTTCGCTCTGATTGCCCAGAGGAGTTCCTCCTGTTCTGGGGCAGGGTAGAGCAAGGAGGGCATTTTGACCCACATAGAAGTAGGGGGCAGGGGGTGCCAGGGTGCCACCTCTGGAGAGAGGCAGTGGGGGGATTTGGACTCTCCCCCCCCCAATATTCTCTTTTCAATAAAATAAATAAAATCAGGCCACAATATTAGTGTAGGGGAAGCAGCCAGAGCGAGGGGATGTACACACTTGCCTGTGAGGGGGGGTGGGGGTCATGGGGTGATACCAGTGGCTTTCACGATCCCATTCAGGGCTGTTCCTGCCGAGGGCGTCACTTTTCACCCTGCGGTGGAGCAGAGAGGTGAGGCAGAACCTTTTGGGCGATGGTAGATCCTGTTGTGGAGGGCAGACGATCCCTCTTCCCTCCACCCCCCACTTTGCTAGGAATGGAAATTTGTTTACTTGCTACACCGAGTGAAACAAGGGGTCCCCCTTCTGCCTGGATTCTCACTGAAGTGGAAGCTGAAAAGCATCCAGGTTCTCCCCTGAAGGAGAAAGTTTGGGGCAGGGGTGTGGAGAGATGGAACGGAGACGGGCGTTCCCTCCCCAAAACGTCTAGGGAAGCCCCCTTGCCCCCAATATACATCTCATTCTCTGCTGTTTTAGTCGAGATTCTCTCCTTCCTTTCTCTCTCTCTCTCAACTCCCACACCCCCATAGCAGACTTGTACCACTTCTATTATTATTATTATTATTTTGGGGTGTCGTGACCTTTTTGGTTTCTATTTTTATTATTATTATTATCATCATCATTTCAACAATGAAACTGTAGCGTTTGGCTTTCAACAAGTTAATAAAGCTGTCTGTAAATCTAAAGGGCAGGTTTGTCTTTTGTTTCGAAAACCCACATGACGTTTTGGGATTTCCCCTGAGAGAAGGGGTGAAGCCGCCTGATGCGCAGCAGGCAGTGAGTGCAGGTCTTGCAGGAAAGGTTGCTGGAAGATGGAGAGTGGCGCTGGGGAAAGGGGGGCTGCTCACCCCAAACGCTGTATTAATCTCAAGATCGGGTTGCAAGTCTTGCAGTCAGGAGATTACTACAGCGTTTGGGGTGAGCACTCCCCCTTTCCCCAGCGCCACTCTCCATCTTGGAGAGTGGCTGCGCCAATCCTGGAGGAGCAAGGGTCGGCCACGTGGCACAGGCTGGCACACCTGCCTCTAGGAGCGCCCATTTGTGAAGAGGTGTGCCAACCTGTGCCATGTGGCCGACCCTTGCTCCTCCAGGATTGGTGCAGCCCCTTGAGGAAACTCTGGCTGGCACAGGGCGAGGTCAAGAGGCAACTTCCTCCACCCCTGAGAAATCTCTGGGGGAAAGGGCCCCAGGTCAGTGACAGAGCACCGGCTGTGCATGCAGAAGGTTGAAGGTCCAGCAGCCAAGGGCATCTCTGGGTTGCCCTGGGAAAATCCCCTGAGTCTTGTCTGGGGAGCCCAGGACCTCCAGACACACTGACCAGGCTTGCCCTCCAGGGAGGTCACTTTGATGCTGCAAATCCTTTTTACTTCAGCCACGCAGGCACACTCCATTCTCTCGAGACAAGTGGATGCCAATAATTTGAAACCCTGGGCACAGTTAGAAACTTGGATATATCAGCAAGGGGCCAAATAACTCCTTAAACCAAGGTTGCAGTTGCCAAAACAGAATGTCTAGTTGCCATTATGTGCTTTGCCACCTGGGGCTCCCAGCGATCAGCTTGCCCAGTGGTCAGGGCTGGTGATAATGGGAGCCCCAAGAAAGGATATGTGGACAGGACCACCTTAGGAGAAGCAAATGTTTAAAAACGCTGTGTCGCCCTTTTAAAAGGTGGGTCCCTGGGTCTTGTGCAAGGCAGTCTCTCTCCTTTGACCTTTGGACTGCCAAATAGTTCCCTTTTGCCTATGGGGTGGGCAGTGTGGGAAAGCGGCTGGCGAGGCGTCGCTGGAGCTGCGAGAGGAACGCCTGCGCGTTAGGCTGGCCGGCCGGCCGCTTAACCCTCCAACTTGCTTCCCAGTGCGTTCCCACGACCTTGCACTCCCAGCCGGCTGAGCCGCGCGGCCCATTTTTCTTACCATGAAACCGCATCCACTCTTACTGACCATCGCCTTGTTCCTCTTTGCCTTCCCCTTCTACATGATGGACGGCCTGGCCATCCTGGACAAGTGAGTATCATGTGAAGGCGTCGGGGGAGGGGAGAGAGAGAAATAATAACCCTGACCATTTCTGAATCGCCTGCTCTCTCCGGTGATCGCCCTCACCTGACCATCTGACCCTGGCCCTCTTGGGAGCAGCTGAGGCAATCATGCAGGTAAAACATACATTCTGGGTCCTACCAACATACCCTCCAACATTTCTCCAATGAAAATGGGGACATCCTATTCCATACCCCGCAACATTTCTCCAATGAAAATAGAGGCGTCCCCTCCAATCTTTCTCCGATGAAAACGGGGACGTCAGCTTATTGGAAATTTCCCCCATTGGAGCACGGCCATTCAAAGGGACTGGGGGGTGACTCTGCTGATTTTATTTCTTTATTGCTTTAAGAAAGGAATTCTTAGTTACGTATTAAGGTCAAGGAGGTGGTTTGGGGGTTTTGCAGGCCGATCTTGCAACTTGTCAAGAAGGCAATTTTAGTGCCATTTTGGTGCATTGTTTTACTGGACTGTCTATGCCGCTGTTTTGCTTTATTAGTTGTTAAGGACCTAAGAAAAGCCTGGATGAAACCAATGACCCATCGAGTCCAGCATCCTGTTCCCACAGATGCCACAATGGGAAACCTGAATGCACAGAGCCAGGATTTATGTTGTGGGGGTGGGCAGGGCACCCACCTGTCCGCATCCTCTGCCCGGCTCTGTCTAGCAGATTCGGAATGAAATGTTTCAGCAACTGTTGTTCCAAATTACTTACTTTTGCTCAGAAAAATCTGTCAAAATCTTCATTCATTTGAAAACTAGGAAGTCAAATGGAGAATTAACATCAGGGAGTACCTTTCATGCAACTGGCGAGTATATTTTGCAAAATTACAAAGAACACGCCTTTTTTTCATATTGTTTTTTAAAGCTTTCTTGGATTTGCTGAAAACCTTTTCAGCACTTCCTTCTCAAATTCCTCCTTTTTCCCAATGCAGTTTTTCTAGTAAGCACAGCCCAGGGAGACGCTCTCTTGCCCTTAGCCAGGTCTTTGCTCTCCGCAAGGTACAGAATGACGTCTGCATGGCACAAGTGGTGCCTGGCTGAGCAAGAAAGATGCTGTAGTATCCTGAATTCTGATGTTCTGCAGAGAATAGCTTGCACATTGCAATGAAGGATGACATGGTATGCTGCCTGCTTAGCAGGCACTGACTTTTTCTAAGGAAACGCTCGCTAGGGAGGGAGATGGTGGCATCTCAGCAAGCATTTCAATTTCAAATATTCAGATTATTTCTACTTTTAGTTAAGGTTTTTTTAAAAAAATAAATAAATTCTTGCAAGCAGGATTTGAGCCCAAGAGCCCTCTCCTGTCCTGCAGCAGCTGGAATACAGAAGCATTTTTGCCTCTGACTTTGTTTAATCCTGTGGCAGGGAGTTCCACAGTTTAACCGTGGGACGCTTCTTCAATATAGCCATGCTCTATAGGGCAACAACATCCCCTATTAATGCAGAGCTGTTCCTGCAGCACAGGGGAGGTTGGGGGTCCGCCTTAACTCAACAATCCTATGATTCTACCTGAGGATTGACAAACATAAGAATTGGGGCACAGATCCCCAGCATTTTCAGGTGCTGCTGGAAATGTCCCCAGTCTGAAATCCCAGACCCTCCAAGTGTCCCTATTTTCCAGGGACGGTCCCGGATTTACAAAAGCTGTCCCAGTTTCTGATTTGATCCTAGAATGTCCCACTTTTCCTTAGGATGTCCCTGTTTTCATCAGAGAAATGTTGGAGGGTCTGGAGTTATGCGACCCCCAAGCCAAGGAGATAAGTAACTGTACAACCTTTAGAAAGCATCTGAAGGCAGCCCTGGATAGAGAAGATTTTTGATGTTTAATGTTTAAATATTTATTGGAAGCAGCCCAGAATGGCTGGGGCAACCCAGTCAGATGAGTGGGGTATAAATAATAAAATTATTGCTGTTATTATTATTATTAGTAGTAAACAGGACATCCCTATTTTCATTGGAGAAATGTTGGAGGGTATGTAATCCTGGAGTAGCTGCTACAGGTCAGAGCAGCCGATGCACATTTTAAAAACTGCCCTTTTCAGAAATGTGTGGATGGGGAAGAGGCGTTTAGGGAAGAAGCAGCTCAGTGGTTGCAGCATCTGCCTTGCACAAAGAGTCCAGACCAGCTTCAGGTAGGGCAGGAAAAGACTCCTTGCTTGAAACCCTGGAGAGCTTCTGCCAGTCAGTGCAGACATTACTGAGACAGATGAACCAACAGCCATAAAGGCAGCTTTCTTTGTTCCTGTTCAGTTTTGCCGGTTTATGAACAAATTCTGCATTACTTCCAACAAAACCTTCCCACTATTGTCGCATTGACCTGGTAATAAACAAAAATCTGCCCTGATTCCCTTATGGGGGACACAAGAGCCCTTATAGAGTCCTTTGTAGGTTCTCCATCGGTCGGAGAAAAGAACAGAGGCCAACCAGAGAATATCGAGAAGCAAAGCAGCTCATAAGCCTGATCTTTATTGATCTGTTGCAACAGGGTGCTCCCCTCACACGCAGGAAAGGAGGAGGACCTAGAACCAAGGTGTGTCCACCCTTATATAGACATTTTAAATTGCCTGTCCTGGAGTCCAAGACCACCCCCAGATACATCATACATACATCACAGAAAGGGCGGTCTACAGCAGAAATCTGAGTGCGTTGTTTATTTCCTGTCTGGTAGGTTACCTGTTAATGCTCACTTGATTGGATACCCTGGGGAGCCTGGCCAGTCTTTTGTAATGACAAACACTTAGTTCCTGAGCCAGGTCACAGGCTCACCCTATTCATACACAGACATACCCTTAAGACAGGGTTTGTGAAGGAAAAGACAATGGGGAGGCTTTTCCATTTCCTTCGACCTTGCAGAGAAATATTTGAGGTCAATTTGGGAGGGACAAAATGGTTTCAGGACTTTTTCTGTGGGGTTTCAGACATGTGGTTTATATATGCAGATATATATATATATATATATATATATATATATATATATATAACCTTAAATTTTTTATTTCAACCACTATGAATCCAATAGTCAGCTAATGGCATAACAACGTTTGGATGAGACTCTCCCCTCCTTATTCTCACATCTATTTTTCTTTTTAATGCATGCATTAATATTCCATGACGGTTTTCTCACTCCTGTTTACTAAGCGGACAATTGCCCACTTATCCCTGTTTGGCTATCAGCTTTCTAGCAGCATAGAACCATAGAATTGTAGAGTTGGAAGGGACCTCCGAGGGTCATCTAGTCCAACCCCCTGCAATGCAGGAATCTCAGCCAAAGCATCCATGGCAGAGAGCCATCGAACCTCTGCCTAAAATCCTCCAAGGAAGGAGAGGCCACAACCAGAGGAGTGGCAGGTGAAGTTTATGGAATTTGCTGAATTAGGAAGTTTAGATAGGAAAATTAGGGGAGTGAGATGAGTCAGTCTTTAAGGAGGACTGGAAAATGTTTGTAGATGATATTTAAAAAACCCCATTGTAAATATGCTAAAATGCTAACAGGTTTGGAGTAAGGACAGCAGTAATTGAGATACTGAGGAAAAAAGTTGGAGGAAAGAAGGCATGGCATAATTACAATATGCAGCAGTAATAGAGAAATTGAGGAAACCATGGCAGGGAGTGAGGGAAGTTGATTTTTGGAAAAGCAATTTCAGTGGTACCTCGGGTTAAGAACTTAATTCGTTCTGGAGGTCCGTTCTTAACCTGAAACTGTTCTTAACCTGAAGCACCACTTTAGCTAATGGGGCCTCCCGCTGCTGCTGCGCCGCCGGAGCACAATTTCTGTTCTCATCCTGAAGCAAAGTTCTTAACCCGAGGTACTGTTTCTGGGTTAGCAGAGTCTGTAACCTGAAGCGTCTGTAACCTGAAGCGTATGTGACCCCAGGTACCACTGTAATTAAGCAAACAAACAACTGTCAACTGCTGCAGAGAACATATTTACTGCAGTTTTTCCCTACTATTTTAGTAAGGGTCGCGTTGGGTCCATTTGCAAACCCCCCCCCCCCCCGCTTGGCCTGGTCTGGCAGCTGCAGGACTCGTGTCCTAAAGGCTCTGCTGGCTGACGCCTGATGCACTCTGGACAGGCGGCCGAACTTTGATCTTTTCCCTGCGCTATCTGGGAACAGGGACCTGCTATTTGGCCCAGCAGCCTGGTGAATCATAGCTAGGCTTACCCTTGAGCGGGGATGGGCAGGTTGGCGACAGGCAAGCAGCCTTCCTATTAGCCAAATCAGCTAATGAATAGCTTACAAGGTTGTTGTTTCTAAAGGAATAAATTGAAACCCCAAGTTCAGGTGCAATCTATCTCTAAATATCCATTATATATATATATATATATATATATATATATATATATATATACACACACACACACATATATATTCAAGTAGTATAAATAATAGTAAAGGTGAAGGACCGCTGGATGGCTAAGTCCAGTCAAACTTGACTATGGGGTTGCAGCACTCATCTCGCTTCAGGCCGAGAGAGCCAGCGTTTGTCCACAGGCAGCTTTCTGGTCATGTGGCCAGCATGACTAAACTGCTTCCGGCGCACCGTGATGAGTGCCAGAGCGCATGGAAACGCCATTTACCTTTCTGCCAGAGTGGTACCTATTTATCTACTTGCACTGGCATGCTTTCGAACTGCTAGAGTGACATAAGCTGGGACAGAGCAACGGGAGCTCACCCTGTCACGGGGATTCAAACCTCCGACCTTCTGATCAGCAAGCCCAAGAGGCTCAGTGGTTTAGACCACAGCGCCACCATGTCCTATAAGTAATGGAGGATAGCTCAGTCAGTTGAGCACTTTTAATCTCAGTGTTGTGGGTTAGAGCACCACATTGGGCAAAATATTCCCGCGTTGCCGGGGGTTGGACTAGATGACCCTCGGGATCCCTTCCAACTCTGCAGTTCTATGATTCTATATACCACTCAATCACACACAAACAGAGAGAGAAATTGCATTTATATCCCCCCCCCTTTGCACCAAGGAGCCCAGAGTGGCATATATGTATTTCACAGAATCATAGAACTGTAGAGTTTCCTAAGGAAAAGTGGGACATTCTGGGATCAAATCAGAAACCGGGACGCCTTCTGTAAATCCGAGACTGTCCTTGGAAAACAGGGACACTTGAAGGGTCTGAGCTTCCTGGGTTCCTTGTAATTCAGCCCTTTGTTCATGAGGACCAGAATCCTGCTCTCCTAATCCCAGCGTGGAGTTTTAGCGCTTGTGCATCTGCTGAAGGAGCCCCTTTAAAAAATCTCAACCGGATAAATCTTCTTCCTCCGTGATCCACTTGTCCTCTGCTAGCTTCCACTCCAGGCAGCGATTGATCTGGAAAGACCCCCTGTGCAGCTCTGCGGATGCTGAGTGGCACTTTTTCTAGAGCCATATATATATATATAATCTGCTGCAAGGAGGTTTCTGAGTTTGGTCTGGATCTGCATTGCAGCTGTGTGGCTGATGCACAGTGGCTGCTTCTGAGCTGCCTCTCTCTCTCTCTCACACACACACACAGAGAGAAAACCACCTTTCAATTTGCAGCTCAGGGGCTCGTCCCTACCCCTTCCCAGCTGACATCTGCAGGTGCTGGAGCTGCAGGTTTGCAGAGGAAAAGGGTTTTGTGTGACCTGAATGTCAATTTCGGTTTCAGACCAGGGTTGCAGCAGAACAGCTCCTGTGCATGCAGAAGGCTGCAGCCTTGATCTCCAGCCTTGATCTGCACACAGACTTTCTGCCTGGAAGCCTGGAGAGCTATGGCCCTTTCCTCAAACCCAAAGTGAGGTTCTAGTCCTCAGGGTTTGGAATAAAGAGCCGAAATGATACCCTCTAACATGCCTCAGGTGAAAGCGGGGGTGCTTCCCTCTCCTCCCCTCCCCGCGCAACTGACCCTCCTCACCCCGCCAGGTTTTGTTGTTCGCCCACCCCACAGAGCACTCCCTACCAGAAGGAAGGTGAGTCCCTGCACCACTGCTCTGTTAGGACACGCAGCACACAACCTCCACCCTCCTGAGAAAAGCCCTTCATCCCAGTTTTACGTTATTTTATTTTTCAGTAGGTTGCCAAAAAGAAAAGCACAAACCAATGAATAAATTTGATAAAAGGGCAAGATTAGATGTGGACTCACAAAGCATTTTCATGGCCTCCAACATTTCTCTGATGAAAATAGGGAAATCCTATATAATACTACTACTACTAATAATAAATAATAATAATAATAATAATAATAATAATAATAATTTATTACCTTTAGAAGACATCTGAAGGCAGCCCCCATATAGGGAAGCTGTTTTAATGTTTAATGTTTTATTTTTGTTTTTATATATGCCGCAAGCTGCCCTGAGTGGTTGGAGCAACCCAGGCAGATGGGGGGGGTATAAAAATTGTTGTTGTTGTTAAATAGGCCATCTCCATCCCTAGAGAAATGTTGGAGGGTATGCTGTGGATGTCTCCTAGCCAGGACGGCTGTGCTCTGCCTCCCCCAGTTGTTGGCAGCATACTCCAAAATCCGAGTTGCTGGAAACCGCTGGAGGAGCGAGCGCTGCTCTTCTGTTCGACTCCTGGTTGCGGGTTTCCCATGGGCCTTTCTGGCTGGCTCTTGCGAGGCCAGGATGCCAGACTAGGTGGGCCCTGTGGGCTTGATCCAGCAGGATGACTCTTACATTAAAGTAGCAGGATGTCTGGGCATATGAAGAAATGGTTAAGCCACGCACAACCAAACGTGTTGCTTCTTTCTCATCGTTTTTAACTTTGGATCCATCCTTGTTTTCTCCTCCCCCTTCCACCTCCTCCCCGCTTGCAGCCCCTCGGCCATCGCAGTGACTGCCTTCGGGATCCTCTTATTCCTGTTTGCTCTGGTTTACTCCGCAAGTGACTCTGAGGATGCCCTCTTCTATGGTAAGTCTCTCCTGTCTTTGGGCATCTTCATGCCTGCCCCCCCTCCTTTCCCTGCTTCTCTTTCTCTCTGTGTGTGTTTAGTGTATGTGTGTAAACAGCTGACCACCTGGTCACCTTTTAAAAAAAATGTCGCTATCCCTCATGAAACTCAAAAGTGCATTCAGTGGAAAACACAAATATTTATTTCCCCATATCCCTGCAGTGTTCGTTGTACTTTCCTTCATGTCGGGAATCAGCGCCATCATTGTTCTGGAAGAAGATGGCTACATAAGCAACTTCCTGGAAGGCTACATGAGACAGGCAAGTCCTCGCAGGCAGGAGTGCAACCGGGAGGGCGCGGAAGGTGTGCAACCCATATCAGATGCTTCAAACCTTTGTCTGAGTGGTGGGTGGTTTTTATCACATAAAACCTTTCAGCCAGGTTTCCTTTCAGCCAGGCCCCCGGAGAGACAAGACCTTTTGTGAGAAGGAGGTACATCTGTACCTTTCTACAGCTTGGGCATAGGTAGTGACACCATTAACAGCCAGTGCTCAAAATTAGCTAGGCACTCTTTGCACCTATTGGCCACCTGTGACCAAGTGAGGACGCCTGGGTGCCAGGATGGCACCTGATGTCTTCACCATGTGGAGGTGCATGCCTGGGAATCATTGGATCCGGACTGGTTGTGCAAATAATAATATTATTAACAACAACAACAACAACAACAACAACAACAATATATTTATACCCCACCACTCTGGGCGGCTTCCAACAAAATATTAAAATAGTCTGTCAAACATTAAAAGCTTCCCTAAACAGGGCTGCCTTCAGATGTCTTCTAAAAGTCTGGTAGTTGTTGTTCTCTTTGACATCTGGTGGGAGGGCATTCCACAGGGCGGGTGCCACCACCGAGAAGGCCCTCTGCCTTGTTCCCTGTAACCTCACTTCTCGCAGGGAGGGAACCGCCAGAAGGCCCTCAGAGCTGGACCTCAGAACAATGGGTGTGGAGACGCTCCTTCAGGTATCCTGGACCGAGGCCATTTAGGGCTTTAAAGGTCAGCACCAACACTTTGAATTTTGCTCAGAAACGTACTGGGAGCCAATGTAGGTCTTTCATGTAGCAACACATTCTGTAGAATTCTCTCCATTATATTTTATTTGCACAGTCAGAATGAATTTCTGGAAACAAAATGCTTTTTCTGAGCAGGGAACAGTGTTATAGTTAATTGTTGTCGCTTGTCTTCGCTTACCCCACCCCGCCAGGAACTACAAGGTTTACTCACAACATAAGTCTTGCCAGGATTCAGGAAATACAGTGACGAAAATCAGGCAGGCAATAAACATTACAAATATCCATAGCCCAGTTCAAAATGGAGGAGAGCAAACATATATCATCCGCCATCGCAGGTAGGAAAAAAAGAGTTTACAGCGACAGGAAGGAAGAGATAGGGATCAACAAATTTCTTGCCACCAAGTTTGGGGGTATGACATCATAGAGCTCCCTCCATGCAGGTTCTGAAACTCCATTTGTGACTGTCTATGCATTTGTGATTTTGTCTGCACATCCTCCCGCACAAACGTCCGTTCCCATAGCAGGGGTGAGGTGCCTCCAGATGTCGCTGGACTCCAACTCCCATCACCAACAACCCGGCATGGCCAGGGATGACGAGAGCAGGAGTCCAGCAATACCCAGAGGGCCATTGGCTTACCCCTTCTCTGCCCTATGGCAACAAATCACAGGTACTCGGCCCAGGTATTTTACATAGCAAAGCTGAGCATGGCGCATTGGACCACTGAATAAGCATCTCTTCTATTCTCCGGACCCCAAGCCCACAGCCATAGAGTTGCTGCTTTGGAAATGTGCCATGAGGCCATTCGGTCCACCCCCAACCCTTCGCTCAGGGAGGACTCATATCTCAGCAGCAGAGCACCTGCTTTGCATGTAGAAGGTCACAGGCATCTCCAGGAAAGTCTGGGAACTCCAGAGTGCTAGGGCCCTCCGCTTAAAAAAAGGTAAGATTCTAGTCCTCAGCATTTTGAATAAAGAACCAATTCAAATAGGCAGCTGCCTCGAGCCAAGTCAGACCATTGATCCATCCAACTCAGTGCTGTATACACTGGCTGGCAGCATCTCTTCAGGTTTTCAGATGGGGATTTAGGTACCATTTCCTCAGCCACAGCTGGAAATGCCAGGAACTAACCAGTTTGTGTGTGTGCGTGTGTCATGCAAAAGCTGCTTTTTGGCCACAGAGTCACAGCTTTTAATTTCTGGGGGACGTGCAGACGTTGAAATGGATGGTTGAAGGACGGGACGGGTCTCTGGCCGTGACTGACGTCTTGGTTTCTGCTTCCTATAGGGTGAGCCATACCTAAGCACAGCTCACGGTATGATGAACTGTTATTGGGCTGCCACCACCCACTTCGCCCTCCAGCTAGCCATGATTGCAGCCATCACTCAAAGGTGAGACAGGTCTGTTGTCATAAACTTGTAGAGCTGGAAGGAATATCAAGGGTCATCTGTTTAAAAACCTCCAACAAAAGAGAGTCCAGAGGTCGTCTGTTCTGCTGGGAATTTTGCAGAACCTTTGTAAAGGTACCAGGCAGAAATCCAACTGGTAGTGCTTTGGGGACTCCCTGGGTTTTTACAGGTCCTGGAGCTGTTTGGAGGCATAAAAACTCCCTCTGGGGCAGAGGGGGGAGGATTTTTCAGGCCTGGGGTGAGGAGTGGGGGAATAGACCCCAGTTATATTTGGTGGGGCTGAGTAGGCAAGCTGTGTTGACTCTCTGTTTGCTCTCCAGAAAGAGTTACCGGAACCTTGGGCTCTACTGGGTCGGATCCCTCACCATGAACTTTGCCGTCTACCTGCTGGGGAATGTGGTTGGTGAGTTGCTCCCTGGCAAACGCTTGCCATAATCTTCCCTTTCGAATGAAAAATGGGAAGAGCAGGCGTTTAGTTCTCCTTATCTCAGCTTTGGCTGAGATTTTGGCACTGCAGGGGGTTGTAGTAGATGACCCTTGGGTCCCTTCCAACTATACGATCCTATGCTTCTATTAGGGATTTGTCCAGACTGCTGGGTGGGATTTCTGACACACTGCAACAAGCTGCCTTTCTTCTGAGCCAGACCACGTGGTCCACCCAAACCAGTATCGTCCACACTGGCTGGCAGCATCAGCTCGCCAGGGGTTCAGGCAGAGAGTACCTTTCTTTCCCAGTCCTTCTGTGTGCAAAGCAGGTCCTCTACCTCTGAGCGACTGCCCTTTCATTTCACGGAAAAATAAACCAAGAGTCTAGTCCTCATGGTCTTGAAGCACTAGTTTCATCAGAAAGCTGCCTTATAATGGGACAGACCGCTGGCCCATCTAGCAAAGTATTGCCAACACGGGCTGGCAGCAACAGCTCTCTGAGGCTCAAGAGAGGAAGTATTGACACAGCCCGCACTGGAAAAGCCAGGGATGGGACCTGGGACCTGTTGCATTCCTGCATTGCGGGGGGTTGGACTAGATGACCCTGGGGTCCCTTCCAGCTCTGTGATTCTATGCATGCGAAGCAGGTGCTCTGATCATTGAGCTAAAGCCTGAGATTGGTGGCGCACGGCCTGGAGGTGTCCTAAGGCGGCCACCTCTCTCTCTCTCTTTTAAAGATACATGCATGTTCTTTTCTTTTCTTAATAGTAATTTTGTATTACCGTTTTACAAAATGGTCAAGAAGGCAGTTTCTGCAGAGGGGAGTGAGGGGCAGGTGGGGCTCGTCCACCTGGGAAGGGAGCCCATTTAGAAGAAGGGAAACTTCTGCTAACCTTGTGGGGCATCTTTGGAAGAAGAGAAGACTAAGGAGTGAAGCCTACAAAAATCCAGTGTGGAGACCCTAAGGTGGCAAACTCATCCATTCCCTCCACCTCAGCCAAGGGCTGCAGAGGTTTGGAGTCCTGCAATCGCTGGGATGTGGGGGGCAGATGATTCCACCATCCATGTTCTAATAAAGTCCCCCAGGAGAACTAGGTTGACTGGCGTCCCCAAGATTTGACTTTGTGGCTTAGGGCCCTCGTATTTACAGGACCGCCTCTCCTGCTCCGCCCCGCAGAGGACCTTAAGGTCGATGAATAACCATAGTTTAGAGGTCCCGGGCCCTAAGGAAGTCAGACTGTCCTTCACCAGGGCCGGGGCCTTCTCAGTGATGGCTCCGACCTGGTGCAATGCTCTGTCCCAGGAGACCAGGGCCCTGCAGGATTTAACCTCCTTCTGCAGGGCCTGTAAGACAGAGCTATTCCACCTGGCTTTCCATTTGAACTTAGCCTGATCTTTTATTCCCCTTCCTTCCCTCCCCCTCCCCTTTTATGAAGATCACCCGCTCTGAGACCCCACAGCTAATTCTCCCCTGGTCTCCTCACTGGCCCAAGTAGGACCAATTCAGCCAGCTAGCCCTGGTGACTACAGTATTTTTCGCCCCATAGGGCGCACTGCCCCATAGGGCGCACCTAGTTTTTTGGGGGGGAAATAAAGAAAAAAAATTATTTTCCCCCCCAAGTGCTGGGGAAGCCCGAGAAGCGGAGAGTTGCGCGAAGCCCGAAGCCTGAAGCCTGGGGCGTGCTGAGCTCAGTGCGCCCCAAGCTTCTGGGTGCAGGCAAGCTCTCCGCTAGCCGTGGGAGAGCTGCGCGAAGTAGCTTCCTGAAGCCTGGAGAGCGAGAGGGGTCAGTGCGCACCGACCCCTCTCACTCTCCAGGCTTCAGCGAAAGCCTGCATTCGCCCCATAGGACGCACACACACTTTCCCTTCATTTTTGGAGGGGAAAAAGTGCGTCCTATAGGGCGAAAAATACGGTATCTAATGCTTATTTGATGGATTTCCCCTAAATTGAATTTTATTGTTATTCATGTTTTTATACTGTATTTTATGCTACTTTTACAATTAAGTGTTTGTTGTTGTTAGCCCCCCTGAGCCCGGTTTTTGAACCGGGAAGGGCGGGGTATATTATTATTATTATTATTATTATTATTATTATTATTAATTAACTTGTGGGTGTACTGAGACCAATCCTTGCTTTCCCAGGGAAATACGGTTCTGAGATCCGCCTGGACTTCTTCCTCAACATCCCTTTGCTCCTCGCCCTCATCTGGGCTGCCTCCAGGATCTTTGCCCAGCCCAAGACGTTGTCCCTCGAGACGGCCGATAAGGTAACGGAAGAAATCGCCTTCTAAGCCAAAGCATCCTGTCTCTGACAGCTAGAAAGCCCCCAGCCCAGGAAGGCCCCAGAGGCACCAACCTTCTCTTCCCTCCAGCATTTGGTAGGAGGTAGACTGCCCTTTTGAGTGGAGGGTTCTTCTTAGCTGCCCTAAACCACTGTCAGAACAGCCTCCTTGGATCAGAGCAAAGGTCTGCCCGGTCCAGAATCTTCTTCCCAATTGACCCTCCCCCCAGTGGTTCCTCTCTAGCCACTGGCTTTCTTTCTTTCTTTTTTAATCACACATCAGGAGATTTAAGTACCGCTTTCAGCAGGGATAGCTCAGTTGGTTAGAGCCTGGGGTGCCGATAACACAAAAGTTGCAGGTTCAATCCCCATATGATTCTATGATTTTATGGTGGTCAAAGCAATCTGCGGTCAGAATAAAACAATAATGTTATCAGAAACACACACACCCTGCAAAAAAAGCCCCACAACAACAGCGATGGAAAGGATTTGAAAATAAGAATAACTAAAGCCGACTATCAGTTTAAAAGGAAACACGTTGAGACATCTGGATAGGCTAGCCTAAATGAAAAACAGGAAAAAAGCTTCTAGCAGGAGCCAATCAGCCAGGAGTTCCAAAGTTCGGTGCAGTCACACCCAAATGATCACGGTCATCCTCTGATGGTGGCAGTTCTGCAGATTGAAGTGGTTGAAGGAGCCTGCATGACGTAAGGTGATGTCATAGGTGACCTCATTTTCCGTCAGCAAAACAACCACTTTCCACAAGTGGTTAAGGGTTTTTATTTGCTTATTTGAACTTGGCCCAGTAGCAAATTGTCAACCAGTGAAGATCTCTGAGCACAGAAGTGACACGCAGACGGCGTCTCACTCCTGTCAGCAATCTTGATGCAGCATTCTGCACCAACTGCGGGTTCCAGCTCAAGCGCTAGGAAATTATTATTATGATTATTCTCCACCCATCTGGCTGGGTTTCCCCAGCCGCTCTGGGCGGCTTCCAGCACATATAAAAGCATAATAAGACATCAAACATAAAAAACTTCCTGAAACAGAGAAGCCCCACATGTGGGGCAAGATAGACTGCGAATGTCCGCAGAAGATACACTCAGTTACTACGGCAAATGTGTGCCCCGTAGGCTTATCTAAGGGCCTATAAGGAACTGCCTTGGTGGCTCAGACTGCCCAGCGCAGTGCCCTGTTTCCGACAGAGGACAGCAAAATCCCCAGAGCCGCTCAGACCTCCACGTCTGAGTTTCAGAACCAATAATAATAATAATAATAATAATAATAATAAATTTTATTATTTATACTCCAGCCACTTCTGGTTTATAGGCTCATGCAAGACATATCAAACGCACCATCAACTCAAGACCCACAGGGGGTTGGACTAGATGGCCCCTGGGGTCCCTTCCAGCTCAACAGTTCTATAATTCTGTCAGCTTACTTTCCTTTTTTCTCCTTTGGGGAAGGTTTCGGAAGAGCAGCGCAAAAGCCTCCTGCAGCGCCCGCTGGACTTGGTGCTGGTGGGCTTCCTCCTTTTCAACATCAGCTTCACTCTGTTCCGGGGACTGGTGAGCATATGGTTATCTTCCGGAGGCAGCATTGCTCAGTGGTTAGAGTATCTGCTTTGCCGGCAGAATGTCCCAGTTTGGTCCCCTCCAGGTAGGTGGTGGGGGTGGAGGATGCAATTCCCTGCTTGAAAACCTGGAGACCTGCTGCCAGGTCAGTGAGACAGATGCCCAAACAGAATTCATGAGGACTAGAACCATCTTTTTAAAAAAAATATCATTTTTTTTGCCAAATATATTTCATTAAATTTCCAGAAATTCCACATGTGCATTCCAATACAGAATAGATTCTTCTTTTGCTTGGTCAACGTCTCCTCCCATTTTCCAGGGCGTTTTTTATTTCTCCCCCATGCTGGACCCTGGCTTCTCTCCCTTGTATTATGACAATAATTCAATAATCTCTCATTCATTCTGTTACTCATAGTTCAAATCCTGCTTGTGAATTCATCATACGGTCATATTTCTTTAAATAGTCCGAAAAAGGCTTCCATTCTTCCATAAAGCAATCATCGTCAAGTTCTCTCCTTTTAGCTCTTAGCTTTGCTGATTCAGCACAGCCCATCACTTCACTAATCCTTCTTCTTCTTTCCATTTTTATGCATAGAGAAAATATGCTGCTGTTGACATACATAAACAGCGTAATCTTCTGTCCCTATAATCACTAGGAGAAGAGCTTGATTTTTGAAAATATATAATCACTTTAAACATCTTTTTTATCTCATCACATATCATTCCCCCAAATTTCCTTGCTTTATAAAACAAAACCCAAATCCTTATCAGTTCTGCTGTTTCATTGTCGTCCCCCCCGCACTGTGGCACAACTTTGACAGGGTTGTGGGGTGGGTGGGCAACCCACCTGACAATTGCCCATCATTGTAACCATAGGCTGGTGGGTGGCCTCGCCTGTGGCAGCCAGCCAGGAGTTAGGTGCCTGGGAGTCATAGCGCACAGGGCTTCGTTGGCTGGCCGCTGGCTGAGTGACCAAGTTCCCCACGAGAAGCTGGCTCTCTCTACCTTGTGCCAACTTCGTCCCCCCAATAAAATATTTGAGGGGGCTGGGACCTTCCATAGTTAATGCACACTGCTATTCAAATGGTGCCCATGCACCGCGACATGTGATTGATTATGTGGGGGTGCCCCTCAATATTTTATCCAAGCGGGCACCCCTGCCCTAATGTGCCATATGTAAGACAGGTGGGTGTAGCTTTAGAGGGGGAGAAATGTCCTTGTGGTCCAAACTGGGACCCATGCTAGGCCAGATTTGGCCTGGGGGCCGGAGGCTGCCCACCCCTCCTCCCATTAGGTAAAGGTACCCCTGACTGTTAGGTCCAGTCGCGGACGACTCTGGGGTTGCGCGCTCATCTTGTTCCAAGGGAGCTGGCGTTTGTCCGCAGACAGCTTCTGGGTCATGTGGCCAGCATGACTAAGCCGCTTCTGGCGAACCAGAGCAGCGCGCCAAAACGCCGTTTACCTTCCCGCTGGAGCGGTACCTCTTTATCTACTTGCACTTTGACGTGCTTTTGAACTGCTAGGTGGGCAGGAGCAGGGACCGAGCAACGGGAGCTCACCCCGTCGCAGGGATTCAAACCGCCAACCTTCTGATCGGCGAGTCCTAGACACTGTGGTTTAACACTGCTCCTAATTTCTCCTGATAAAAAGCCCCACCAAAATCCGCCCCCATCCTCTTTGATCTGCTCTTGCCTCCAGGTTGTTCTGGACTGCAAGGCGGACGTCTGCTTTGACTACATCAACCAGCAGGAGCCGTACCTGCGCGACCCGGTGGCTTATCCCAAAATCCAGGTGAGCAGAGCCTCTTGTTCTTCTGCAGGGGGAAAGGGAGCGTCGGTGGAGAGAGAAACGTTTTCCTCCCTCTCTTGTAGCGCAAGAATTCACCAAAGCCCATACCCTCCGACATTTCTCCGATAAAAATAGGGACGTCCTAAGGGGAAGCAGGACATTCTGGGATCAAATCACAAATTTCTTGTGGAAGAAATTGGGACCCATACGTGGCCAACTGTTAGTCCTGAGCCCTGCTTTGATCCATTGCACACCTCAATCTGACACAAGTTAGACTACGTCACTGAGTGAAAGGAAGGGGAGGCTGCTCCCAGGCAACTTTGGAACTCCCTTCCTGGGGCAGCCAGACCGGCTCCCTCATCGCTGTCCTTCCACCGGCAGGCAAAGGCCTTTCTGTTCCCGCAGGTCTGTGTTTTAAGGAAAGGGCTTTTTGAACGCGCTGTTTTTATTATGTGCATTTCATGATTAACAAAAAAAATCTGTTGGAGTTTAATTACCTTTGACTCTTTTACATGTTTTAAGCTTTCTGTATTTTTATCTGTGGCTGTTTTGATTTGTGTAAGCCGTCCTGACTGCAGGAAAGGCGGGATAGGAATAAGTAGAAATATAACAACAACAACAATGGATAGCTCAGTCGGTTGGAGCTGGGCGCTGATAACACCAAGGTGGCAGCTTTGAGACAGCTGCCTGTTCCTGCATTGCAGCGGGTTGGACTAGATGATCCTCAGGCTCCCTTCCAACTCTGATTCTATGATTCCAACAACAAGCCTTTGCAAGCACACTGTTTCTCATTAAAAAACCAAAAAAACTTGGCCTGCTTTTTGTCCTTGTGTCTCAAAGGCAGTCAAGAGTTTCTGCGGTCGCCGAGAGATTTGACCGAACTCTGACTGCTGCCCTGCTCTGCCCCCTAACTCTCCTGCCCGCCCTTCTTCCCAGATGCTCGTCTTCCTGTTCTACGGCCTGCCATATTTCTGCCTCTGCCTTTACGGCTTGCTCACCCCGGGAAGCTCATGGATGCCCGACTGGGCCCTGATCTCCGCTGGCGCCATTGCCCAGGTAACGTGGACATGTATGGACTGCAGCAGGGGCTAAGGAGCTTTCTTCTGCTTTGTCACAGGACACCAGTTCCAGTTTTTGGATTTCCACAGGGTATTCCAAGCTGAGGGAGGCAAGGGCCGCATTCCATTCTGGGCAGCTTTGCAGGGGCCACATCCCAATGTGGGCGGGGCCATGACCAGATGTGGGCGGAGCAACACATGCTAGGTTTCTCTTTGCAGAGCAGGCTGGTTCCCAGACCGCCTTGCACACAGCCCTCTCCGCCCTCCTCCCCGGCATGCTCAGATTTCATGGTGAAAATGTTCAAGGAGGGTGGGAAACAGGGCTGGTGGGGGCTGTGGCTTGAGAGAGTGGGTGTGGCTTAATAGAGTGTGGTGGAATCTACACACAGATAAAAAAATGCTGTGAAAATGCTTTTTAAAAAAATGTTTTGAGAAATATGCTAAATTTGCTGTAGCTCACCATCACCATCTAGTGTCACATTTGAATACTGCACTTTTAAAAAGGTAAAGAACCCCTGACAGTTAAGTCCAGTCACGGATGACTCTGGGGTTGCGCGCTCATCTCGCTTTACTGGCCAAGGGAGCCGACATTTTGTCCGCAGACAGTTTTTCCAGGTCATGTGGCCAGCATGACTAAGCCGCCTCTGGCGAACCAGAGCAGCACACGGAAACGCCTTTTACTTTCCTGCCAGAGCAGTACCTTTTTATCACCTTGCACTTTGACGTGCTTTTGAACTGCTAGGTTGGCAGGAGCAGGGACCGAGCAACGGGAGCTCACTCTGTCACGGGGATTCGAACCGCCGACCTTCTGATTGGAAAGCCCTAGACTCTGTGGTATAGCCACCCACTTTACAACACACTTAAAATGTTTTATTTGCAGCTGTATAGCTGAGTCCTGTGTGTGGTTTGTGGAGAGGGGTGTGGCTTAAGAGAGAGGGTGTGGCTTGGGGAGAGGGTGGGGCCTGCCTTCAGATGTCTTCTAAAGATTGTCTAGTGACTTATTCCTACCCTCCATCATTTCTCTGGTGAAGATAAGGACGTCCTAACAGCCCCCCTCTCTCTTTCTGTTCCTCCTTCCAGGCTCAGTTCTCTCATACTGGCTCTTCGCTCCACCAGCACACCCCGTTTCCGTACCGCACCCCCGAAAGTGCCTGGTGGCTTGTCACCCTTTTCAACCTTGCCTACGCAGTGGGACCTCACCTTTTAGTGTACCGCTGCCTTCGCAATCCGGCCTTCTTCTCCCCGGTGGTCTCGCAAGACGACATCAAGAAGAAGCAATGAGGCAGAGGAGCCGGGGGTCGCCTCCCTCCACTGTCCGGCCGCAAACCAGATCGCATTGTGCAAAGCCAAAAAAACACAAACCCTGCTCACCAGTTTGCCTGTGGGTTTTTGTTTTTAAATATCTCTGTGGCTTCAGGTCCACTCAGGTCCACTCCTGAAGCTCCCAGCAGCAGCTGCCTTGTCTACTCAGTGCTAGCACACTTCACAGAATTGTCAAGGTGGAAGGGACCCCTGAGGGCCATCTAGTCCAACCCCCTGCAATGCAGGAATCTTAGCTGAAGGATCCCTGGCAGACAGCCACCCAACCTCTGTTTAAAAACCTCCAAGGAAAGAGACTCCATCACCTCCCATTCCACTGTTGAACAGCTCTTGCCGTCAGAAAGTTGGAGTCCCCCTTCTTACTGTTTGAATCCGCTGGTTCGGGTCCTGCCCAAACTAGCCAGCCAGGGCACCACAGTCAGCAAACATCGCCAGGTGTCTGGACAGAAAGGAGAGGAGCCACTCTCTCAAATTTCAGTTGTAGACTGCCTCTTTCTGTGGCACTTGTGTGATGCTCTTGGGTGGTCTTTGGCTAAGGGATTGGGCAGTTTCTAAAACCTTTAAAAGCTCTTATGCGCCCTTGTTCTGGGCCCTCACCTCCTTGCAAGGTGGGAGACAGGGAAAATAAAGATCTTCCTTGCTTTCCTTTTCCAGTTCCTGCCTCCACTCACTTTCCTCTGACTGATAACAGATTTAGGAAGACACTGGATCCCTTGATGGAGAGATGGGCTGTAAAAACCAACCCTGACTTTTTCTAGAACAATGCTGACTTGTAAACGAAAGGTGTTGTTGCACAAGATAGAAGTGGAAACCTAGAATTGGAACGGACATGGGGACACTCACATATGTCATTGTTTACAAAATAAAAACATTTATAGATGGTTTTTGAACTGCTTGCTTCTTGTTTAGTGTGTGTTTGTGTCTCCTCACCCCGCCCCCCCAAAAATTCTTGAGGTTTCCAGTGTCCCCAAACCACTGTGGCATTCTTTTAACTTGATGCCTTTGAAATCCGGTGTTATAACCTGATATTTGTTTGTTTGTTTGTTTAACGTGGACCCAGTCGCAGTGCCTTGCCAACCAAGCAGTGGCTAAATGTAAGATGTGATTAATAAACTCAAGCAAACTGATGTGGATTAGAAACCACCACAACTTTATTGATTACAGATATACCCCTGGCTTCTGGGATAGCTGTGCAGCCTGCATTCGCTCCATAAGACGCACACACATTTCCCCTTACTATTTAGGAGAGGGAAAGTGAATCTTATAGAGCAAAAAATACGGTAGGTGGGTTTTGGTCTCAGGCATTGGGTGTTCCAGCCCCCCAGACCAATTAAAGAAATTACTCAATCTTTTAAAAAGGTAAGGGAACTCAGTTTCCCTGAGTTCCTACTCAGAAAACCCCCACCTAGTTATGACTGTTTCCTCTGTTTTACATTATAATTTTTCAAAAAAAAATACCAAAAAAAGAGGAAGCAGAAGAAAAAGAACACACCGGGAAAATCCCCAAAATTGGCCCTGGTGTGCTGTGCTGTGGCGTCTAAGCTTGTGTACTTGGCTGGAGTCCTCCAGCTTTGAGGCTGCTTTGGAGAAAAGCACCCAATAGGTTTGCAGGTTCCCCTTTAAAACATTTTCCCCCCTCTCTCCTCGCTCCCCACCCCATTTTTCTCCCAAACCCTCCTTTCTTCTGCCCTCATTGCAGGCTGCCCCCTAATGCAGTTGTCCTTCTGCAAAACTTCTCTCCCTCCATCTCTCCCTCCTTCTTTCCCTCTCTCCTCCTCTCTCTCCTTTTCTCCCCCATAGAAGTCTGCTGACTAAGATTTGACAAAACCGAGGAGCCCGCAATACCGTCAGCATTATGCTGATGAACTGGGGTTGGGAAATAGAGGACAAGGAAGAAGGTTGAAAGGTGGGGGGGAACTCAAGGGACTCGGGGTGGGTGGGGCGGGAATCCTCGTTCTCTCTCAGCGCGCCCCCCCTCCTGCATCATCTCCATCTCAACTTCGGCTGAGCTTCTGAGATTTCTCTCTTTTTGCCCTGGGACGTCCCTCTTCTCAAGGAGAAACAGTGAGTCCTCTTTTTTTTTCCTGCAGGGTTGTCCTTTTTATTTTTAAAATCATCCCCGGGTCCGTCCCCCCCACCTGCCCCACATTTCACCTTGATGAAATGCAGTGCTGGCTCATTTGGGGTTTTGCTGCAGGATGCACAGAGAGAGAGAGAATCATTTTACTGCCTGACTTGGGTACCACTTTTTTGCAGGGATGCAGAGCTCTGTAGGATGAAGATGAGCCACATCTTTGCAAAAAAGGGGTTGGTGTCAGATAGAGGTGGTGGAGGAGAAAGATCAACCCCCCCCATGCAGAAAGTGACCACTTAAATTCTAGAAGCGGGGGGCACTTAATTTGGAAAACTGCTTGTTTGTTTGTTTGTTTGTTTGTTTAAAAGAAGACTCTTCTCTCGCCAAATTTTAAGCATTTTAGGAGGGCTGTGTGGGATGCTCAGAGATGTTCATAGATAGGGCATCCTTTCTCCTGGCTGAGTTGGGTACCACTTTTTAAATGATTTTTGTTTGCTTTATTTCTGCAAGGTGTTCTATCGGATGTAGTGGAAAGGAAACTGTATCCCTGGCTGAATGGGGGCGGGGGGGTTAGTTCTGAAAATGGCCTTTTTAAAAGACTGTTTTTGCCACATCTCGAAGGGAACATAGAAACTGATAATTTATCGTTTTCTCAGAGATCAGGGTTCGGAATCTTCCTTCCTGACCCTGCTTCTAAAGGGATGGAATTATTATTATTATTATTATTAGGCCACAACAGGAGGTCAGGAGAATTTTGTAAATCACTTCTGCTTTGTGTCCTTGTGAGGAAAGGATGTTTCTTTATATGGGTTAGGCAGGACAGAATTATTTCTTGACTCTTGAGCAAAGTCTTGCCTGGCTGCCAGAGACTTCAGTATCATCTGCAACCTGGGTCTTTAACAAGCAACCCACCCCCCGAGGCCCCCTGCTGCTTACCTGCAATCTAACTCCAAAGGATGTAGGAAATTGTTTTATAGCCTTAGATAGATATAGATAGATATTTAGATATATATATATCTGTCTCACCTGGAGATGCTGGGGACAGTACCTTTGCTCCACCTTTTAAAAATGAAGTCAAAGTCTCAGTCCTCATTGTTCTGGCTTTAAACAGTGACTCTGGAAGGTGGCTTATACTTAATCAGGCCAGTCTTGCTTAGTATTGATTATTATTATTATTATTATTATTATTATTATTATTATTATTATCATTATACTGCCCATGATGGATAGCTCAGTCCAATCCAATCCAAATAAATTTATTGTCCTAGCTGTTGGCCAGACAAATCTCAATCAAAAATAAATACAAGCAAAAGGGGTGTCGCGCCACAAAGAATGGTCTCTATTTAGATCTGTGTGTCTCCCTTACAGTTCACGGCTATATTGTCTTCTTTCTGATCTTTTTGGCTGCCAAAACAAATGGCAACATTAAGAGTCACTGAAGTGTTTACATCGCCAAGAAACCACAGGACCTTTTCTGCTGAGCAGAGGATAGCCCAGTTGGTAGAGCAAGAGACTCTTAATCTCAGGTTCGCGGGTTCGAGCCCCATGTTAGGCAAAGGATTCCTGCATTGCAGGGGGTCAGACTGGATGACCCTCATGGTCCCTTCCAGTTCTATGATTCTATTAAATTTATTCCCATCCACCTGGGGGGATAGCTTAGTTGGCTAGAGCGTGGTGCTCTAGCAAACCGGAGGATATTAGCAGACAGGATTATAACTTGTTTTTATATGCAGCAACAGCAGCAAGAAAGTTATTGGCACAAAAATGGAAGCAAGAAGAATTGCCGACGAAAGAAGAATGGCAAATGAAATTAATGGACTATGCAGAATTAGATAAATTAACAGGAAGGATTCGAAACCTGCGGGACCAGAGATTCTTAGAGGACTGGAGTAAATATTTAAACTATTTGAAAAGCAATTGTGACAAACAGATTACGCTAGTAGGACTGCAAGAAGTTCTGTAAGGAGGACTTTGTGAAATATTGCAAGGAAGACTTTGAAAAGAATTACTAGTTAAGGACAAGTAAAAGTAATAGAGAAATTAAGAAATGCAGAATAAGTGATAAAGAATGGAAATCTTCAGAGGTGGTTGACAGAAGTCTAAAATACTGTATAAGATAAGAAGTTATGTTAAATGATTGTTGGAACTGATATATATATATAGTATATATATATATGTAGTAGTGGGCATTCAGCAAGCCCACATGACAGCGACGTGGGATTGAGGATTGGAGTGATCATTTTGTGATATTATGGCCGTGGACAAAGCTGTATTGTCACTTTTGAATAAATGTTACTTTATTAAAATGATAATAATTTTAAGAAAACCTCCTCCCTAGGGTCCCAGGGTGGGTTGCGGCAATGTTAAAAGCAATTTTAAAAACTTACAGCCACGAAAGGGGACATCTAATAAAAATAACAAGAGCATCTAGTGAAAAGGAACAAATGTCTGTAAAACTGCTTATATTATATTTAGATTTCCAATCTTTCTGTGTTATAAATCTATGCTAACGGGCAGCGGCTCCCTGGGAGATGCTGCAGACTGGAGCTTGGACGTCCTGCAGCCAAGGAGGGACTCTGCAAAAGAGTAAAGGTTGCAGGCCGTGTGCCTCTGAAGAAAGGGCTGCCAGAGTTGGAAGGAACCTCAAGGGTCATCTAGTCCAACCCCAGACTAGATAGGCCCCTGGCAGACTCTTTTATTCTCTTGAGGCTGCCTCCAAAAACTCCGGCAGTCTCCTGCCAGCCCAGGGGTGGATCTGCTATGAAACTAATGAAGTTTAAGCTTCAGGGCTCCTAATCCCAGAGGGGCCCCCCAAAAGCAACTTTAGTCCACATTGCTTAAGATTTTTGGGACTTTGATGCATGTATATAACGTTTCCCTAATTTTCATCCCTAACTTGAAAACTATAAAGCATAGGAACTTTGTTTGCACACCGGTGACTTTGAAATCATCCAGTCCAGCAATTTTAATCAAAATCTGAAATGTAGTAGTTAATGTTTTTCACAAAATTGTGCTGATCTGTCCTGAACCCCACTGAAGAAGACGACACTGGTTGCCCAAACCTCATTGCCAAGGGGCCCCATGACAGTTCAGGCTTCAGGGGCCCCACAAATGTAGGCCCCCCAGTGTTCCAGCCCAGAGCTCAGCCGACTTGTTTGCGGACTCCAGAGTTGGTTCTACAAGCCCAGGCCCCTTGCCCATCATCCGCCTCTTCCTTCCTCTCCAGATGCTCCCTGCGAGGGCTGTGACAGGGACCTGCCTCCACCTTGCCGTCTTGCTGCTCTGCTTCCGACTCACGGCTCCTCAGAAAGGACGGAAGAAAGTCGTGCATGTCTCAGGTGCGTGGCACATACGTGATTTGGAAGCTCAGCCCCCTCTCCCCTGGGATTGCATTCGCTGAGCTGCCCGGCAGATTCATGCAATAGGCTCCAAAGCACTTTGGCCTTGTACAGTTAACCCCAGTTCAGCCGTTGCCAAAGGGGTGCCTGGGGGCACAGGGGTGCCCTCGAGGTCTTCCTCTGGTGCCCACGAAGGCTCCACACACACTTCCTTGTTTGTAAAGCAGCGAAGGCGGTTACGCTACTCTCCCTCGAAAAGGAAATAGAGTTGAAGGGGACAGTGATCTCTCTGGGCTTTTCAGGGCGTGGCCTGGGGGAGAGGGGTGTGGTCTGTGAGAGGGGGCGTGGCCTGGGGAGAGTGGGCATGGCTCCATAAATTGACATATTTGCCCATCCCTAACCTGGATCAGCTAACCTTGGATAGCTCAGTTGGGTAGATTGTGGTGCTGATAATGCCAAGGTTGCAGGTTCGATCCCCTTTTGGGACAGCAGCCTATTCCTGCATTGCAGGGGGTTGGACTAGATGATCCTCAGGGTCCCTTCCAACTTGACGATCCTATGATTCTAACCCAGACTTTTTATTTCGCCTGCCAATCATGGGGCTTGTGGAGTACAGTCGTACCTTGGTTCTCGAACGCCTTGGTACTCATATGTTTTGCCTCCCCAATGCCGAAAACCCTGAAGCGAGTGTTCCACTTTTCGAAGCCAAATGTCCAACGCGGCCTCCACTTGAGGGCAGGAAACTCCTGCAGCCAGTCAGAAGCCGTGCCTTGGTTTTTGAACGAACTTCCGGAAAAGATTAGGTTCGAGAAACAAGGTACGACTGTATCCCCATTCCGTTCAGCTGCAATTCCCCTTGGGGGTCCCTTCCATCTCTACAATTCTATGATTCTATGACTTGCTGTTTTTAAAACATCTATTGTCACTACCATGTATTATTTCATTGCAAGATGTGTTTGACTAACCTGCAGAAAACTGGGGCAGAAATTCTAAAAACAAGCAGCTGATTTGTAAATGATTAAGTGCGTTATCATTTTTATTTATTCAGTACTGCTTTTTCTTAAGAAAGGGGAGGGGGAGATCCCAAATCTGTTTAAAATCCCCACATATTAACGCAGTTTCAGTATGACACAGCTCACAGCTCCATCTTGCATCCACCTGTCCTGGGTTTGAAACCCGGGATGCTTAAAAAAAACACCCAACAAAACCCTTCTCTTTTCTGCTTGCAGAGGATGACAGTGGTGCCGTCGTGGTGCAGACGGCGCCGGGGAAAGTGGTCACCCACCGGGGTGGCACCATCATCCTGCCCTGCCGCTTCCACTACGATGTCTCGGCCCACGACCCGGATGAGATCCGCCTGAAGTGGACCAAGCTGGTGGAGCCCATGTCCTTTGAGGACGTATTTGTGGCGATGGGCGTGGAGCGCAGGGCTTTTGGGAGCTACAGGGGCCGCACGGCGCTGCAGGAGGACGGCTCTGGGGACGCCTCCCTCATCATCCGGAACGTGACCCTCCAGGACTACGGGCGCTACGAATGCGAGGTGACCAATGAGCTGGAGGACGATGCTGGGATGGTGAACCTGGACTTGGAAGGTGAGGGGAGACGGGCGGGTTGGGGTGGGGCCCACAGGCCAGGTCTCCACAACCCCCTGTAGGAGGAAACTAGTGGGAGATAATAGAATCCTAGATTGTAGAGCTGGAAGGGACCATGAGGGTCATGTAGTCCAACCCCCTGCAATTCAGGAATTTCAGCTAAAGTATCCCTGACAGATGACCTCCTTAAAAACCTCCAGGGAAGGAGAGCCCACAACCTCCCAAGGGAAACCGTTCCACTGCCAAACAGCTCTTAACACCAGAAAGTTCCTCCTGATGTTGAGTCGGAATCTCCTTTCTTGTAACTTGAAGTCATTGGTTCGAGTCCAGAGCAGGAGAAAACAAGCTCGTTCCCTCTTTCATGTGACAATCCTTCAAATATTGGAAGGTGGCTATCATATCTCCTCTTAGTCTCCTCTTCTCCAGCTCCTTCAACCATTCCTCATCAGGCTTACCTTCCAGTCCCTTGATCATCTTGTTCGCCCTCCTCTGCCCACCTTCCAGCTTGTCAACATCCTTCTTAAATTGTGGTGCCCAGAATTGGACACAGGACTCCAGGTGTGGTCTGACCAGGGCAGAATAGAGTGGTACTTTTACTTCCCTTGATCTGGACACTAGACTTCTGTCGAACAGCATTAGCTGTTTTTGCTGCTGCATCACCCTGTTGGCTCATGTTCAGCTCGTGGTCTGCCAAGACCCCCAGATCCTTTCCACAGGTACTGCTAGTAAGCCATCTTATATTTGTGTGAAAGTGATGTGGGAATGCCTCTCCTAAGATGGCATCATTTTGTCCTATATCAGCATGGCCAGGGAATGCCTCTTCTATGATGTAATAGCCTGATCCAGCAAGACTCAGAACCACAGAATTGTAGATTCGGAGGGGACCATGAGGATCATCTAGTCCAACCCCCTGCAATGCCTTGGCATTATCAACACCATCCTCTAACCAAATGAGCTATCTAGGCTGACTCTTCTTGTACTCTTACAGGAGATAAGAATGGGTCCTCCTTGTCCGCAGGCAGCCCACCTCCTTGGAGGGTCTGGCGGGGTGAGGGGAGCAGCTGTTGCCTTTACCCCTCCTCCTTATCAATTTCCTAGAGGCCCCCGGCTGACCACTGTCAGAGGCAGGATACTGGGGAGGCTGGAACATCTCTGAAATTCTCATCTATCTACCTTTGCCTCCTTCAAGCCAGAAAGAGTGGAGGGAGCCCCTCCAAAAGGAGAATCTCTTTCCTGTTCAGGATCTTCATAGCCAAATAAGTTGGAAGTGTGTGAGAGCAAGAGAGAGAGAGAGAGAGAGAGAGAGAGAAGGAAGGCTGGAATACTACAATACCCTCAATGCTATAATTCACCCCACCTCGCGGCAGCAAAAGCAACCCAATTCTCTCTCTTGTTGGGATGTTTTACGAATCTGCCAGCTGCTATCATTCTTCCTGGTTTTTATTAGCTTCTGACACCGAAACCTGCAGCGACAATGAAAGTCAATAAAAGCAGCAGTAAAGCACCCCAGAGACTCTCCAGCAAGAGAGGAGGAGGGAAGAGGAGAAAGAAATTGAGGGGAGGCAGACAGGACCCTGCATGCTCTCCGTGAGGGTGTGAGCTGCAAACAGAGGCTACTAGCTGTCTTTCGTCATGCATTCCTGTGGGGTTGGCGTGCCCTTTTAACCCGAGGGCCGCATTTTCTCCTTGAGGATCTTCTGGGGGCCACATCCCATAGCAGCGGGCAGAGCCAGAGGCGAAAGTGGTTGGAGCAACTGGTCTCAATTAGTTAATCACTGAATATCTTGCAAAAATGTGGTTTCCACAGACTTGGTAGAGTGTCAGGCATAATGAGCAGAGCTGCTCATTCCCTTTCGTCTTCCTCCATGGAAATCTGTTGCTGACAATCCCCACCTCCCCACAGACATCTATGGCCCCTCCTCTCCTGGTCCCCAGCCCCCAAGTAATTGGCGCTTGTGCCTAAATGCAGCCAACCTCTCCTCTGCACTTTTCATGCCTCTCCTGGTCCTGGGAGACAAGCAGGGAGGGGGAGACACCTGTGACTCTTCACCATCTCTGCCTCCTGGCCTCCCTCCTCTCCTGCTTCAGCTTCTGCCTCTGAGTCTAGACTGCTCTCTGCCACAGACTCTCCCAGCCCGCTAAGCCCTGTTGCCCCTTCAGCTTCCGACATCTCCCCCTCCCAGTCTTCTCCCTCATCGTTGTCCCACCACCACTCCCCAGGCGGATCCTTCTGCCCTCCCTCTACATCCAAGCAGTCCCTGACACTCTTAACAAGGCAATCACTCTCAGTAAACAAGAAAAATAGGTTTACTCGCATCAAAAAGCCTGACAGGGTTCAACAGATGCAGTGATGAAAATATGGAAAGGATCCTCAAATGTTGCAGAAGTCCATAAAAAGTTAAAGGGACCCCTGACCATTAGGTCCAGTCATGGCTGACTCTAGGGTTGCGGTGCTCATCTCACTTTATTGGCCGAGGGAGCCGGTGTACAGCTTCCGGGCCATGTGGCCAGCAGGACTAAGTCGCTTATGGCGAACCAGAGCAGCGCACGGAAACGCCGTTTACCTTCCCGCCAGAGCGGTACCTCTTTATCTACTTGCACTTTGACGTGCTTTCAAACTGCCAGGTTGGCAGGAGCAGGGACCGAACAACGGGAGCTCACCCTGTCGCAGGAATTCGAACCGCCGACCTTCTGATCGGCAAGCCCAAGGCTCAGTGGTTTAACCCACAGCGCCACTCACATCACAGAAGTCCATAGTCCTGCTCAAAATGGAGAAGCGTCTGTTTGCAACTCTCTAAAAATTGTGTGCAATTATGTGTTTGCGATTCGGCTGCAGATTCTCCCGCACAGAAGAGGCATTCCAGCTGGTCAAGATCCTTTTTCAATTGTGGTGTCCAGAACTGGACACAGGACTCCAGGTGTGGTCTGGCCAAGGCAGAATAGAGTATTGCTATTACTTCCCTTGACCTGGACGCTAGACTTCTGTTGATGCAGCCTCAAATAGCATTAGCCTTTTTTGCTGCTGCATCACCCTGTGGACTCATGTTCAGCTTGTGGTCCACCAAGATCCCTTGGTCCTTTTCACATGCACTGCTAGTAAGCCAATACTATTCCCTCCTGAGAATGCCTCTCCTTTGATCAGGGAGGGGGAACCAGCATGCTTCAGCAGTGTTAACGGAGAAATCTGAGGGCTCCTTTGGACAAAAAGCAAGGACACCAGCCAGGAATACCAGAGCAAAACAGCGGCCAGTAGGCTTGGTCTTGATTGAAGACTGGACTCCTACCTGCCACCAGGTGGAACAAGATGGAAGCCCAGAACGAAAGAGCCCCCAAACTTTTATTAGCTGCTAATCCCCATGTTACACCCCCCCCCAAACTACACCACGGTTACATCATGAAAGGGGAGGTCTGGTGGCAGTAATCTGAGCATCCTGGACCCTGCCCCATGGTTCTCCTTGCCCTCCACCAAACACCTATCAAGCGAAACAAAAGAGAGATTTACATTTCCCTGTTTCCCAGCCAAGTGAATCCCACCCTTTGGTCTTCCTCTGGGTTTGTTCTTTCTGGAATGGCTACCTGTCTGGCACTCAGGTATCAGGATGCCAGGGATTATCACTCAGGCAGAGGGGCTGCTGAGTAGCTGAGCTCACATGTCTATATGAATTTCCGAAGTTTTCCCAGTGAGCCAGTACATAGAGACATTTGTCAGTGAATTCTTACATTTGGTATCGTGCAGCTGAGGCCCTTTGAATAGATAGGAAGAAACTGTGATGTAGTGTTTTGTAGGGACAAATCACAAAAGTCACAGAAGTGATGGTGCTGGTTTTGGTAGTGGGCTGCATGTGCATTATATCTGCTGGAGGGGCAACACCCCCCCAACCTATATTGTAAATTCCTGCAACAAGCAGTCAGGGTGATGATGGGGGCCGCAGTCCAAGAATGCCTAGAAGGCCCTGATCTGCTCTCGATGTCTGTTTTTCCTCCTCCTCTGCTTCTCTTTAGGGGTGATCTTCCCTTACCACCCCCGCCTGGGACGCTACAGCCTGAACTTCCACGACGCCCAGCAGGCGTGCCTGGAGCAGGACGGGATCCTGGCTTCCTACGACCAGCTCCACGAAGCCTGGCTGGAGGGCATGGACTGGTGCAACGCTGGCTGGCTGCAGGACGGCTCGGTGCAGTACCCCATCTCCAAGCCGCGGGATGAGTGCGGCCGGAAGGAGACCCCCGTCGGGGTGCGCAATTACGGCTACCGCCACAAGGACGACGAGCGCTACGACGCCTTCTGCTTCACTTCGAATCTGAACGGTGAGGGGGTGCCTGGCTGCCCAAAGTTCTAGAATCAGAAAACGGTAGAGTCGGAGGGCCCCCCAAAGGTCATCTAGCCCAACCCCCTGCAATGCGGGACTTGAAGCTAAAGGATCCCTGCTTAGGTGCCCAAGCAACCTCTGCTTAAAACTCCCCCCGTGATCATTCGTCCCACTGTCAAAGGAAGCTTCCTGCCTAGCGTCAGGAGGGGGGGACACACATTTTCCCAGTCTGCTTTCTTCGAGCCATGCATCATTTTATAAACTTCTAGGCTTCCTCGCTCCTCGCACCCTCCGAAAAAATCTCAGAGCAACATTTAACCGATTGCTGGCCTTTTCCGCGTCCCCCAGGACCAGGCAATGAGGCAGTAGTTCAGCTCAGCATGATGGATGAGCCTGCAGGGGTTTGTCCAAAGGCGTAAATTACTCTTTGCTGGGAGGGTCTGCCGGGGGGGGGGGGGAGTTGGCAGGAGGGGGGCTTCATTTGTGTAATCAGGGGCAGGATAAATAGCCCTGGATCAACTCGGAAATGGAGTGCCTTTTGCTGCCTCATCCATCTTGCTGAAGGCAGGTGTTTAATTCTCCTCTCATTGGATTTGGCAGCGTAAAAATGGAGGGGTTTTTTTGTGGGGAAGATGGGAAGAGTCAAGATCAGGGGTCAGCAAACTTTTTCAGCCGGGGGCTGGTCCACCGTCCCTCCAACCTTGTGGGGGGCTGGACTATATTTTTTTTTGAGGGGGGTGAACGAATTCCTAGGCCCCACAAATAACCCAGAGACATTTTAAATAAAAGGACACATTCTACTCATGTAAAAACAGGCTGATTCCTGGACTGTCCATGGGCTGGATTTAGAAGGCGATTGGGCCGGATCCGTCCCCCGGGCCTTAGGTTGCCTACCCATGGTCAAGATATATCCCCCACATGTGTTTGGCTTTTGTTTTTTTAAGGGGGGAAAGGGGATCTAGGAAGCAAACCCCGATAGCTCAGCTTGTAGAGCATGAGACTCTTAATCTCAGGTCGTGGGTTTGAGCCCCACAGGGGGGGAAAGTTTCCCGCCTTGCAGGGGGTCGGACCAGATGACCCTCAGGGTCCCTTCCAACCCTATGACTGGTGGGCACTAAGGTTTTTCTCCCGCTCGTTGTTGGCATCCATCCGTCTGGAGACACAATGGAGTGCACCTCCGGGGGTGAAGTCAAACCGCTGCTTTGCAGCACTGAAATGAGCTCTTTCTGCTCTGTCAGGAAAGTGAGAACACCTGCTAAATCTGAGCTCCAGACTACATTTTAAGCTAGGCTTAAGTATGTCTTTGTCACTGAATTACCATTTTAAGCCTGCCTGAAGCAAGTTTCTCTCTGACAAGTATTCCAGGTGAGTAAATGCTCTTTTTTTTTTTTACCTTTTGAAAGACAGTTTGTGTGATTATTGTTTTAAGGGAGACAAAAAGGGGAAATACCAGGAGAATCCAGTCTGCTTAAATGTTAAAAGAAAGGGGATTCTGACTAAATGTAGGGGGAAAACTTTCTGATCGTAAGAGCTGTTTGACCGTGGAATGTGTTAAGGGAGAAATCCGAGGGATCCCTTGGACAAGACAAAAAAACAAGGACACCAGCCAGGAATACCAGAGCAAAAGAGAAGACTGTTGCAACAGGACTCCCACCTGCCACCAGGTGAAACAAGATGGAAGCTCCAAACAAAGGAAAACCCAAACTTTTATTAGCTGCTAATCCCCATGTTTGGGGACACAGGTGGCGCTGTGGGTTAAACCACAGAGCCTAGGACTTGCTGATCAGAAGGTTGGCGGTTCGAATCCCTGCGATGGGGTGAGCTCCCATTGCTCGGTCCCAGCTCCTGCCAACCTAGCAGTTTGAAAGCACGTCAAAGTGCAAGTAGATAAATAGGTACCTCTCCAGCGGGAAGGTAAACGGCGTTTCCGTGCACTGCTCTGGTTCAACAGAAGCGGCTTAGTCCTGCTGGCCACATGACCCGGAAGCTGTCTGCGGACAAAGGCCGGCTCCCTCGGCCAGTAAAGTGAGATGAGCGCCGCAACCCCAGAGTCTGTCACGACTGGACCTAATGGTCTGGGGTCCCTTTACCTTTACCTTTAATCCCCATGTTACACCCCTTTAACAAATGTTCTCCCTCAGGAGGTGGTGGACTCTCCTTCCTTGCAGGTTTTTAAGCAGAGGTTGGATGGCCATCTGTCAGGGATGCTTTAGCTGAGATTCCTGCATTGGACTAGAGGACTACTACTACTACTACTACTACTAATAATAATTTATTTATGCCCCGCCCTCCCTGGCCAGAGCCGGGCTCAGGGCAGCTAACACCAGTAAAATTACAAAAAAACAAAACAAAAACCAATTTAAAATACAGGTTAAAATATAATTTAAAATGCAGCCTCATTTTAATAGTAGCCCATAGATCAAAACCGTAAAGGGGAGGGAAACATAAGGGTCAGACTGAGTCCAAACCAAAGGCCAGGCGGAACAGCTCTGTCTTGCAGGCCCTGCGGAAAGATGTCAAGTCCCTCAGGGCCCTAGTCTCTTGTGCCAGAGTGTTCCACCAAGTCGGGGCCAGTGCTGAAAAGGCCCTGCCCCTAATTGAGACCAATCTAATCACCTTGCGACTTGGGACCTCCAAGGTGTTGTCATTTGTGGACCTTAAGGTCCTCCGTGGGGCATACCAGGAGAGGAGGTCCCGTAGGTATGTGGGTCCTAGGCCGTGAAGGGTATTTAAAGGGCTTGGAGGTCCCTTGCAACTCTATGATTCTATGACTCTATGATCCTGAATTGCTTAATCTAAAAGGCTAATTTTAAGTAATCTAAGTAAATTTAGGAGATTACTAGATCTACTAAACTAGATCTAAGTAGATTTGGATTAAGTAATCTTAAGTACAGTGGTACCTCGGGTTACAGACGCTTCAGGTTACAGACTCCGCTAATCCAGAAATAGTACCTCGGGTTAAGAACTTTGCTTCAGGATGAGAACAGAAATCTTGCTCCGGCGGCGCGGCAGCAGCATGAGGCCCCATTAGCTTACGTGGTGCTTCAGGTTAAGAACAGTTTCAGGTTAAGAATGGACCTCTAGAACGAATTAAGTTCTTAACCCAAGGCACCACTGTAATTCTAAGATGCAAAGGAATGCCACTCTGTGAACTCACAGGCGCAAGGAAGGATAATATCCAATCAATATACCCTCTGCTGGCATCTATTCGCATCCCAACACCACTCAAGTTGGGAATCGCTGCTTTAACCACTGCACCACATTGCCTCTCCCCCTCTTCTCCCTCCCAGGCAAAGTCTACTTCCTCAAGACCTACCGCAAGCTGAGCTTCCCGGAAGCCGTCCAGGCGTGCAAGAAGAACGGGGGCGCCGTGGCCAAAGTCGGCCAGCTCTACGCTGCCTGGAAGATCCAGCTCTTGGACAAGTGTGAGGCCGGCTGGGTGGGCGACGGCAGCATCCGCTACCCCATCGTCAACCCCAGAACCCGCTGTGGGGGCCGCGAGCCTGGCGTTCGCAACCTGGGCTTCCCCAACAAGAAATACAAGCTCTTTGGCGTCTATTGCTACAGAAGCGCCACCGGTGGAGGGTCCAAGGCGGCTGCCAAGGAGGGAGCAGGCAAGTGGAAACCTTTGCAGGTGTAAACAAGGTCGGCTTTGAACGGATACGAATCCTTGCATCTCCCTCCATCTTCCAGCCTTGAGGGACTGGGAGGGTTTTTCCTTGACCTTCCTCTGGAGAAGGAAACAAGTCCGCTGTGAAACATGCATTTGCTGGTCGAAGAGTCCCGAAACACCAGAAGAGAAGGGCCGTTCCAAATTCAGTTGATTCTTTGCGGACTTCCAGAAAGCCTGGGAGTCCAAGTTGCACCCAGCTTCTCACAAACCATGACTTACAATGCCCGCCCCCCGCTCTGCTTGAGTCTTCTTTTCCAAGAAGCCCTGGCTGTTTGCAATTTGCTATTATATTAACGCTTCAGATATAGCTTTTACGAAGTGTGTGTGGGGGTCTCCCCTGCCTTTTGCAAAGGGAGGAGGCACACAGGGATTTGTCGCCACTGAGAATTCAGCAGCCGCCTGTCGCAAGGGATCTGCTCCCCACCCCTGCAAAATGAAGACAAATATTTATTCTTTTATGCATGGTATTTGGGAGCGCCACAGTTAACTGGACAGCATTGCGTTGCACTGAAGGGCATTGCAGTCGCACTGAGCTTCTTTTCTCTCTTCATCCTGCAACCTGAAAGGGGGGGAGGCACACCCCCATTACCATTTCCGCTCTCCGTGCTCCTTCAGAGGTCATTTTGCCCAGACAACCAAATCCTACAAGTTTCTGTTGTCGTCTAGAAAACTGGAAGCGCATGTTCATCAATGTGTGGCTTGTTGGGAGAGACTGTAGGCTCCTTGGAGCACAGCTCCTGTCATTTTGCTTTTTTTATCTATTTATCTGTTATAGGGGGTTGGAATAGATGACTATTCCATCCATAATAGATGGTTCTTTCTAACTCTACAGTTCTACAATTTATTGTCCTTTTTGCTTACGGTTACTCTGCGTAAGGCATTGTATACATGGACGACACTGTATACCTGTTAATAAAATTGTGCAGGGTGGTGTCAGTTCTGTGTTCTCGGCTCTCACTTGCGACTCCTAGAAGCTGCCAGTGTGTGACAGTGGCCACAATCCCAGGAAACAACCTTGACTGGCCAGCTGAACCAGGTGAGGGGAGCTGATGGGTCTCAAACCCCCAGTGATTCAGGGGCTTCCCCTGCATGCAAAGATTGGCTCTGCCAGATGGAGCAGACAAGACCAAGAGGGGGGTCCAGCGGTCAAGAAGGTGGTTTCTCCGTGTGCTATGGAGGGAAGTGAGGGGCAGTTGAGGAACCTTGTCTCCCATCTGGGAGAAGAAATACTCTGGCCCTAAACTTCTGCTGTCCAGAACAAGAGGTGGAAGCTGAAGCAGGGAAGGAGTCATTGTGGCTAGAAGCCATTGATTAGCTTCACTCTCCATGAATTTGCCCAGCCCTCTTTTAATGGCAAGCTGGTCGCCACCCTGGTCAACTCCACAAACTCAGACCTGATTACAAAAACTTCATTTAAAGGGGAGAAAGAGTTGCATGCTGCAAATGTGCCATGGAGGCGCATAACCCAGAGTAGTGCACCACCCGTGTGCAAGGTTTCTGCAAGCTTCAACCCCGGAGCGAAAGGAAGAAAGACAGACAGTGGTCTTAGGAACTGTTAAAAAAATTTATTAAAATGTCCAGCAGTACAGAGACCGCAAAGGGATTCCTCCCCACACTTCTCCCCCCTTTTTTTTGCACACAGGGGGTGGGGGAGAGAATGCCACAGGCGGAGGGGTCATAGAAGGGGAAACACACAGAGGAATACCGGACACTGCAGTTAACAAGGAAACAGCAGAGATCAGGGATGCATCCGCCACACGCCCAGCACTCTTGTGCGTGCGCACACTCACACAAACACATTTCACCACCCACCCCCTTTCTAAATTTTTGCATGGAAGGCTGTTTTCTGTTGCAGACATGGGCACTCACTTCACATGTGGCGGAAGAGAGCTGCTTGGGTCGCCTCCTGCCATCCCTGGAAATTGGACTCCTTGTACAGTTGCAAACCCTCCAAGTGCTCCTATTTTCCAGGGACATTCCCAGATTTACAGAAGCCGTCCTGGTTTCCGATTTGATCACAGAATGTCCTGCTTTTCCTTGGGACGTCCCTATTTTCACTGGAGAAATGTTGGAGGGTCTGGAGTTATGCGACTCCCAAGCCAATAAAATAAGTAACTATGCAACCTTTAGAAGACATCTGAAGAAAACCCTGGATAGGGAAGTTTGTTCATGTTTCATTTTTATTATGTTTCTATATCTGTTGGAAGTCACCCAGAGTGGCGGGAGCAACCCAGTCAGATGGGCAGGATAGAAATAATAAAATTATTATATAGAATAGGACGTCCCTCATTCCATTGGAGAAATGTTGGAGGGTATGGAGGTGGAGCACAGCAGCACCTCGGAGTGTGTGGGTCGGTTTCATGGCCCCCCAAGTGGGTGGGCTGGGTGACACAGCACAGTTGCATCATGCTCTCTCTCACCTGCCCACCCTCCATGCCATCTCTGCAGGCTGCATTGAGCGAGGGCTGCATGGAATGAGACAGAGGGCCGTGAGCTACGATGTCAAAGAGCAGAGAAGCCCCCAGGGTGTTCTGTGCTAATGGAGCCCAGGCAGGGTTAAGAGTTGCACAAAGCACTTTCCATGTGGTTACCTGCCTGCCCCCCCCCCGAAACACACACACACACACGCACTCCTCACAATTGTGACATTTGTGGAAATCATTTTCTGGTGGGGAAAAGAGGGTCACACCCAAAGGTCAAACAGGAAAGACTCTGTAAACAAACAAACAAACAAACAAACAAACAAACAACAAAACCTGGGGGGGGGTTAAATCTGGGCTCCATCCTGACCAGCCCCTCTTCCTGTGCAGGCTATCAAAAGGAACTTTGATAGAGCACTTTGGTAGGCATGTTTGCAGCACCTCCTCTGCAACCCTGACGACAGCCCTGTAAGGCAGGCTGATGGTTCTGACCCCCCTGCTGCTGCGGAGGGGGAAGGGAAGTAGCGAAAGGAGGGAAGGGATAGTTCCCTGCAGGTGATTAGCTGGGGTAATAAAGGGCCTCTCCTCCTCCTCCTCCTCCTCCTCCTCCTCCTCCTCCTCCTCTGAAGCCGCCTGGAGAGGGAGGAGAGGCTTTCAGAAACAGAAAGTGAGCTTGAGAGAAGCAGATGTCAGGAAAAGAGAGAGAAGTGGATGTAAAAAAGACCTGTGGATGAGAGAGGAAGAGGGAGAAAGAGGGAAAGATCCTGACAGACTGCCTTCAACAGAATAAAGGTTTGCACAGCGGAGCTGCTTCAGGTAGCCTGAACTCAAGAAAACCTGTTTTCTGCAACCCCTGCAGATCCTTAGAAAAGGTGCAAATCATCTTCTGGCATTGTAAACTTGCACACGACAGCCAGCCAGCCACCCTGTGACGAGAAGGCTGACAGAAGAGATTTATCCACAGGGGAAGGAAGACATGGGGGGCATCAACGATTCCCATCTCTTTCTCGCTCACACACACATGCGCAAACCCATTGCATCCGTGGGGGGGGGGGGAGGAAGGTCGGGGGATGGGGATGGGGAGGGAAGCGGAATTGGGAGCTTGTGCTTTCTTTCCCAGGCCCGTCATTAAAAGTAGTTCCCGTCTTCCTCCGTCCAGTCCAGCTTTGGGTGCTGCTTGGAGTGTTTCCTGCGGTCCTTGCGGGATTTGTGCTGGTGGTGCTTGTGGTGGCGGCGATGGTGGCGGCGGATTCGGTGGGACCGTCTGGCTGGAAGGCGAAGGGGGCGGGAAAAGAGATTTAGTTGCAAAGCATTGCTAGGTTGCACTCCTAATGCAAAACCTTCCTTCCTTCCCTCCTCCCCCGACGAGCCTGATCCATCTAAGTTTCTCTCCTTCCTGCAAAGTAAAGGAAGATGCCAACATGTTTTCTCTCCTGCTGCTGACTGAAACAGAGGCCAGACAGCTGCCTCTCACCCGTCAGTCCTGCTGGGGCTTTATGGAGGAAGAGAAGTAATGAATAGAGTCTCTTCTGAGCAGGTCAAGTCAAGCTTGGGCAAAGCCCAAGAGCTTTATTAACTACAAACCCTGAAATTCGGGATCCCCTCCAAACCGGTGCCAAAGTTTTGAGCTTGTTTTGCGCCATTTTGTGCCACAAACCCTGAGGTTCACACCAACCCTGGTTCCTGCATTGCAGCGGGTTGGACTGGATGACCCTCAGGGTCCCTTCCAACTCTACAATTCTATGAGCCGCCTCCCTGGGGACTCACGTTTTGTGCACACGATTCTGGGCCTGTCCCACGTCCCGTTGACGTGGCATTTGATGGTGGGCACGTGCCTCTGCAGGAAGCCTTCCTGGCACTGGTAGCGGACCGTGGCGTGGACGCTGTACTTCTCTCGCTTCTTGCCGATGGGGAAGGCGTTCTCCACCGTGGGGGGAGGACCACACAGCACTGGAGCGGAGAGTGCAAAAGGGCGGAGGAGGAGGCCGTGAGAAATGCCCTTCCTTTCACTTTTAATTTGTACGCCGCCTTCCCACATTACTAGGCACAAGGCGTCTTACAAACCGAAGAAAGAACAAAATTGAGAGAGGAAATGTTCCTGTGGTTGGTTTGTTAGGAACGTAAGAAGAGTCCTGCAGGATGAGGCCAAAGGTCTGTCCGTCCAATCACAGGCCTCCAGGAACCCATAAGCAGGGATAAAAGACACCAGACCTCTTTTAAGAGGAAGTGTGGTGTAGTGGTTGAAGTGTTGAGCCAGGAACAGGGAGGGATGAGGGTTCAAATCCCTGCTGAGTCTTGAGGCTCACGCTAGGTGACCCTGGGGGCTAGTTGCTGCCTCTCAGCCTAACCTAACTACTACTACTACTACTACTACTAAATAATATGCTGCCCATCCGACTGAGTTGCCTTAGCCACTCTGGGCAGTTTCCAGCAAAATATAAAAACAAAGTAAACCTTAAAACCTTCAGATGTCTTCTAAAAGTCAGATGTCAAGGAGATAAAGATCTCCTTGACATCTGATGGGAGGACATTCCACAGGGAGGGAGCCACCACTGAGAAGGCCAGGATGAATGGCAGGGGTGGAGATGCTCCTTTGGGGACACAGTGTGTTGGGGGGACAGCCCTCTGGCCTGTGAATTAGACCTTGGCGCTGCATATTTTGCCAGGAACAGATGCACTAATAATGATTTACCGCAACTGTTGAGAGTGAATTTCCGATTATTGAATACGTATTACTTTATTGGATATGTTACTGATATATATTTATTGCGGGTATATATGACTTATTTTAAAGTCATAGATAAGTAGATAGCAAATTTATCCTAGCAATACCACAAACATATCTGTGGAGAGCCTATAATGACTATTAACGCGCTAAGATACATACAAATGAAATGAAATTGCCAGCTCTCAGCCACCAACACCCCACAGAATCGGAAGCTTGTATTTCTTGGGTGAACAGCTTGTGGTTAATGCAATTTCTCAGATAAGGAATGGGGGGGCCTGGGCTTCAACCCTCCTAACGGCTTCATTTCCGAACACATTAATAAAGAGGAAATTGAGGTTGTCTGGGGAGAGGGCTTGAAGAGGGAAATGTTTCACCGCTGATGGCTTCCGTGGGTCGGGAAGCAAGGCAAATTAAGATCCCAGAGGGCTTGATTATGTGAAACTCGGCTTTAATTCTCTGCATTTCAAAAAAAATCAACAGCAGCAAATAGTCCCAAGACAGAAAAGGTGATGGGTTGTACAGCTGGGATTGCTCAGCTGGTTAGAGCACTGTGCTGATAATGTGAAGGTTGCAGGTTCGATCCCCATGCAGGACAGCTGCATATTCCTGCATTGCAGGAGGTTGGACTAGATGACCCTCAGGGTCCCTTCCAACTCCACAATTCAATGATTCTACGCTTCTAATATTCTCATATCCTCATTCCTGACCATTGAGCAGCGCTGCCTGCTGGGGTGGAGGTTGGAGTGGGATGGAGCCAGAGACATGACAGGCAGGACAAAGAGTCAATAACAGACAGGGGCCAGGCAGAAGCAATCCTAGAGAGGCAGTGTTGCATAGTGGTTAGAGTGCCAGACTAGGAGTTGGAAGAGACCAGAGTTCAAATCCCGACCCTCTTTCGGCCACGAAGCTCATATGTGCCATTCCCTGCCTCTCAGCCTAGCCAGTGTTCCCCAAACTTGGGTCTTTGGCTGTTTTTGGACTACAATGCCCATCATCCTAGTGGGTCAGGGATGATGGGAATTGTAGTCTGAAAACAGCCGGAGACCCAAGTTTGGGAAACACTGGCCTAACCTACCTCTCAGGGTTGCCGTGGGTGTTAAAGGAGTAGGGGAAGAACGTGATGCATTAGACCTGAGCTGCTTGGAGGAAAAACTGGAAACTCTGCCTTCCTCCCCTTACCTAATAAGAGACTGGGGGCGGGGCCTATCCACACGCCAATGGCCAATCAGGGAAAGGGGAGCGAGTTTACCTGTATCCTTTTTGCAGACGTAGGGCAGGTTGTAATTGCAAGGGACATCATTCCACTTCCCGGTCTCGTGGGACACCAGCACCACGCAGTCCTCACCGCCAGCGAAAAAGTTGTCCGGCTGGTTCTGGCGCCAGTTCTCGTATTGCTAGCCAACAGCAGAGGGCGACAAGGAGTTAGAAGCAGACAGAACAGGGGGTTGGGCTAGAGGACCCTTTAGGTCCCTTCCAACTCTGTGATTCTCTAATTCTAGAATACAAAGAGGCACAAAGAGGCACTCAGGGTGGGTGTCACCGTCACCACCAGGTAGGAGCCAAGCTCTCTGTTTCATTTTTGCTCAGCTTCTCTCTCTTTTTGTAAAATCTGAAGTGCCAGTTGCAAATTTAACAAGGAAAGGACAAAAGAGAAAGAGATAAAAACAAAATGAAAGAGAATCTTTTGTTTTGTTTTTAAATAATAATAATAATGTAATGTAACTTTGGAACTCCCTGCCAATTGACACCAGGCAGCCGACTTGGCTGTACCCTTTTCAGCAGCTGCTAAAAACATGTTTGCTTAGCAAAGCTGAAATGTTGACATATGTTTTAATCCTTTTTTTAAAAAAGCTTATGGTTGATTTTATTTTTTTCAAAGGTTTTAAATAGTTGCCTTTAACCAGCCCGTCCAGCTCAGCATTGCTCAGGGACAGCCGGTCTGGCTCCCCTGCCCTGTCCACCCACCCGCTGGGCTCACCAGTCCGGTGTTGTCCGTCCACTGGAAATCCTGCTCCACAATGCGGTCGTTCAAGCCAATCCATGTGTTCTCCTGTCCAAAGCCTGCATGGAAAACAAGGAGTGAGTGGACGCGGGGCGCAGAGGAGAAGGAGATCACGGCTGCTACCTGTGACGGCTACTTTCCACACCTGTAGGGAGTCAGTCTCCAAAGTGCCACTGACTGGGAATTGCAAGAGGGGTGCAATTGCTGCTGTCGTGCTCAGGATCTATTCGGGGGGGGGTCCCCATTGGGGTGAATCTGGCTGACGACCAGCGGCAGGCCTACATTCTGGGGGACCTGGAGCTTGAACTGCCATGGTGCACCTTTGCATCCAGCAACGAGGTCTAGGCAGCTGCGAGGGCTGGGTGATATATCGATATAACACCCCAAACAGGTTTGAAGTCCATATTGTGATACCAGTTCCATAATTTTTGACCTGGCAATATATCACGAATCATGATGTGTGTGCAATGCGAAAAGCTACCTGTTGCTTACTGTTGTAACCATTGTTTTCTCAAAACTTATCTTCTGCACCATGAAAATAATAATAAAAAGTACTGAAAATAAAAAATCACGATGCAGGGGAAACCGAGAAGCCAGCCTACGCCTCTCAATAGTTCAGTGTTCTGCCTTGGGATCCAACTCTACAATTCTGTCATGATGTTTGCTAGAGAGCAACACAGCAGAGAAGGTCTGTTTCCTCACATGCCCTGCCTGTGAAATTCCCATTGGTACACTGCTTGGAGATTGATTGATTGATTGATTGATTGATTGTTGATTGACCCATTTTTTAAAAAAAAGGAAATTGATTAAGCGATTTTAGAAATTTAGATTCTATGTGCTCTTAGGACATCAAATCAGGAAAGAGGCCTAGCTAGGCACCATATAAGAGGGGCTATAGACTCTGCTTCATATAATTTCAAAGGTAGAACAGTCTCTTTTCTATCTAAAGAATTTTTGTATAGCCAATGAGTTCCTCTGAGCATTGCTAGAAACATGGTCCCCATGTGCTTTTCTGCAGTTGATGTCCTTTGCTTTGATACTGGCCATTGACCGTAATAAAACGACTAGTACAGTGGTACCTCTGGTTGCGAACGGGATCCGTTCTGGAGCCCCGTTCGCAACATGAGCAGAACGCAAACCGCACCTGCGTGTGCGTGGGTCGAGATTCGCTGCTTCTGCACATGCGCGCGGCATCATTTTGAGCATCTGCGCATGCGCGAGCAGCAAAACCTGGAAGTAACCGTTTCTGGTACTTCCGGGTCGCCGCAGGATGCAACCTGAAAAGATTTAACCTGAAGCAAACATAACAAGAGGTATGACTGTACTTGATTAAGTGATTTATACATTCCTTTGAAAATAATTAAAGCAGGCTCTTGCTTGGGATTCTTCCCCCTGCCCGCCAGCCGTGGGGCACCTCCTTCTCTCCCACCCCTGGACTGCCAACCTACTGTTGATGAAGTTGTGCTCCTCCCATGAATGGATGCTGGTCAGGTGACCCGACCGGTGGCGGCAATCCCTCTCTGCGTCCTCCCAGGAGCGTCGGTGGGCGAAGTAGCGGTAGCAGTGGCCCTGGAACTTGTTCCAGTTGTGGTCGCATCCCTCCGTGTCTGAGTGGGAGAGAAAGGAGAGTGAGAATCGGCAGAGGAGCCCTGAGAGTTGACACTCGTCTAAGGCGAAGCGTGGGCACCCTGTGGGCAATTAGCAATTGGCAACGCTACACCCTGTGGAGGAGGGAGTGTGGGAAGAGGGGAAACTTCTTCTTCTTCTTTATTAAAATATGTATTATTATTAAATAAATTTAGCCGCGCTGATAAAAAGACAGTTGGAAAAATATGTATTAACAAAGCTGTATTCGATGGATGAAAGTATAAGATGTTTCACATAATTGAGAATTGTGGACTCGGGGACAAAGAATTAGGAAGCATTAAAACTGAGATGTGGAAAATATGGAAACAACGAGGAGAAGCACGACTAAGATATGGAGATTCGCTTCAGAGATCCAGACTGTGGGGAGCTCCGAAAAATTAATAAATATATTTTGGACTATAATTTGGTCTTTTTTATTTTAGTTTTTTATTTTAATTGGAGTATTATGATTGGATATATTAACTGGATTTTTTTATTGGAAAATCAATTAAAATGATTTAAAAAAAATATCAATTACATTTGACATTTGCAACAAATGTCAATTTCACCTCTTTATGCTGTAGGCTGGCTTCTGATGCACAAGGAAGGTGAGAAGCAGGGCAGGTGAGGGGGCGTGGCTTAGGGAGAAGGGGTGTGGCCTGTGGCCAGGAAGTATGGCCTGGAGAGAGGGGCTGAGGGCCATGTGCAGCCAGCCGTTTCTTAGGAAATGCAGGGAGTGTTGATTCCTTTATTGCCCTGTCTACTCAGAAGTAAGTCCCACTGTATTCAATAGAACTTACTCCCAGGCAACTGCGTCAAGACTGGGCAGCCTTACACTGCGACCCTAAGCATTTTTACTCATAACCAAGTACCATTAAGTTCAATAGGATTTACTGTCTGATCATTCTCACAGTTTCCATTATTATTATTATTATTATTATTATTACTACTACTACTACTACTACTACTAGTACTACTACTATTATTCTGCCTTTTTCCCTGACAGGGTCCCAGGGCAGCTTACTGCCAAAATCTTATTTCATTCCATTTATCTGTGGAAGGTGTTGATCCCTTCCCTCGCACATTTTCCCTGTACAACACAAGGTGACCAATGTCGATGTGCATATGACGTCTATGTTTGCAGCAAGATCAAACCATAGCTGTCAACTTTTTCCTTTTTTTAAGGGAAATTCCCTTATTCCGAATAGGATTCCTCGCAAGAAAAGGGAAAATTTGACAGCTATGGATCAAACACGGGAGAAGCTTCCTGTTGTAGAATAGGATGCCCCTATTTTCATGGAAGACACGCTGGGGCAGAGGGAAGGGGCTCCCCGCTCTCACCTCGGTCGCAGAGGCTGCCTCCGTAGCTGGGCAGGCAAAGGCAAACAAAGGAATTGATCTCATCGATGCAGGTCCCTCCGTTCTGGCAGGGGCTGGACAAGCAGTCGTCAATATCTGTATGGGAAGGAGGAAAGAGGAGACCAATATTGGAGGGGGGCTGGCCTTGAGAGAAGGGGCAGAGCCCCAGTGGCCATGCGTTTGTGGGTCCCACCTCTGGTCTAACTGCAACTTTAAAAACAAAGCTAAGGTCCTAGTCCTCATTATTGTGATTTTGAACAGCAACGCAGGGAGCTGCCTTCTACTGAGCGAGAGGGAGTGCAGCCTGATGGGTATCCTGTGAGGGCCACTCGGCGAGGCTGTGAGGGCCGCAATTGGGATCCTGGCCCTGAGGCACTCCACCCCTGATGTAAACCTCTGCCACCCTGAAGCTGCCTTTTGACTCTGACCATTGGTCCAGCCAGCCTGCGGCCATACAGATGGCCATCTGTCATGGATGCTTCAGTTTGGATTCCTGCATTGCAGGGGGATGGCCTAGATGACCTTTGGAGTCCCTTCCAACTCTACGGTTCTATGATTCTAAGACTCTAACAGATCCCACTGGTCTTGGGGAAAGAGAGGTCACTTCCTATCTTCTTGGCATAGAATCATAGAATTGTAGAGGGACCGTGAGGGTCATCGAGTCCAACAGAAATCTTTTGACCAACTGGGGCTCGAACCAATCTTGAGATTCAGAGTCTCATGCTCTGCTGACTGCTACCCCAGAGATCCTGTGAGCCACAGCAGCCTGGCAGGAGGGGTGTGTGTGTGGCCCGCCACACCTCTCCATCTGGCCCTTGAGGCCTCTCCCAGGCCACCCTCCTGTGGTTGCCACCTCCATGGACCGGGTTCCCTTTAGCCCTGGAAAGAGGCAGACCTCCTGCCCCTGTCTCGTGCGAAGTGCGTGAGCTTTCGCACGTCCGTCAGGTGTGCATGGGTGGCCCTGGATGTGCTGGTGCATCAGAAAAGCGGCATTGTGGCAGCCTTAATTCTCCTCTTTGGATGCAGCTGGCTGCCTCCTGTCAAAGCCCAGATGGGCTCTGAGCTCAAAGCTGCCCTTCAGATGCACATCCGCCTCCTCCTTCCTTGTGTTCACAGCCTCACACGGCATTTGATGAGACCATCAGGAGAGCCCGCAGGATCAGGCCAATGGCCCATCTGGTCCAGCAGCCTCTTCTATCCTGAATTTTCCAGCATGCAGCTTCAAAATCATGGAATCATAGAATTGTTGGAAGGGGCCACGAGGGTCATCTGGCCCACCCACCTGCTATGCAGGAATCTTTTGCCCTGACGCCTTTTCCCTCTGAAGGGACACCCTTCCTCAGAGTGGACCCACCGAAATTTAGCAGCATCAGCTGGGTGTCGCCTGGAAGATGGTGCAAGTTGGTTTACTCCTGCTCCACAGGGTAGGACTCGAACCCAGGACTTCAAGTTACAAGAAAGGAGATTCTAGCTAAGCATCAGGAAAAACTTTCTGTCAGTAAGAGCCATTCGAGGAAGGGTATTCCTCAGGCGTACCTTTAAGCAGAGGTTGGTTGGCCATCTGTCAGGGATGCTTTAGCTGAGATTCCTGCATTGCAAAGGGTTGGACTAGATGACTCTTGGGGTCCCTTCCAGCCAGTACCAGATTTACATATAAGCTAAACAAGCTATAGCTTAGCTCCCCACTCTCTTTGCCCCCCCAAAAAAACTAAATGAAAAAAAAACTGGATGTACATTTCCAAAATATAAAATAAAAAACAAATAAAATAAAACCTACGTACAGCAAGAGTGTTTTGTGTTGTGTAGGCTCCTATTTGTTATGTGCAAATGGCTTTAGATACCTATTAGGACCATAAATTACCACATAGCATATATTCAACACCAAAAACAGTGACAATTTGTTGATGACAAAGGACAGCTGGACATATAAAGGGCCCCTTTACCTTCAGGAGCTGAGGGCCTCATCAAACCTAAATCTGCCCCTGCTTCCAACTCTCCAATTCTATGATTTCGTTTGTACCCACTATCCCTACTGAAAAGCCCTCTTTTATCCATCTTTTGAGAGAGATGGGTCTTTCCTCCAGTGGTTAGAAAGTTGTCAGTCTGCAGCACCCGAGTTTGCTATTAGAGGAAGGTGACAATCACACACACAAACACACACAAACACACACGGTGGCTAAATGTGAGCAGATTTCGGGTTTGAGTCTCACATTGGGCAAAAGATTTCTGGGATGTGAAACACAAGAGCAGTCAAATACAACCTTCCTAGAGTGAACATGTTTACACATGGGGAGGAATGTTTGTCCAGCCAGCAGGTAAACTTCCTGTTTCCTTCTGGGCTGGGACAGACTTCCTCTGCATGTGACTAGAGGTGGGCGTGGCCTCACCTGTGCAGGCCTCACCTGTGCACAAAAGCACCGGGCAGGGCAGCCATCTCTCTCTCTCTCTGTGACTACATGCATTGAAGAAGCAACATCTGCTTAGCCAAAGATGCTCTCTTGGCCTCCAGTCAAGAGAGGACAAAGGGATAGTTTCCAGGTGTATGTTACTTTTCTAAGCTAAGTCTGCCTTCTAGGATCCGATTCTGAACAGAATGTGAGTAAACTCTTTTTATACTTTTAAAGAAGACTGTGTTGTGTCTTATCTTTTATGGGGGAATAAGGGGAAAATACCAGAACAGTTATTATAGAGGCTTTAGTGAGCCTGAGCAAACGCATCCGCTGTGAGTTTAAAAGGGGGAATGTTACTCTGCTAAAATTGTGAACTTGTTAACACAAGTTGGAAAGGCTATAATCAAACAATACTGTATTTTTCGCTCTATAACACGCACCTGACCATAACACGCACATAGTTTTTAGAGGAGGAAAACAAGAAAAAAAAATCTGAATGAAACAGTGGATGTATCATTTTGGTGCTTCATGCTGTGGCCACAGACATGTGATTTGACGGTGAGTTTGGGGTAGGCCAATGCAAAAATCCTGAGAATCCATGTGGATCTGTGCTTTGTAACCACAGCAACCAAAAACAGCTTTTACAACTTTGTAAACAAAGCAACTGAAAACAGAAGAGGGTGGGCAATAAGACCCTGAGGCAGAATGCAGGAAAGCAGCAGCCTCCTCTCTGCAGCGCGCGATCTGATTTTTGCCTGATTTTTGCCCCTGCACTCGGGCCAGTCGGCTCCAAGGACCACACATTCGCTCAATAACACACACAGACATTTCCCTTTACTTTTTAGGAGAAAAAATGTGAGTGTTATAGAGAGAAAAATACGGTATATCCTCTCCTGCATCCTTGAATATTCCCATAAGATTCATGCATTTCAGGGGGCTGGACCAGATGACCCTCCTGGTCCCCTTCCAACTCTTCTATGATTCTCGATCCTCCCTCCCCTAGCGCCCCTTCACCTATTTCGCAGTTCTCTCCCGTGAACCCCCGGGGGCAGCTGCAGGTGGAGAGGTTTCCGCTGGACTGGCAGGTGCCCCCATGCAAACAGGGGTCGTTGTCGCAGGGGTCAGTTTCCGCTGCAAGGAGAGTGGGGGGGAGGAGAGGAGACAGGGAGGAAAGCAGTAAGATCAGACAATCCCAAATTCTGCGCCTCTGTAAAATCAGGATGCAAAAGGAGAAACATCTCTGCATAATCTCGCTTTGCATAATCCACTCTGCTTCTGCTAATCGCCAAATAGGGGGGAAAGGTGCATATTATTACTCTGAACACTGAGTTTCCGCATACAGAGCCCAGTATTCATCAGGCATTGTCTTTTCAAGCAAAGCTTAAGGAGACTGGAATTTCCCAGTAGGATCATACCAAAGGCAGACCCAGTATCCCTATTTTCCAGGGATGTCCCTATTTCCATCTGAGAAGGGTTGGAAGGTATGGAGTTATGTGACCTCCGAACAAAGGAGATGAGTTAACTACCAGTAAGCAACCTTTTGAAGACATCTGAAAGCAGCCCTGGATAGGAAAGTTTTTAATGTTTGCTTTTTAATGTTTTTATATATACTGGAAGCTGCGCAGAGTGGCTGGGGCAACCCAGCCCCACAGGCAAAGTATATTATTATTATTAAGGTAAAGGGTAAAGGGACCCCTGACCATTAGGTCCAGTCATGACCGACTCTGGGGTTGCGGCGCTCATCTCACTTTACTGGCCAAGGGAGCCGGCGTACAGCTTCCGGGTCATGTGGCCAGCAGGACTAAGCCGCTTCTGGTGAACCACAGCAGCGCACGGAAACGCCGTTTACCTTCCCGCCGGAGCCGTACCTATTTATCTACTTGCACTTTGACGTGCTTTCGAATTGCTAGGTGGGCAGGAGCAGGGACCGAGCAACGGGAGCTCAGCCCGTCACAGGGATTCAAACCGCCAACCTTCTGATCGGCAAGCCCTAGGCTCTGTGGTTTAGCCCACAGCGCCATCCACGTCCTATTATTATTATTATTATTATTATTATTATTACTGACATCCTTTTTTTCATTGGAGGCATGTCGGAGGGTATGCCATTGGCCTGATCTAGCAGACTCTTCTTAGGTCTGTAAATCAGCCGGTCATAATGACCCGTTCTAACGAGGCAGCTTGTACCATTTAATCCCCATTTAACGATTTCCACACTCCTCGCTTGGCTCGGAAATCGTGGGACTCAGCCAATAAATCAGGGGTCCTGGAAGCCGACTGATAGTCCCCCTGCATCTCCCCTTGTGCTGGAAACATGTTCGGGGGGCCAAAGAGGGGTATCCCCTCCCTCCTACAATTGGCGAGGCCCCTCTTTCAAACGGTCTCCGGGGAAACAGGTCAGCAATCCTCTTTTTCAACAAAGCTGGAGAGAAGGACCCGTGTGGGTGTTTGAGCAGTTGGCAGGAATCGCAGGCGTCGTGATCACCTCTCTGAAGCGAAGGCTGCGTGTTGAAAGCACCTTTCATCTTCCGAGTGGCACTTAAACAGCTGGAGAGAGCCAGGCTCCCTCTCTGCACATTCCAGCACAAGAAATAACCATTAAAAAGCCATTGGCGCAGGAGCCGCACTCTTATCTGAAGAAGATGCCTTCAGTAGAGTCAGCCTATTGATTCTCAGGCAGCCCACAGTGGGGGCGAGGGGGGACCTTTTCATGCCTGAGCCCCACATTCTCTCCAGGCTCCCAGGATGTTTCCCAGCACAATCCAAAGTGTTGGTGCTGACATTTAAAGCCTTCAACAGCCTCGGCCCTGTAGACCTGAAGGAACGTCTCCACCCCCATCGTTCAGCCCGGACACTGAGGTCCATCTCCGAGGGCCTTCTGGCCGTTCCCTCACTGCAAGAAGTGAAGCTACCGGGAACCAGGCAGAGGGCCTTCTCGGTGGTGGCGCCCTCCCTATGGAATGCCACTTTCTGACTTTTAGAAGACATCAGAAGGCAGCCCTGTATTGGGAAGGGTTTGAGGTTTTATTATGCTTTTGCATATGCTGGAAGCCAACCAGTCAGCAATGCTTCTTTACCCCTGATACGGAAGGGGGGGGGCATGTCTTCTTCTTCACCTTCTTCGCTACAATATATCCATTTATTTCCAATTGCCAATGTCAAAAGGGACTAAAATCTATAAAATTCATAGAAAATCAACTTGCCAATTTGCTCAATTTCTCTAGGACTCCATGACACCTCCCCTGCCCTCCATAATCCCTCAAGCAAGGTGTCAAGACCCTAATCCTGTCAAATCGCTCTGCCAAGCCCTTCCTCCGGGCGATGCCAGGTGACAGACTATGCATACATGGACCATTGTCTTCTCAGGATGTGCTTATCTGAGCATATCTCCAGCTCTGCATATTCCCCCCTCCCTCCTCCATATGTTAATCCGGTGTAACCCAACCTCTTCCTAATGTATTCGTGATGTAATCTGTGTAACCCAACCTCTTCTTAATGTATTCATGATGTAACTGGGATGTATTTTTGCACTGTATTCTGGGACATGGAGGGAAATTTCAAAAGTTCATGTCACCCCTTTCTCGCTGTTCAATCTCGCCTTGAACCTGTTGCGCAATAAACTCGGATCTCCTGGAACTTGCTCCTGTCTCCGGCTGAGCTCATTTTCTTCCGCAGGGACCCGCGGACTTAGTCCGACGAGCAGGGTGGCAGAGTAACCCTGCACCCAGATTTTACCGTAACACCCCTGTTTCTGGAAACTGTAGGAGGAGAGAGGACTCCTGTGCTCAGATCCTGATTGCGAGTTTCCCACAGGCATCTGGTCAGTCACTGAGAGAACAGGAAGCTGGACTAAATGAGCCACTGGCCTCGTCTAGCTCATTCTTCTCTTCTTATGTGATGAATGCAGCAGGGGCTCTGCCACTCAGCTACAGCCATTTCCTTCAAAAATAAATCAAGATTCCAGCCCCCATTGTTCTGAATCACAGGCTGTGTGCTCTTGTGCTCAGGCCCTGCTTGGGGATTTCCTGTGGGGACTGCCCACTGTGAGGACAGGATGCCACTGGCCTGATCCATACTTTCCAACATTTTTCCGATGAAAATCAGGGAAATTGTATTCCATGCCTTCCAACATTTTTCTGATGGCAATAAGGATGTCCTAAGGGACGTGGCTGGCGCTGTGGGTTAAACCACAGAGCCTAGGACTTGCCGATCAGAAGGTCGGCGGTTCGAATCCCCGCAACGGGGTGAGCTCCCATTTCTTGGTCCCTGCTCCTGCCAACCTAGCAGTTCGAAAGCACATCAAAGTGCAAATAGATAAATAGGTACCGCTCTGACAGGAAGGTAAACGGCGTTTCCGTGCACTGCTCTGGTTCGCCAGAAGCGGCTTAGTCATGCTGGCCACATGACCTGGAAGCTGTACGCCGGCTCCCTCGGCCAGTAAAGTGAAATGAGCAACCCCAGAGTCGGACACGACTGGACCTAATGGTCTGGGGTCTCTTTACCTTTAAGGAAAAAGAGGCCACTCCAGAATCAGAAAGCAGGACACCTTCTGTAAATCTGGGACTGTCCCTGGGAGAGAGGGGCACTTGGAGGGTATTAATGTTCTCACATTAATAATTCTCCTTTGCTGTTACTGAACTTTGTCTGTGTGTCTGGGTGCGCCAGTGTGCTGAGGATATTATTTTCGCTGGAGATATTATTTTTCCACGTCCATTTGTAGCCCCGGGAGCACTGTTTAATATTAACTCGGTTGGTTTTTAAATTCCTGCCTCTGTGTTCTTCCCCCACCCCTCCAAAAGTCTATTTGCTTTCCCCATTCCTTCGCGAAAGACTTCAAAGGCTGCGCAGCAAAGCCTTTGCCGCCAGGACTCTTCCACGCCGACTCTTCTGATGAGCGAAGGCGGGTGATGAATATTGGATTGGAAGCTTCCCTAAGGGGTGTGTGGAGAGCTTGGGGTGGCAGGGAGGGAGGAAATAAAGAAATCAAAGGTGGTTCCTGACAGCCCATACAGCCCCTCCAAGTGCCCCTATTTTCCAGGGACAGTCCTGGACTTACAGAAGCCACCCCTGTTTCGGATTTGAAAAGGTCCCGCTTTTCCTTAGGACGTCCCTAGTTTCATCCAAGAAATGTTGGAGGGTCTGGAGTTATGTGACCCCTGAGCCAAGGAGGTAAGTAACTAGACAACCTTTAGGAGACATCTGAAGGCAGCCCTGCATAGGGACGTTTTAAAATGTTTAATGTTTTATTATGTTTTTATATACGTTGGAAGCTGCCCAGAGAGGCTGGGACAACCCAGTCAGATGGACAGGGTATAAATAATAAAATTATTGCGACTATTATTATAGAATAGAATGTCCGTATTTTCATTGGAGAAATGTTGGAGAAATGTTCTGCCCCCCCCCACTCCATCTCGTCCTCACAACAGCCCTGTGAGGTAGGTTTGGAAGAGCAGCAGCAACTGGCTCTCAGGGTCACTCAGTGGGCTTCTTGGCTGGGCAGGAACTTGAACCCGGGTCTCCCCCAGGTCTAACCACTACTGCACATTACTGTCTTTTATGTGAACTGCTTGGGGGTTTTGCAGGGGGTTGGACTAGATGACCCTTGTGGCCCCACCCATCACTATGATTCTATGATATTTGCCAGGCTTAAAAAGATAAAGGGACCCCTGACTGTTAGGTCCAGTCGGGGACGACTCTGAGGTTGCGGCGCTCATCTCGCTTTATTGGCCGAGGGAGCCGGCGTATAGCTTCCAGGTCATGTGGCCAGCATGACTAAGCCGCTTCTGGCGAACTAGAGCAGCGCACGGAAACGCCGTTTAGCTTCCCGCTGGAGTGGTACCTATTTATCTACTTGCACTCTGATGTGCTTTCGAACTGCTAGGTTGGCAGGGGCGGGGATTCGAACCGCCGACCTTCTGATCTGCAAACCCTAAGCTCTGTGGTTTAGACCACAGCGCCACCCGTGTGCCAAGCTTACCAGCTTTCAAAAGCCCCAGCACCTCCCTCACCTGCCCAAATGTTTTCTGGGTAGCAAGAAACTCACCAAGCACGGTGGCATTGACCTCTCCGATCCACGCCAGGCCCTCCACCTCCTTGGCTGCAGACACGTCGCCTCCTTTCTCCTCTCCACTCCCCCCGTCAGACTCCATCGGAAGGATCTGCCCCGGGGCGGTGGGGAGGTAGCTCTCGCTCTCTTTCCCAGTTATCACGCCATCGCTGGGATAAACAGGCAGCTCAGAGGTGTCGAAATTGTGGTGCGCAGGTTCTGATGTGCTCCAGGGAGGCGAGGGAGACTCAGGCGTCCCCCGAGATGTCAAGTCCTCGCCGTCTTCTGATCCTTTCGGAAGGAACCCAGGAGGGGTCAAATCACGGGTTGTACTGTGGCTGGGAGTTCCAGTGGTGCCTTTGCCTTGCTGGGGGCCAGAGCTACTCCCGACCAAGCTGACGGCTTCTGGGACTGGGGATCGGCCTGCCATGCCATCATCAAAGTGACCACTCATGCTCGGAGTTATGACCTCCCAGCGGTCTTCTGCTTTGGACAGATTCAGGACCTCGGTGACGGCAGGTCCGTCCACCAGCCCTGAGCTCACCCTCCCTTTGATTTCCATTGTGGCGGCTTCCTCGCCCCCCACCGCCCCCCAAGCATCGGCCTCCCCGGAAATCAGCCGTGCCACTACCAGGTAGTCATTGGCGGCCATGGGGGAAGGGATGTCCTCTGCTGGGAGGGTGACAGCTTCTTCTCCTCTCAGCTCAGCCAGTGCCACCTCCGAATGCTGGGTGGTTTCTTGCAGGACGGGGTCTTGTCCTGCTGTGTCTTCCTGTTTCTCTGATCGTTCTAGAACCACCCTGGGCAAGTGTTGCCCAGCTTCCTCCAAGCCAGGGAGCTCGTCTGCAAAACTCACGGCCTTGGCATGCCCTTCTCGGAAGTCGTAATCGGACTCTCCACTCGCCTCATCAGCCCGGGACTCATTCTTCAGAGGAGTCGTTGGCGTGACGTCGCCGTTTCCAGAGAAGATCTCCTCGTTCTCCCCAGGCTGAGTGATCCCTTGAGGGTAGTCTCCCCGGATGCTGGTACCCATGAGAGAGCCTTCCAGAGCATCGTCTGTTGTCATGGCAACTGCCTCCAGACGGTGCAATGGCCCATTGGGTGTGGCTGGCGTGGATGCATCCGGGTGCTCATCATGAGTTGGCCGTTCCTGGCTCTCTGGCACAGAGGCTTCCTCGTGTCCCTGGGTGGTCTTCTCAGCACTGGGGTCCTCCAGGAAGTCCGAAGCAGGGGAGAAGGTCATTTCTGGGTGGCCTTGATGCTCAGGTGGTGCTAACCCTGCGAGCAAAGACAGGGGATAGAAATTTATAAAATTATGCATTGATAGAAGAAAGCTAAGGGTTTCTGGGAAATGATGTACAATGAATTGAAAAAGATATTTAAATTGACCGTTCCTGAAAAACCCAAAGCCTTTTTATTGGGGATAATAGAACAGAGGTTCCCAAAAAGCTGACCAACCTTTTTATGTATGCGACAATTGCAGCTAGAACTTTATATGCACAGAAATGGAAAGGCAAAGAGATTCCAACTAAGGAAGAATGATTTATAAAACTGGTGGACTGTGCAGAAATGGTGAAACTGACTGCTAAAATAAGAGGACAAAAGGATGATGTTTTCATAGAAGAATGAAGGCCATTGGCGGACTACCTATCAAATTATCTTCCTTATATGAAATCATATGCAGGATTTGGGATATGAGCAATGGAAAAATAGAGAATGGATTTTGGGGGGTTAGAAAATAAATGCAGGTGTGTTCTAATGCAGCTGTTAAGGGGGAATAAAAAAAACTAGGGAAGGAGGGATGGGAAGTCAAGAAGAAAACGAGCAGCAAAAAACCACGATATATGTGATTGCAGTTCTGTAATAATTTGGAAGATTTAATTGTCTGGGCAGCCCAGGACCTCCAGACATACTGCCCAGGCTTGCGCCCCGGGGAGGTTTGACTTCACCCCTGGAGGCACACTCCATTGTCTCTCAAGAAATGGATGCCAGCAACAGCAGTGTGCTATTATTATTATTATTATTATTATTATTATTATTATTATTATTATTATCATATTATGTCCTTAATGCCGCACCCCACCATGGGATCTTTGGATAAAGGGTGGTATATAAATTGAACAAGTAAATAAAATCTTAAGACATATGCATAATCAAAAAAAGGAGAATAAATAGAACACACCAAATTTCCCCCACTGAACATGGCCTCTTCCTTTTTGACCTTCTCTGCTTCCCCCTGCCGCACGCCAGCCACCCGTTTGTCCGTGGTACAGTCACAAAAGGCTCCCGCCACGATTGATGCAAGGGAGCGTTCTGGAGTGGTTGCCGTGGCAACTGCCTCCTCATTAGCAGGCTGCTCCTGGCTGCTGAGGTCCTCTTCTGCTCCAGGGGGCGGGGATTAAGAGATAGCATCCTTAGAGGGGGTTTTTTGGTTGTTGTTCCTATGCACCACAGGTGCAGGTGATGGAGCCCTCAGACCCAGGGGTACAACGTGACCCCCCAATTCTCTCTTCTGGGCTCACACACCCTGCCGGCCCCCCCTCCAAGTGCCCCTATTTTCTTGGTTGCCCAGAGTAGCTGGGGCAGCCCAGTCAGTGGGTGGGGTATTAATTATTATTATTATTATTATTATTATTATTGAATAGAACAGGGATCAGCAACCTTTTTCAGCAGGGGGCCGGTCCACTGTCCCTCAGACCTTGTGGAGGGCCGGACTATATTTTGAAAAAAATATATGAACAAATTCCTATGCCCCACAAATAACCCAGAGATAAAATAATAAAAGCACACATTCTACTCATGTAAAAACACCAGGCAGGCCCCACAAATAACCCAGAGATGCATTTTCAATAAAAGGACATATTCTACTCATGTAAAAACACGCTGATTCCTGGACCATCCGTGGGCCGGATTTAGAAGGCGATTGGGCTGCATCCGGCCCCCGGGCCTTAGTTTGCCTACCCATGGAATAGCATGTCCCTCTTTTCATCAGAGAAATTGGGGGGGGGGGGGAGGTGCAGCTGCCCTGACAGCTTCTGCCTGACTGGGTAAGTGTCCTCAAACTCTGATGATGCCTTTTGCTCAGGAACCGAGAATTGTGTGTGTGTGTCTGAAATAGTTACAAACAACAACAACAAAAAAGTCTGATTGTTGCATGGCTGGTATCAAATAATCCTAGAGTTGGCAAGTCCCCTGAGGTTCATCTAGTCCCTCAGCAAAAGCGGCCGACTTCACAAAGGTAAAAATGAGCCCACGGTTGCCAAGCCTGGTTCTTTTGCCTCTGGCTCCTCCATCAACCACCTGGCCCTCAGGAGGTTTCGGAGAAAGAGAGAGCAGCAGCCTCTGGAGTGGAAACGCTTCTGCTGAATGGTGGGAGATGAGCCCTATGGAACTCCCTTCCACAAGATGGCCGCAGCCCCGGACAGCTATAAAAGAGGGTTAAAAGAATTCCTGGAGGAGAGGGCCTGGTGGCCAGACTCCACCTCCACAGCTGCAGGCAGAGATGCTTCCGAAGTCCCAGTTGCTGAAACTGAAGGAGTGGAGGAGACTCTTGAGTCCTGCTTGGGGGGCTTCCCATTTGGGATATCTGGCTGGACAGGATGCTGCACTAGATAAGTCTCCTTTGCAGATGTGTCTCACCCCTTTTTCAAGCCACCAATAACAAGAATCAGTTCTGAAACAATCACACAGGCAGCTGGAGCAGTATTCCCTCCTGCGCGTGGCTTGCCCAGCAAAGGACTTGAATCGAGGGAATCTTTCATACCCCTGATTTGGAAGGGCTATAAAACCTCCTGGCTCAGGGTTGGAGCTGTGTTTGGAGACAGACAACCTCACTGGTCTCTAAGGTGCTACTGAACAATTTTTTATTTTTTAAATTAATTTCGACTGCCTCAGACCAACACGGCTATCTACATACGTGACTTTAGAATCATTGCAAGGTGTGAGACTTTCCTGAATGCTCCCCGCTTGATTTCTCTCTTTCCCTTTCTGATCCTAGAGAATTTCGCCCTTCTCACCTAGACCATTTCCCACACATCTTGACTTCCCACCCTGACTTCTCGCTGCCGGGCTACTTTCTCTTAATTTGAGAGCCATCGCCTGGGACAATCTGGCAAATTCTCCACATAACCCTGAGTGTCAAAATTATGCATATTTGCAAAATAACTCCGCCTGCAGAGACCACACACACATACATACGCTTCCTCCTTAATTGGCTTTAAGGCTTTTTTTCTGAGCGGAAATTATGCATAAGTGCATCCCATCAAGATGCAAACATGCGCTAATTGGCATAGAATGCCCACTTTGTGCCTGTGGATTGCGGGCGTTTTGAAGGTGATGGCAGGTCTTTTGGGGGGGGAGAGAGGGAGGAGGAAATGACAGGCTCAGCAATGGGAGCTTCTGGGGTGATAAAGGGTAGGCAGAGGGCAAGGCAGATGATGGGGAGTCTTGACTATTATGGGATGCCTCCACAGAAGCTAATAACATTTCAGCCCTGCGAAATTGAACATGGGGGATTCATCAGGTGGATATATTATGAGCAGTCTTCCTGAATTACTATAAATTAGCGCAGTGCCACAAATGTTTCATTTAAGGGTGTCAGAAGGCAGGATAAGGCCAGTAGCCCACCCAGCTTTAGAATCATAGAGTTGTTGAGTTGGAAGGGACCCTGAGGGTCTCACCCCAGAAATGATCTCTTTCAGCTTCTGCCTTCTGGAAGAAGGTACAGGGTTATAAAGACTAGGACTAGCCGTCTGAGAACCCATTTCTATTCAAATGCAATTTTGGTTTTAAACGCAGTGTAAGGTAGTCTCTGTGGGAGTATATTGTATTTAATTACGGGGTATCAGAGTTTTTTGGGGGGCTAACCAGGCTGGGATAGCAGGCTTGTTGGTTTTTGAATGTCTGATGTAGATTCTTTCAATTTCGTTGCTCTGGATGGGACAGTGACAATAAAGATTATCATATCATATCGTATCCATGCAGGAATCTCAGCTAAAGCATCCATGACAGGCTGCCTTCCAACATCCTGTCCTCATGGTGGCCACCCAGTTGCCCCAAAGGGAAGCCCACAGATAGGATGTGAGAGCAAATAGTCTTCACCCATTCTTGTTCTCCACTGCTCTGTGGTAGACCAGCTCTGCCCATGGAGGCTCCATTTAGGAAGCGTAAGAAACTAAGAAGAGCCCTGCAGCCGTCGGATCAGGCCAAAGCATTCTGTTAGTCCAGCATCCTGTTATCATAGCAGCCAACCAAATGTCCAGTGGGAAATCCCCCAGGACCCAGCACAAGAGCCCTTTGCCCCCCTGCAGGTTCTGCTTTTGCAGGAGAAAGGGGCTGTGGTGAAAGGGGATGACAGATTTTAAGCATGCATTGGCATTATCACAGGTTCTTCCTGCCCTGGGGGTCAAGGCGGCATAGGTTTACCCCTGGGGTAGATCAGGCCAAGAGAGCAACAGAGAGAGGATAACCTGGTGAGAGACAGAGTGGGGTAGCAGCTAGGGGGTCGGGCTAGGACCCCCTCAGCCATGGAAGCTCCCTGGGCAATCTTGAGGGATAATAATAATAACAAATTTTATTTATACCCTGCCCTCCCCGGACAGAGCCGGGCTCAGGGCGGCTAACACCAGTAAAATTACAGTAAAAACATAATGGGAGGGGCAATTTAAAATACAGGTTAAAACGCAATTTAAAATGCAGCCTCATTTTAAAAGTAGCTGATAAATCAAGACCATAAGGGGAGGGAAACATAAGGGTCAGACTGAGTCCAAACCAAAGGCCAGGCGGAACAGCTCTGTCTTGCAGGCCCTGCGGAAAGATGTCAAGTCCCGCAGGGCCCTGGTCCCTTGTGACAGAGCGTTCCACCAAGTGGGGGCCAGTACTGAAAAGGCCCTGGCCCTAGTTGAGACCACCTTGCGACTTGGGACCTCCAGAGTGTTGTCAGTTATGGTCCTTAAGGTCCTCCGCGGGGCAGACCAGGAGAGGCAGTCCCATAGGTACGTGGGTACGTGATGATGATTTGTACCCCACCTATCTGGTTTGCCCCAGCCACCCTGGGCAGCTTCCTCACAGGGCTGCTGTGAGGTGGCAAGGATGAACCATGCACACGTCACCTCAAATGTGACTCATTGCACCTTCAGAGCACAAGCTCTGGGTTTGACTGAAATGAAAACAGATCTGGAGATTCGCTTACCATTCCCTTCCACTTCGTTGGAGAAGGCGTAGATTACCCCGCCCCGTAGAGCAGAGGCAGGGCTCGGCGCCTCCCTCGCGGTGGCCTCGATGGAGTTGTCTGCCATCGTGCGCACTGCCAGCGCCAGGACAGAGAGCGTCGTGGGCACCGCGGTGCCGTCTCCCCCGTCAATGCTCGGCTGGCTGCCGCCACTGTCTCCTTCTCCCTCTCGCCGTCTCTGGAAGTAGCGCCCGTTCAGCCCGGAGTAAATGCTCTTTCGGGTAGATTCGGGGAGGCCAGCAGGAGCCGGAGGAGCCTCGGTGCCAAAGGGGTGACCTCCGTGAGGCACCGGGGGGAGGGCTGAGGTCGGATGCCCCTTGGGGATGTGGGTCCGGAACGGGGGCTGGGGGCTGAGTGAGCTGCTCCCTTCTGCGGTTCCATGCAGCCAAGTTGGAGAGGTTGGACGGGCAACGTCCTCAGGTGGTAAGCCATCGTCAAAGTCTTCCGGAGGAGGGGACTTGGTGATGGTTTGACCGGCTTTGTCCGACTCTTTGCCAACGGTCATCTCGCCATGCTCCTTCATCTCACCAACCGGAGCTTGGTCAGCTGTATCCAATGGATGTCCACCGTCTGCCCCACCAGGGATGGAGACGGTGAATGGTCTTGTAGATGCAGGACCTTCCAAATCCAAGGGGGTTGCCTTTGGGGCTGGTGCCGCCCTCTCCTCCCACGGATCCACAGACCCAGCCGGGAAAGCTGTCACCAGCTGGAGTTGCTCGTCTTCCTCCAGGAAAGGGACGGCGGCCTTCTGCGAGGGAGCGTAGGGATCCTTTGAGAGCTCTTTCGAGTCTCCCGACATGACAGCGTCGTCGTTCTCCTTGGGGAAAAGCTCATTCAGCAGCAGCAAGTGGGAGTCGTGCTCCACCAAGACGTTCTCGATGCCTGGATCCTGGCTCCCCTCAGAGTCCTGATCCATGGGCTCCCGAGCCACCTGGCCATGGTCGACCCCCAATGTGGCTGGGCCTGGTTTTGTGGGCGGCTGCCAAGCTGGAAGGAGAAGTAGAGATGTATTAGACCGCTTGGGTTTCAGGCTGACCTTTACGCCGTGCTTTTTTTTCCTGGAAAACAGGTGGGGGAACTCATCACAAAGTTTGTTTTTTTGTTGTGGGTCCAGGTGCAGTGCCACCCCCAACCCCCAGGCAGCGGCTAAATGTAAGATGTGATTAATGAACTCAGCAGACAAATACAGTGGTACCTCGGTTGAAGAACATTCAGTTTACGAACTATTCGGTTTACGAACTCTGCAAAACCGGAAGTGGTGTCCCGGTTTGCAAACTTTATCTTGGTCTAAGAACTTTCCCAGAGCCTTAAAATGTTTCATCTTCCTAGCCATAATCTCCTGCCCTCTGAGGCATTTAGTACATAAGAACTGCCGTCCTGGGTCAGGCCCCAAGACCAGTGGCCATCAGATGCTCCAATGGGAAGCCCACAAGTGGGGATGGAGGCGACAGCCACCTCAGAACCCTCCGGTAACAGGTAGATTGTTCCTGAACGTGGAGGTTTCATGTGAGAACAGAAGAATGTAAGGAAAGCCTGTTGGACCATGCCATTGGCCCATCTAGTCCAGCGGCCTCTTCTCTCAGCGGCCACCAGATGCCTGTGGGGAACCAGCAAGCAGGATCTGACCACAAGAGCAGGACTCTCCCTTCCTGCAGTTCCAGAAACTCGTATTCAGAAGCATTCCGGCCTCCAGTTGTGGAGGCAGAGCCGAGCCGCTGTGGCTGGTAGCCATTGATAGCCCTCTGCTTCTCCAGTCCTCTTTTAAAGGCATCCAAATTGGTGGCCAGTGCTGCCTCCAGTGGGAAGGAGTTCCACAGGCTAACTCTGTGCTGTGTGAATAAACCTTTCCTTTTATCTGCCCTGAAACTTTCAACATTCAGCTTCACTGGATGCCCATGAGTTCGAGTGGTAGGAGAGAGGGAGAAAAGTTCTCCACTTTCTCCATGCCATGCAGAATTCTCCCTCTCCAAATTGATTCTTGCGTTGCAGAGGGTTGGACTAGATGACCCTTGGGGGTCCCTTTCAACTCTACGATTCTGATTCCATACCGCCTGTTAATTAGCTGTGAGAACAGGCAAGGAGAGAGGTGGAGAATAGGAAAGACCTGGATTTACGATGCTCACACACTCCAATGAAAGAAGATTCCACCTAAACATTAGGAAGAACTTCCTGACAGTAAGAGCTGTTCGACAGTGGAATTTGCTGCCAAGGAGTGTGGTGGAGTCTCCTTCTTTGGAGGTCTTTAAGCAGAGGCTTGACAACCATATGTCAGGAGTGCTCTGATGGTGTTTCCTGCTTGGCAGGGGGTTGGACTCGATGGCCCTTGTGGTCTCTTCCAACTCTATGATTCTATGATCCTGCCCCCCCCCTCCAGCCCCGGTTGGCTCCCCCCCATGATACTGCTGCTATACAAGTACAGGCACTTTGTTTTATTAAAAGGAAGGGAGTTTGGAAATGCCATTTTATGCTCTGCCTCATGCCAAGGGTGGGCTCATAAATCAGCCGGCATCGCCAAAGGCAACTTCTGCAGTCGCTTGGGCCGACGAGAAGAAAATTGCATCCCACCGTCCCCTGACCACTTCCCAGCTCCAAGTGCGTCTGGAATGATTGCACCTTAAATTGTGTCACCTCAGAGAGGAGGGGCTGCAGGGAGCGGGGAGACGGTGGGCTGCGGGAGGGGCCTGGCAATCCCATTGCAGCACGCAGGATTTGAGCGTGGGAATAAATAAATAAATAATAAATTATTTATACCCTGCCCTTCCCAGTTCAGGAAACCGGGCTCAGGGCGGCTAACAACAAATTTAAAACACTTAATTGATGCTACAGAAAACAGCATAAAATACGGTATAAAACATAAATAACAATAAAATCAAAAATCAATTTAGGGGGGAAATCCATCCAATAAACATTAGATGATCACCAGGGCTAGCTGGCTAAATTAGTCCTATTTGGGCCAGCGAGGAGACCAGGGGAGAATTAGCTGTGGGATCCCAGAGCGGGGAATCTTCATAAAAAGGGGAAGGGGAGGGGGAGGGAAGGAAAGGGAACAAAAAATCAGGCCAGGTTCAAATTGAAAGCCAGGTGGAATAGTTCTGTCTTACAGGCCCTGCAGAAGGAGGTTAAATCTTGCAGGGCTCTGGTCTCATGGGACAGAGCATTCCACCAGGTCGGAGCCATCACTGAGAAGGCCCTGGCCCTGGTAGAGGATAGTCTGACTTCCTTAGGGCCCGGGACCTCTAAACAATGGTTATCCATGGACCTTAAGGTCCTCTGTGGGCAGACCAGGAGAGGTGGTCCTGTAAGTATGGGAAGTCTCTGCCTTCTCCCATCCCCTGTCTAGCAAAAGGGTTTTCATAAAATTACTCCGCTGGGAGTAGTTTGGGCTGGGGGTTCACTGATATGCGGATGATACCCAGCTCTACCTCTCCTTTAAATCAGAACCAGTGAAGGCAGTGAAGTGCCTGGGGGCAGTTGAAGGATGGATGGCAGTCAACAGATTGAGGTTGAATCCCAGCAAGACAGAAGTTTTGTTTCTGGGGGACAGGGGGCGGGCAGGTGGGGGGGGGACTCCCTGGTCTTGAATGGGGTAACTGTGCCCCTGAAGGACCAGGTGCGCAGCCTGGGAGTCATTTTGGACTCACAGCTGTCCATAGAGGCGCATGTCAATTCTGTGTCCAAGGCAGCTGTCTACCAGCGCCATCTGAGACCCTGCATACCTGCTCCCAGTCTTGCCAGAGTGGTGAGTGCCCTGGTTATCTCCTGCTTGGACTACTGCAATGCGCTCTACCTGGGGCTACCTTGGAAGGTGACTTGGAAACGGCAGCTAATCCAGAAGGCAACAGCCAGACTGGTGACTAAGAGTGGCTGCTGGGACCATAGAACACTGGTCCTGAAAGACCTATATTGGCTCCCAGTATGTTTCCGAGCATAATTCAGAGTGTTGGTGCTAACCTTGAAAGCCCTAAATGGCCTCAGCCCTGTATACTTGAAGGAACATCTCCACCCCCATCGTCCAGCCCAGACACTGCTGCATCTTTTGGGAGTGAAAAGTGTGTGGGCAAGGGCCAGCTTCCGTCTGCCCTGAATATCCTTCAAGCACCATCATTTCATTGGAAGGAGGGAAATGAAACAATGCCGAAATGACGACAGAGTTTTCAACAAAGAGCAAATCCTCTGTGCTGTATTTTACATATAGTATTTGCATTTCCACTGCTCTGTGTTTCGATTTTTCTTAGCTTTGGTCACAGCTTGCTGCGGGAAAAGCGCCATAAAACTTAAACTCAACCAATTGACCCAACCTTTGTAGCAGTAGGCATCAAACTTGGAAGCTGGATCTGGGAAGCCCGTCCGGTTTGAGAACTGGTAGACTGTCCGGACGCCAGGCTCGTCCCCTCCGCACTTCTTCCGCGGGATCCGGATAGGGTAGCGGACGCTTCCGTCAGCCAGCCATCCTGGGTCGCACTGGTCCAGCCCTTCTCTCCAAGCGAGGTACAGCTGCCCTGCAGTCGCCAGCCGAGCACCTCGACTCAGGCAGTGCTTTTGAGCCGTCTGAAACGTCAGCCGTCCGGGGCTGGAGGCATAGAACACCTTTCCTGAAAGCAGGGAATGAAAAAAGGTTCAAATTGCATTGCTATTTCGTATGCACACCACTTGACTGCCCCCCCCAAATCCCCTCAAACAAACCACTCAAAGCGGTTTGCAGAAACTTAAAGCAATAAAGTTATCAGGAAAACAGTTTGAAACATACTATTATTATACAATGCAGAGGAAATATGATGGGAATTAGTGGAGGTAAAGCTAATTATTATTAACAACAACAATTTGAGGTTCCCTCTTGGACTTTTTGTTGGGAGAAGAAGTGAGTGATGCAGTGACACTTTGACTAAAAAGAAATGTGGTTTAACAGAAATTGGAGAAGTTGAACTGAGTCCTTTTTCTAATGTAAAGTAGCAGGAGGAGAACAGAAGCAACCCCTTTTTGTCTTTGGTGTTTCTTATCTCTCTCTCTTCTCCCCTCCTCTTTTTTCCTTTCCTTTCTTGTTCTCTTTCTCTTTTCCCGCTCTTTCTAGAACCTTGGTTTTTGACTTGTTCAATTTAAATCCTGCCACTTGACCAAATTCTTGAATCAGTTCTAAAACCCTTTTAGTACTAGATTCTGGCTCCTGTAACGTCAATACTAAGTCATCTGCAAATGCTCTCAATTTATAGGGTTTAGTTCCGACCTGTATACCTTTAACCATCTGGTCCCTTCTAATCATATTCAACAGAACCTCCAGGACTGAGATAAAAAGAAGTGGGCATCATCGAGTCCAGCTCCCAGCAATGTCGAAACATGAAGCTGTCCAATGTGGGGATCAAACCCACGACCCTGGTGTTACCAGCACCATGCTCTAACCGAGTGGTTACTGGCAGGTTTGCTGCTCTGGTCTCCTTTGGGAATCATAGAATCACAGAACTGTAGAGTTGGAAGGGACACAAGCATCATCTAGCCCATCCCTCTGCAATGCAGGAATGAATGAATTTTATTATTACGGTCACAGACCAGTTCCGGCTCACTTACAATATCAGGAAAATCATAAAACACAACAGGAATACATTGAATTGCAATTGGGTATAACAGAGACAATACAGCAGCAGCTAAAAATATATATTAAATCTTGATCACTGAAATACAACCTAAAATTGTCATTTAAAACCTTAATCATTTTGGTAGTACAGCTTGTTCCCTAAGTTTTATGTCGCACAGAATTTGGCCACCCTGAGCGTGATCTCTAGATCCTTGTCCTCTACCAGGAGTTTTAGACATTGAAGTTCAGACCCATTTGGAGATTTTTGTATAACAGGAGTGATAAATACCGAGCGTATATCCCCGTAGAAACGGCAGCGTAACAAGACATGAGAGACAGTTTCTACCTCCATCAAGTTGCAGAGGCAGACTCGTTCCACGTATGGTTTACCCTCGAATCTGCCCTGCAATAAGGCAGATGGTAGCACGTTGAATCTAGCGAGGGTAAATGACCGTCTGTATTTGGGTATTTGTAATTTTGATAAATAATTTGCTGGGGTAAATCCTCTCCCATTATCTTTTATTGCTGGGTGTTTATTCATCTTGCTCATGTGGCATTGCAGTTCCATATCCCAAATTTGTTGGTGGATTATTGCTCTAGCTTTCTCATAACCTACAGCCATCAGGGCCTGTGGGGAAGCAATGCAGGAATCACAGCTAATGGAGACAGCTTTCTCCTCCTTGAATAGGTCCAATCCTCTGTTAAAGCCACCCAGGTTGGTGGCCATGACTGCTTCCTGTGGCAGGGAGTTCCAGAGTTTAACTCTGTATTGCATGAAGAAGTCCTTTCTTTTCATCTGTCTGGAATCTCACAATATTCAGCTTCATTGGATTCCCACGAGTTCTTCAGGCCACGAGGGAGGGAAAAGAAGCTCCTCTCCATCTACTCTCTCTCTCTCATCATTTTACAAACTTCTCTCCCGTCTCTCTCGTTCGCTTTTTCTTGGAACTTAAAAGTCCCAAACACTGCAGCCTTTCCGGAGTCGCTCCATCCCCTTGATCATTTTGGCTGGCAGCAAAGTTGCCCAGGGTGGGGGTCCAGCGTGACCCCCGCCTTCACCCTCGGCCTTGACTGAGCTTCAGAGAGGCTTCTGCCAGACTCTGAGGTTCCTGTGTTTCTTAAACAACCATCATTACTTAAGGAACAAAGCCAAGACAGGATAAGTTACCCTTTTGTTCGATTGTTCCCTTTCTCCAGCGGAGACAAAGAGGAACTCGAGCGTGGCCGATTTATCAAAGCGATGCCTGCTTGCGACTCCCCCTCCGGGATCTCGGGAGAAGCCTGCGATGGTTTTTTGATGGTGCCTTTCATTTCATTAGCAAAGCTGTCTGGGGCTGTTGAAATGGGCCGTTTCTGCTCATCGTGACTGAGGATCAACCCCAGGCAACGATCCATCAGCGCTCCCTCGGGTTTGCGTCTGTGTTTTATTTCTAAACAGACTGAGGATTAAAATCTTCTCGGGCTGTTTTCAGAAACACCGCTTGGCTGTCTGGGAACCTTTCTTCTTGACATCCACAAGGCAGAAAATGTCCCAAAACAAAGCAAAACTGGGCTTCAGTGTTTGATAAAGGGAGCTGCAGGTTACAGCCTCTTGGCAAATGCTGGATTAAGGGGTAGTGGTGAATCCAGACCCTCCAACATTTCTCCAATGAAAATAGGGACGCCCTAAGGAAAAGCATGACATTCCGGGATCAAATAAGAAACAGGGACAGCTTCTGTAAATCCGGGGCTGTCCCTGGAAAACAGGGACACTGGGAGGGTCTGTGAATCAGAAGGTGGAATCTGCAGATAAGTCTGGGGTTTGCATTGCAATCACTGGGGCGGTGGACTGGAGTTGTGGGGTGCTACTTCCTATTGCTATACTTGCTTGCGATGAGGACGTAAGAGAAACCTGCTGGATCAGGCCCAAAGGGGGCCATCAGGTCCATGCATGCTTATTTTTGAATTATTATTGTTATGCAAGAATCTTTTGCCCAATGTGGGGCTTGAACCCATGACCCTGATTTTAAGAGTCACATGATCTATCAACTGAGCTATCCCAGGAATAGCCTGCTTCCCTTTAGGAAGGTTATTTGGCATAAACACAGAACTGTAGAGTTGAAGGGACCCTGAGGGTCATCCAGTCCCACCCCCTGCAATGCAGGAATATGCAGCTGTCCCATACAGGGATTGAACCTGCAACCTTGGTGTTATCAGCACCATGGTCTAATGCTTTGGCTCTCTCTTTCTTTCTCTCTCTCACACACATTTCTTCTTGAAGGAGAAATCTGGACCCATAAATTTATTTCTCTTGCATGATGCCAGAAGTTAGCACTGAAGAGACAGCGGTGGTCTAGTGGTTAGAGTGTCAGACTAGTAACGGAGAAGCCAAGGTTCACATCTCCACTCAGCACCTGAAGCTCACTGGGTGACCTTGGGCCTGCCACTGCCTCTCAGCCTAGCCTACCTGACTGGGTTGTTCTTGGGGCGAGAGAACTACACATGCCGCTTTGAGCTGCTAGGAGAAAAGGTATGTTATGAATGCACAAAAGAAATAATGGTAAATGAATAAGGTGTCAACCCACTGAAAACAATGAGCACGACTGCTCTGGGCAGGATTAGCTGGGAGCAACCCCAAGTAAGATTCTAGGCCTCATGGTTTTCAGGCATAATGGGCATGGTTATCTTAGAGGTCCATTAACTTCAATGGGGCTTGCTCCGGGGAGAACTCGCTGGCAACAATGCTCTGCACCCATTGCTTGACCAAGAAACTGCATTGCAAAATTCAGAGAAGTCCGGATTTCAAAGGACGGTTGTGGTTCTGTTTCGCCCTCTGCCCCGTTTGCACGGGCCGTACTCACCCCGAAGCTCCTTCGAGTAGCAGTAGACATCGTAGGCCTCCCCGGCGTCCCGCTCCCCATAGCTCCGGACTCCCGGGAGCGTGTTGCGATCCCCGTAGCAGCCAGGCCTCGAGAGGGTGATGGGGTACCTGTGCCAGGAAGGAGCAGGGGGAGCGTTGGATGGGAGGGAAGACGGAAGGGGAGCACTGCAAGCCAGGATTCTCCCAGAATCCTTTGCCAAAGGAAAAGAGCTGGTTGGATGGAGGTCCAGCAGCTGGAATGCCTTTGAAGGGAGGGGGGAAGAACAGAGCAGGGGGGCAACCCAGGGAGAAGAGGGGGAGGGGGAAATGGGGGTGGGAGGCAGGACAGGGAGCCCACCTTGGTATCAGCACGTATCACAATTACTCAGCAAAGGGTCCCTATTTGTTTTCCCCAGCCCCCCTCTTGGAAGCTACGAAGGAAAGGCAGACTCTCCAATGTTTCTCCAATGAAAATAGGGACATCCTATTTTCCTGTTCGGGGAAGTTTTTAATGTGTGATGTTGTATTGTGGTTTTACGTCTCCTTTTTTTGTGGAGAGCTGCTCAGAGTGGCTGGGGCAACCCAGTCAGATGGGTGGCATAATATGTTGGAAGCTTCCAACATATATAAAAAGATAATAAAACATTAAATGTTAAACAAATTCCCTATACAGTGGACGCTCGGGTTGCGAACATGATCCGTGCGGGATGCACATTCGCAACCTGCAGAGTTCGCAACCCGCGTCTGCACACACGCGGGTTGCGATTTGGCACTTCTGCACATGCAAAAAGCACCATTTAGTGCTTCTGCGCATGTGCGACCGCCGAAACCCGGAAGTAACCCATTCCGGTACTTCCAGGTTTTGGCGGCCTGCAACCCCAAAAAACGCAACCTGAAGCGTCTGTAACCTGAGGTAGGACTGTAAAAGGTCTGCCTTCAGATGTCTTCTAAGGTTGTGATTTACTTATCTCCTTGGCTTGGGGGTTGCATAACTCCAGACCCTCCAACATTTCTTGGATGAAAAGAGGGACGTCGTAAGGAAAAGCGGGACATTCCGGGATCAAATCAGAAACCGAAACAGCTTCCTTAAATCCAGAACTGTCCATGGAATATAGGCACACCTGGAGGGTCTGGAAAGGTTGCATCTTAGAACCAGAGCTTTATTAGACTGTTTCTCATTTAGACTGCTGTAAGAAAATGAGAAGAGCGTCTGCTGGATCAGAGGGCCACCTTGTCCAGCTTGCTGCTCTCCCAGGGGCCAACCAGGGGTCCCAATGGGAACGTCATAAGGAGGATCTGAGAACAGCAGTGAAACTCCCCTCTTGCCGTTTCCAGGAACAGGGATTCAAAGATAGACTGCCTCTGATGCTGGAGGTGATGTAGCTGCCTTGTTTATTTTTATTTTTTAATTTATTAATCCATTTATTTAATGGACCTATTTATTAAATGGATCTACCGCTTGGGGGTTTTTTCTGTTAAAAAGTAACAACCTCAAAGCAGTTTACAAAAAGAATGAAGCAATCAGAAGAAAACAAAACCCTCAAAAAACTAAAGCACATCAGTGGTTGAGATATCTGGGCAGACTTGCCTAACCAAAAATGTTTTAAGCAAAAAGGCACCTGCCCGATATCAAGAGTTCCAAAGTGTAGAAGCCACCTACGGGTAGCTACTGACAACCAAGGAATTTTTATATTCCTTCCCCCCTTTAAAGCTGTCCCAAATTGGGGGGCAAACTGACGTATTAACCGGGGGCAGTATTGAGACAGAAAATCAGGGTTGCTCCTTATAAATCAGAGAACAGTGGCAGATGCCTTCTCCATGTACCTGACGGTGCGGTCAGAGAGCCACCCTGCGTCGCAGTTGTCATAGCCATCCTCGAAGGCCACTTGGAGGTGGTCAGGGGAAGCAATGATGGCCGAGTTCTCCTCGCATGCCTTCTGGGCCTTTGGGAAGGTCAGCGCGTAGCGGTTGCTGGCAGCTCGGTAGTGGAAAACCACACCTGGGCGGGCAAGGAAATGGGCACAAGAGGGTGTAAAATTCCTAGGCACCTATCCTGAGGACCTTCGTGGCATTGCTCGCTTTATATTTTTCACTTCCTTCTAAGAGCTGGTTTCAATACCCTTTAGCAGGCAGGCAGAGCAAGAGCCAGCAGTAAATCATACTCTTCAAGTTGGAGTTAACTCTTTGTTAGCAAAAACACGATCTGCACAGACTTGGCTGAGCATCAGGCCTAATCAGCACAGCCGCTCATCCCCAATAGGTCTTCTCCCATGAAGCAGTTGCCGAGACTGAAGGTCCCTGCCCCCCACAGCCGTCTAAGTCCTCTCCTTTCCAGCACTTTCCCCAAGCAATCAGAGACTATGCCTGCATGCAGCCAACCTCTCCTCCTTTCTTTTCATGCCTCTCCTCATTCACCAGCCTGACCCATCTCTGTCTCTTGGCCTCCCTCCTCTTCTCCTGCTTCAGCTTCTGCCTCTGATTCTGGACTTCCCTCTGCCACAGACTCTCCCCACTCACTAAGTCCTGTTACCTCTTCAGTTCCTGACACCTCCTTCTCCCAGGCTTCTCCTTCTTCTCCCTCTGACCACTCATTGCTGTCCCACCACCCCTCCCTGGGCTCTGAGCCTTCTTCCCTTGGGGGTTCCCCAGCTGGTTCCTCCCACCATGATTCTGCATCCAACCAGTCCATGACATCAGACCCCTTGAGGAACTGTGGAGGCGCCATTACTGAAAAGGCCCTGTTCGCTGAAGAGACCAGCCTCGTTTCAAACAAGCAAGACCAGGACCAAAACTCCCTCTTAAGAATCCGCTGCTACTGGGAAAAGTTAAATCTTTCAGCAGAGAATATTCATTTGGACGATATACGTGTTGTATGGAAATTAACAACGGGACAATGGAAATGGATTCTATGCGCCCTAATGGTGGCCAAGAGACTGAAACTGATGAATTAGAAAAACAAAGATAGGATATCGCTTAATCAATGGATTGACAATATGACAATACTTGCAACTTATGAATGGACTGCTTACAGACATAGACTTTGTTTGGACAAATATGACAACATTTGGAATATGTTTTTACAGAATGTAGTAGGGTATTAACATCTAACATAGATATTAGGATAATAACACCATATCAATTTATATAAAAATCTATGGGAGTATATTACTTTGGATTCTAGTTTCTCTCTTTTTCTTGTATTTGTTCTCCCCCCTCACTTTCCCCCCTTTGCATCACTTTATTTCCTTATACCGGTAATTGAAATTCTTTCAATACAAGTATTATTATTATTATTGAGAATGCACTACTACTGCAGATGCTTCTCACCTGTGACTTCCAGAGGCACCAGGTCCTGCTCGTCGTGGATCCCGGCCACCACCTCGCAACGGTAGAGCCCGGCGTCGCTGGCTCGGGCGGCTGAGAGCAGCAGAGTGGCATTGTGGCGCCAGGAGGGGTACCCAGGCAGAGAGACCCTCCCCTCGTAGCCTTTGGAAACCTTCACCACGTTGTCCTTGGCCACCAGAATGGGGACATCCTCCGGCTGCCCCGAGGCCGACTGGACCTTGCTCCACTTGATCCGAGGGGGGTCAGGAGGCGCGTTGGGCCCAAGGGAGGCGGGCAGCTGCAGGAGGAAGAGGCAGGGCAGGGCAACGGGCTCCGCCAGGCCAACCCGGAGAGGCTGGTGGTGGACTTTGTTGATGTGGATCACCTTCGCATTGTCTTGGGAGCCTGCAAGGAAAAGATGGGTTTGTTTTGTGGCTCCCAGCAATAGCCCTGCAAGGAAGGTGAGGCTGGGAGAGGCAGTGACTGGTCCGCAAGGTCACCCTGCAGGCTGAGGAGATTTCACCCCTCCCATATCCAAGAATCTCCTGAGGAGTCTGCTGATTCTCCAGAGAGGAGGAGGAGGCGTGTTCTGCTCTCTACTTATTCTGATCCAGCACCAAGTCAGTCAGTCAGTCAGTGTCAGAGAGAGAGAGAGACTGAGTGTTAGAGATCGTGTGTAGAGATAAGGTTGCTGCTAAGAGCAGCTGCAGACACTCAGTGCAGTGCAGCATTCATTTATGCTTAGACCTATTTAGCTCTGTATACCGTTGTATAATAGTTGTAGATAGAATAAAGAAGATATTCTACAGAGCTGCTCTCCGAGTTGTTTATATACTCTGCTAGAGTCTGCTGTACTTTGCTATGCGACAACTGTCTTCTTGTGGAAGTGAATCCGGTGCTCACAACTCTAAGCTGTGAGTCCACAGCACTTTGACCTGTTCCTGTGCAGAAGGTGGTCTCTGGAAGTGCTACCCAGCTCGCCTAGCCCAGTCGGGGCTGAAGTGGATGAGTCCAGTTGGTGGCACTGGCTCAAGGGCGATGCTGACACAGGCTTTGTGGCTGAGTGGGGATTCAAACCCTGCTCTCTCCCAGCTCTTGGTCCTCATCTAGTCCCTACAACAGCCCTGAGAGGTAGGTTGGGCTGGGAGAGGCAGGTCACCCTAACCCCAAGCTTCATGGGACAGCGGGGATTCGAACCCTGGTCTCCCAGTTCCTAGTCCAATGCTCTAACAATTATACCTTGCTGGCTCCAGCTAAGTCATACTTGGAACAGGTCAGCTAAAATCAATAGGTTTTTGGACTCCCTTTTGAAAACCAATTTGGAAATTACAAAAGAAGTCAAAATTTAAATAAATATATAAAAGTAGAAAATTTCTCATTACAACCCTGCTAGTGATGTTAATTGCTTACAATTTTGTAATGAGTGTAATTAGAATTGGAAAATGTACAAATGCAATGATATAAAGGTTAATTTTGAAAGCCATGAGGCGGGAGGAAAGGAAGTTGATAGGCTCTAAAGAGCCAGGGACGTAGAGTGGGTTGTAATGATGTGAACGTATATTATTAAATGGAAATAAATAAAAATTATATATAAAAAAGAAAAGAAAAAGAAAACCAATTTGGTATTTTGTAACAAAAAGATATTTTCACCTGCATGGTACTTTGATGTATTTGCTGCCTGCATTGAAATGTAAGTAAAGTTTTTTTGCTTTCTGTTACTAAAATGTGTGGTGCATTCTTAGCAACAGGGACAGAGAAAGGAAGATGAGCAGACCACAAATAGAGGGGTAAAAAGGCACAATTGCCTAATTCCTTGCTTCCATCAAGCTGCAAAAGCACACAAGTGTTTTTACTGTGCTAAAAGGGCTTCACAGCCTGTCTGGCTCATTTGGTTAGAGCATGATGCTGATAATGCCAAGGTTGCAGGTTCAATCCCTGTATGGGGCAGCTGCATATTTCTGCATTGCAGAGGGTTGGACTAGATGATCCTCAGGGTCCCTTTCCAGCTCAACAGTGCTATTATTCTACTCTCATATTTCTCCCACCCACAGGAGGTTTAAATTTTAATTTGCAGATTTAATCCTCAATCCATCCCCATCAATCTGGAGGGATGTTGGCTTTCACACTCCCAAGAAAAGGCATTCCCCACACCGCCTGGAGGACAGAGGGCCAGAGAAGGCTGCCTTAACTGGTCACAGAAGGGAATTTTTTGCAGCAGTGAAAAGCACCGCTCTGTGGACTTTGCAACCGGTGAAATTAATCATCTCCGTGGCTGCGACGGACACCCTTGCTCACTCTGAGCATTGATTTTCTGCTGCAGCCAGCTGGACCCAATTATAGGATGAGGGGGAGGGTAGCCAGGAAGGGTGGAGGGAGTTAAAAAAGAGGGAGGAGAAGAAACAAAAGGAAATTGAATGTATAGTCCTGAAGCCAAGATGAACCAGAGAGCTTGGCTCTCTGGGACCATCCAGTTTCCCCCTGCCCTTTTTTCAAGCAATAAGGGCAGCTCAGTAGCCTGTTTTCCAAAGCCCAGGCTAGGAAGCTGAAACTGCACTCCAGGGATTCTCACATGCATCCTGACACTCGGCTGCTAGGTGCCCCATCCAGGAAAGGGAGGGCTGTCCAGTGCAGTGGTTAGCACGGCTCCAGATCTCCTGCAAATTTCCTCCATGGCAATTAAGGATGCGTCATTCCGCAGTGTGGTTAACTAATCTTAACTTTTTGATGGTTTTATTGTGTGGGGTTTTTATTGTTGTAAACAGTTTGTGTGTGTGTGTGTGAGAGAGAGAGAGAGAGAGAGAGAGAGAGAGAGAGAGCAGTATACAAACACTTTTATAAACAAAAACATAGTAAGTGGTTTAGCCTTCTATGAGAATGCAAGAAGAGCTCTGCTGGATCAGGCCTAAGGGGCCCCATCTAATCCAGCATCCTATCATAGAAACATAGAATTGTGCAGTTGGCAGGGCCCCCCAAGGGTCATCTAGTCCAACCCCCCTGCAATTCAGGAATCACAACAGCAAGGCAGGTTGGGCTGAAAGAGACCCAAGTGGTTTTCGGCAAGCCAGACCATTCCTTACCCTCCAAGTGCCCCCATTTTCCAGGGACAGTCCCGGAATTACAGAAGCCATCCCGGTTTCTTATTTGATCCCAGAATGTCCCGGTTTCCCTTTTCCTCCATGTCTCAGAGGACAATTAAAAGTGGTTTGCGTGTAGGTGCAGAAACAGAGTCCTGTTTCTACAGAAAATGAAATCACTGAGCTAAATGAAGGAAACGGTGAAGCTGGCATACGAAGCCCTTTCTATATTTTTGGAAGAAAATGTCACCAATCCACTTTAAATTCTTTAATTGCAAGGCTTCTGCAGCCAGCCATTTCCTAGGAAACGTGGGGAGTGTTGAATCCTTTATTGCAAATTGAGCCGTGCCCTGTCTACTCAGAAGTAAGCCCCATTGTATTCAACAGAGCTTACTCCCAGGTAACTTAGTCAAGACTGGGCTGCCTTACACTGTGATCCTAAGCATTTTCGCTCAGAACTAAGTCCCTCTGAGTTTAATAGGATTTTCTGTCTAGCATGTTCCCGATCATTCTCAGTTTCTTCTATTATTATTATTATTATTATATCCTGCTTTTTTCCCTGACAGGGACTCAAGGCAGCTCAAATCCTATATCCTATTTCCTGCCATTTATCTGTGGAAGGTGTTGCACACAATCCCTTCCTTTACAAATTTTTCCTTCACAACAACCTTGTGAGGCAGGTTCAGCGGAGAGGTTGGAGTTGGCTCAAGGTGACCAATGTTGATGTGCCCACGAGGTCTACGTGTGCAGGAGAAGCTTGCTGATGTAAAATGTTGTTGTTTAGTCGTGTTCGCCTCTTCATGACCCCCTGGACCAGAGCATGCCAGGCACTCTTGCCTTCCACTGCCTCTGGCAGTTTGGTCAAACTCATGCTGGTAGCTTCCAGAACACTGTCCCACCATCTCGTCCTCTGTCGTCCCCTTCTCCTTGCGCCCTCCATCTTTCCCCACATCAGGGTCTTTTCCAGGGAGTCTTCTTTTCTCATGAGGTGGCCAAAGTATTGGAGCCTCAGCTTCACGATCTGTCCTTCCAGCACTCTGGACTGATTTCCTTAAGAATGGAGAGGTTTGATCTTCTTGCAGTCCATGGGACTCTCAAGAGTCTCCTCCAGCACCATAATTCAAAAGCGTCAATTCTTCGGCAAAGCCACTTCCGGCCTGCCCAGGAGGTGGGGTTGCGGGCTTCACGCCCACCCCCCACGTGAGCGGGGGCTGGTTTCAGCCCCCGCGAGAGCAGGGGAATCCTGGCCGTGTCTGCCCTATTTAGGGCCAGCGCAGAGGGGGCTCACCCTCTTTTCGCCAGCTAGCCCCCACGTTTTCCCGCCCTCCCTCCCTTTAGGTAGGCTTTAGGTAGGTCTCTGACTTTGCTATGGACTTCGGTCTGTCGCCGCATGGGGCATGGTAGGAATTTTTCCCAATTGGCAATTTACAGCCATTTGGTTTTCGCCTACCTCGTAGCAACTCGTCACAACTCTTCGGCATTGGCGGTAGGCATTGGTAAGAAGGGGTTAAGAGGATGGGGGGGAGGAACGCCATCACCTCCCCCCAGTGAGCGAAGGGTGGTCCGTTAAAGGACTCCGGGGGGCGTGGCCCTGTCCGAAGCCTATGGAGGTGTGGGCCAAAGGCACGCCCCCGAGCGGTGACCCGGGGGAGCTCCTAGTCGATGTGCCTCGGCGGGAGACTCCCCCGATATAGTGTTAACCCTTCCCCGTGTCTCCAGCAAATGGGCTGGAGCCGGATAGTCGTTAGGACCAATGCCTAAGCCAATGCCTCTCATTCCTGAATTCAATAAAGTTGTGGCCTAATTCGCCCATTTAACCTTAAACCATGGTGTCTCGTGTCTTTATTTATCCTGGTGGGGGGCGGGAACTCGCCACGCAATCAGCCTTCTTGATGGTCCAGCTCTCACTTCCATACATCACTACTGGGAAAACCATGGCTTTAACTATACGGACCTTTGTTGGCAAGGTGATGTCTCTGCTTTTTAAGATGCTGTCTAGGTTTGTCATTGCTTTTCTCCCAAGAAGCAGGCGTCTTTTCATTTCGTGACTGCTGTCACCATCTGCAGCGATCATGGGTGTCCCTATTTTCATCAGAGAAATGTTGGAGGGCATTGCCTGGTTCATCTGCCTCAGTGTCATCTGCGCTGCCCTGAGATGCTGTGAGCTACTTCCCTTCCCCAAGTCCTCACTGCTCAGAGAGGCATCACAACATAACCCTGTTGTCTTTAGCGTGGGGAGGATAAATGTCAGACCAGGAAGTCAGAATTTTGGCCCAGATATTGGATCTGTTCAGCCACAGAATGGCAGAAATGGGGGTGGGGGGAGGTGAAACACCCTGCCTGACACAACTTGGCAGAGGAATTGAGATTCTTTTTTTCCTATTTTCCTGTGCATCATTCCTTATTCATGCCTGTCTTCCAGTTACCATTAATACTTAATTACCCGTACATTATTTGATGCTTATGGCTGGCAGGTCGTTTGCAGCTTGTTTGTTTACAGTGGGTTGCGGGGGGGGGGGGGGGTTAGGAGGGGACAGAAAACAGATCCCAGATTCTTGCCTGCAACTACAAGGTTTTCCCAAACCCAGGCTTCTTCTCCCAAACAGGATCTTGTCCCTAAGATCTCTCCTAGGAAGAAAAGCTGCAGCAGCATTTGGGACTCTTTGGATTAGGCTTGTAAGAGGCGACTTGATAGACATTTATAAAATTGTGCAAGGTGTAGAGGAAGTGGACAGAGGAAACTGGAACTCATAACACTAGAACCAGGCCGTCCCAGTGTCCCTATTTTTACTGGAGAAATGTTGGAGGGTCTGGAGTTATGCAACCCACAAGGCAAGGAGATAAGTAACTAGACAACTTGAAGGCAGCCCTGCAGAAGGAAGTTTTTTAACGGTTAATGTTTCATTGTGTTTTTATATATGTTGGGAGCCACCCAGTCTGGGGTAACCCAGTCAGATGAGCAGGGTATAATAAAATTATTGTTATATTGAATTATTATTAATTATTATTATTATTATTATTATTGTTATATACGACATTCCTATCATGGATGTTTTAGCAGAAATTCCTGCATTGCAGAGGGTTGGCCTAGATGACCCTCAGAGGTCCCTTCCAACTGTATGATTCTACTATTGTACGATTCTGTTTTCATCAGAGAAATGTTGGAGGGTATATAAGATCTCTCTTTGGAGGAAAAGCTTCTGCAGTGTTTGGGGCTTTTTAGCTTAAAGTAAAGGTGAATAAGGGGTAACAGGATAGAAATTTATAAAATTCTGCATAGCAGCCGTAGAGGAAACTAGAACTCATAACCCTAGAACTCGTGAACATCCAATGAAGGTGAACGTTGGAAGATTTAGGGCAGAGGAAAGAAAGCAGCCAAGAGTTGCATTGTGCATGGCAGGGAGAGAGCGGGTGGAGAAAAGCCTTTCTCCAAGAGTGGAACTCGAAAGCTGAACGTTGGGGAGTCAGGACGGATAAAGAAAGAACTTCTTCATACGGCACAACTATGGAACTCCCTGCCACAGGAGGCGGCAAGGCTACCACCAACTGGGATGGCTTTAAAAGAGGAGGGGATAAACTCAGGTAGCAAAGGGCTATTGGTGGCTCTGCTCTGCCTCCACTGTTGGGGCAGCCGTGCTTCTGAATCCCAGTTGCTGCAAACCATGGGACGGGACTGGGCTCCTGTGCCTGGCTCCTGTTTGTGGGCTCCCCTTTGGGGCCCCTGCTTGGCCACTGCGAGAGCCGGAGGCTGGGCGAGAGGGACCATTGCCCTGATCCAGCAGCCAGGCTTTTCTCATGCTCTCGTGGAGCCTCTAAGCCCAGAGGCAGTCTATCTCTATCCCCAGGTTCTTAAGGGTACTTGGCCTGATCTGGCTGCCACTCCTTATCTTCTTGCCTTACAGACCAGAAGGAGCAAGATGCATGTATTGCAGCCCACGAACAGTGTTCCGTCTAGGTCAGGGGTCAGCAACCTTTTTCAGCAGGGGGCCGGTCTGCCATCCCTCAGACCATGTTGCAGGCTGGACTATATTTTTTGGGGGGGATGAACGAATTCCTATGCCCCGCAAATAACCCAGAGATGCATTTTAAATAAAAGGACACATTCTACTCATGTAAAAACACGCTGATTCCCAGACTGTCCGCGTGCTGGATTGAGAAGGTGATTGGGCCGGATCTGGCTCCCGGGCCTTAGGTTGCCTACCCCTGGCCTAGGTGCTCACAAGTAAGCTGGCAAGCAATGCCTGAAGGAAGCAGCTTCCCTTTCTTCTTCTTTTTGGCCACAGATCCCAGATTTGGAGGGAGTGGGAAGCCTTCCTACTTGTTGCTAGAAGTCCAGAGCTTCTCCCAGAAGCCCCCCCACCCCACCGCAGGTGACATTCAGAAATAGGCTGCTCCTGGAAAGGGAAGTTCCATTTAGCTGCCCTGATTAAGTTAACAGGTGACAAACAGAGTCAGACTCTTAGAAGAGCAGTTCTTGATTGTGCAAATGAATGCCACATCTAATAAATGCATTTTTAGGGCAGTGGGAAGAGAAAGAGAAATGAAATTGTCCAATTTCATTTTATTTTTTTAAAAATACTGCTTAATGTCCTGTTCCTCACCACATCTAAGCAGAACTTACCCACAACAGAGAAAGGCAGGAGCAGATATCCAAGCAGGACCCAACAGCCAGCATCATCCATTAAATGGACCATCCTTAATCTGGAATAACAACAACAACAACAAATCTTATTGATCCTCATCTTTTTATTATTATTACATTTATACCCCATCTTCCCTCCCAGGAGCTCAAGGGGCTGTACAGATGGGCAGGGTATAAATGATAAAATTATTGTTATTATTATTACATTGTTCTCCTGCTCCCTGTTTTATTCTCGCAACGACCCCGTGAGCTAGGCCAGGCTGGGAGACTGTGGCTGGACGCGCGTTGACTGGGGAGCTCTCCGATAAAAGTGAATGTGGTCGCTCTCCCCAACTCCTTTGATTTCATCCTCATGCCAAACCCACAAGGTAGGCCAGACGGAGAGACAGTGATACCCCTCCCCAAGTTCCACATGGTGAGTTGGGGTTTTAAAAACTGGTCTCCCAGGTCCTGATCTAACTACTACTCCACACTCCCCCCAAAGCATGTCACTATGCTTGTTAGCGCACAGGGAAGTAGAGTCAACGGAGGCCTAAGCTCAGCCTCTGCCTGCCTGCCTGCCTGCCATCCTACCAAAAACCACTCTATGGGGTGACCCTCGCTGCCATCTTCCCCCTCTTCTGCCTCCGTTTACCCTAAGCAGAACTCAGGAGGTACCTATCTCAGATCCACCTACCTCTGTGTTGCTTTTTGAGGTCCCTCCCTCTCTCTAGATATATCTCACATCCATTTCTCTATATAGCTGCCCAAGATCTATCTATCTAGAGCTGTATATAATTTAATAAATAATAGTGGTAATAATAGTCATGCATTGCAGAGGGTTGGACTAGATGACCCTCAGGGTCTCCTCCAACTCTGCAATACTATTCTGCCTGTCTATTTCCCTTCCTATCTCTCCATCAATCTACTTATTTATCTAATCACGCTCTCTCTCTCTGTCTCTCTCTCTCTCCGTCTCTCTCTCTACCTAATCTACCAGCTAGCTAGCTAGTATCAGAGCTGATCACAGGAGCCAACTCCTAGAGCAGGCATAGGCAAACTCAGCCCTCCAGATGTTTTGGGACTACAACTCCCATCATCCCTAGCTAACAGGACCAGCGGTCAGAGATGATGGGAGTTGTAGTCCCGTAACATCTGGAGGGCCGAGTTGGCCTATGCCTGTCCTAGAGGCCGAGATCCCTTCACACACACACACACAGACCCCCAATGAAATATTTTAGGGGGCCTGGCCATTCACATGGTGTGTGTGGACCACGTCATGTGATGGATTGTGTGGAGCAGGGCTTACGGGCTCCTCGGCCCCCAATATTTTATTTAAGTTGGCACCCCTGGGGCTGACTCAGGGCGTTACAATCCTGAGCTATGGTTCTGAACGAAGGCAAACAAGCTTTTCTCACCCAAAAGGTTTTGATCCACCTTCCTTCCTTTTTTTTATAAAAAAAGAGGCTTGGATCATTCTGATTCCAGCAGCATCTGACAGCCTTTTTTTCCTTTCTGGAGAGGAATTGCGAAGAGGGAGAGAGAGCAAGATGCGCGCTCTGGTGGGGAGGGGAGGGGGCCCTTTCATGTCAAGGCAAGTTTTCCTCTCCAGCTGCAAATCCCCCCCCCCCCATCACAGCGCCCTCCGCCGCGACTCCTCCTCGCATCAGCCGCCTCACCTCCTGCGAGTTCAAAGCGCAACGAGGCGGCGGCGGCGCTTGGCAAACGGGGCGCGTCTCCGAGCCCCCCCCCGCCCCCGAGAATTTGCTTTGAGGGCTTCTCAAAGGAGACAGCTCCCTCCCTGGGGGAACGCGAGGTGCTTGTTGTGGGTTACAGGAGGCCACGGATTGCGTGTGCGTGTGAACGCTTCTCCCTTGAGCTCGGAGGCCCAAGGCCCTCTGAACGCCACTTGCTGGGAATCGAATACTTTAAGACACTTTCTTTTATTTATTTTATTTATTTATTTATTGCATTAGCCGAGTGGCCATAGCATGACATACATTGAAATAACAACATAAAATGGGGGTGGGGAGGTAGAGGTAGACATCGTCCTGGGCGAATACTTAAAGAAAGTGGGAAAAAAACAAAAAAAAAAAAAAAAAAAAAGCTGCTGAGGCTGGAGGCTTTCTTTTATATTGTCGACTCCCCCTCGCATTTTCCGTGATGTTTTTGTTACCACCACCACCCTTTTGCTACTCCCTGCATTCCCTCTTTTTTAACATAGTCATAAGACAAAAACCTTTAATTCTTTCTGTTGCTCATGTTCGGAACATGGGAATTGCAAGGTTGTTGCAGTTCCTGGGTGCTGCTGTGGGGGGGACTTCCCTTTGGGGGTTTGTGGCTGGCCACTGTGGTGACTGGAGGCTGGGATATGACGCACCCCCTTGGGCCTGGCCCAGCTGAAGGGATCTCCTTAGTTTCTTGTGATTCCTAAGTGGAACCAGGAGCCTGGGAGGAATGTCAAGGATGGGAGTATCCTTCAGAGCGTCTCCACCCCCATCGTCCAGCCCGGAGACCGAGGTCCAGCTCTGAGGGCCTTCCAGTGGTTCCCTCCCTGCCAGAAGTGAGGCTACAGGGGACCAGGCAGAGGGCCTTCTCGGTGGTGGCCCCCGCCCTGTGGAACACCCTCCCATCAGATGTCAAAGAAATAAAGAACTTATCTGACTTTTAGAAGACCCTGAAGTACAGGGAAATTTTTAATGTTTGGTGTTTTATTGTGTTTTTATATATGCTGGAAGCCACCCAGAGTGGTTTGGGCCACCCAGTCAGATGGGTGGGGTTGTTGTTTAGTCGTGTCCGACTCTTGGTGGCCCCCTGGACCAGAGCACGCCAGGCCCTTCTGTCTTCCACTGCCTCCCGCAGTTTGGTCAAACTCATGCTGGTAGCTTTGAGAACACTGTCCCACCATCTCGTCCTCTGTCATCCCCTTCTCCTTGCGCCCTCCATCTTCAGTCTTTTCCAGGGAGTCTTCTCTTCTCATGAGGTGGCCAAAGTCTTGGAGCCTCAACTTCAGGATCTGTCCTTCCAGTGAGCACTCAGGGCTGATTTCCTTCAGAATGGATTGGTTTGATCTTCTTGCAGTCCATGGGACTCTCAAGAATCTCCTCCAGCACCCAAATAACAAAATTATTATTAATTATTATTATTATTAAGGAAGGAGCGAGTCAGTGTGGTTAGTGTGTCAGACAATGATCTGTGAGAGACTGGGGTTCAAATCCTGCACTCAGTTTTGAAACTCACTGGGTGACCCCAGAGGACCTGTCACAATCTCTCCGCCTGACCTACCTTGCAAGGTTGTTGTGGGGCTTCAGCGAGGAGGTGGAGAAAGAAGCATCTCTAGGAGGGAAAGGTGGGAGATAAAGGCAGGCCATAAAAGAGCCCCTCAGGGGAGAGACATTAAGCAGCGCCTTCCTCTTCGGGCCCCATCAACGCTAATTATTTGTGATGGAAAAGCAGAGCCTGTCTCCCTTGTCTTCAAGAAAGTCAGAATTTGCATTTCAATGGGGATTGGGAGGGGGCATCCAGGCACTCTGAGTGAGTGATAATGCAGCCCTTCCGCGTGTGGTTTCCCCCTGGGGAGGAAAGGGGTGGGATGGTTCATGGTGAAATTCATTTCTTCCCTGCAAGCGACTTCCGAATCTCGGAGCCTGGAGATTCAACAAGGAATCAATAATAGCAATCAACAGCAATTAAAAAAACAAAGGCTGGGCTATAGATCAGTGGCAGGACCAGAAATAGCCCCCCCCCCCAATTTTCTATATGTGCCACTTGAAGATACGGCGGTTGAGGCTGCAGACAACCCAAAAGGTTGAAGGAACATTTAAAAGATGCAAGGCTCGCTCGGAGCACAGTTCCCACCCCTCCAAACAGTCCCGGGAACTGTAGTCTATCCTCTCGCCAAGCTACAATTCCCAGCACCCTTAACAAACGACAGTTCACAGGATTCTTATTTTTGGGGGGTGGGAGAGCGGGACTCACCTATTTATTTCATGAAATGTATAAACAAACAAACCTCAAAGCAGTTTACAACTTGAAAAATCATCAAGAAGAGAAATCAACAACAAAAATGATTTAATGAGGCTGGGGTATTGTTTAGTGAGGGGTTGCTGTTATTGATACTATCTTTATTTTAGTTCTCGCTATGATTTGTGTTCAAATTGCTCAATTTGGCTGTGTATTTTTTAATGATTTATTTATTGTTTATGTGCTTTTTCATGTAGTAAGCCACAATGAGCATGGCTTGAACTATGGAAAGGCATCATACTACTAATACTTATTAATGCTAATACTACTAATAATTTTATGATTTATTCCCTGCCCATCTGACTGAGGTAATAAACCATCAAACAATAAAAACTTCCCTATACAGGACTGCCTTTTGGATGTGTTCTGAAAGTCAGGCAGTTGCTTATCTCCTTGACATCTGACTGGAGGGCATTCCACAGGGAGGGCACTACTACCGAGAAGGCCGTGTCCAGGATGAGTGATGGGGGTGGAGACGCTCCTTCAGGTCTATGGGGCTGAGGCCATTTGGGGCTTTAAAGGTCAGCACCAACACTGCTGGTTTCCCATTGGGGCATATGCTTGGCCACTGTGTGAGAACAGGATACTGGACTAGATTCTGGGCCATTGGCCTGATCCTGCTGCCATGTTCTTCTGCTGTTCTTTCCCTCCTTTTGCACAAGGCAGAAATTGAGATGGTTCCCTTTAAGCATGACTGCGGTGAAAATATTTCCAATCGCCTGTCCCAATAGAGGGCTTGCCGGTGCATTGACTTCCTCCCATATTGCTTAGGGGGAAGCAGGAGGTTTTTATTCCAAGCCAGCCACAAAATAAGATGAGTCATTGAAAGGGGAAGGTGGGAGACATACAGACAGAATTATTTCCAGCTTCGTCCCCTGAAGACGAGTTCAGGAAGGGGGGTGGTGGCGGCAGCGGTGCTTTCAGCCTTTGCTCCCTTCGGAAAAGAGAGGCTAGGAAGCGGCAAGGCTAGAGAGGAGGACTGGCAAACCTGCAGCCTTCTGGATGTTGGTTGGACTCGAACCCACAGCAGCCCGGGTG